GTCGAATCACTCAGCCTCATCTGTTAATTGAGCTGACTGTAAACCGACACATGCATACTGCTTTCAGAACGGGTCCGCTCAAACTGTTGTGGTTCTTTCCTCAAAAGGCCACTACAGAGAGAACTTGCACGGTTCTCACACATAATCTTTTTATACATATTTGTCTGGACTTAAGAGACAGACCTCTGAGTTTGTTTCGGCATTTCTTCTCAGAGTAGTCAGTTAGGAAATGTCGACCTCATAGTTCGCTTGATAAAATTGACGTGTAAAAGTGCTGCCTTGTAGTCTATTTGCAGAAATAAATTCACTTGTTTCACATGGGAACCATGTTGATTGCGTGATAAAAAAAAAATTGAAGTAAGTTTTACCGATGATCAATAATCATGTGTATGATTACAGGATTCCATCAAAAGAATATTTAGGATGGACTAAAAGTCATAGTCAGGTGTGTCCGAGCGGATACAGAACGTCTGACAAGATCGAGTGTGGTGTGGTGTGTAGTGTGGTGAAGGCTACACCGCTAAGTGTTACGACTGCTAATAGATGGTATACTCGTGTGGAAACGCGACACAGAGTGTGGCGGAGTTTCTAGTGCTATGTGGATAGCTTCGGACTGTAGAAATGTGTCCTTCCCACACAATATGGTACGCTAACATTGTGTGATATCTGATGCGTATTGTGTGTGTAATGTGCGTGTGAATAATATGCTAACGTAGGTATTAATTATTACACATGTGTTTGAGACTCATGATATGCCAACGCCGTGCCTATGTCATGTAGTCGTTATAGCAGAGATAGCTAACGTCGTGCTTCCTCTCTGAGTATGTTTTATGATTGTGAACTATGCTAACGTCGTGCCTATGGTTCACTATTGATTGTGTTTTTTTCCTGTGTTCGTGACTCATGATACGCTAACGTCGTGCCTATGTCATGTAGTCGTTATAGCAGAGATAGCTAACGTAGTGCTTCATCTCTGAGTATGTTTTATGATCGTGAACTATGCTAACGTCGTGCCTATGGTTCACTATTGATTGTGTTTTTTCCTGTGTTCGTGACTCATGATACACTAACGTCGTGCCTATGTCATGTAGTCGTTATAGCAGAGATAGCTAACGTAGTGCTTCCTCTCTGAGTATGTTTTATGATTGTGAACTATGCTAACGCCGTGCCTATGTCGTGTAGTCGTTATAGCAGAGATAGCTAACGTAGTGCTTCCTCTCTGAGTATGTTTTATGATTGTGAGCTACGCTAACGTCTTGCCTCTAGTTCACTATTGATTACTTTACTGTGTTGGTGACTTATGATATGCTAACGTTGTGCCTGTCATGTAGTTGTTATAGTAGAGATAGCTAACGTAGTGCTTCCTCTCTGCCTGTATTTTGAATTATTATGGATCAATGTGTACATGTAGTTGTTTGTGTCGGTAACCAACGACATCCCGATGCAATTTTTATAATTTCAGGTGCGGAAGGTATTGAACTCACACGTCACGTTTTTGGTAATTGATAAGATTAACGATTTAAACTGTCAAACACCAAGCGGTCACCGGTGACCGCGACCTATTGTTCTTTAATTGTGTCTATAAAACCGGTACTCGACGAGTTAATATGGGTCGATGTGTCTTCGGAAAAAACCGGTGTCCCGACCCAATCCTTATGTTCTCAAGTGATGATTATGTTGTTTCCATGGATCATGTGATACGGTAATATGATGCCTATCATGTGGTCCACATTAACCGAGATAGCTAATGTTGTGCCTCCTCTCTGGCTATTTTTTTGTGACCTGCGCTAACGATTTAATATGGATCGATGTGACCGCCGGTAACCACCGTCGTCCCGATCCAATTCTTATGTTCTCAGATGCAAATAGTATAGAGTTCACAGCTGAACAAGCTGCCAGAAGCCGCGGTCAGGTCCCTGCTACGGAGCGTGTGCTGTAAATATGCGACAGTGCGACACAGGAGCACGAGGACGTGCTCCAGTCAGGAGAGGCCGTGTTAGAAGCATAGACAAAAAGGAACGAAATGTCATCGCGTAGCGGGAAAATATCTCTGTGTTCGAACAATGAAAAAGTCAAGATGGCGGGAACTCGGAAATTATTGAGACGGTGTATTTGGTGTTGAGGGAATTTTATTCTATTTGAAAGTCAATTTGCCTATTCATGTGTTATTGTTGTTGTTTTTCTTTCCAATTAATAATTATGGTTTAGCTAATTCTGAATTTGTAATTTGATTTCGATGTTAACAATATAAGGGGAATTCATGAATTGTAATGGTGGTACTCTTTATTTCTCCTGCCTCCTGAGTTTCTAAAATCCAATGTGGTATGAAACAAATAAGTTACTAATATCAAAGAGTAAGGTGAACTCTATGACAGTTTTTAAGTTTCCTAATACATTTATATGTATTATACATATAAATAAACCTTCCTTAAGAATCACTCTATTTACTAAAAAAAACCGCATCAAAATCCGTTGCGTAGTTTTAAAGATCTATGCATACATAGGGACAGACAGCTGGCGGATAGCGACTTTGTTTTATACTCTATGTAGTGATAGTAGATAAATAATTATTATCTCTGTTTATAAACTTCTTTTAACTCGTCGAGTACCGGTTTTATAGACACAATTAAAGAACAATAGGTCGCGGTCACCGGTGACCGCTTGGTATTTGACAGATTAAATCAGAAAATTAAAAGCTTAAAATATCAGTCGTCTCTTCTTATCCAATAAAGACAATACACAACAGTTTACGGTTTCACTAAAGGTCGTTGTACAACTGACGCCGGTGTCACTTTGATTAAGGAAATATTTGGTGCTTGGGAGGAAACACAGGATGCTATTGGTGTCTTTTGTGACCTCTCAAAAGCATTTGATTGCGTTGACCACGAGACACTTTTGCTGAAATTAGATCACTACGGGATAAGAAACTCTGCGCTCCGTCTTATGAGATCTTATTTAGAAGAGAGACAATTAAAGGTTCATGTTAACGGTATTAACTCGCAGGGCTCTGGGATGAATATGGGCGTTCCTCAAGGTTCAATATTGGGTCCCTTTCTCTTTTTAGTCTATATAAATGATTTGCCATTTATATTTAAAAATGAACCACGAATGGTGCTTTTTGCAGATGTACATCATTAATTTTTAAAATAGATCGACGTACAAATAATCTTGACGACGTAAACAGCTCCATTCTTCAAGTGCATAATTGGTTCACCATTAATAATCTAGCACTTAATGAGAAAAAAACAAAATGTATTAAATTCAGTTTACCAAACGTGCGTAGTAACGATAGTGATATTGTTTTGAACGGTCAAAAGTTAGAATTTGTCGACGAGACAGTATTTTTAGGCATTACGTTAGACAATAGGCTACAATGGGGTCCGCATATAAAGGCGCTTTCGGGAGATTGAGCTCAGCTGCTTTTGCAGTTAGACAGATTAGACAGCTCACGGACGTAGATACAGCTAGGCTTGTCTATTTTAGTTATTTCCACAGCATTATGTCGTACGGCATTTTGTTGTGGGGTCGAGCTGCAGAAATAGAATCAATATTTATTCTACAAAAGCGGGCTATCCGAGCAATATATAACTTACGCCGTTGCGAATCGCTGAGAGAGAATTGTTTAAAACGATAAATATTTTAACGGTGCCCTGTCAATATATATATGACAATATAATGTATGTAAGGAAAAATAGGCAATTGTTTGAAAAAAGAAGCGACAGACACAATTTTAATACTAGAGGCAAAAATAAGTTAGCTATACCGCAATTCAGACTGTCCAAAGTACAGAAATCCTTTATGGGGTTAGGTATTAAATGCTATAATAAAATACCAAATAGCATACTAGATCTCAGTGAAAGTAAATTTAAAACATATATTAAGCGCGAATTATGTAATCAAGCCTACTACACACTGACAGATTATCTTGAAGATAAGAATGCTTGGCAGCATGTTGGTTCGGCTCCACTGGACAATACTCAAATGTAGTCAGTAGCTAAATTCCAATAGTAGGTATTTTAATACAAAATTTAACACTTTAATTCTAAGGTAGACAATCTAGTTTCCTTATGGCATCGAGCATTTCTTTATTGAAACAAAGAGTTTCCTTTTCTTGTATAGAAGCACTAATTCTATGGATTGTCAATATGCATATGTGAGCACCATGTTGGACTTTAAGTTAATTTTTATTTATTTATTTTTTTAATTTTTGTAAGTTATTAGTATAATGCGTCAAGCGTGTCTTTGCATTGTTCTTACATATGCGTACAGTATTGAAATATGTATCAGAGACATTGTAGAACATACTTTTTTTAAAAAGAGTAACGAATGGAGTTTCTTGCTCGTTCTTCTCCATTCGAATCTACTTTTTGGAATGAGCACCTAGCTTCACCTAGTTTCACTGACGGACTGACTGACAGACTATTATTTATTTTGTATTTGTTGACGTTTCAAAAGCACCAAACTATGGTTTAATTGAAATAAATGCTTTGACTTTGACTTTGACTTTGACACCAATCACTAACGTACTGAAGCTATTACGCTACAAACACGATAGTTTCCCTATATATCTTGTATCCGTACTTACCTCGAACACATGTAGAGGTACCTACCTATATGGCGCCAATAGGGAGATATAACGAAGATAAAGCCATGAATGCCATGATGGCAGGGTGCTAAAGGCTCGCGTGTTACTTCAGCCTTGAGGTCAGGAACTACGGTGCCTCTTTATTACAACACAAACTTAATCGAATACAACCCACAATATATTACACGAGTGGAAAAAAACAATTTGTTCGAACTTTTCAACGCGCTATTAAAGGTGTGAAAAGCCTTCCTTTGTTGTCCTTTGAAGGACTTTTTTCTGATATTTAAGTGAAACGTGATCGTTGTTGTCATATAAGTTATAGATCGAATTTTCCTACCTGTATCTATCGACTTATTTCTTTGGTTTTTGTATAATAAACCTACCTAGAGTACTGAGTACCTACAATCCTACATACTTATAGTATGTGTAAAACCAACTTCAAATCTGCAGAACATTGGTTTCATTATTAGTTCCATCCATTATCAGATTTTCAGGTTTCAGCCTATAAGTCTGATAATGGAGGCTTAAGTTATCGAGAGGTCTTTACTTAGGGAGCGATCATCGAATATGAAGTTTTGGAGCCATACTATCAAAATACTTTCATAAAAACTTTATAGCTTAGGGTATGGTTAAGTGGTTTCACGAAAAAGTCAATAAATATGAAGTGCAATTATGAAATCAAATTACGATTGAGGTTATCCGGTCACAACGGAAAAGTTAGTTTTGAAAACGTCTGAAGCTACAAGAATATACGTAAATATGGCACAACAAGCTAAAATAGAAGACATCTTGATACCTATTTTTGATGGGGCAAACTATTCGAGTTGGAAATTAAGGTTGGTTACTTTGTTGGAATACAAAGAATGCAACGAGGCCGCCATAGGCATAATGCCGGTGAAATATAAAAATACAGAAGCGGAATGGAAGAAGATGGATTTAAAGGCAAGGACTATTATTATGAGTACTATTTCGGACAAACAATTAGAATATATCACTGAGTGCAAGACAGCTTTTGACATGTTACAAAAGTTCGACAAAATGTATCTTACTCAATCAACATCTCTTCAAATTATATGTCGAGGAAAAGTGGAAGCGATCAAATTAAATAATTACGACACAGTAGAGGATTTCTTCGTTGATTTTGAAAAATCCATAAACGAATTCAAAACAGCCGGAGGTAAAATTGATGAACCTGAAAAGTTAAGATACCTGCTCAGAGCCCTACCACCAAGTTATAGTTATATAGGAGATTTTCTGGACGTGATTCCTGAAGAACAAAGGACTGTGGACTATGTACATTCAAAAATAAAGGAGAAAAATATGACTATGTGCGATGACAAGAAAAATAATGTGAGTACATATACAACCAGCATCACAAGAGCTCAATGTTTTGTCTGTGGTAAGACTGGTCATCTCAAGAAGGATTGTTGGCACGCTCAGAGAAATAATCAAGGACAAAAAAGTTCTCAAGGAAGTTTCCAGTCGTCTAGTCGGGGTCAGCGAGGACATCAGAGAGGATCCTACAGAGGTCGCAGCCGAGGCAGAGGTCAAGGCCACTCATCTAGCAATCATCCTAAAGGTGAATCTTCGAGCAACGGTCCCTCCCAGTCATGGACAGCTGAAGTATGTAAACCAGAAGTAAACCAGGTATCCGGATGTAATGAAAAGGTAACATTTAATAATAATAGTAATGTAGTTAATTGGCTTTTAGATAGTGGGTGCACTGACCATCTTATAAATGATTATTCATATTTTTATGACAGTGTAGATTTGAAAGATTTTGTTGATGTAAAATTACCAGATGGAAAAACCTTGAAAGCAACCAAAGTAGGTACTGTAAAAATGTATTTCAAAAACTATTATAGTGTGAAGTATGTAGATTTAGAAAATGTCTATTATGTCGAAGGAATAAAACAAAATTTATTAAGTTTTTCAAAGGTAACTAATAGTTGTACAATAGTAGCTAAAATGAAAGTGCTAAAATATATAATGAGTCTAGAGAGTTGATAGTTGTTGCTGATAAAATTAATAATTTGTATTGCTTAAAAGGTTATGTCTTAAAAAATGAAGTATGCACAAATTCTGTAAAGTTAACGCAGAAAGAAAAATGGCATAGGGCACTTGGTCATGTGAATTTTCAATACTTAAATAAGATAATAAATAATAAATTAGTTGATGGTTTGCCAGATAAAATTGAAAGCACAGAAATGAAATGTTCAAATTGTATTCAGAGTAAAATGACTAATGTACCTTTTGAAAATAATAGAACAAAAACTACTGAGATTTTAGAACTTATTCATACTGATTTGAATGGGCCACATAACACAACTGGTTATGGTGGAGAAAAATATTTTTTAACCTTTATTGATGATTATAGTAAGTGTACCAGGATATTTTGTATTAAAAGTAAAGCTGAAACTGCAAAGTGTTTTATAGAGTTTATAAATTTAGTAGAAAATAAATTTAATAAAAGAGTCAAGAAGATTCAGTGTGACAATGGTAGAGAGTATTTAAATAAGGATATTTATAATTTTATAAGGTATAAGGGCATAGAGTTGTTACCATGTCCACCTTATGTTCATGAGTTAAACGGAGTAGCGGAGAGGTATAATAGGTCTGCTATGGATATAGTAGATGTTTAATGAGAGAAGCTAAAATACATAGGAGGTACTGGCCTGAAGTAATAAAAACAGCAGCTTATTTAAAGAATCGTACTATTGCAAATACAGTTGAAAATAAAACTCCTTATGAGATATTTTTTGGGGTCAAACCAAATGTAGAGCATTTAAAAATTTATGGAAGTAGAGTCTATGTTAGAGTTCCTGAAGTGTTAAGAAAAAGTAAATGGGATGATAAAGCTCAACTAGGAATTTTAGTGGGTTATAATGAAAATAGTTACAGAGTTTTGTTAAATAACAGAATAATTAATGCAAGGCATGTACAGGTAATTGAAGAAAATACTCAGTTAATTTGTTTGGAAAAAGTAGACAATCAAAATAATAAAGATTTGGAAAGTGATAATACTTTAGATGTTTCAAATGAAGAGGTTAAAAATGAATATGAAACCGATGAAAACTTTGTAGTGCAGATGAGACTTATTCTAGTAGTAACGTAAATAATAATAGAGAAAATGACGTTTTAGTAGAATCACAGAAAAGAAAGAGAATCCCAGTTTCTAGATATGGTAATCCAGTTACACACTTTATTTATGTTAACCATATTGATGCAAATGTACCAAATTCATTCGAGGAGGCGATGAACTCCAATGATAGTAAGCAATGGCAAATAGCCATGGATTCTGAAATAAATAGTTTAAATAAAAATAATACTTGGCAAATTGTAGAAAAACCAAAAGATAAAAAGGTAATTGATGTTAAATGGGTTTTTAAAAAGAAAAGTAATAATGAATATAAAGCTAGATTGGTTGTGAGAGGGTTTCAGCAAAAAGATTTTAATGAAAATGCTTACTCACCTGTTGGAAAAATGCAAACTTTGAAAATTTTATTGTCATACAGTTGTAAAAATAAATTATTTGTAGAGCAAATGGATGTTGAAACAGCCTTTTTAAATGGTTATGTAAAGTCAGAAGTTTATGTAAATCAACCAGAAGGTTATAAAACAGGAGATAATAAAGTTTACAAATTGCAAAAAGCTCTCTATGGTCTCAAAGAAAGTCCTAGAGTGTGGTATGATTGTTTTGATATATTTATAAAAACTTTGAATTTTGTTAGAAGTAGTTATGATTACTGTTTGTATGTTAAAAAAGCAAGCAAAGATCCAATATACATATTAATATTTGTTGATGATCTTTTAATATGTTGTAAAGATAAAAATAAAATAAAAGAGGTGAAAACAAGTTTAATGAAACGATTTGCAATGAAAGACTTGGGGAAAATTAAAAGCTATATTGGCATAGATATTGAGTATAATGATGATAAAAATGTGATGACATTAAGTCAAACAAAGTATATTGAATCTTTGGCTGCAAAGTATAATTTGGTAAATACTAAGTTATATGATACTCCTATGGAAACAAATTTAAAATTAGAGCAAGCTAGTGAGGTCGATGAAAGTATTAAGTACAGAAATATAATAGGTGAATTATTGTATATTAGTACAGGCACAAGACCAGATGTAGCGTACAGCGTTAATTATTTGAGTAGATATCAAAGTTGTTATAACCGAACACATTACAAATATGCAATGAGGGTGTTAAAATATTTGTATAAAACTAAGAATCTAAAGTTAACATATTATGATAATGCAGATGCTGATATTTTAGACTGTATGGTTGATTCAGACTATGCAGGGGATAATGTGGATAGGAAGTCTACAACAGGTTTTATTATAAGATTTTTTGGAAATTTAATATTTTGGAAAACACGTAAACAAAATACAGTAACTAAATGTTCAACTTTTGCAGAGTATATTGCATTGTCAGAGGCAGTAACTGAAGTACTTTTTATAAGAAATTTGTTAAGTGAGTCATTTGATATAAACTTTTGTTATCCAATAAAATTGTATGAAGATAACTCAGGTGCAATTGCAATAGCTAAGTATGGTAACTTTACTAAAAATTCAAAGCACATTGAAGTGCAATATCATTATATAAACGAGAATTATGAAAACAAACTTATTGATATAATTAAAATTGATACAAAATGTAACTTAGCAGATATGTTGACTAAGAGTCTAGATAAATCAAAATTTTTGAAAAACAGGTTTGAATTAAGATTAATTTAGTTAAGAGTTCAGATTATTACTTTAAAGTACTGTTTAAGTAAAATATTAAAACTGTAATAACTTTAAAATACTGTTCATGTAAGATAAAATGTTAAGATTATAAATTTAAGGAGGTGTGTTGTAATAAGGTAAATATTATAATCTTAAGTTAAATAATATAAGTAGCGCCATCTAGTGTTAAGTTGGCAAGTTTCTCATAGACGTCGATATATTATCTGTATTCTCCCTTTTGTCGTCTGCATGGCGCCCATCATGTGCTTTCTGTGAGATTTAAAATAAAACTACGAAATATAACAAGCTATTATCTATTATTCAACCACATCCACCACTTCAACAGACCTAAATAAACAATACCCTAAGTATTATCGTTTTTGTTATCGACCTGGGAATTTTTTATGGGATGGGGATAAAGACTTTGTCGTTATGTAGATAAAATAATCAATCTGGAAGTCACTGGGCAGGCCTATATTCAGCAGTGGATGCCTTGTGGCTGATGTGGTGATGATAAACATAAAAATACTAGAAATAATTTAAAAAATGTAGGTACTTTGAATTTCATTTAGTGAACCATATATTCTTTAGTTTTTGAGAGTTCATAAAGGACAATCATCATGTGAAAGGTGAAGAAATAAACACAAAATATATTTTACTATTACGGAAACCTACGCATATAATGTTCACAATCATTTACCGTGAAAGAATCGACGCCAATGAAATAATGACGCGACACCCATTTCATTTTGACAATCGCATCGCGTGCCAAACACCTATGGCTTCTTCACACGGAATGCATAAATGATACAAACAATTTACTTGCCGAAAACTGCTTTCGGAAATAGACTTTTTTTTTTTTTTTTTTTAAGGGGGGAAAATCATCGAATGACTGCTCCCGCCTGGGTGAGGCGGAAGGGAGTGTCAGACTCTTACTGACTAAAAACCACCCCGTTCCTTCTCCTGCACGTCGAGCCGGAGCCCCGGTTACCCGTTAGGTTCTCCGCGACTCCGAATCGGCATCGGCCCTATTGGGCCCCATCTGTGGTGGTCTGATGGCTCTTTGAGGCGCGCGCGGAACGCGACGCGCCGTACGCTCGGGTCTGTTTCTGGTCGGACGGGGAGCCACCCATGCTCGCCGTCCGCAGGCCCGCGCTTACGGTGGCCGGAGATCGTCCCGCGATCCCCGACGCCCGGTGTGTCCTTCGCGATGGCTGGGTCGCGAGGAGGCAGCGCTTCGCTGCCTCACGCGTCCCGCCTCCTCCTTAGCTAGCATGACTGCTTCGCAAAAGGAGGAGACGGCATCCCAGTCCCCCTCGCTCCGCATCATGGCCTGCACTAGGCCCGGACGCGAGAGGTCGCCATCGCCGATCACTTCCCTGAGGGCACGGCGGTGCTCAGCCCACGCAGGGCATTCCGCTACGGTGTGTTCCACCGTGTCCTCAGGGCGGTCCTCGCAGTGATGACACCCGGGCGTTTCCTCCCGCCCCATCAGACACAGGTACCTCCCGAAGCTTCCATGTCCGGTGAGGACCTGCGTCAGGCGGTAGGTGAGGACGCCGTAGCGTCTCTCAAGCCACTCCTCAAAGAGGGGACTTACCGCTGCAATGGCAGCGAGCCCAGCCCTCGGTTGCGACAGTCGTTGCTGCCATTCCGCCATGAGATCGCGCCGGAGCTCATCCCGCCACGCACTTATCTGGCGCGGCAGCGGAGTTTCGCCCCGGCGACGTGCCTCCGCGCGCATGTTATACACGCGCGCGAGCACCTTCGCCTCCAGATCCCACGGCGGTAATCCGGCAAGGAGGTTCGCCGACTCCCCAGCGATCGTGCGGTATCCGCGGATCATTCGGATCGCCATGACCCTCTGTGACTTGAGCAGCGTCCGAGCAGGACGCCGCAACAAGTTCGGCGCCCAAACAGGGGCGCCGTAGAGGGCCATGGACCGCACGACCCCGGTCGGAAATAGACTTAGGAGCAACAAAAATTACGTACGGGCAAACAATGGCTTTTGTAGGTAATGTAGAATCAATAATTCTACGTTTTAAGCTTCATTCTCCAAAGAACTTTCTGTAAAGTTTCATTACTTTAGTAATAGCTACGAAAAATGCATCATACCAACGTTTTGTCTAGAGTTCAACATACTTTCTACAAAAACTATTACTTACGTCGTAAACATTGCGAGCTCAGTACGAATTCTTCCTGTGTAGGGAATAACACTAGGCCTCAAGAAAATAAAGAGATCTCAATACTTGAATTACTTATTCAAATCATTACACCACAATTCACCACATAATTACCTGATAGTGAAATCAAATGGTTGCAATTCATACAGAGCCTTGCAGAGTCGAGGCACCAAGCCGGGCTGTGCGTCACTACCCATCATAGTATGTGTCTTGCCCGTCGCACTCTGCCCGTACGCCAGTACACATGCTGAACAGCCTCGTGATACGCTGGATATCACTTCTTGACCAATGCTTTCGAAGACCTGAAGAAGGGGGCATGCAGGCTGATCTTACGGTGGTAAACAATTAGCGCCGTCTATGTTTGGGGGGATTTTTTTTAATTTTTTTTAAGGGGGGAAAATCATCAAATGACTGCTCCCGCCTGGGTGAGGCGGGAGGGAGTGTCAGACTCTTACTGACTAAAAACCACCCCGTTCCTTCTCCTGCACGTCGAGCCGGAGCCCCGGTTACCCGTTAGGTTCTCCGCGACATGTTTGAGGGGATTGGGGACTATTTTATTCTTAACAATAGACTTCTTTACTAGTCTAGCGGTAAAATAGCCTAACTACTGAACCTGAAGCTCTGGTAAACAGATCCCAAAATAAAGTGATAGAGTTACCTTCTCCTGTGACGCATAGGATGGATGTGTGACTGGACAGAAGCTGTCGAAGGTGTAGTCCGCATAGTACTGCCTGATGCGCTCACGACTGTCGCCTGCTCCAGATATGCTTACCTAAGACAATAAAGATTACTTACATCTACTGATTATATGATATCGGTATATTTCTAAACTGATAGTTAAGCTGCATAATAATAGAAAGACCCTAGAGGTTACTTTTACCGGTTTTTGAACAACAATGGGCGATCTTATAGATAATACCTATACAGTAACTATACACCGGGTACGATTCCAGTTTTCGAGTTACTCATAAAATTTTGACCGATTCGAGAATCGAATCCTAGAGCCCGTATTCAACATTATACCTACCAGTAACCATCACTAAACCGAGGTGGCACAGTCTGTGTTTAATATTTTTCGCCACTCACCGCCGTTAATCTGAGTAAATAAATAGCATCTTATCGTATTTAGCTATTGTAACTTACTTTGATATTAGTAATCGTAACAGTGTTACTGTCAACCACGTTCACGACCGGCACACGATCCTTCTCTGATTTTAATTCCCTGTAAAATTTAAATACTATTTAATAATTAATTTCATCTAATACGAGGGCGTGACTCTAGCTTATTGCCAATAGCCGACACTATTCCAGACACTGTGCTTCTCACCTTTTATCCCCGAAGGGGTAGGCAGAGGTGCACATTACGGTATGTACTTATTGCCACTGTACAATGTAACACCCACTTTTCATTACTTTATGTTATGAGTCCCATGTGATGTGAGAGTGAGCCTATTGCCATATACCGGGCATATTTCCAGGCTCCGTGCTACACCTGAGATTTTTTTTAAAACCCTGTAATACTTTTCCCGACCGGGGTATCGAACCCGAGACCCTATGTTCGGTAGTCGCACTTGCGACCACTCGGACAATGAAGCACTCTCTGCTATTACTAAAAAAAATACATAACAGGAATTAAACCCAAGTCCTTTTATTTGGCCAGTCGCGCTTGTGACAATTCTACCCTACAATCAAATTAATGTAGACAGGCAGTAAATAATGTGTGCTGGTGGCGCAGTGGCGGGGTAGCCGGCTGCTGCGCAAGATGCCGCGGGTTCGACCCCCGCACGGAACAATAGAGAAATTATTGTTCCGGATCTGATCCTGATCTGAAATTATTGTTTCTGTGATTTGTGTGTTTTATAATTATGTTTCTAAACGACACGACACCAGAGAAACTCCTAGAGTGGGGTACCTACATTACATACCCAAGAACATAATTTTAAAATAAATAAAACTCACCTTTCGCTAAATGGTCTAACTCGTATCGCAAGTTTGACATTGGACATTCTCCTTGCTTGTTTACAAACTCCGAAAAAATGGAACTCAATGCACAATGTTTTGATACCTAGATGATCTTCAATAATGTTTTTGACAAAATTTCCGCCACTATTAACGATTGTATATAATTCGACTATTCCGAAGTACTCAGCTATGTATTTTTTTTATTAACAGTAGACACGATTGTGAAATCCAGTTCAGTATCGACGAACTTGATTGGAAGCTAAAAGTATAATGAACTGTCTTCGGAAGTCTCGTACTGGACAATGCTATTTTAGGAACGCACCCTTCCTGTTGCTCTTACTCAAGAAAGCATGATAAAAATAGGTTTTGTTCCTTTTTCAGTTGTCTATCCCTATGTCCAAATTATACTAGATGAAAGGTATTGAAAAAAAAATGTTTTCTATGTAGTAAGTTCGTAATTCATACATTCGTATTTATAGCATTGCTTATCTTGAGAAATGCAATCTCAGCATTCAAATCTTATCTCAATCATTGTGCATATTTTTGCTACCAAAATAAGTTTTAGATACGTGAATAAAGAAGTTTGGTACCACGATTATTTAAAAAGTTAAAGGAACCATCTGTTTCTGTCAAAATCAGGAATGCTGCCAAGTTTAGAAATTTGCCGATTTGTAAGCTATATTCTAGAATAACAAAGTTACAAAAAAAATATTGAAAACCTATCCGTAACGCTTTAAACAATTTTTGTGTTTTATTCCAAATGTTAATTTTTCAATTTCAATATTACTAATAGGTTAAAATTCACTTTTATATTACTGAATTGACTATCGAAAAATATGTTTTCTAAAAATTACTTCTTTGATTATTATTTATCATTTTTGGCAGTTTTTGCGCTTGCAATTTGGCAACACTGGCATCAGCAAGAAAACTGACAGGAGGACATTTTGAAAAAAAAAATATGTTGATAGATTGCTGACGGAACGATTTTTAATAAATAATTTTAAAGCATTTCTTGATTTATTGCAGAAATTAAAACAATAAGTGTATGTTAGTGATATAACAAAAAGGTAACTTTTGTTTTTCCTTCGCTATTATAGTCATAACTTAATGTATCAAACATGTAATATACGTAAACATTGAAGAAAACAAATATTAATACTTTAGATTTTTACACTAGATAAATAGATAAAGAACAGATTTATTACAAGTTTGAATATTCGCACTTTTGACCTCTGATTAATTAAGACTTAGGTTATAGAAGAAATCAAAAAAAGTATCACGAACACGGTACTAGTTACGATGTTCTACTTATTTAGACATTGAGGCTATTACCATACCTCATCTTAATATAAATAAGTAATTTCACTACGTTATTGCCACATTAAGAATATGTATGGAATTCACCATACCCTCATTGCTTTACAAGAAAGTGCATGCTACATAGTCCATAATAAACTATCAACTTAAATTCAATTACAAAGCTCTACTAACATGGTATCTCTGATGTTACATGACCTGCTGACCTGACATACATTTCAAAATAGTTTTTAATTTAATATTTATAATCTGTAGTAGTCAGTATTTGCAACTACAATACTGCAATACAAATATTGTCATAATTTCAAACTTATGTTTATCAATATTATGCTTATCAGTCACCTAAGGGGCATAGACTCACGTCTTGTACAGGGAAACCTCAAAAATGTGCATATGAATCTATCCTCAACCAATTGCAAGCACAATAGAATCAATATTATTCAGGTCATAAGTCAAATAACACTTAAAAGCATATTAACAATACACAAGGAAAAAATGAACATAAAAATATTGTATTCAAGATTATCATCTCATGAATTACCATGACAAAACCATAGACATCTTGTTCAGCTTCTAACAATCTCTGATCATTCTTTGTTCACTTGTCCAGCTGCAAAGATGTTAGTACGGAGGCTAACGAGATCCTTGTGGAGCACAGCGGTAAGAGTTGAAAAGAGGTTTCTTGCCTCCGAGCCGTTGAAACCTCAACCTGAAGAGAAGGAGGGAGTTGATCCAGTCCAAGTAAGCATTTAAACTAAACTTGTAAAACTAAAATCAGATCAAATCAACTATTGCTAAGGGCCAATTGCTAACCAATTGGGTACTTACCTTAATCAAAAATAAATTATTTCGACTGGTCAATACAATTTCAATACATTCAATAAATATTAAAGAGATAGCGACCCGCCCCGGCTTCACACGGGTGCAATATGCATGTATTATACATGTAAACCTTCTTTAAGAATCACGCTATCTACTAGAAAAAACTACATCAAAATCTGATGCAAAGTTTTAAAGATCTAAGCCAGCGGTTCCTAACCTTTTCAATGTCACTACCCCTGTGAACAAGTATGGGAATTGAGTTTACCCCTAGCTAATTTAAAATAATTAAAACGACACAAATTCGAACGAAAATATGTTTATTATCTCACAAAATTCTAAGAAATTGCACGTTTAGGTAACTAGTAAAGTAAAGTAATATCTTGGAGTTAACTAATGTGAAGGTTGAAATTGCTTTGCATTCGCAAGTTTGACAATATTAGGTTTGGTTTCACTCAACGCGCATCTCATGTCATGCTCAACATTCAGACGGTTTCTGGCTTTTGTTTTTAATGTAACAAGAGTTGAGAAACCAGTTTCACATCTGTAAGTTGTGGCAAATGGAATCAACATTTTTAAAGCTCTGTCAGCTATAATAGGATATTCTGCAGCTGCTTTTAGCCAAAATGTGCTGAGTTTATCATTTTGAAAATCAACTTTCAATGAGTTATTCTCACGCAGCCCGAGAAACTCTACTTTCGCTGACACATCTTCGTCCTTGAAAATATCGACGCAAGTAGAAAATGGTCTTAAAATCCAGGAGTAGGACTCTCGACTGTCCATGTTCGGAAAATATTGCTGCAGTGAGTTTATCACGGCAGTTAAATGCTCAACCACGGAATTTTCAAACGTGATTTTGTTTTGTTTATTATTTACTAATTGCTCACTTAGTTGAGTAAATATTGACACATCACCAGCTTGAACTCTGCGTTGGTAAAGTTCCAATTTGCGTAAAAAACTTGCGATTTTATCCTGCAACGTCAAAATATTCGTTTCATTTCCTTGTAATGAAATACTCAGACTATTAATTTCAGTGAAAAAATCAGCAAGGTACGCCATTTTTAGAATAAATGTTTGGTCTTTAATTTTTGCATAATATTCTTTTTCTTTTTGTGTTCTCTGATTTTCAAAAAACAGTCCAATTTCTTCTCGTAATTCGTAAACCCTACTTAGAACTTTGCCTCTTGATAACCAACGTACCTCTGTGTGGTACAAAAGAGCATTAAATGTAGCACCAACTTCATCAATTCAATACTATTTCGTGCCATCCCGTGTTACCCCCCTAGAATCTCCGTTTTACCCCTGCGGGGGTAATTACCCCCAGGTTAGGAACCACTGATCTAAGCATACATAGGGAAAGACAAACGGCATATAGCGACTTTGTTTTATACTATGTAGTGGTAATCACACTGTCGTTTAATTGATTTTATGAATAACTTAGTTTTAGTATTTTTCCAGCAATTTTTCGAAAAAAGTATTGAATTTGACTAGCTGGCAAGTACCCAATTGCAGCTTTCTCTTGTTTTAGAATATTTATTGAGTGTAGTCACACTGATAAGCTTGGTACTCTCTCAATATAGATAACAAAGGGCCCTCTATATTAGTTATCCCTTGAAACATAACAAATAATTGGTCAATACATTTGATTAATATACCTGCCGCCTATACTAATAATATTCACAAAAAATCTGTAGTTGTTATAAGTTTGAATATTAATGTAAAAACTTGGCAATAAATTATAATTGCATTTTAAATGGGTTCTGATAATACGTGACATTATTATTTATTGTCTGTTTTTTATGAAAAAACTTTTTTTATATTTTTATAGTTGTTTGGTGTAATGCACATAATTCTCAAAAAGATTTCTGTGCTAAAGTAATTTAATTTTTTTTTTTTCTTTACAGTTGGAAGCTTTAGACAAAGACATTTGCCTGTTAGTAGATGAGAAAGACAACTTCCTTGGTACAGCGACCAAGAGAGAATGCCACAAAGTAGGAGAAGACGGCAAAATATTACTCCATAGAGCATTCAGTGTGTTTTTATTCAACAAGAGAGGTGACATGCTTCTGCAAAGGAGAGCTAGTCAAAAAGTAAGTTTAGTTACTAGGAAAATTATTAGGTAATGCTTAAAATATTTAAAGTCAAAGTCTAATTCAGTTAGGCCAGTTAGGCACTTTTGGACATCAAACAAAATATTAAAAAGTCAGTCTGTCGGTCAGTCCTCTAGTGAAGATATTTGCTTGTTCCAAACTATAGATGCCTATACAGAAGACCAAACAAGAAACTCCATAGGTTACTTTTGTTGCGACTGAAGTTTAAAAAAAATGGTCTTTGCCTTGTAGGTGTCATGGATAAGATGAAATATACTGTAAATTGCAACTATTGGGCAATCCTAATACTAATACTAAAGCACTGCCCAATAGCAGTGCTGTAGTGTTATTAATTTAAAACTATCAGCAATAGTCTATATTGATCCCATATTTAATATAGTCTCAAAATAATTTATTTTCCTGTTTGCAGGTAACATACCCAGACTACTACACAAATGCATGTTGCAGCCATCCACTTTACATAGATGATAAGGCTGAAGATGTCATTACGGCAGCTAGACGAAGGCTCAACTACGAACTGGGCATTCCTTTAGACCAGGTACTTATATTATTACAACAATATTAGTTGTTAAACTAATTCTGAATACAAGATTTCTCTAAATTCTATGCACACATGAACATTACACACCACTTGAACCGCCAATGACAGTCCACTAAAAGACTATCTCTCTATATTTAAGAAGCTACCAAATCATATTCATAATATATGCTTATCATTTATGTGATAACTTTTAATCTTAATGTAATGGACACACAAACCGGCGACTATCCCTATGCACTATGAGAATGCACCCAAGGACAGTCACATGGCAAAAAGGTAGGTAGGACTATTGATGGTTGCTGTGGATTATTAGTTAATATTGACTGTTTGCATCACAGATGGACCCAGAGTTGTTCACGTACATGACGCGCGTGCACTACCACGACCCCGGCGACGGCGTGTGGGGAGAGCACGAGATCGACCACATCCTCTTCTTCCAGAGCGACGTCAAGGTCAAACCCAACTCCAATGAGATATCGGAGTATTGCTTCGTACCCAAAGCTGAGTTTAACGCGTAAGTATATCCCTAGATTATGTCATTACATACATATCGTCACGCCTGCCTCCCCATTCGATAAAGGCAAAAACGTTGGAACACCAAATGACACGACGGAAGTATTCATAACTTAAAACTCGTCAGTTAAGACCACTCTGTACTTTACCATTTTCGAGGATCTCGTAACGTAAAATTAATTGTCGCTACCTCAAGTTCTGGGTTACTTTTACTGAACTATGGCGCAGCAGAACAGAGAGTTATGCTTTTAAACATTGGTTTCAATTAGATGTTGTGTTCACCAGGTTCATACCAACTCTGGAAGGTCCAATCACACCTTGGTTCAACATGATTCGTCGTCACAGACTGAAGCTGTGGTGGGACAACCTGCACCGTCTGAAGGAACTCGCCGAGCCTGACAAGATACAGAAGTTTATGAACGAAACTAAATAACTCAACACATCGCCTTCCCCACATTAGTAGCATAGACAATCAATTTTATTATTATTATTGGTTTTATTTATGACAGGACAGTGGTAATTTTTTTTTTATTTAAGAAAATAGTTTCATATATAATTGCTTAGGTTTCTTTTGTTTGTAATTTAGTTAGTATTGTGACTACCTCTGGCCCAATAATAATGGAATGCTTTTATTTTACGTAGAAGTCGGAATAACAAACGATTATAATAATTTTGCTTTACTTTCGTTTATTTACACATGATGTAAAGTTGTACATAGTCGATACATAATAACGACGGGTGCTTGTAAAATTTAGGCAAAGAGGAGGTAAAAGAGATAGTAATTACCTATAAAGGCGAACACATTACGCCCTGTATTATTTCTATGAATGCATCAATAAATATATTTGTTATTTATAATTTTGGTTTCTTTTAAAAAAGTTCTGGCCGACAGACGGTTTTGTTTTAAACGTTGCCCCCACACTAGGATTTACTCCTGTGTCGTTCGCGCGTTTACAAACATACAAGTTCACATACACATCACACCCAGACCCAGAACAACAATATGCGGTTCACACAAGGAGTTACTATGTGCGGGAATGGAATTCGCGACACGTTGCGCGGCAGCACTACGAAAGGCTTACAGTTAAACATTCTCAGTTTTTGTAAAAGTATTACTAGATGTTGATGACTCTTACAACTGGACTTTCTTCTGGACAGCTATAAGCTACGACCCTCAGCTCTACGATTCAGGATCTCAGCATCGCCCTAACCTAAGGTACTTGAAATTGGCACAATATGTCTGCTTTTTCCATTCTCCCTTATCAGACGTCAGCCACAACCTCCTTTTTCTTATCATACTTCACACTATTTACCTCTCTTTTCATTAGTTGTCCTCTTCCTTTTTATCCACATTTAAATTCAAGACACAATTAGAAAATAGGAGGTACCTAGGTAGATTCAAAATAAAATTATTTACAAAAACAACCAACAGATATCAATCCATTTACTAGGGAGCTATGAAGGCAGAAACAAGCACGAAACTTACACATTATTATATAGAGTTTAAAAGGAAGATCTTTTCTATATTTCTATGTGTTAACACGAACTAAGAGCACTTGAAAACAATCACAGTCGTATAAAAAATTAATGGTCTAGCAACCCAAGCCGGCACCTAATAAATATTCATACATAGATAACTCATTACCATTTATTTACATCACACCGCAATGTATTCGAAGGTGAACAATAAAGTACTTAAACGTTTCATGGAATTATCATTATAATGTGAGTTTTTACTAAATAAATACATTTTTCAAATAAAAATTTCGGCATTTTATTCGACAATCTTTTTAAATATGTTGGTACGTAGTGTTATGACAAGTTACAAGTGTGGTCGGATGTTGTGGAATACCGCGCGAGTGGACAAAAAGTTTGTTTGCATCAACGCCGCTATGAACCAGTCGACCGAGGCCGGAGATAATATAACGGATGTTCAGGTACTTATACGTTATTATTGAATTAGTTAATCAAAAATTATCTAGTACATGCTCTTAAGTAGAAAAGGCAGTAATTTAAAATAAAGTGTCCATTCAGTACCTACATCCCATACAAAGTTTCTAAAGCTCAAACTCAAACAATGTCAACCTCACAAGATTTATAGATAAACCAGTTCTTTTTTATAAGTAACAAATTGTGCGATGAATGTTTGGGTACCTACACAAACACCAGAATAGCTGGACAGCATTGAATAAAAATTGACACAGCCTGCCAATTATCCTGGTATTGTGGATTAAACCTCTGACAGGAAAAAAAAACTAAAGGCCAACAAAAAAAATTAAAACGATGCTGTTTCAGGCAGCATCATTGAAGAAAGATATGTGCTTACTAGTGGATGAGAGAGACAATATCATAGGTACTGCGAGCAAGAGAGAGTGCCATAGAGTGGGGCCTGATGGCATGGTGCCACTACACAGAGCCTTCAGTGTCCTCATGTTCAATTCCGCTGGAGAACTGCTCGTACAGAAGAGGGCTAGTCAAAAAGTAAGTATTCTATTAAACAGTCAATAAGTAAATATTTTTGGTATAATTTCAAATCGTCTTCATTCTAAAACGTTAATATACGGTAGTAACTTATTAAAATAGATATCTTATGGTACAGAGAATATAAAACTCGTTTAGATTCGCAGTCTATACAATAGGTATAATTCTGGCAAAAAATTAGATTGCAGATAGAGATACCTATGCTTAATAAGGACTTGTTCACAGTTGGATTTGCGTACTTTAATGAAACTTGTGTTTCAGGTAACATATCCTAATGCCATCACAAACACATGCTGCAGCCACCCACTACTCATTGACGGTGTACCGGAGGACGTCACTACCGCCGCTATACGCAGACTGAACGAGGAACTAGGGATACCGAAACAACAGGTGAGAAAGGGCTACAAAAATATTAATAGTGACTAAGTAAATATACTGAATAGAACTCAAGAAAGTTATGTGCATTTGAGTGCTAAATTTTCATGAAGAATCGAAAATCGAAAGAAAAACGTCGCCCAAAGAAAACATGAATAGACTGCGCGAATTATGATACAAGAGAAAAAAAGGAGTTGTTTTATGGTGCATTTAATAGGACAGAAAAAGGAACTTCAGGTAGTTAACATTAACAAATAACATTTTGTTTACAGCTGAATCGGGAAGACTTTACACTTATATCACGGTTCATATACGCGGACCCTGGCGATGGAGTGTGGGGCGAATACGAACTGGACCACGTGCTCATCCTGAGGAGCGACGCACAAGTCAAACCTAACCCTAACGAAATCGAAGACGTCAAATATGTCGCTAAGAATAAGATGGACAGGTGAGTTACATAGGTACAATAAATTAATTCACAGATAAGTTCATTGACGATTTCAAGACTAATTTTTTATCGGTTTGGATCAGTTTTATAGCAAACCAGAAGGATCCTATCACGCCATGGTTCAAGTTAATACACCAACACATGCTGCCGTACTGGTGGGACAACCTTCACCGCCTCAAAGACATCGCAGAGCCAGACATGATACACTCCTTCGTAAATAAAGATTTATAGAGAATGCATAGTTTTTTATACGTAAGTATGTACCTACATACTTAAGTAGGTGGGTACTTCCATGCCATTCTCGACTAAGTACTTTAAAGTATTAAGTATTGTATAATAAAACCATTAGTTTGTAAGAAAAAAGTTAAAAATAAACATATTTTGAAACTACAGCTTTTATGTAATAGTTGATGTTTTATGTAATAGTTTTATGTCATGTATCTTGAGCATTCGAAAAAAATAATGTCGATACCAGTACCTACTAAAGTAGATACAATTTTTATTGTAGGAGAAACAGCACGAGGGGTATAACTTCTGTAGCTCATCTTAATTTTCCACTGTGACACCTAAGTGTCACCATCTTGTGCCACAGCCTTGGACATAACTTTACTTCTTTAGCATTCTTTGCCAGAGTCTATTTCCTGAAGGGTAAGGGTAAGGAATAGATTGCTTATGGGACGACGTTCTCCATCGTAGACCACATCATCGCTTACTACCAGGCGAGATAGTGGTCAAACGTCGGTCCATCAAATATAAAAAAATAGACTCTTAAATTATTGGGACCGCTTTAAAAAGCAGACTCTGAATAGAAGAGGCCGTACAGTGTAGGTACTGTGCGTATGTTCCCATTGCTATCAAAATATTTCTGTTCCGATTTCGTTGTCGTCCAACATCTAAACTTGCTCATTTAGATCTGTACGTCCTATCTGGATCGTTCACTTAAACTATTCATAAATCGGCTTCAATAATTCATCAGAGCTGTTGACGTCGGACCCGGATGACGTCAAATATCTTTTCTTTCCTCTTCTATACGATACGGATACCCAATGTAGGGTTCTAGCTTGCCGAAACTTTCTCTTCTTGAATACTTTCTTCCTTGATTTGTCTTTTAAAGGTTCCGTGTCTGTCAAGGAGCGTAGAAGATACGCTTTGCAAGTGATTTGGTTGCCAACATGCAAACCGCTCCTGTAAGCTGTATGGAGGTAGCGTACTGCGATCACTTGTATTATCTGTGTTAAGAGTTTTTTTGATAGAAAAAGTATAAATGTTTTATGATTTCGACTGGAATTTAATGTACACAGGATGTTAATCTAAGTACCTACGTTGCCTACCTAAGGTAGATAACTTGTGATATGCATATTATCGGTCTGTATAGCGTAGGGAACATGGATAGAGAAAACAGCATAGCTAAAAAGCTACAATCTATAAATGTAAAGGAACCTACCATCGCCATTATAATAAGCGCCATGACAGCGTTGAACCGCCACGAGACGGTCATCATCTCGCTGATTAGTTTCTCCTCACAACCTGCGTTCCATATCGTCAATTGTGTCTGTAAACATATTATTTTTAATTTGAACAGACTTCAAAAGAGGGAGAAGCATGTGAAATGTCAGTTTTAATGTCGTTAGTATGCTTGTCGTAGTTGTTATGCGACGACTATGTTGCGTGTGTAATAATGTCAATCAATTACTCTGTGTACCTACTCATTATTCTATGGTAAAATGTAACTACTAACCGCAGGGTTGTACTTATATATAGTCCCCATCTGAGTAACTCCATGGTGTATGCAGGGGTAGAGTTCTTCTGTGGAGCAGCAGCTGTACGGGACGTTGTCCGATACGAACTTGTGATTGGAACTGTTGGCAAATATAGTAGTACCTGTACCCATCAAATAATACGTAGGTGCCCCAGCTGCCATTCGGTTGATTCGGTCATACACAAGTCATTCCAGCGAAATATTTCAAATACAATGGATTCTAGATGATGAAGGAAAATAGGTCATGATTTTGAAAATTAAGTATTCTTTTTTTTATGTCGTAAGTCTGTAAACGAGCAGACGAATAACGTGATGGTAAGCAATCGGCGTCGCCCATGGACACCTGGAAGTGCCTGGAACACCAGAGGCGTTACAAGTGCGTTACCGGCTTTTTGGGGATTAGGAGTTTGAGGTTCGATGGGGATTCAGGGATTGGGGAGATTGGGGAAGGGGAAGGTAATTGGGCCTCCGGTAACCTCACTCACATGACGAAACACAACGCAAGCGTTGCTTCACGTCGGTTTTCTGTGAGGCCCTGGTATCACTCCGGTCGAGCCGGCCCATTCGTGCCGAAGCATGGCTCTCCCACACCTAAAATATATATATTCATTAAAAAGCTACCTACGTATTGTTTTGTGTAACCGATCAGCGTCCGTCTCCTAATTAAAAAAATAAAAGTAGGCAGGTACTAACAAAGTCTTTGAATCAATATTTTCCCCGTTCATGTACCAAGGTATGAAAAACCACTCCTGGAAGTTGACTCGGCCGCAGCAATGGAATCTGGTCTGCAATCGGTCTATGGCCACCTTCGACGGCAGGTGACTTGAGTATCGGAGCATGGCCTTTGTTATACCGCCTTTTATTTTGGCTGCGAAAGAAGGTTGTTGTTGTAATGTTTTTTATAAGTGGTTACGTATAAGAGGACTAGCAGTGAGCTAACAAGTACTAAGGCATTATGACTTAGTCCTAATGGAAAGCAGTTACCGTAGCTTATGGACGACTGTCAACTCCAGACTTTGTTTACGACCTTCATAATCCAAAGTATTTACGCTCAAGTTTGCGTGCACTTAGGTCAAGGAATTCTATTTTTATAATAACGCCTAAGTAGGTACAGACTGAATTTCACGAATAAATTATAGTAAACTAAAAACCTCTTATAATAGTCGATTGAAGTCCAGAGTAAAACATTATTGCCAGGAAGATTATTATCATTATAATGAGCGCCCAGACGTAGTAGAATAGTCCGTTTGTGACGTCATATTCTCTTTTCGGTAAGCCGGCTTTAAATAACTGATATAAACCGTACAGCTAAAGGAAGAAAAAAATAATACATTATTAATCGATCCTAAATAGCCTAACTACTTACGATATTACTTAGTTATGATTTTAAGTATCATCACCCGTCTACCTATCAAGTTTTTTATGTAAGGTAAAGTAGGTACCTATTGAAACTTTTTCAAAAGAAAATATCAACTTGCATAAGTAATGTGCCTAGGTAGGTACTAAATTAGTTATTCGACTGAATTAAGTATGTACACACCTCTATAACAACTGCAATAATAGAGCCTAAAGCTATAATAACAGGTATAGCATTGCCATCTGGCCAACACACCAGATCCAATAGAGTGCCCTCTTCACTTCGAATACCTTCCGATGTGTTGACCAGCCATATTAAATAGAATATTACAACAGGCATGCAAGCCATCATCAGCATCCTTATATTGTTGAACGATGCCCATGTTAAATACATTTTATATGAATATTTCTTCTTCTAAACTCCGTGTTTATAAACATAAATAACTGTGTTATGGAACGTCAAACCGACAAGTGGGTATCCCAAAGAGTATAATAAGTAAGTATAGGGGAAATCTACTCTGTGAATGACTTTATACAAAGAATTATGTAAGTTACTTTATGATGACTGTGAAGTGGGGTATTATTCTATTGGTCAAGGGGGTGTTATAATGGTTAATCATAGAGCAACACAGGCCACCGGTGGACCGGTCCGTGTTGTTCTATTTGGTTAATGCATTCTACAATGAGGTTGTAAATTTACAACATCCTTGGCATTCTACTGTTAGGTATTTTAATAACTTTCTTTTAATGTTATTTATTGCTAGATAGACTGGTTCTTCGCCACCAAGGTTGCAACAATATTAATCCTACTACATAGAAAAAATAATTTAATAGTTTGAGCTCACCTCTAGATTTAAAAAAATATTCAATCAAATAGCAAAAGCAAAACAAATGTCAGCTGTCATGTTAGAGTAAATGGTAATGTCAAAATCAAAAGTCCAATGTGACATTGTTAAACATTGTTATCATTTCGCAGTTTATCATTGATTCAATTGAAAATGTGTGAGAAATAAATTAAAATACGTTTTTCGATATTTTATATTTTTTTACTTTAGTTCTATTATTTTATTTACATTTAAAATAGTTTCTTAATAGTGAATTTAAGTTACTATGAATGAACAAATTTCGCGTAAACTATGGGTGTTAAAATTTTGTTTAAAAGTTGTATATCCAAAGTACAACTGCTACTACTTCCTCGTCTTCCTCGCAATAAAGTATAGAATTTGGTGCCAAAGGAGGAGTTCTAATCGACAAAATATGGATGTGTTTGAAGTGAAACCTATTCCATTACACATTATAAAATCACTTATAAAAGAACGACTTGAAGAAAACTTACCAGTCCTTTTAAATAAATGCATAGTTATTTCTAAAGAACAGTTTATCCAACTTGGCAGTGAAAATTTATTCTACTTGGACAATGGAGTACTTTGGGTTGCATTAAAGTTAACTCCAGATGAGAAAAGAAAACACAAAGAAAAACAAAGTGACAATAAAGCAATACAACTGAGTCTTCACTTTATGACGTCAGAGATACACAAGAAGCTGTGGACAGATGCTGCACAGAACAGTGTAGACAATGTGAGAATAGTACCGATAGTTGGGTCTAAACATATCTCAGAGAATATTGCATTTACTAATGAAAATGAGCTCTACAACATCACTTCATGTTTTGGTATAAACATGTGCAAAGACATCAGTGTGACATTCCACCCACTGCCCAACTTGGACAGCTCACCCAAAATAGCAGCAGCTGCTGAAGTGAGCCTCATAGTGAATGACTATGACTTAGCCAATGACTTTATCAAAGAGGTTTTAAGTAACTATTTTGAAACACCAAAGTTAGTCAGCACTAATGATATATTTAGCATAGAACTCACACCTGATATGACTGCAAAATATCATTATAAGTATTTAGACTTAGTGCAATCTACTGGAAAGCTCTATTTTAAATGCAAAAAGTTATGTAGTGACCTTTCCAATACTAGTAATGAATATAAGGACAAAATAGTTCAAGCATACTTCATAGTTAAAGGTGTAACTCAGCTTACTCTAGGAGAAAATGTGCACAGTCTTAAGCCAAAGGATGAATACTTCAAACCACAGCAAGATAAGAATCAGAAAAATATCCTACATCTCTGCCCGACGGGGCTGAGACAAAAGTTTGAACAGATGCAAGAAACAATCCACCCATTTTTAAGTGGAGAAATGAGTAAGATATCTATTTTATTCAGTCACTAAATCCAGTCAGCGGTCTATTTATAGCTAAATAATATTTTATATTTTTAGATGACCTCTTATCATCAATGTCAACCCCTATCATTCCCATGCTACTTCTGACTGGATCTACAGGATCTGGCAGACATCTCCTCATCAAGATATTAGCTAAATACAATGGTGAGTTTCTAACAAATTAAAAATATATTCAAGGTTTTTCCTTCATAAACTTTTAGTAAAACTAAAAAAAATCATTATTCATTATTTTTTTTAATTGAATTTTAAATACATGCAGTTATTCCATGTTTTATTTCCAGGTATGAATGCCCTGCCAATAGACTGCAATGCTCTTCAGAGTTCCACTGCCAAACAAACAGAGAGCAAAATCAATTCCACAGTTCAGAAGGCGAAAGCTGCAGCTCCTATTATTGTGGTGTTGGATAACTTTGAGGTACAGCAGAATACTATGACGTCATTTTTTTCTCATGTCATGTCTATATAAGATTTCATTTTTTTTATAAATATCGTAAAATTTCTGTTCGCTCGTCTACATTCACAAATCCCTTCTCTATATTTTGGGTTTTTCTCACTGATCTTGTTGACAATAATGAACCTCCAAGGGCACCTAAGTAACTATACAATACTCCAAAAAAAAGTTACTGAATACAATTACACTTTTTTATTGTAAAACCAGGTGCCTTGTGAGTTGTGGCTGTGAAAACTTGATATGAAATTATTAGTGACATATATAATTATTAAATGAAGACTTACTTTTTTAGGTATTTGCTGTAGACCCAGAAAACAATGAAGACTGTAGAGTTTTAGAATACTTCATGAACACTATCACTGACCTATACCAAAACTACACGAAGCACCCAATCATATTCATTGCGGTCACTGAGAGACAGGACCTGAAGCCAAATGTATTAAGAATGTTCCTAGACAAGTTTCATATTCCTAGACTTAATGTGCAGCAAAGATATGAAATGTTGGAGTGGTTTGCGACTGTGATGCAGCTAAACATTGATGGAGAAGATCAGTTATCTCCAGACCAGATAACCACTGATAAAGAAATAGTCAGCCTAAGTAAATCTGCAAGAGATGTCTTGCAAAGGGTAGCGGCGAAAACTGAAACCTTCCTATATGGGGATTTGGATACTCTACTTCACTTTGCGATTCGGGAGTCTTATTTAAAACAGCATAACAGCTACAATCAGTTGCCGCCGGAACCTGATTTGCATTTAGTACATGAGGAAGATTTCAATTCAGCATTGGGTGAGTTAAAACTATATTATCGCGATTTGATTTATTAGACTTGAGGTCAAATTAGCACTACTAGTAACGATTTTTGCTCACGTAACCTGGTTCGAGGTTGCTCGACTACTTTTAAGCCATACCGGGGCCGATGTGGCTTGAAATTAGTCATAGTTATAAACTGTTTTGGAGGCAATTGTAGCGGATAAGAATGTATGGCTAGCTGGTACATGAAAATTAAGATGTGAAATGATATTAAAACTAAGTTATGTCTGTTCTACTAATCACAGAGTCCATAAGAAGTCTACAAAGTCAACATTTGGATGCGCCCAAAATCCCGAAAGTATACTGGGAAGATATTGGCGGGCTCGACACTCTGAAGAAAGAATTGTTGAAAACTATAGAATTTCCTATTAAATATCCACATCTATTTAAAAATAACAGTTTGAAGAGATCAGGTGAGTAATGAACTTTAGATTCTATTAAAATTTATGGTTTCGGTTTGGTTCGATTTGACTTTAATTTAAAAAAGCTTTTTCATTACCTTACCTCTTATGTTTTATTAAACATTAATCTAAGTGTTTTCAACATTATAGGTATACTACTCTACGGACCCCCAGGCTGCGGTAAGACGCTGGTGGCTAAAGCAGTGAGCACAGAACTGAATGTCAGCTTCATGAGTGTTAAAGGACCTGAACTACTTAACATGTACATCGGACAGTCTGAGGAAAACGTTAGGAAAGGTTTGTATATGATTAACCTTTAGAACAATCTACAAAAGGTTTTTCTCCTCCTCTAGTATTGTTTGAAGTTTGAATGTTCTCTATTTTTCATAATTATGTATAAAAATAGTCTATGGAAACATTTAGACCTCGATATGTAAAAAAAAAATATATTTCAGTATTCGAAGCGGCGCGTGCTTCATCACCGTGTATAGTGTTCCTGGACGAGTTGGATGCACTGGCGCCGCGGCGAGGGGCAGCCGGCGACTCCGGGGGCGCCAGCGACCGCGTAGTCAGCCAATTGCTAGCTGAACTTGATGGCGTTAGCAGTGGAGAAGGTATTTTATAAGTAGAATCACTTTCGATCTTAATGCCCTAATCATAGTAAATTCCATGGCCCAAATACTGAGTGAGATTACCAGGAGTTCAGTCCCTTCACCCTAGATCTGGCGGACAACACACGCGCATTTCTGTACGTTATTATTATTGGCTTCTTAGTCCATAAGTCGTAAGATCGATTCATAGACGAGTTACGCTTGACGCAAAAATCACACCTAAGTAAATTAACGTGTTCTTTGATAGCAGATTGCAATCTGTCTATGAGCGGTAATAGGTATTGCAAATGGGATTAACAGTTCTTTAAATAGTATTTTATTTTAAATGGCAGTGTGTTATAGGTAATTATTTAAAGCTACAAAGGAAGTTGATGGTCAAGGTTTCCTTTCTTTTGGTGTTATTCATCTTAATCTAATTATATTTCATTATAAAAAGTTAAGACGATCTTTTCTACAATGTCATAAATATAAGGCAGGACGGGATAATTTGATGACCCACAATAAAGGGTTATTCGTGTTTTTAAATATTTCAGACGCAGACACATCGAGTTTCGTATTCATAATGGGGGCGACTAATCGGCCTGACTTGTTGGAACAATCGTTGCTTCGTCCCGGTCGTCTCGACAAACTCATCTACGTTGGCCCTTATCGCGGTCTACATGAGAAAACCTGCGTACTCCAGGCACTTTGTAGAAAGTTAGTATACATCAATCTTTTTATCTCGACACTGACACTCCCTTCCGCCTCACCCAGGCGGGAGCAGTCATTCGATGATTTTCCCCCCTTAAAAAAAAATCTTTTTATCTTACATGTTACATGTATTAGGTACTCTGTGTCTACTTGGTTGTTTGAGTTGCCATGTTAAAGACTATCATTATACCACATATTGGATTTTATGAATTAATTTATTAATGTTGATAATTAAATATGTAATTGTGACTTTGAAAAGTATAATCCAATTTACTATCTTTTTTGCACGTAATTTTTCAAGAAAAATCAAGTTCCCATCTCCTCTCAACCTCTCCGTCGAGAAATAAAAGCTGTGTTGTTATAATATTTATAAATGATATTTTTTATCCAGTTACAAATTACGTGATGAGGTGGATTTGGAGTCGGTAGCAGCCGCTTTACCGGACAGTTGCACAGGCGCTGATCTATTACAAGTAGTATCTACGGCCAGATCTGCGGCTGTACGCGCCCTTGTTGCCAAACTGCACGCTGGTAAATTAACTCATTTGTAATACGGCAATACTGAAACCAATAACACATATTTTAAAAAAGCTTTCAAACAACATTGTTTGTGACATAACAAATAAAGTACAATTTTGTGAAACAAAGTTTATCGTAATTTCTGTAGGTATAATTATGTTGTATTTTTATATTTTTATTCTAGGTGCCGTAAAAGAATCAGAACTAAGCCCCGACTCTGTCATCCTGGGAGTTTCAGAAATGTTGCACGGAGTAGAATCATTCCGGTCATCAGTCACTGACGAAGAGTTAGCATATTACGAATCACTGAAGTCACAAATGTAAAAAAACCTAGTCCTAAAAAAATTTCAGCATACCAAATATTACCTTTAAATATATTCTGCAATATTTTGACAGCTCAAGTGCAATTATTTCATATCTTTTTTGTTTTTGTTATTGATAAATGAATTTATTCAAAATACATGTTTATTTTCATCTATTTATGTAAATTATTTAGGTTTTTTATTATTGTTACTATGGACTGAGGAATAAATGGAATGGGAGCTTTTAAAAATTGGCTTTTTATTACTATTATTGGCACTTGTATTTAACTTTATGCCTACTCTACAGAAATGAAATATTCTATTATTATTTATTCACCAACTTTAAAATAAGAGACTATCAGTGAATATTTTTTTTATTTTCTCCGCAATTCCAACTACCTCAAACACCGTGTCGCCTGGGTACATACATAAACAAAGAAAGGACTCCCAAAAGTAGTAGTTTGCCCCATAAAATGTGCCGATATTGTAAATGTAAAGGATGGCTAAAAACTAGTAAACAGATCACCCATTTATAAAAATAAATCGCTAAATGTGTTGCCAAGCCCAAATCTCCAGAACAGCTGAATAGATTACGCTAATTCTTTTTTGATAAGTTTGTTATTGTTAGGAGAAGATGTTATGCGGTTAAAAAATTCTAAGGCGAAACAAAGTCCGCGAGGTCCACTAGTTTATCAATAAATATTTAATTGTTTTGACCTTAAAATTTGTACTTCCTCCATTTTCCGCGTGGATGTGTGAGTGTTGAAAAATCGAGACTATTGCACTAATATAATATTTATGGACTACTAGCCGTTACCCGCGACTGCGTCGGCGTAAAATAATGATTTCTGGTAGAAATTGGATTTTGTAATTAGTTTTTGCCAAGGTATATTTTACGGCTTTACGCCTGTAACAAATATCATAGAATTGATTTGGATGGAATTATTTTCTTAGTGTAACTCTTATGATTTGGCTGACATTTTGTGTTATATTACGCCCAAAATAACTAAACAATAAATTGTAGCCTATAGGTATGTTATTCTGATGTATGGCCTACATAACTGTGAAGTTTCATCTAAACCCGATCAGTAGTTTTTGCGTGAAACAGTACCAAACAAAGACACAAACATACATCCTCACAAACTTTCGCATTTATTATATAATTAATATGTAGGATAGTAGGATTGTGACGCTCAAATAAACTAAAGAGTGGAGATTGCCACTGTGGAGAAAGAGTCGAAAACAGGTTTCTGTATGTAATCGTGATGAATTTGATTATGTTTAAACCGTAATAACCCCAACTCGAAAGCAAAGTGTCGTTCTTAGATAACGTCTAAATTTCGCCGCTCGAGGCGCGCAGGCGGATAATCTTTGCATCGCCAATATTCCTCTATGATATTCAGTATTGCCAACAAAAAAATAAGTATAGGTAGCAGAGTGGTTTTCGAACGTACGCAAAACGTCAATGCTGTTCAATCCATAGACAATATTCTATAAGCCTTCTTTCCGGTTTCAAGATGGTGAGTGAATGTGCTGCTCCCACTATTTTCATTTTAAATTATTAAAATCATAATAATTTCTGTACTAATTATAGTTGTTTTTATGTGATAAACGTTTAAATATTAAGTGACATATGAAGAATTAGTTTTGTGCCGTATAATATTTGTCTTGCAAAGTTGGGATGATGCGACCTCGTGGCTTAGCTTGTTTTCAACAATGTTGTTGTGATTTCAGCCGCCCAAGAAGGACACTAAGGCTTCGGCCAAGCAGCCCCAGAAAACACAGAAGAAGAAGGAAGGTTCCGGTGGCGGTAAAGCCAAGAAGAAGGTAAACAATTCGTGATATTAAAAAAGTTAGGTTATGTGTGCGTGTGACAGTGACCATCCTCTGTTGTACATCAATGACATGGAGATCAGACTCAAATAGCACGTAGTGCGCGATTGAAGCAGATAAATTGAAGTTTTGTAGTATTTCAACTCGTTATAGAATAATAAGTATCTAAAGAAAAGGTGTTTCGCCAGATGATTATATACTTTAAACTTGACGACTGTGAGAGTAATAACTGATATATTGAGGCTGATGGCAGCACCCTGATGTTCTGAATTTACAGGCTCTAGGCATTGATATTCTATAAATTTACTAATTTTGTGTTGTAATTTTGCAGAAGTGGTCCAAGGGAAAAGTGCGTGATAAGTTGAACAACCAGGTGTTGTTTGACAAGCCCACATATGAGAAACTGTACAAGGAAGTGCCCCAGTACAAGCTCATCACACCTGCTGTTGTCTCTGAAAGGTTGAAGGTCAGAGGTTCTCTTGCGAGACGTGCCCTCATTGAGCTCAGAGAAAAAGGTATGATCTTGTGTTCTTTATTTCATTTGGTATGTTAGTTAAAAAAACTCATTCAAACAAATCAGAGTAGTGAGGTGTGTTATGGTTTATGTTATGACTTCATGCTATGTTTGTTTTTTGATTCATAAAATTTAGTTTCTTAGTAAATTATATCAAAAGCTACCCAAAATCAAATTATGTGCAATTATTTTCGAATGTTTCTATCTGTGCTAATAATTAGTAATCAAATATGCATATTAGTTGGCATAGAAATAGTATACAACTTCTGTTACTATAACTAGTGATTACTTACTCAGCAAGTAGTCATTAGTAGTGTTCCCGCAAAACTAGGCATATGAGGTTACTGCAGATGTAGAAAAGATGACAAATCATTGACACATAGATATTTTTGTGCCTAAAGTTTTATTGTAATCCATAATTGTTAATTGTAATGATGATCATTTTCTCTGGATAACACTATGACAGTTACAAACTGATATATTGAGTCTGAACAACTCTTCCTACATCTTATTACACTCTAGTTTAATGAAATGTGTACTAAACTCTGCATTCTATTGTTTCAGGTCTAATCAAACAGGTAGTCCAACACCATGGACAGGTGATCTACACTAGAGCCACCAAGGGCGATGACCCAGTCGCATAAGTTTATGTATAAGTAAAAAATAAAAAATCTAAAAAAACTTATTGTTTTGTAATTTATAACCTTTTTTTACACACAATCATTAAATTTGACTCAGTCAAAGAGTATGGACATACACAACAAGAAAGTACAATGTTCATACATGTTTCATCGCACAGATATTTTATGTTTGTCGTCCATGTCCACGGCTGCGAATCTAGCGGTAGGGTATAAGTCGCGCAGTCGATCCTTAAAACTGCACGCGTGTTCTTCGTTTGCTGTCTCGACTACCACATTGGCCTGCCACCAAATTAACATTCGTCAATATAACATACCGATTGCACTTGTAATTCGACATCAACAACTAACTAAATGTCTATATTGCAAGTTTTTAGTTTACTCCACCCTTATAATCTCTTCCACACTCGATTGAGGATAAAGTCAGTTTTTAAAACAAAAGGCGTAAGTAGACAATACATCACGGGCCTGCGGACGGCGAGCACGGGTGACTCGCCGCCCGACCAGAATCAGGCCCGAGCGTACGGCGCGTCGCGTTCCGCGTGCGCCTTACGGAGCTATCAGACCACCACTGATGGGGCCCAACAGGACTGATGCCGATACGGAGCCGCGGAAGACTTAACGGGTTGCCGGGGCTCCGGCTCGAATTACAGGAGTAGGAACGGGGTGGTTTTAATCAGTAACACTCACCCGGGCGGGAGAAGTCATAGTATGAATATTTCCCCCCTCGAAAAAAAAATGGTAGAGCATACATATTTAACTTTTCCGTGAATTACTACATATAAAAGATAATACCTACCCAAGTAGTTCCAACATCGCTGTGAACCCACATTTGTTCTGTGACTAAGCTCTTGAGCACTGCACTCTCATCGTTTATGGTCTTGGCGAGTTGTTCCAAGCCGCCGCGGTGGTCGGGCACTGGCACCGCGAATCTCATGAGTCGCCCACTGGAGCCGAGACCGCGTTGAATGGTACGAGCGAGTCGACCACAGTCAATGTTACCTCCGCTTACAACGCATACCGCTCTGTAAAATTAAATCAATCGATCACTACAATACTCTTCTACTCCCATGTAGTAAGTGTATATTATGTAAACTAATGTATTTAAATACATTACATAGTCTATAATCACATACCGCTTCCCTCGTAGCTCGGGTACTAGCCCTTGCATGACTGCGGCGACTGCGCACACGCCGGCCCCGTCGGCCACGAGACGCTCTCGCTCCAACATTGATATCATTGCCCTGGCTATGTACAACTCATCTACCACCAACTGCAATGTAGAACAGAACTTCATTTTGAATAGCAATTGAGAGAGGTGAAATATTCCAGTTACAACAGTTGTAACTGTTGACAACGAATGGAGTAGAATTTACTCCATTCGTTGATAGTTGTGTTTGCGTTACACGACCAAAGTGACGCCTAGCCGGCCAAATAGTCTCTTTGGAAAAAATATTGAGCATATTCAGTTTTGCAAATATCAGTAATAACTTGAAGCCTCACCATGTTTTATATAGGACTAGCTTCTACCAGCAGCTTTGCCCACGTACCCGACAAGCGATAATAATTGTCATTACATAAGATATTTCAAAAATAACGTTACCATTCTATCAAGTCTATTCTTGATAGTCGCGAATGCATTAGCTCCAACACTGGAAGTGTTGAGACCATCCGCCAAATTCGGTACCACAGTCACAGGGACAGGTCGGCCTGCCTGCAGCGCCTTCATCATCTTCGGCACCTTCGAACATTCCGCACCCTGAAACAGATCATTACAACAAATGAAGACGTGTTAGTTGAATCAAGTAATTTGTACCTACCTATTTCAAATTCTTTCAGTAAAAATACTAAAAACTTATATTATTATTTAAACCGGTATTTTTTTTATATCAGTCTATCTTTTTAGCAAAGTGGTCGCTGGCACAACTGTCTAGCAGTAGTACCAGTTTCAGGTTGTGCCTCTGTTTATTTTATCTCTTTAGGGAGCAAAAGGACATAATGTGTAACACAGCGTACGTAAACTAGACAGGAGCACTTGAGTTTCTTGCAGGCAACCAGTACGCTGGCCAGTAGACCTCCGCCAGCCACTGGTACGATCACAGCGTCCGCTTCAGGCAGCTGTGTAACGATTTCCACGCCCACCGTGCCAAGACCTGCTATCACGTGGGGATCATCCGCGCTGTAATTACATACCAACTTCATAATGGATCCGATGAAACTCCATTTTCATGACATTTCTGGTTAAATAATTATTATTACAGCTGACATGATGATGCATGGATATGTCGTATGAGACTGTCAAAGACTGCATTTTGAGAATGAAGATGAGGCTTATAAGGGTACTGTTATATATTAAATAACATTAATAAGAATATAATAATAAACAGCTGACGCTGCAACACGTGTATTCCACTGCATTACGTGTACTTATTTTACATATTTCCATTGACTCAACATTTTGCAATAACTTAGAAATTATACCTTAGTACATCAGTGTGGATTTGAACGTCGTCGCGGATAATAGGCTTTTTGTAAACCTTTTTATTAATTAAATATTTTTCCAGTTCTATTAAAAGTATTTTTTTTTAAAAGCCTACGTAGACCCACCCCGTAACAGTACGGCAGTTGACGTACCTATCTACACGACTTTCTTTATGTGCCGATAATTAAACTTTTTGGTAAGTATTGGAAGTAATTTGTTCTTGTTCTCGTGTTGACAATTTTTTTTTGTGTTAAATATAAATATTTTGGTAGGACAGGTATGATTTAAGTATATACTCAAGTATTGTCTGATGACCCTCTTGGTGGACCTTCTTGGCGTAAGAGATGGCGTCGTCGAGGTTGTCTCCGCACAACACTACATCAGCACCCAGCTCTGAGCAGCGCTGTGCGTGAGCCGGAGGCGTTCTCTCTGGCATCACCACTGTAACCTTCAAATGTACATAGACAAGAACGTATGAGTATCCTTCAGCGTATGTCAATGATGTCTAAATAATTTTAAAATAAGACACCACGATATTTCTAAGTATACATACCGGGATTCCTAGAGTTCCACCGTGGTACGCGGTAGCTAACGCCATGTTCCCAAGGGATGGTACTATAACTCCGCGGTCTCCGATGTCTCCACCGTACGCTAACAGAGCGTTACGAATACCACGCTCAGCGCAGCTAGATTAAATATAAATATTATTTTTAGAATTAAATAGTACAAAATATTTTTACGGAGTTGCTACGTACTTGCCATGTAATACTGACCAGCTACATGATTGCTACGAGCTAGCTACATGCTACGGACCAGCCACATGATTACTACGTGATGGCTACGGAGTTGCTACACGTTGGCTACAATATTGCTACGTACTATGCGTTGGGTACATGCTTGCTACGTGCTACGAGCTGCCTAAATGGTTGCTACGTGCGACTGGCAAGCTACATGTCACAAGCTTTGTGCTAGGGGCTGGCAACGTCCTGGCTGCGTGCAGCGTTCTAGCTACGTGGTATGTTCTAGTTGAGCGCCGCTTAAACGCTGTCGAGGGTAGACTAATCACTTTGAACTACGCTGTTCATCCTTTCTAACCTGCCAGTGTATTGTAAATTTTCGCATTTCAAATAGATGTTGTAGTCCATATATTTACTGATTTTTGCTTCCTGAAACGTTTGAATAAATTATTATTTACTGGTCTCGAATAATATAATTCTTTATGATTCCCATAAGCCGGATAGATACTAACGCAGAGGGGCGTGTGTATGATACCCCCTTCGATTCTATCCGCAGCCTTTTTGACTTCATTGAATGATAAAACATGTGGTTGATCATCCGACCCGCGAAAATCATTCTGAAACTATTCACAATATAAAATATCTTGGTCGCAATATTGGTATTCATATACTATACAATTACTCTTTAATTTACCATTTTTGCTATCGTTGCCTAATAAACGTACACTAGAATTTAAATTTTATTCGCTGAAAAATATGAATTTGTTATTTGCTCATGTTTTCAATAAAATAGACATTACTTTTTGACCATAAAGTGCGAGTACGTGTCAAAATTTCTGAAAGAGGATTTGATTTATTTTTATGGTATCAATATAGACGAAAAAAACTTATAGCACGACCTTATTACTGCTCGTTTCCGGACTGTGGCCTCTAAAATTTCAGTTAGGTTCCTACTGAAACACTATCAGCATAATATTATAAAGCTATTACATGTGAATTTAAGACCTATCCTGTCTATTTAGGTGTCGCGGAGAACCTAACGGGTAACCGGGGCTCCGGCTCGACGTGCAGGAGAAGGAACGGGGTGGTTTTTAGTCAGTAAGAGTCTGACACTCCCTTCCGCCTCACCCAGGCGGGAGCAGTCATACGATGATTTTCCCCCCTTAAAAAAAAAAAAAAAATCCTGTCTATTTAGGTGAAATAAAACAATTTCAATTTGAAGATTCAATCATATAATGTCATTTATTAGAATTCAGCATTGTTGTGGCGATATGTTGCAATATTGTACAGTTACAGACGCGGGTACATTACTAATAGTTCTACTACACCATAATGAAGTGTGCGTGAGGATAGTCCTTCATCAGCTTCTTCTCCAAGTCCTTGGCGTGGTGCATGTCACCCGTTTCTATCAACATGTTCACCTGCACAAGAGTACACGTGTCATAGATATAACATTACTACTTATGGACCGTGTTAAGCAGAAAGATCCAGCTCACATTTTATTACTTAAAAAAATCATATGACACAGTACCTATTAAATAGGTACTATATTATATGATTAAATAGGTACTGTGTCATATGATTAAATAGGTACTGTGTCATAAGATTTTTTTATTATCTGGGAAACTTTAAATTTCATTTACTCCAAAGTAATAAAATGTGGGCTGGATTTTTTCTGCTTAACAGGGTCCTTATTAGATTCCTTCATATCATGACCGGTGGGTGTGGTAACAGGTCAGTAGAATGCAATTGTCACCACATTTACTCTAGCTAGGTTATTCTGTGACTGTCAATTCAAGCTTTCGAAGTAAGCTCGATCGCAAATCCCCGTCATTGGTCGAGATTATTCTCACAACCAATGACATGACGGATGACGGACAGCGATCAAGATCACTTCAATCTTTAGAATTTAAAGTTACAACTAGATGCACACAGGTGTCGTAACAAAAGACTAACACATGGTTGTAGCGTTCTCTGATAAACCTGACCCTTTGACCCTTATGTAGAGGAGGCCCATAGTTCAACAGTGGGTTGTCATGAGTTGACGAGGTATCATGTATCAAAGTAAGTACAACAGAAAAAACGTACAGAAACAGTAAATATGTCTCGTCTCATCCAAGCGCGTTCAGGCACGAAGCTCTTGACATCAGCACCGTTGTCGGTGACTTTGGCCAGCAGCTTGGCCATGGCGCCTGGCACGTCTGGCAGTGCCACACTGAACTTGACAAGACGACCCTCAGCTGCCATACCGCGGTCAATGACCCGGGACATACGACTGCTGTTAATATTACCACCCGACAGAATACATACAACACTGAAACAAATGCAGAAATTGTGAAATTTTCTGTGGATTGGAAGCACGAACGTATTAAACTCAATTATACAACATTTTTTGTGTACCTAGTTAGTTCTAAAGCTTCTTATGCTTTGAGTAAACAAAACTGCCGTTTTAGCATCGGACTTTAGCCATCTATATTCTAAAGAAACTATCACAGGCATGCTGAGGTTCCTCTATATGGCGGTACCTATGGGGATGCTTACTTTTTCCCACGAAGTTCTGGAACTTTCCCAGCCATAACAGCAGCCACAGGGCACGCAGCCGCCCCCTCAACCACCATCTTCTCTCGCTCCAGGATATTGATCATCGCGCGCGAAACCCACACTTCATCTACAGTTATCTATAAAATATTTGTCCACAATTATTTACCTCATGAAAACTTATGCAAAGCTGAAAAAAATACTATCAATACCAAAATCTCAATTTGTTATACGTTCCGATCAGTATAATACCAGTATATAGATCGTATCTTTTCAAATGAATTTAAACCCTTTTTCGATTTTCATGGGAAGCGTTCTTAGGAAGGAAGATGATAAATATAATTTATTTTTAAGTATAAACCATTCTATCCAGATATCCCCTGATGATGTTGAAGGCATTGTTGCTGGCAATGACACTGCATAGACTATCGGCGATCGTCGGGTTCTGCTGGATCATGACTGGCTTCTTCTCTTGGAGAGCTTTGGTCATGGTGGGGGCCGCTGAGCATTCCACGCCCTAACAAAAAGTTTAAGTTATTTACGTTCCGATTTAGGTCTGCAGGTATCTTTATTATATGGCAAAATTAATTGTCTAACTCCTCGTATTGGTCTAAATATTAATAAACAATACCTAATAGGTGCCATAACGTTTACTTCTAGAAGAAGAAAAACTGTTTGTAGTAGTGCGTGGCGTAGGTACGGCGAGAAACTGATTCTTATTACATGGGACTAGAGTACCAACTTAGGCGATCAGAGACTCGTAAAGTAATTGGAGAAACATTTATATTCCCGTTAGTTTGTAATCCTTTTGAGAAGAAGAGACTTGATGAAGACCATAGCATTAAATATCATACGTATATAAGGCAGTTGGGTTTGAGGCTCTTGACCGCCAGCACGAGACTAGCGACAAGCCCGCCGCTGCCGACAGGACACAGGATGGCGTCCATCTTGTCCATCTGTGTCAGCAGCTCCAGTCCCATAGTGCCGTAGCCCGCAATTAAGTCCAATCGGTCTGACCTGTCAGATAAAGTACAAACACTCGTCATCTCAATTTTTAGAACTCGAATCTGATGCATACAAAAAAGGAGGCAAAAACAACTTAGCGACTTAAGGGCCGCATGGAAAATTGTAGGGTTGGTTCTGAAATTAAGAAAATGCAAGTAGAAGTAATTTACCCGTGTATATAATTTGAACCGATTTCATCACAATAAGTGAGTGCATGCAGGCTGGCATCGTTGAGGTCGTTACCATGCACCTTCACAATCGCAAAGTTCTCCTTGTATCGATGTTTGTCGACCAGAGGACAATCTCTCGGTACAATCACATTGACAGGGACTGATTGCCTGAACCCATAGAATGTCATGGCAGAAAGATAGTTGCGTCCTCCTGACACGGTGCAACCTTTGCTCTTGTCTGAAGGTGACATGCTGGATAAGATGTTACAGGCTCCGCGCGCTTTAAAACTACAAACGTAAGAAATATTGAGGACAGGGTGAAAACGGCTAATAACATCAATTTCCTATGATTTTTTCATTTCACATACCTTCCAGTGTTCTGCAAATTTTCACATTTCAAGAAAATGTTGCAAAAATTTTTTCCTATATGTTTTGCTTCCTAAAAATGTTTTAATTATTTATTAGTTTGGTAATTCGCATTATTATTTAACTACATGCTAAACAGCACCCAGGGTTTAAAATAGTGGAATAGGTATATATACACAGCCACAAACTTAATCCTAATATTCATCCAGTTCATAAATTAGTTTAGTACCTATAAAAATAAAAAAACTCACAACAACTGGTGTGAAGACAACATCGTTTTTGATCCGATTATGCGCATCTTGTATATCTTGTAGTTTTAGTTTAATCTTACTCATGCTTTCTTCTTTAGGTTTCATAACTTCCTGAAGACAAATTTATAGCAAAAAGTGAAAATGACTACCTACTTAGCTAAACAAACGACTCATCAGTGTCATATTCATATTGTATTACAGCCACTCAGAAATATGAAGACTACATGGTTAGCATAATGGCTCCTGTGCAACGTGTCATGGGTTCGATTCCCGCACTAAACAATTCTTTTCGATTCCACAAAGTCACAAATTAATTATTGTTTCGAGATTGTTTCGAGAGTAATCCAAGTGTGAGGCCATGGACCCCTTGAGTGCTGGTATATGAGACACAATAGAAAATACATTGTGTCTCGCGTGGAATGTGGATCTACGTACCGACACGATACCACGATTTAATTTAAATAGAGAAACAGCAATAGTATGTGCGTTTAAATCTTACCTCGGGTAGCTGCCTACTCACCTCGCTAGTTTCATATTGTTTCGGAAAACTATCGCCCAGGATGTTCCACGTTAGAGACGTATGTTCAGCTTCAATAGCTTGTGACATGTTGTGCGAGTAATTAGTCAAACGCTATTGTAAAAAATATTATAAATATTATTCGTTGCTTTATTTTATATGATCTATCTTCAATTAGTTTAGGTACAGTTCAGATTTTTTTTCAATTTAGCATTTTGTGGATGTTTGGTTTATTTTTTATAATACATGTTGCGGTATTGAAATTGAATGAAAGAAAGGAATGTCTTATTGACACCGTTTATTTACATATTTTAATGTTTACATCTTGCCTGATATTATTTCTAGAATAAAAATGCACTAAAATAGGTCGAACTCAGGATTTTCTGATGGTTAATAACCTAAGTAAGTCATCTAAGTCAATATTTTTATGTTAGTTGACCGCTATGAATAGCGAAGACAATTGCAGCAGAAACAAGTTAAGAAGGAATACGACCGACACGACATATACGACAGACACGACGGACCCGACCGACACGACATATAGGACCGCCACGACATATACGACCTACACGACTTATACGACAAACGCACCAGACACGACCGACATGACAGACACTGCTTACCCAACCGACACGACATATACGACAAACACTAGACACAACCGACACGAAAGAAACGACCGACCCGACGACACGACATATACGACAGACACACCAGACACGACATGTACGACAGACACACCGGACACGATTTATACGACAGACAGAACCAACCGACACAACATATACGACAGACACACCGGACACGACATATACGACAGACAGAACTAACCGACACAACATATACGACAGACACGACATATACGACAAACACACCGGACACGACATATACGACAGACAGAACCAACCGACACAACATATACGACAGACACACCGGACACGATTTATACGACAGACAGAACCAACCGACACAACATATACGACAGACACACCGGACACGACATATACGACAGACAGAACTAACCGACACAACATATACGACAGACACGACATATACGACAAACACACCGGACACGATTTATACGACAGACAGAACCAACCGACACAACATATACGACAGACACACCGGACACGATTTATACGACAGACAGAACCAACCGACACAACATATACGATAGACACACCGGACACGACATATACGACAGACAGAACCAACCGACACAACATATACGACAGACACACCGGACACGATTTATACGACAGACAGAACTAACCGACACAACATATACGACAGACACACCGGACACGACATATACGACAGACAGAACTAACCGACACAACATATACGACCGACACGACATATACGACAGACACACTGGACACGACATATAAAACAGACAGAACTAACCGACACAACATATACGACAGACACGACATATACGACAGACGCACCTGACACGACGAACACGACATGTACGACACAACAGACAGGACGGGACTTTCATTGTTGCTCCCTATGTTACTCCTTAGCACATCAGCTACTTGCCAATAAAAAGATTTTTTTCTAGAACTTTCAATAATTTATTAGAACATACTAACGAGTAAAATAGGCTGCGTTTATTTTAGGAAAACGCAGACGAAGTTGCAGGGACAGCTAGTTATTAATATTTGTTTACTTTGAAATGACTTATCTGAATAAATTTTTGTCTAAAATTTTAATTAGTAGAATAAAGGGCATTTTATTTATTTCTTTACTTACATTTTTAATAAGGAGAATTTGTAAAGTACTTTACCTCATATGAGCATCAATGTAACACAACACATTACGCACATTCACAAAGGTAAACAAAACTTAGGTAAACTGCAGCGCAACATGCTGCAGCCAAGTTAGTTTGTCAGTAAGATAAGAGTCTGACACTCCCTCTCACCTCTCACCACCAAAATTATAATAATTATTAAGTAAACAATACTACTCATCAGGACAATAATTAACTTATTGTTCCAAAGTACTGCCTCGTTGGCCGAGTGGTCGCAAGTGCGACTGCCGGGCAAGGGGTCTCGGGTTCGATTCCCGGGGCGGGCAAAGTATTACTGGGTTTTAAAAAATTCTCAGTAGTAGCACGGAGTCTGGAATTGTGCCCGGTATATGGCAATAGGCTCACCCCCTATTACATGGGACTCATAACATAAATAGTGAAAAGTGGGTGTTACATTGTACAGTGGCATAATGTGCACCTCTGCCTATCCTTTGGGGATAAAAGGCGTGATGTTATGTTATGTGTGTTCCAAAGTATACAAGAACTGTACTGAAAAAACAAGTTTCTACAAGTTTGTTTCATTACTGTACTGATATGAAATGGATAATAAACAACTCATCTGCTGCTAGTTGTTGAATAATAGAATTACAAGTTCCATTGAAAGTTATCATGAAGATGAAGGATTATCTACATAGTACATTATTCTTCAGCTTCCAGTATGTTAATAAAACAATGCGTTGACTTCAAAAAGAATTTATTTATTATATAATTAACATTAATACTAGTCTTACAATTTAATTGATAGCTAATGCATCATTTTGGGCTTCTTGTGCTAACTGTACTTGTAGATTGAGCAATTTGTTCTTCAACACAACTATACCCATGAGTACTATGTTTTCTGGTTTGAGTGCTCCGGATGACTCAACATTGTAAAAGAATTTGTTTGGCTTAGCTTCCCAATTAAATTCTGCTTCATACTGGTCCTCGTCCAACTCAGTGTGTTCACTTTTAGGCCACTCATCAGGTTTAGGGTACAATGTATGCCTCATCATGTTGTCCGGGTCATATTCAAAGGAGACTCCGGCTGTGGGATTCCATTTTGCATGTTCCTTTCCAAAACCTTTCTTCGCATATGCTCTCAGTTTCAACTCCTGTCCTTTACGAAGTTTTATGATTAATATTTCGTCAGTTTCACCATAATCGGCCTGGTCCTCGTCCCTATGTCGTGACGTCACCGGCACCACTCGGGGGTCACTCGATTTCAAGTCAGCCGTAGTGACGTGTCTTGTCTGATCACCTGTACATTTCACATCAAGGGTAAACTCTACACTGCACTCTGAACAGAAATCTGCACACATACAATCTCGGGAATACCGAATTTTGTCGACGACGTCATCTGATATTAACGGAATGAGGCCGATACGGTGAGCCAGGAATTCATCGCTGAGTACAGTGGAATTGGCTTCCAACTGCACCCAATCAATAGCCATCGTCGGTGTTTCGGCTATAAACACACGTCTCATACTGTTGGCGACGCTAAGTTCGGTGTCTTCAACGACAAACTTTACATTGTCGTCTGTCAATTCTGTGATATGAACGGAAGGTTGATTAGCGTAAGGCATTGTGAGTACGGTACAAACTTCTTTTAATTACAATGCACTTACTACTAATTATTCTCGTAATTTTAAACAATACAATAACAAAATAACCTCACGACGCCAATTCCAAACTGACAAATTGATTAAAACGTCAGCGAACCAGTCATTTGTCAGATTTGACAGTCTCGTGTACAGATTAAAAATATTGTTAATACGTTTTATTATTTGTTACTTATTGAAAAACTTTGTTGAGATATGGTTATTTATTACTTTACTACTTGAAATATTCTTTTAGTTGCTATTTTATAACTGTACACATTCTACTAAAAATAAGCTTATTCTCATCTATTGTAAGAATTACTCATTATTTATTCATTTATTCAAATAAAAAACTTAAATTAAAAACTAACTATTACTTAAAAAAAAAAAATTAAAACTAAATTATTTATTTTTGGTATTCAACAAATCTAAGTCTACTATAATTAGTTATTATTATTTAAAAGAAAGATCGTTATATTTACTAGGCAGCTATTTTAACAATACCAAGCATAAAATAAATTACATGATTATTTTGCAACTATCTCAAACTGCAGAAATCTGTTATCAATTCCTAACATGACCAAAATTAAACAAACAACTCATTTTTCTACTGAGCCGCTCCGCAGTCGGTCGAAGTGATTGTGTTCATTAAATATTAAAATAAAAATTAATATAAATACTCATCTAAATGGAGCGCTACAGGCTTGAACCCGTTGTAAGTGCCTACTTATTTATTACTGATAGATGCACACCTACTGGCCTAATACGTTGATAGATCAGGCATATTCCATCGCGAACATAGTTTCACCTTTAACCCTTGTCTTATAATAATTAGTGCTTTTATACGCGATAACGCTTTGAAATAATCATTCCTCCGGAGAGAGCCAAGGGGAATCGAGGCCTAGCGGGTCATTAATTTTAATTATGTTAAGTGTTATTATCGAAAGCTAAGTAACAATGGTGTTCCAGACAGTAGAGTATGATCCGATGTGTGATAAGGAAAAGCCACAGAAAATATCGTTTGAAGATGTATCTGCTGCTGCTTATAGGATCCAGAGCCAGATTGTAAAAACGCCATGCGTGGTGAGTGATTACCTACATGTCCCTAAACTGTACCTTAGAATGTTAGGTATATGAACTGTAGGGTCAAAGATCTATTCTAAAGTTAAATACCTAATTACCTTCTTAACCCTTGAGTTTTCTAATACCTAGTTAATTTATATATTTTTTTTAATTCCTTAACCCTTGCCATTGTACTATTTCTCATCAGATTAATATTTATCTGACTGCCTCGTTGGCCGATTGGCCGTTGGTCGGTCGTCGCGGACTGCCGGGCAAGGGGTCTTGGGTTCGATTCCCGGGTCGGGCAAAGTATTACCTACTGGGTTTTTAAATATTCTCAGTAGTAGCACAGAATCTGGAATTGTGCCCGGTATATGGGCTCACCCCCCTAGTACAGTGGTATAATGTGCACCCCTGCCTACCCCTTCGGGAATAAAAGGCGTGATGTGATGTTATGTTATTAATTTATTTTCAATTAAATGCTTATTTTGTAATAAAGTGAGTTAATGTACGTGTTTTTTTAGAAATCCCATATGTCTAACGCATTTGGAATGGACATTTACCTGAAAAACGATTTTCTTCAACACACTGGGAGGTACGTGTAATTAATTTACAAATGAGCACATAATTACCTATCGACATTTTGAAAATTTAGTCTTATTTTATTAGAATCATGACTCATTCATTCATGCTTATTGTCATAATAATTTTCATCCTTAGATAGTATGCCTACTTATAATCTCGAATTTGAAATACGTGGCTACACATTCACAGTTGGCTCCTTTCCCTCGGGATCGAATTTAAGACCTTGTGATTCAAATCACACTTGTTATCACTCTATGAGACAGCTCGTAAAATATTTGGATTAATCATCTTCATGTTGTATATTTAAGTCTAATTTGCATCTGCTAAGACAGTTCGCCTATACTTATACTTACTTTTCATATTTACTACAGTTTCAAGGAACGCGGTGCACGAAATGCTCTCCTTTTATTATCAAAGGAGAATAAAACTCGTGGCGTGATTTCTGCATCACTTGGTAACCACTCCCAAGCCCTGAGTTACCATGCGAACAACCTGAACATTCCCGCCACAGTCGTGATGCCCAACGTGGCTCCGATCATGAAGATAGAAAAGTGCCGGTCTTATGGGGCCAACGTCATCATCCATGGACATGACATGAAGGAGGCTAAATATCATGCCATGACTCTGGCCAAAGAAAAGTCTCTGATCTATATCAACGGGTAAGTATCCTCGAGATACTCGCATGCCTGTTTCATATTTTCCTCGCGTGACTTATTGCGATTAAGTTAAGTATCTAGGTATTTCATGGAGAGTGCAATTTTTAATAGGTACTAGTTTTAATGTTTACGTAACATATACACGTTTATGATCACTAGTTGGAGAGATTATAACATTCCTGAAGTAAGTACATATACTTAATGATTGGGATGATGACAGGGTATGAAAATTAATCAAAAAATATTAGACACGTATTTTTTTATTTTGTCGTATATTAAACAATACTTAGATAAAACTAATCAAAGTTTAGGAGTGGGGCTCATTTCAGTCTCTGTCTGTACCAAAATATTTTAAGCTTTGTTTAATGCGTCATCATCAACAATCCGTAGGATTTTATTGCTAAACTATGTGATCGACCTTCTTTACTAAAAGGAGTTTCTTTGTTTACGGGTAAACAGCAGAATCAATTAACAAACTAAAATTTATGAACAAATGTATCAGCTACAAATTATTTTATAATTACAAATCAACCTAATTAGCTTGGAAACTGAAACAATTGTTTAACTATGTTTTGTTTATTTGTGTAGCTATGACCATCCACACATAATGGCGGGACAAGGCACGGTAGGTCTTGAGATCATAGAGCAGGTGCCTGATGTGGACGCCGTGATAGTGCCCGTGGGAGGAGGCGGGCTGCTAGCTGGCGTCGCCACCGCAATCAAACATCTGAAGCCTCACGTTCTTATTTACGTAAGTTGTATTTTTCATTTACCTATAGCAGCTAATTGTTACCTCCACATTCATTAGGAGCATTAAAACGAATTTTAGTGCGAACTATGTTATGGCAGGGCAGATTAGCTCGCTAACACTTTTTGTTATTCTTCTGTGTGAGACTGCTTTGTTGATTGTTTCGGCAAAGAATTAGATTCCATCGGCCAAATTCTTAAATTTTTCTATTTACAAAACATTCATGAAGTATCTAATTTTATTGATTCTTTTATCTCGATCGTCCATTAGACAGGATTCTAAATTGTACCATACTAATATCATTTTGAAAGTCTATTCTTAATGAAAATTCTGTATTATTCATTGGTGTTTTACTCTACACAATTGATCAAAGACCACTTTAATAACGTTCCTTCCTTCCGCTTTCGGAGTCTTAGAAGTGTCGGTCGGTCGTGAGATCATTACCGGTCAGATGTCACGGACTGGCGCGACTGTTTACGATCGATAGGCGTGGCCCGTAGCGGTTACTCACGATTCTCGGGCTATGTTATGTTTGACGTCATCTATGTATTGATGACGTATTGCGTATAACAACACTGTTCTTGACACAAATGACGCAAGGGTGAGAAAGTTGATATCTACTCTCTAAATATGCTTTACTGAAATTGTCTTATTTAATTACTTTTTGTAGACCTCGAACGTCGATCGTCGGTAATATTGATTTTCGTTAGTGGAGATTTTTGAAAAATGAGACCATTTTACCGGAAAACGTTTCATAAACTCGTGTCAACATTCGCAATTAGATCATTAGGTCTTATATTAATTAATTTAAAACAACAAATAAACGAGTAGTGCACACAATAATGAAGCCTTTCAGTAGTTATATAGAGTTCAAAACTATGTATTATACATAGATACCAGTTGCACTTGATGCGAAAGGTTATCGAGACTGATGTGTGGTATAAACTTCGTTCTGTTTACATCAATGATCCAATGTTGATGTTCAGCACGATATCTATGAATGTCTAGGAATTGACGAGCTCATAATGTCAACAGTCATTCGATTACATAATAAGTACCAAAGAGTCTTAGGCTAAGAATTTTCAGAACAATCAGCTACAGAACTGGAATGAGTTTGGCCCACAGAACATACATATCAAGAAGGTTTATATGGTCAGTGGTTATAGGTACCTACTTACTTAAGTATAAATTAAAGAGTCTTCTACCTATATTGATCTAAAATAGTTGGCTTTTGTTCTACATCAACCCGTCTAGTTTCGAGCATTCTGATTGGGCTAACAATATCTATGCGAAGCAACACAACGTATCTTTAAGGATCAGAATGTGGTGCATAAGTACATATGTGGTGTGTTAAATACCATTATAATAGAATATGAGCTAAAACCGCAAAAGCTGCTCACTCACCAACCGAACCAAAATTTGGACTTTGACGGAAGACTCATAACGTAGGTACCTACGTAACGGGCGAAACATTGTGGATGCCTAGGAATAACTTTTGGTAAAAAATTTAGTATGAGACATTAGCGCGCGCACGAGTCATCACTGATCTGTGATCAGTATCCGAGGCGAAATATTATATCTAGAGGTCACTGTTTATCATTATGGTGGATAGTAGTCGGGTGATTTGATAATAAACGACATAAAGTCAAATACGACTAATTAGTATTTATTTCATCAGATTTTTCGGTATCATGTTAGTACGATGTGGTTAAGTACCTATATAGATATTAGTATGGGGTCCTGAAGTCTGGACTTGGGATATTTCAAGGATCTGTATCTCCCTTGTAGGTTTGTGGTAACTACCGGAGCGCTTATAATGAGTAAAGAATCCCACATATCTTATACAAAGATTTCAACCAACATAAAAAAAATTAGTACTAATCGCTAGTTCGACAGCTATTAGAAATTATTAAAAACCTTAAAATCTTAATTACAAACTTAAACATTATTAATCTTAACACGTTCGAGGACAGAACGAGATTATACGTCATCGTTCGAGATTTTAATATCGCACAACGTACGATGACGTTCAAATAACATTTAAATTATACGGCAGAACGTTCATTTCCGATGAAAGTTCAAGTAAAAATCCTTTTAAATGTATCTTGTGTCACAACATATAAAATACCCAACTCTGTACTGTCACGTAGGGTAAGTTTAGAACTATTTAAAATAAGTGTCGTTGATAGTGTGCGGTTACGGTATTCACATACGCACAACGTGTTTATACGTCCCGCGCTCCTACATTCAGCGCGGCTGTGTCACTGTGTACATTACTTTAATGCAAATTAATGATTTTACAGTGTGAAATTGATGTTTAATGGGTTATTGTGTGTTTTAGATGGATATAAGCGCAAAATAAGACACATGATAAGCATGTTTGATGATTCCGACATCTCCAACGAGGCGGATCCTTACCTAGATGCATATACACGTTGACGTGATAAAACGATTGTGTCATGATATGTTTAAAACGATATTTCTTCATGGGACACTACGTACTGATACGTCGTATAATTTTGTATAGACATGTACTGTGTCATTTTGAAAACCCGACTCAAGTGGTAGCGTCCTCGAACGTGTTAATCTTACGAAGCGACTCGAAAACTATCCTCACACAAGCAAAATAGACCCATTTCACTTTCCTTCAGATTATGACGGAAACGGCAATATGTATGAATTAAAAAAAAAGCGTTAATTACGTGAGGGTGAGTGCCTGAGTTCACCATCCAAATGGTTCAGGCAAAGTTCACGAAATAAGTTTTCAAGATTATCAATTTATAAAATCTCTGTAATAACTCGAATAAAAATGTCCTGAATACGGACAGAAAATCAGCTGAACATGGTACATGTACATCCTCCTCTTTTTGAAGTCGGTAAATACATAGCTATCTGGAAAGTATACAAACGTGTTTGTAAACGAACATAGGTGCTTACTTACTATTGAATAGTAGACATTCTTAAGGAAATGCAATAGGAACCGTAGAGGTACTGATTTATTTGTTAGCATACTCATCACGCTTTTTATCCCCGAAGGGATAGGCAGAGGTGTATATTACGGCATTTAATACCATTGTACAATATAACACCCTCTTTTCACTATTTATGTTATGAGTCCCATGTAATGGAGGTGAGCTTATTGCCATATGTATACCGGGCAGGCTCCGTGCTACTACTGAATTTTTTTAAATACCCCAGTAATACTTTGTTAAGTAGGTACAGTTAAATAACAGTGTATTACTAAGCCGGACATCAGTGCTGTGCTGTAGGTAACCCGTTATTGTCTCGACACGTTTTATATTTAAACCTATTTAAACGAAGCCAAAGGTCTCAGATAAACAAACATTGACACATACATTTTCTTATCACGTAAGTACTTTGGCTTATTTTGTAATTAGTTGGCTCGTCTCATTACTTTTATTAGGAAAACAGAATCTCGGATCAATAGTTTGCTACTTGATAACAGCGAGATAACCTATTTTTAGAATAGTACAATTTTATTATTTGACTAAGTATAGCTGTTGCCCGCGACTTCGTCCGCATAGAAGATTAATTTTATTAACATATTCATGTAGTAAAAATTGGTTATATTAATATTACAAACAGACACTCGAATTTTATTTATTTGTATAGTAAATCAAGACATATAACTGAGTTTTTTAATTTTAGTAGCTTTACCATAAACTAAGCTATGACTAAGGGCTTTAAGCATGAAAACTTAGGTACTTTACTACTACGTCTTTAAAAAATATTAGAAGCTTCTAAAATCTCAAAAGTGTACTAGGAAACGTACTAGAAACCTATCTATACTGGAAAGTGTACTAGAATCATATACTACCTAGTATGGGTTTCTATAAAACCTAAACTACCTACTTTCTATTGGATCAAAATTCATCTCGATGTTGTCTGCCTAAATATTCAGCTTCTGACGAGTTCTGTTCTCAGAAGTCAATTACCACCCAATGTTTTATGGGCCTATTATATGACTGTATGTATGTATGTATGTATTGAAAGGGGTCTTGGTTAAAGGGTCGTAGATGGGCTAGCTAGAGAAAAAAAGGTTAGTGAACGTGTTAATAATGTAACCAAATATGTACATAACAGTTAATAAACTATCTAAAACATACGATTATTAATTATATCCAAACATCTCTATCAGTGAGTTCTGTTATCGTCTGATATTGTAATTAACTACTAGTTCGAACGGGTTCGAACTTGGGCAGATGGTACCGATTAGTGCCAGCGATGGCGCGAAAGTGAGTAGAAGATGTGGAGTTTTTATTCACTAGCAAACTTCTTTCTTAGCACTCTAGTCTAGGCTGGACTGTGGCCAATTCTATGCTGTCTCATCATCAGGCTTCTGTCCACAACTGATGATAACATATCTAAGTATACCTATTCTTATAGGCGACACTTGTTGAAGAGCCAAAGGTTAACGCTCAACGTTGCCAAGCTCAATCTCCCCGTCTCACTCGGCTATCTAATCGTTGCCAACGCTATTTAACAGATCAATCAAATAAATAAAAAAGAGGCTGAATGAGTTGGTTCCTCCTCCCTCCCTCCCTCCTTTTTTAAAGCCCTCCTAGTTGAAAAATACTTTAGTAATTACATAACGGAACTTTCATTTATTTTACGGTCGACCTTCAATCAAGTCGAGATTAATATTTTTAATGTGACGCAAAAAGGTTATCTTTTAACTCGAACTCAAATTACAAACATCTTATATATGCGCCTCAAAACATCCGAGCGTCTCTCAAATGCGCAACTTTCCGCATACATTTAATTGCTTGTAATAACAAAACGTTGTACTGATTTTGTGTCAGTAGGTATAATGTTAGAATTCAGTAAATAAACGCAACTATGTTTGCCAGTAGAACTTTTCATCAGATGTAAATATAGCTCTTAGAGCATGGTGCAAGCATACTGAGTAGGTACTGACAATTGAAAAACAAACAATTTTCAGAAAATTGTTTTATCCTGCAACTATATACACTTTGTAGTTACATACCACAAACTGTGTATCTCTTATAAAGGATTATCGCCGATTATTTTGAAAATATCCACGGATTCCATGAAATTGTCAATCAGGCTCATTAAAGGGATTTGCAGCAGCTTTCCTATGTACGAATTTCATTAATTTAGACTGTAAACTGAAAGTTCCATATTTAATACGTAAATAATAATGAGTATTTCACACAGGGCGCGGAGACGGAGAAGTGTCCGAGTATGGACTATGCGATGAAGCACGACGAGCCAGTCTCCGTGGAGATCAGATCCACTCTGGCGGACGGTCTGGCCGTTCCCACGGTCGGCTACAACGCATTCGCCACCGTCAAGGATTGCGTCGACAGAATGGTAAGCTATTTGAGAATCGTACTAAAGATTTGTATTGAAAACAACTTAGACCCTTTCATATGCCTCTAAACGTAGCTTAACTAGAAAGCAAGTATATGGAACATTGTACAGTGGCATTCCGTGCCGTAATGTACACCTCTGCCTACCCCTTCTGGGATAAAAGGCGTGATGTTATGTTATGTTGTTTTATTATTTGGGTGTGTCAGTTCCGCAATTGTAAAATATGTTTATCAATCGGTTTACAGACGTCACTATTTACGCAAACAACTGTGTAGGTACTACCTACTGCGGAAGAGCGTCACTAACCGGTATATAAACCTACGTCAGTCAGTTACAACAAGATTTTTTCAATAATTTTGTTTACAAACATTACTATTGGTTTTGATTCCAAATATAGATATTGAACACTTGTATTTACAATTCTCAATGCTCTATAGCACTTTGTCTTAATAATTTAGTTTATTTAATAATTTAGTTAAATTTTATTTTTGTATATCTGATCTTCGGACCAAAAATACAAAGTTAGTTCATAATCCGAATTAAACATAACTTTAAAATACTTTAAATCATTACATATTTTTACTATCCCGCGACTTAATTCGCGTAGAATATGACTAAAATTCATTTAAGGTAAAAACGCCGGAACTATTTCTAAAAGGTATCAGGAACAATAGAACTCAACTGCATGCAATGAGAACTCTCATTTATTTTTGATCTGCTGGACAATGATAAAGATAAGCTAAGTTCACTAACATGAATTTTGGGACATAACATTTACGTTTCAATTTGCCTAAATAAAATTAGCCTATGTTACTCCTTAGTACATCAGCTAGGTACCGGCCAATAAAATTCCCGTCAAAATCGGTTCAGCCATTCCAGAGATTACCCCGTACAAACAGACAGACAGACAGACACACAGAAGTTATAAAAAATGTTATTTTATTGTATGTATTGTATATTCATATGCAAATAGTAAAAATCGGTTATTTAATTTTACTCCAATTTTATTTATTTGTTTAGATATTTCTGAATCTTAATTACATAAAACTAAAACTTTTAGTTAACCTTTAAGTTTTCTTTTTTTATCAGATAACAGTGAACGAGGACTGGATAGCTCGCGCCATTCTGCGTCTGATTGAGCAGGAGAAGTACGTGGTGGAGGGCGGAGGAGCAGTCGGAGTAGCAGCCATCATGGCGGGTCTCGTGCCAGAACTCACCGGGAAAAAGTTTGTATTCTAAGTCTAAACATAATAAGTACTCGCTTTACATTTTCTTCATGATATTAACTGTCATGTGACTTTAGTTAGTGGGCACTGGGCCCGTATAACATAAGGAGTACTTTTCTGGTTATTTCGTCACAATATAATGCATTTAACAACTGCAATCTATGATAATGGTCGGAAATAAATCAAGCTATCCACACCAGATTATGACATGTTTAGGGGAAGAATCAAGACAGTCTGTATACCCAACCAAAGTAGATAGAAAAGTACCTTTGCGTGAAGTGATTGAAATCAAATGCTTCTAAGTACTTATATATTTTTATTTCAGGGTGGTGTGCATTCTGTCTGGAGGTAACATAGACACGACTATTCTGGGCCGATGTTTGGAGCGCGGTCTGGCTGCAGAGCAACGTCTAGTCAAGTTCAAAGTGACGGTGAGCGACCGGCCCGGCGGCATCGCAGAGCTCTGCAAGCTCATCTCCTGCACCGGAGTCTCCATCAAGGACATCATACAGGAACGCGCCTGGGTTCATGGCGATATCTTCAGCGTGCGGGTAAACTAACTTAAACAACATTTCGTACCAGCGCCAAGCTAATACATTGTCAACTTTAGTGCAAGACCATAAGGTTGATAATGTTGGGTAGATAGAGATCTTATGGCTGATATCGACTATTTATTAGAATTTGTAGTTTGGTTTGTGATTGGATGAGTAGTTCGAAAGAGTTTTTACTATTCTTTTTGCTCTAAGTTAAAACCATAATAGTAAAGTACTATTCTATTTTATTTAAAGGTGAAAGTGGTGTGCGAAACCCGTGGACCCGAACACTTGGAGGAGTTGCGCGGAGTGATAGCGACTACTTACAGGGAATGGGACTTCGCAGGCGAATATGATGCTTACCCTCGCCGCAACAGCACAGAGTCTCTCGACGATGTCTCACATTAACTTACTAGCAATATTCAAAATAAGTACTAACTGCATACAGGATGTAAGGAGAACGATTAAGAAACACGAGTTCTATGTTAAAAAAAGTAACACATATTCACATTACATAAAAGAATCAACTGTTCAAGGCTGATGTTGTGTGAAAAACACGAAGACAAAAACGATTAAAATTCGTTCTGCGTTCTGTTTACACTCTGTATATTGTATAAGGTATATGCATTAGGTTGTGCTATCAAATGCTTTCACATAACTAATATATTGTTAAAGCAAGAGTTTTTATTTAGGCATTTCTTAGTTCTGTTTGCGTGTGGTTCTAAAAGTAATTAACCAATTTGAAAAAAAGTCTGAGGCCTTATTACGGATTTTTTTTGACGTTTCACGTTTAAAGTAATCGAAACGAGTACGTGTTCGGCGCTCTAATTGGCCGGCTTCAATGAACCAACCAATCGGAGCGGCGAAGGCAGTCTCGTTTCGATTACTTTTTACCGACTTCAAAAAAGGAGGAGGTACTATGTTCGGCTGATTGTTTTTTTTTTTGTTTGTTTGTTCGTGCAGTACTCCACCATTTGTGAACCGATTTCCAAAATTCTTGTTTTGTTTGAAAGGGTATACTCCCGAGATGGTCCCATTTCCATGAGGTCAGGATCTGATTATGTGATCCTAGGGAAACCGAGGGGAACTTTCGAAAATTCTATGGGCGAGTAATGCGTCTATTATGTTTTTCAATTACGATTTTTATAACGTAAAACAAACCCGTAGTACTAAGGCCTCAGCACTAGAAAATTCGTTTCTTTTTCGAAAAGTGTTAAAATAATTTTATATATTACTTATATTAACTTTATAACAAATTGTTTGTCTTTAAACGTTACCATGTCGTTCTTTTACATGGGATTCGGTATAATGTTGAATAATAATTGTTATACAAATGTATTTAAGAGAGTTACATGGCCACTGTTATTTTCAAATGTTGTCTAAATAATTCCATGACAGTCAATACGTTTATGTTGAAGAATGTTCAATTAAAACATATTACTCATTCGCCACGCCACTTATCAAACAGTAAACGTTCACAAAGATTCCTTTTACGACATGCAGACATCCTTAGGATAATTTTCAAAAGCCATGGACCAACAACACTGTTTGTCATGTCATGTCGTCACGTATCAGTGACTACGTTTTCCTATTTATAGTATGTAAGATATTTTATGAATCTGTGATAGGATAAAGTAATATTGTAATGACATTATTAATGAACTAATAAAAGTATTTTATTTGTTTAACTAAAAATTTTATTTCAACAACAAAAAATTCGAGAAGAATCAACTGTTCTCGGTCAATGGTCTCCCGTATTGAATATTATTAATTTGTAATAATCATTTTCAGCTTAATAGGGCTTTATTTTCAAGTAGGTTTTATATTTATTTTTTCTTTTGTTTTTAGTATTATATTAATAAAATATTGTATAAAAGTAATGAATTGATTTGAAGTAAAAGCTCATTTATATGACGTATAAATTAGCAATTGAGGCCATGGTTTGTACGCCTACTATAAGATAAACACCAAAAAAAGGTTGATACGCGAGCCTACGCGCACGAACTCTACGCTTTTTTTTAAGGGGGGGAAATCATCGAATGACTGCTCCCGCCTGGGTGAGGCGGAAGGGAGTGTCAGACTCTTACTGACTAAAAATCACCTCGTTCCTTCTCCTGCACGTCGAGCCGGAGCCCCGGTTACCCGTTAGGTTCTCCGCGAACGAACTCTACGCTACAGTTGTAGTATTTCGCCACAATATAAGGACTAGATCTACTAGATTCACGCATTCCCGTGTTCCATCAGTCAGAGAGAATAGAAGAGTAGTAGGTAGTAGTACTAGTAGTAGAAGAATCCGCATACGGTCCAAGTTCGCGTGCGGGAGGAATGTCCCACGATATTTAAAAAATAAATGTTACATTCTATTGTGGGTAGTGGGTGTACAGTGACATTAAGTGCCGTAATATGCCTACGCCTTCGGGGATAAAAAGGCGTGATGTTATGTTATGTTATTAGACCTTTTTCACACACGACCGTTTTTATTTGTATGAGTATAAACAAAAATAAAAAAGAAATTGTCAAAATATAAACATCGGCCAAACCGTAATTTTTCCTATAAAATTTTAGTTCCATTTCAAAATTAAAAATAAAATACGTATAAACATGTTAAAAGAAAAGACAGCAGCCGAAATATTATAATATATTTTACAAAACTAAAAGTAATACCTTCAAAATGACGAACCCGAAAGATGTAAGTTATGTCAAAAGAGCCGTTACCGTCATTACTATAGAATTCATGAATTTATTATCTGCATCTGCATACGATGAATGAACAAACTGGTATTAATATTTCTAGGATCCCGAATATGATGAATTCTGTGACCCAGACAATCCACGCAAAGTAAAGTTTGAAGACATATTAGCTGCATCGCGGCGTATCGTTGGCCAAGTTATTAAGACACCATGCGCGGTACCTACCAAATTGTTTCGTATATTTGCTTTGTAAAAAAAAAGAATTATTTATTTTCTTATTTACGTATATAATTTACACCAACATCAACATAGACTAACAGTATAATATCAAATCGTTTACATGTCACAGTTAAAATAGTTATGGGCTGACGCGGGACTAGAGCTGAGGAAGACCTAGCGGGTTGCCGGGGCTCCGGCTCGAAGCTGGAGTAGGAATAGTAGTCAGTAACATTCTGATGCTTCCTCTCGCCTCGCCCAAGGTGCGAGACGTCTTTGGATGATTTCCCCTCCCCCCTCTCTCAAATAGAACCACAAAATTAAATTGTCATTAATTCAATTGTAGTATTTTAATTTCAATAATGATTTATTTATTACACAGAAAGCCCACATGTCGAAGCGACTCGGTATGGATCTTTATCTGAAGGAGGAATTCTTACAAGTAACAGGATGGTAATTTAATAATTATTATAACTGTTTTACCTATGTCATCAGTTACATAACAAAAATAAAGGTTTAAATACTTTTAGTTTCAAAGAACGCGGAGTGGCCAACACATTATTATTGCTATCCGAAGAACAAAAAAAATATGGCGTAATTGCCGCCAGTACAGGGAATCACGCATGCGCTCTGGCCTATCACTCTTCTCAGATGGGTATACCGAACATAGTAGTCATGCCAATACATGCTCCTATCACTAAAATCAATAAAGCAGAAAGGCTGGGCGGCAAGATTCTATTGCAAGGTAACAATATGGCTGAAGCCAAACTTTTTGCAATGACCACTTCGAAGGAGAAAAAGATGATATACATAAATGGGTAAGGTTTAATCAAACTTGTATCAACCTTTGTCAATTATGTAAAGTTGCGTATTAACCTTTGTTATTTACGTTTCGAATCAACCTTTATAATTTATAGTTACGATCATCCAAATGTGATAGAGGGCCAGGGAACTGTCGGTTTAGAGATAGTAGAACAAGTGCCAAATGTGGATGCAGTTCTGTGCCCATGTGGAGGTGGCAGTCTGTTAGCTGGTGTCGCCATAGCTGTTAAGCATCTCAAGCCTGACACTGAAGTTTATGTGAGTTGGTTTCTTTCTATATTTATATTTTATAAGTAATTTTACAACGTTCCCATTTCTTCAAAGTATTTTAAATATGTTTATGCATCAGTTATGTATATTGTATATTAATTTCTTGTATTTTTCAGGGCATTGTAACAGACAAGACATATAGTATGGTAGAAGCACTAAGAAAGAATGAACGAATCTTTCTTGCCTTAGAGCCGTCCATCGCTGACGGATTAGCCGTCAATAAAGTAGGAGTTAATACCTTCCACAACGTCAAAGGAATCCTTGATAAAATGGTAAAACAAATCCTTCCTTCTACTGTAATATTATAAATGCGAAAACTCAATAATGTGAGTGCGTGTGTTTGTTACTCTATCACCTCAAACCGGCTGAAGGGATCGAGATGAAATTTAGCTAATGTTCTAGAATAATTACATAGGCCTCTTTGTATCCCACGAGAGCGCGGGCGAAACTGCTGTCAGAAACTAGTGTTGAATATTTATTTAAGAAGCAATATCCCAATTGTATATCTTTCAAAGTTTCAACTGAGGTATAACCACTAAACAAAGATCGGTTTTTAGGTAGTGGTAAGAGAAGATTGGGTGGCTCGTGCCATTATGACCATTATTGAAGAAGAAAAGGTTGTAGCAGAAGGTGCTGGTGCTGTCGGTGTAGCGTCTATCATGGCTGGCCTGTTCCCTAACCTAAAAGGCAAAAGGTAAAGGACTTGGGTACCTCCTAAAACTGCGACCAGACACCGAGGAATGGGAAGCAGCATTCTGTAAAATTATGAGTAAAATTATGTTATAGAATTGATGACCTAACTGTGCTCGCAAACCCGCCTGCCAAGCGTGGCGAGTATTGGCAAATCACCCCCAATGAACTGTTCATATAAAACTAGGCCCCCAGTTTCCGGCAGTCCTGCCGTTCCTGGCTACCGTGGTAGCGGTCAGGGTAACGGCGGTACACGAGGTCCCTGGAGGTGGAGAAAAGGCTACCACCCCCAACGACATGTCTACAAGCTTCGAGGGTCATCACGAATCGTCTCTTACGGACGATGACTCCCAGCCTCCCGAACAAGCCGGTTTTCGGAAAGGCTATTACTATAGCGTTTCCGAAAACATGGTACTCCATAGACCACATTCATTCGCTGCGGCAAGTAGTTATACAGAAGACCGAGAAGTATAACTTGCCACTATGCTTAGCGTTTGTGGACTATGAGAACGTATTTGATTCGATCGAGGCTTTGGTAATGTTAGGATTGCCAAATTGACTATCGCTACATCGAGGTTTTGAAGTGTTTGTACACAAACGCCACTACGTCGGTCCAAGTACAGGACCGAAACACGAGGGATATTCCTCTCATATCTCCAAAACTGTTTACCGCTGCATTGGAAGACGCCTTCAAGGTCGCGTTTCATGCTGACGACATTGTGGTCATAGCAGAATCGCTGGAAGATCTGAACACAATACTCGATGACCTCTGTAGAGTTTCTTAGCAGGTAGGGCTCCTAATGAACATGGACAAGACGAAAGTCATGTCGAACGCGCATGTTACGCCCTACCCGATATCAGTTGGGAGCTCTACCCTCGAAATTTTGAGGAATATGTATACCTGGGACAAATGATCCAGCTAGGTAGGTCCAATTTCGAGAAGGGGGTCAATCGTCGAATCCATCTTGGATGGGCAGCTGTGGGGAATTACGCAACATCTTCTCGTCCTACATACCTCAGAGCCGCAAGACGAAAGACAATGTGTGTTACCAGGAACTGAAACGTGGTCTCTCACTGTGGGCCTTATAAAGAAACTCAAGGTCGCTCAGCGCGCTATGGAAAGGCTATGCTCGGAGTTTCTTGGCGAAATCGAATAAAAACGAGGAAATCCGCAAACGAACAAAGATCGCCGACATAGCCCAGTGAATTAGCAGGTTGAAGTGCAGTGGACAGGGCACATAGCGCGGAGAACCAACGGCCGCTGGGGCAGAAAGGTTCTCGAGGGGAGGCCACGTACTGGCAAGCGCAGCGTAGGACATCCATCCGCAAGATGGACAGACGACCTGGTTAAGGTTGCAGGGAGCCGCTGGATGCAAAGCGCTTCCAACCGGCCTATCTCGAAGTCATTGGGGGTGGCCCATGTTCATCAGTGGACGTCTTATAGCTGATATGATGAAAAGACAATCTTGTAATACCTAGTTATACAATTTATTTTATTTTGACAATTTTGTAATACCTAGTTATACAATTTATTTTATTCGAAAAAGGCTTGTCTAGGTGGCCATGACTTTCATAACAACCCCGCATTTGTTATGTTTGATTTGAAATCTATTGATTGAAACTTTGCAGAGTGGTAACAATATGCTCTGGAGGTAACATAGATTCGACGACACTGACCCGTGCTCTGGAACGGGGCATGGCAGCGGACGGTCGGCTTATGAAGTTCAAGGTGACCGTGTCGGACCGACCCGGCGGGCTCGCGGACCTCTGCAGCATGCTCGCTGGCATGGGCGTTACCATGCGAGACTGTGTGCCTGAAAGAGCTTGGGTCAAAGGCGATGTATTTAGTGTACAAGTAAGACTTATTTAGTTTACCTATATGATTTTTTTTTTTTGCTTAAAAAAACATTGCCCCTACACTAGGATTTTCTCCTGTGTCATGGGTGCGTTTACAAACATACAAGTTCACATACACAATGACACCCAGACCCGAAACAACAATTCGTGGATCACACATAGTGTTGTCCCGTGCGGGAATCGAACCCGCGACACGTTGCACGGCAGCCGGTTGCCCAGCCACCGCACCAACCGTGCAGTATTACAATTTTTATACACCATGCCCTACTACAGTTTACTAAAAAAGGAAGAAACGTTTACTTCCAGTCGCAGGTATTAAGATAAACAATTTAAAAACATGTTGTATATTTTGTAGTTTTATAACACTAAATTCGATTTTTGCAGATGAAAGTGATTGTCGAAACTAGAGGCTACGACCATTCTAGACAGTTGGTGGAACTAATCAAGAAGCACTATAAAGAATATTACTTCCAAGAAATGAATGAAAAATCTGAAAAGACTGCGGGTGTCAAGCGCGGCCCCTGCCTCGCACCCAACCCTGTGTGCATGCAGAAATAGACTCTCTTCCTCTATTGTACCATTCCTATCGCGTCTCATTTCAAAATACTACTTGTGAACTCCTTTCTGTGTTTTATTTCATTACTAGACGCTATAGTCAGTTCTTCATCACATCCAATTAGTGGATCACACTGAGTGGTTCCGAGCGGGAACCAACCAATGTTGCGTCGCAGCCAATTACCCCACCACTGCACCAACCGTGTGGTTATTTTCAATGAATTCATTTATCGTAAAGAAATATAATACAATAATTATGTATAGAAATGTTATATACTAAGAAATTTAGACCAGGTGCATTCTGATAAAACATTTACATGTTACTAAACATGTAAATTTTAATGTCCGTCTGGTACATTAATTTAAAACTTTAGACATGTATTTTTTCTTCTCTCACAAAATTAAATTCTTTCGACGATATAAATTTTAAATATCGTGTGACGTCACAGCGTGTCACATTTTATAGCACGTTATGACGTAACGACCTCCCACTCCTAAACTTAGCGCCATTTCATCTAAGTTTTGCGACTTAATACGAGAAAATAAAAAAATACGTGTCTAATATTTTTTCATTATCTGACGGACGAATCAGATTTTTAATGTTGTTACCCTGGAAACTACCCAATTGTAGATTTTGTCTTGATACACATTAAATATACATTGTCCACAAGTTTTGTTTATAATATTATTTCCCAAAAGGCCGATAACGCACTTGTAACGCCTCTGGTGTTCCAGGTGTCCATGGGCGACGCCGATTACTTACCATATCCCTATACTTATTATACTCTTTAGCTTACCATCTGGTGATCCGTCCGCACGTTTACCGGCTTATGCCATAAAAAAATAATATAAGTACCTACTCAAACGCTACCAACTCAATTTTTCAGTCGCGCTTAGTATAGTTCTGTCACTACAAATTCTTTGTAAAATGACAGAGACGGCACGATATTTATGTAGGTACAACTTAAAATTCAGGCGTGACATAATGGTAAAATAGGGTGAATAGAATTCGAGGTGTGAATAGATACAGGAATGAGGTGAATAAATATTAAAACATTTTCTCAATATTTACTCACCCCTCTTCTGTTATTTGTTAATATTACCTTCACATAACCAGCTTTAAATAACCGTTAAAGTGGTTTTTTTAATTCTCTATTTATTTAGAGGCTTTCCCTTACAAAGGTATGTCAGCCTCATCATACCCTAATCTAACTTAACTAACTACTTTAAAGTGGGTCTACTGGAAAGTACCTATGACCACTTTAAATTGATTTTTGCTTTGACTTTCAAAAAATTTAATTAATGATGGACTTTCATATTTTCCAAGAAACTATATTTTTTTCCATAATTACATAGTGTACCCCTGATGAACCGTATCAGGCAAAGTGGTTCTACTTTGAACCATGACACCTACTTTCTTGGTATTATATTTTGATGTTTAACACCATAAACTGGCAAAAAATTAAAACGTCAACGTTGACATTGACTGAATCAATATTTTGATAGTAAATTCCTCTGATTAAAAATCCCTATAAATATGAAAAATTACTAGTGTTGAAACGTACATGGTAAATATTAATTTGCCTCAATGAAAAAATAATGAACCCTCAAGATGTAAGTATGAAATACGTGTTGAAGAATATTACTAGCAGAAACCATATACATACAAACATTGTACGTCAAGCAATGCAAGCTGCACAGTACACACCTTCACCTTTAACTGTGCCGTTAAAACTAATGTGTGCAGTCAGGTCTGTACAGTCTACACTACAGTCATTCAAGTAAAACTGTGCGATCTTTCAGTTTTTATCATCATGGCCTCCTTTATCATTATAAACGACGCTTTTCCACTTCACACTCGCTATGGCAATACTGACGAAACTGGCGCAGTTTCGACTATAAAATCTCAGTTCTATCTGCACAGATTTAACTACCTATTCGTGTTTTGTGGTGTCATGATTATTATACGTACGTACCAATGTTTATACTATTATAGGACCTTGAATATGACGCTAATTGTGATCCAGACAATCCCCGAAAGATAAAATATGAAGATATTTTGGCAGCATCTCGACGGATGGTGGGCCAAATTGTACGAACACAATGCCCGGTAAGTCACAAGGCAGGAGCTCATCATAATGCAACAATATATAGTGGGTGATATTAACCCTACCTTAATATTCGGGAAACTAATGTAAAAAATATTTTACGAGATACTTAGTATCTCACAACAAGCTTTTGCATCATTTGACCAGCATTTATGAACATGCAAACTAAATGTGTGTATCGGTTGAATATATCTGATACATAATTCAGTTTCAAGTTTCCACTTCACACACATACATACATTGCACGCTAAATAAAATCTTCTCAAAAGAGAGCAAGCTATCAAATCATCATCTTATATCATTAAATTATGAATTATTGTAAGCTCGAAACAGCGTCAAGCTCTGTATGCTCAATCTAGGTCACTTGTTAAATATTTAGGTACAAAAACTTTATTTCGCAGCTCGCTCACATGTCGGAAACGCTGGGAGTAGAATTATACATGAAGCAAGAGTTCCTACAGTACTCGGGATGGTAATGGTTTTTTAATTCACTTATGACAAACCTCACTTTGCTCAAGTATATGAAATCAGGACATAAAAATAGATCGAGTTCTCGTAGCAGCTACGCCGTAGTACGGCCGTGAGGTTGCAATGGAGCATGCGCGAGGAATGTAGGGTGGGAAGTCCTCAACTATGTGACAAAGATTACGACTGGATATGACGTGCGTTCTACAACTGGAAAGTACCCACGCTAATACAAGAGAAAGAAAATTCAGGAGTTAATTTTAGTTATTTATTGCTTTCTCGGCAAAACAGTTGAGTTGACGTGAAACGTTATAATATTATTAGACCTTTAAAACTATGAATCTCAACAATGGAGTTCTTTTCGTTTTACTATAGTACATATCATCATATTTCTATATTTTTGATAATAGTTTCAAGGAGCGTGGAGTTCGCAACGCTCTGGTATTGTTGAGCGATGAACAGAAGAAACTTGGTGTGATCACAGCCAGCTTCGGTAACAATGGCATTGCCATGGCTTACAACTCTTCTATGCTAGGCATACCGTGCAGCGTCGTGATGCCGTTCAAAGCTTCACTCTTCAAGAGAACGCTCGCCGAGCGACTCGGTGCGAAGATCATACTTCATGGCAGAGATATGGCAGAGTCCAAACGGCATGCCATGTCTGTAGCTAGGGAGAAAAAGCTGACGTTCATCAACGGGTACCATTCTTTAATGTATTTTTGTAACTATAGCTAAATGATAACATAATATTATTGTTAGTCATTAGCACTATATAGCCATAGAGCAGGAGAGTATTCTGTAACTCCAGTTATCAAATTATTGTGTACATTTGTTTGTAAATCTTATTGCATTTCAGTTTCGACCACCCCAACATAATAGAAGGCCAGGGCACCGTTGGCATTGAAATTGTAGAACAGCTTCCCACGGTGGATGCAGTGCTGGTGCCATGCGGCGGTGGATCCCTCCTGACAGGAGTCGCCATTGCTATCAAACATCTAAAACCTGACACTGAAATTTATGTTAGTATCTCATTTGCAGTCGATATTAATAAACGATTTTTGTCCAAAGTAGGTGGATCGATCTTGATCTTGACAGAATATATTGTATTATATTGATCAGTCGATTTCGGCTTGAGATGTTTTGCAATTGGCAGATAGTCGGTTAAAAATAATATAGGTAGCTACAATTTTTACTAATAATGATTTTGTTTCCATTATTCAGGGAATCGAAACAGATAAAACTTGCAGCATGGTGGAAGCACTGAAGAAGAACGAACGAGTATTTATACAAATAGATTCAACCATTGCTGACGCACTATCTGTTAATAAAGTTGGAGTTAACACCTTCTTCAATCTAAAAGGGATTGTTGACAAAATGGTAAAACATATGCGCATTTGTTACCGACAAATAATTATGATCCAAATTATGGATATGATGTAGGTAAGCCATTACTTGTATAGAACTGTTCCACAACAGTTTTATACAAGTAGGCCAATATAAATCAATTATGCAAGCTTCCTTGATGTGGATCAAGGAAGCTTGCCTACTTGATTTATTCATTTTTCACACTCGGCATTATAGTCTGACCATTAAATAGGAAATATGGGGGCCATCTGGAAAGTTTTCCGGGAGTTTTGAAAATAGAGAATTTTGTAGATTTTGACGTACTCTTTTCGATTTCCATTTTGCACCTTTATACGTGCGCCGCTCGCGCCGCCAACTTGGGAAAATGGCGGCCAAAAACAGATGTTTTACAATATCTCTTTTTCTGTGCATTTTACGAGAAAACCGTTAATTACAAAATTAAACTACTTTCAAGAAACATTCCACGTAGAACTACTTACCTACCTATAAAAAATAAAAAGTATTATTATTGTGTGAAATAAATAGATAATATTTTGAATCTAACATGAGAATGCACTTTTATAGATAGATAGAACTGAGTAGAATGAATTTTTGGCAATTTCAAAACAAGTAAACAGTCATACTTTTGCAAATTACAGGTAATATGAATTTCAGGTGGTCGTGAAAGAGGATTGGGTGGCGCGTGCAATAATGCATATTGTGGAGGAAGAAAAATTTGTAGTGGAAGGCGCCGGCGCAGTAGGCGTGGCAGCTCTTATGGCCGGTCTTTTCCCTAACTTGAGGGGCAAGAAGTAATCTTCTTTGACAAACATATTCTAATCAACCCAATTGTTTATTTTAATGTGGTCCTGTTCTTACTTAATGCGTGGTAATATAAATATAAATATGTGGTTATTTGTTCTTCTTACACGTGGCAACAAACTACTTTATTATAAACAAAGCTGAAATTAAACATTCCCCATTTGCGTGCTCAGAGTGGTTGCCATTTGTACCGGTGGCAATATGGACACGACGACGTTGGGGCGTGCTTTAGAGCGTGGCATGGCGGCTGAGGGCCGGCTGCTAAAGTTCAAAGTGTCGGTGTCAGACAGGCCCACCGGACTGGCCGACCTGTGCACCATGCTCGCCGGTATCGGCGTCAGCGTGCGAGATTGCGTGCCAGAACGCGCATGCGTCAAAGGAGAAGTTACAAGTATACAGGTGAATAATATCTACAGTGACTTGCAATGACGCTCATTTTCAATTCTTCCCTTTAAAATATCCTATAACATACAACTTCTTTAATATCGACCCTGACACTGAATAGTAGTTCATTAAATTTACAACTTTCTAGCTTTATTCATGTTACAGTGGAAAATCATTGCCGAAACAAGGGGTTGGGACCACACCAAAGAGCTGGTGGACATGATCAAAAAACATTTCAAGGAATATCTTTTCCAAGAAGAGACGGAGAGGCCAGAGAAGACAATCAGCGTCAAACGCGGCCCCTGTCTCGCGCCGAACCCTGTGTGCATGCAAAAGTAGAATTCTGTGTATTATTATTACACAAACTACGCGACACTTGTTTTGAACCCTACGTTACATTATGTCAATAAATAGTATAATAAGGAAATATTTTAATTTACTTTACTACCTCATTGGTATTTGTTTCTAGACAAATTGTGTTGCTGGACATAGAGTATTGGGTGTTTTTTATCTAAAAATCTTGGTAGCAATATGAAGTATAAAATTGTGGTAACTAGGCGTGTTTTAACAAACTAGAATCACCTCATGTTAGATGGAAATCATAATTGGCAAATATGGATGTTGCCACGAATGTTATGCATTCATTGTGCCTACCTACCTATTTTTTTAAGGAGGGATAATCATGGAATTTCTTCTCCCGCCTGGGTGAGGCGCGAGGGAGTGTCAAACTTTTACTGACTAAAACCCACCCCGTTCCACCCCGCCCTTCGAGCCGGAGCCCCGGCAACCCGTTAAGTCCTCCGCGGCTCATGATATTCAATTAGATATCTATCATCTATTTCAAAGAGTAAAGAACGATGAGTAATCAATGTCAACATCACGTCATTAAATGTCAAGTACTTAACGAAACATTGTAAAAACCAATAAATATTTTTAATAATACAAAATTAAACTGTAACATGCCTTCAATGAAACTGTGTCTTCTAATTAATTAATATATGAATCATATCTAGCCGCAATTATGCCAAAAAAACATACTCCACCCCCGTTACCACAACCCCCTATAAAAGAGAAGGAAACCCTTGGCTTATCTCCCGCGGTGCTCGGTAAACGAGATTTCGTCAAGAAAGATTATTGGTGCCCAGTAAGTAACAGTAAATATTTAAGTAGCACCTATTTATTGTATAAAGAAGATATTGTATTTATAGGGTATGAATAGCTCCTTCATTCATGTTTTATGCAACCTCTCTAAAGAATATATCTTTGTGTACTTATTTGATCATCTGCTAAACAAAAGCCACACTCTTAAGAGGTTTGCCATAATCTCTGTGCTTGGTAGTTGTTCAGGCGACCACAGTTAATTAATTGAAATTAAACATAGTTGCATACCTACTACATTTACAGGTTCCACCGAGCATTGATTTTGACCCCTATTCCGATCCATTCAACCCGAAAGCTGTGGAATACAGACAAGTTGTTAAAGCTGATGAAATGATTAAAGAAATTATGCAATCTACTCCACTCTTGGTAATTATATTTCCTTTCTTACCTAAGTAGATGTGTTCTGTAATCCTAGTAATGATAATAATGCAGAATTACTCAAAAACTTCGTATGACAGTCAACAAGAAACATCGCCAAATTTTGTCTTCTTTCTACCTAATAGAATTAAAGACATGAAAGCACACGGATGTTTAAACATTAAACATTTATAAAGTCTTTTTTTCTTTTAAAAAACACGTGTTTATTTCAGAAATCTAAATGCTGCGATAAGTTTGGGATGGATCTATACTTTAAAATAGAAACTGGTAGTAAAACTGGAAGGTATATTTCCATTTTTTTAAATGTATTTCGAAGTATATTCTTGTAACGTTGTGGACATTAAACATTAAATTCTTTATTCTGTTTGCACAGTTTCCACGAACGGTCGGCGTTATACGCTTTGCTTATGCTGACGCCAGAGGAACGTAGAGGAGGTGTATATACGGCATCCGTAGGAAATTGGGCTATGGTAACAATTTATACAAGAACTTTTTTATTATTCTTCTTTCCGTTTGAACCTATTAAGTATTAATGACCCAATGCTTCGATTTCTTAATTCTCAATCAAACCCAGGCTGAAAATCAACGCAGGGTTACGCCAAATTTAGCCCTATAAAAATGACTTAGGTAAATGTGGGAGCTTCGACGGCCGCCTCGCTACCATGATACTTTAAAGGATAAAATCATGACGTTGTGTTTTAGTTTATCGTAACAAAGTTACTGATAATAGTTTTCGTAAACAGGCTTTAGCCTATCAAGGGCAGCTGCTTCACGTGCATGTGACGGTGGTGCTCCCTGCGCATACGCAGTTGTCCGTCATCAGTCACTGTCAAGAATATGGCGCCACTGTCGTACTCCACGGGAAGACCATCTTTGAAGCGAGAAAACGAGCCTTCAAACTAATACACGACCAAGGACATCATGGTATCTATATCGACGGGTAAAGAAATAAAGAAAGAAATAATACAATACGAGAGTTGAAGACCGCCGCATTCTTTGATTTTCTTTGTACGTGGCTTTGAAAAGTAACGTTATCTTTCAGCTACGACCACCCTAACGTGATAGCAGCAGCAGGATCGATCGGAGTTGAGATATTGGACCAGCTTCCCGATACCGAAGCAATTCTTGTTCCCATCGGCGGTGGAGGTTTAATAGCAGGCATTGCCGCGTACGTCAAACATATCAAGCCAAATGTTCTGATTTATGTAAAGTCCTTTTCATTTTCAACACGTATTTCGTAGTAATAGCAAAGTATAATTTCGTGTTTGAGTTAACTTTGTAACTTGCTCATTGAAAAATATTAAAGTAAAAACATTCTTGATAATTCACCGCAGTACATGACTGATAACCTCTCCGTTTTGGTTAATAGATTATTTTATCTGTTCGCTTACTGTGTATCAATATTACATATTTATAAACTATCTACTCTAACTTAATATGAGTCGCGGAGAACCTAACGGGTTACCGGGGCTCCGGCTCGACGTGCAGCAGAAGGAACGGGGTGGTTTTTAGTCAGTAAGAGTCTTACACTCCCTTCCGCCTCACACAGGCGGGAGCAGTAATTCGATGATTTTCCCTCCTTAAAAAAAAAAACTCTAACTTAATATATATTACTCGATTGTTAAAAATATTTCATATTAATTATTATGTTTTCGGTTTACTCATGTAACTGTTTGACGAAGAACCCGACTAGTTTCAAGCCATGCTAGAGGCTATATTCGTATACCTATAGGCTATATTCTTGAGCAGCATTCCGCGATCCGCGACGCAAAAACATAATAATTAATTTAGTATGTCTCACGAGAGTTATAATATGAACAATATTTCTTAATGTTAAAAGTTTCTGTTACCAGGGCATAGAGCCGGGTAAAAGCTGTGGTTTTGCAAAAGCCATTCATAACGAGCGCCCATACAAGATCGAAGCCGAAATGGGTCTAGCAGCCTCCCTAACTATTCCTAAAGTAGGCGATAATGCTTTCCACACAGCCAAATCGCTTATCGATAAAATGGTTTGTCCTATTTGTCTATAACTTATATAATAAAAAGGAAATATTTGTTAGTTTAGTATGTGAAATAGGCTTCGAAACTCATAGAGAAATTATCCTAATGTATTCGTAAAGTATTTTTGAGAAAATAATTTTTTTTATTATTTTTTATTATTATTTAAAATCACTGATGCCCATAGAATCAAACAAATCGAGCGAAATGTCGAAACTATGTGCTTCTATCGAAAAAAGTTGTTAAATGTAATGTTTTATTTACACAGACTAACTAGTCCTTGCCTAGATATTATATAGTTAGATCATTGTCCATATTATTTATAACCTTAACCTGAACGTTTAGGTATTAATCCACGATGACTTTACGGCACGAGCGATAGTACATCTAATAGAGATGGAGAAAATTATAGCGGAAGGTGCTGGGGCCATCAGCCTGGGAGCTCTCATGTGCATGCCTGACATACTTACGGAGTTGCAAGGGAAAAAGTGAGTTTTCTCTCTCAAACATCTTCATGAATATAAAAACGTTACGCCTTTTTATCCCAAAGTAGTACCTATACAGTGTATCGTAGTCGAACCTACATATTTTCAATGTAGCGCCTACATTGCGCCCATGAGGCTTTCGCATTATCATTCCATCCTTCATCCTGCTACTGGAAATGGCTGGGGTTATACAGTATTTATAGTTACTATTAGTTGTTTATTTTGGTTTTATTTTACTGTATTTATTAGCCTATTTTCGCTGATTCTCTACTTAACCCAAAGGTTGACTGAGAGAAAATGCCATTATAAAATGCCATTAAGTCCGCCTTATGTACCTTATTTTTGTGTGCATTAAAAAGTAAATAAATAAATGAATAAAATGCAGGTATTGCATTTAACATTCACCTGTATCATCTATGTATGTGTTTTATTACTTGCAGGGTAGTGACGATTGTGACTGGAGGTAACATAGACCTGTGGCCTTTGAAACGAGCCATGATACAAGGGAAGGCTGTTGAGCATCGGGTCGTACCATTGAACGTAAGATTCTCACAACATCGAACTACTACCAATTTTCAATGTTCAATAATTATATTGTACTTACGCCACGTCCATCAGTTGAATACGAAATTTACTCATTTAAACGAATGTACTATACTTATGTAGTACCTATAGTGATTATGAATGGTGAATAATAAAATTAAGGGTATATTTTTCATTTTCAGTTAATTATAACTCCTCGCAATATAGATTTACCGAGTAAAGCATTCAGAGTATTCGAACAAATGGATTGCAACATGCTGCACTGTGAATTTAGTGGCAACCACGATTGGTTCGAGGAGGGTAAATTAATGCAGCACAGTGTAAGATACGTTTTACTACATAGTAGGCACTGTACATCTGGATAGTCTTTATCCCCTCTCCATAGGATCTAGAATTGCTTGTGACTCTTTTACTCGCCCTTTGCTGCGTGAAAACAATTTGTAATTGGATGATAAGGATCCTGGACATAACCAATGATGCTGTTGATTTGGTAACCGACAACAACGGTAGTTCAACCAAGTTTACACCAAGTGTAAGATAGGGCTCAGGGGCTCTGAACGTTGCAAGTTAACTAATTACGGTAACTAGTATTTCACAAATCGAAAACTTTAGTTGTTCTGGTTTTTGCTTACAGCTAACCGTTATCGTGGAGACCAAAGGCCACAAGCATGCTTGTTTGTTGAGACATGTGATGGAGAAACTCTTTCCTGGCGAGTGCGAATTTGACAGTGAAGTCTTCAAACCGATCGTCATTTGTTCATGCTTCCCAAAACTTATTTACTGAAAATGTAGGAGGGGAAAACCAAACTAAGTTTATCCCTCACAGGATACGTTTGTCTTTCCTTGTTTTTTAATTGTTATAAATATTTTATTCAGAACAGTTTTATTGTACGTTTACAAACACAAACTTCTTAAACCACATTTGCTTGGTACCTATGTTTTCGGAAGTAGAATTTCAGTGTTTTTATGAGACGAATATATGTTAACTTACATTGTAAAGTAAATATTAGTACGTCATTACTTGTTTTATTTTTGATTAACATTCTTTTATCGCTGGAAAGTTTACCTTTTAGGGACTAATAGACAAATTTTCCCACAAACTAATAGACAAATATTCCTACTGAATTAGAAACTATGTTAGGTACTTTAAAAGATTTTTCCCTTGTCCCACCGACAAGGGAAAACTACTTAAATTATTTAAGGTTAAGAATAAATCTAATCCAGAATCTACCTCTGATTGATAAGCAGATACACCATATTTAAGTATGTACCTGATTTAAAAAAGAGGGCAACTTTTTTGGTTTCTAAGTTCTTTAAGCATTTGTGTGTATTTTGAATTTATTTGGATCGATATCAATAGATTATGAAATAACTATCGTATAAGTAAGATGTAATATGTATTAAAAAATAAATAATTATTAAATCTTCAATTAAAAAAACCTTTCCACCCATCCCTCTCAGCAGATTCCATAAATTCAATACCAACCTTACCTCCATAGTCGGCGGAAGGATTTAGTTTTCTTCCTAAAAAATAGACAAAACTTGACGTCTAATTAGGTACTGTCAAAAACAATAAACATTTCCATGCACCAATTTCCAAATTACCTTAAATGAAATTGTTCAACCAGACCATCATTACTTTATTCACAATACTCCTTCATTTACACACATAGGTAATTCAATATGTCTCGAAGAAATGTAAGTACCTGCGACTATCGCAGATTGAACCCATTATTTTGATGTGAATGGATGAAAGAGAAGAGTACGAACAAAAAAAATTATGAATTAAGTGAGGTGTGATAATAAAAGGAAGTTCTTCAGTTAGTACTTAATACCGAAATAGAAACACAAGACATATTGTAGGTACTGATCCTAAATAATTTGGAAGGGCTAATAAACAAGGGTCGAAAGAAAAAGATATGAGTTTGGTACTACTGTAACTCATCAACTTCATGGTTCAAGTTCAAGCAGGATGTTCCGTACAATTATTATAATTTTAGCAAACTATAACGTAACTATCGGTCAAACGATGTACGAACCATGATAGCGATGGCCATGAAAAACTATGAAATTTTTAATTTAAAATCAATTAAGTGAATCACTTGAACTCAGCCTTAGTGGTGTTTAAGACAAACATTTCACTTTTAGGAAGATTACGATGAATATTGTGACCCTGAAAATCCAAGAATTATCAAGTATGACGATATCGTAGAAGCTACGCAGCGGATACGGCCTTTCGTAGCCAACACTCCTATTATGGTGAGTTTTTAAAATTAACTAAAAAACCCGTTTTCTCGCGTAAATATACTGAGGAAAACTCAACTAGTTTCGAGTCACAGAGGAACTCTTCCTCTTCAGCAGCGTGCGCAGTCACAGCGACGTCGCAGTTTTTACATGTTACGACTACGACATCACGTTTTCCACGAAGACATCAGCAAACAATGAGCATTATGGGCATTTATCGTTTGTACTAGTCACTTCTAAACTAAATATTTGAGCATCTTCTTGTACAAAGGTATTTTTATTTCAGGCAGCACACACTCAACGGGAGTTTGGCATTCACATACATTATAAATTAGATTTCATGCAGAAAATGGGAAGGTAGGTAGAATTCTAGCTCCGATAGTATTTTTATATCTGAATATCATAATTGATCACCGAAATTGCACTGTAGTTTCAAGGAACGAGGCATTTTGAATGCCCTGCACCTTTTGCCAGCAGACAAGAAAAAGCTAGGAGTAGTGATGGCATCGTCAGGTAACGAAGGAGTAGCTCTGAGCTACCACGCAGCGAAAATGAATATCCCAGTTATTGTGATACTACCCATGTCCATACCAATTGAAAAGATGCAAAGATGTCATTTATTTGGAGCGAAGGTAATAGTGCAAGGAACCAACTTGCAGGAGGCACAAAAATACGCGCGCGCTCTGGCAAAAGACAAAGGACTTACGTTTATTAATGGGTAAGATACAAATACAAATTTTATTTATTTTATCTACACATAATCGTAATAAAGACTTCATACCGTAGATACTAACACTTTTTTCTATAAAGACGTGATCACCCACACATCCTGGCTGGGTACGGTTCAATGGCGCTGGAAATATTGGAAACCACGCCGTTTGTCGATGCAGTGATCGTGCCGGTGGGCTCTGGAGGATTAGCCGCTGCTACTGCTACCGTCGTCAAACACCTCAAGCCCTCAGTACTCATTTATGTAAGTTATGTATTGGTACTAATATTTTTTAAAATATATAAAGCTAAATAATTGGTTTGTTTAAAAGAATAACCGATGTCATTCGTAGGGGGTGCAGCCTGAGGCAATGCCGACATTTTTTAACTCATTGGAAAGTGATGAACCAATACAATTGCCCCTACAAACCAACATGGCGGATGCTGTCAGTGTCAACAGCGTTGGATGTAACGCATTCGCAACTGCAAAACCTCTTCTAGACAAAATGGTATGCTTGATAGATTCGAATCGAGTGTTCTAAATGGTCTATGAGATAATTTGTTTCGCTATAACCCTGCTTTTATTTTTGTAGTTGCTCGTAAAGGAAGATTGGATCGCACGAGCAATGCTGCATTTGTTAGAGAGAGAAAAGTTTGTAGTAGAGGGCGCTGGAGCCTGCCCACTGGCCGCCATCATGGGAAACCTTGTTCCAGAATTAAAATGTAAAACGTATGTAATAGTACCGGATAATATATAAAGAATTGATAGTTACTTTTGTTTAAAGCTGAAGAGTTTGTTCAAGTAGAATGCGCTAATGTCTGGAATTACAGGATCGAATTGAACCATTCTTTTTAATAGTCATGTTTATTTTAATAGTAAATTTTTATGTTTTCGTCTGAATCACGTAATTATTTGACGAGGACCTCGAGTAGTCGTCGACTAGGCGTCGCGGGTCGCGGAATGTTGCTCATGAATATGAGCCTCTAGCATGGCTTGAAACTAGTAGAGTTCCTCGTCAAATAATTGGTTAGCTGAAAACATATTAATAAATTTTGTATGTCTCACGAAAGTTATAGTACATTAATTTTGTGTTAGTCCGTTTATCGAGGAAAGCTATAGGCTAAAACATGACGCTACAATCAACAGGTGCCAAGCAGCTGATGAAACCGCGCGGGAGCAGCTAGTTCCCTAATAGGGGTCATCCATAAATTACGTCACACGAATATGATGATTTTTTGCCTCTCCCCCGTCCTTGTCACAGCTAGCCACATTTGTGAGACCCCCCCCCCCTCCTAGTGTAACGTCACATTTTGCAGATTTACGTATGGAAAATAATAATGGTTCCGAAAAACAATCTCTAGCGATCTGTGGCCGACTATAAAAATGGATCTTCGAATAACAAAACTGAACTTCCGAATAGAATATTGAACCTCTGACAAAATTACTAAGTTACCTACCGACAATAGACGTTTTAGGTTAGGTTAGGTTACTATTGTAGCAATAAACAGTCATGTAAAGTTTTTTTATGGCATAAGCCGGTAAACGAGCAGACGGATCACCTGATGGTAAGCAATCGGCGTCGTCCATGGACACCTGGAACACCAGAGGCGTTACAAGTAGTCGGAAAGTTAGTATTTGTTATTAAATCTACTGAGATTTAATATTTTCAATAAGGACAATTCTTCTTTTCTTGTCGGAGCTTTTATTACTACCCATTACATATGTAGGTATACAAATTATTAAATGAATACAGCGGTTCTGAAATCAGTTTTATTTCTTTGTAATTACCTACTTAAAAATATTAATTACAAATCCAACAAAATAAAAAACATAAATACCATTATATTTTGTGTTCTATAATAGTTTTTGAAATGAGACATCACAAAGTTTAGGATCCCTCCCTCCCCTTTGTCACACAATGTCATACTTCGTCGACCCACTCCCTACCCCTTAACGTGTGACGTATGACGTAATTTATGGACGGCCCCCATTAGGTACAGGCTATGATGCTAAGTGGGTACCTACTAACATTACGTAGTACTTGTTCATCAATTGTACCCACCTACACAAAATTATATTAATAACAATATTTATTGTTGCTTGCAGTGTGGTCTGTATTCTAAGCGGAGGTAATGTTGATAATATACTGCTGAACCGCTGCATGGAAAGAGGATTAGCCTCCGAAGGTCGATTAGTTATATTTAGGGTAAGATTGTTGTTGTATTTTATAACGAAATATTTATTAACGACCATTATTGCGATAAATTAACATAATTTAACTACTTTTTGCTTCAATAATTGTAGGTCGGTGTACGTAACGACCCGATATCTAAATCTAATTTAATGTCATTAATCTCAAGTGGAGGGTATAATATTCATCGTCATTTTCAAGACAATAGTTGGACAGAGGGTGAGGAATACTATGTCGAGGTAAGTTTACGTTATGAAAACTATACAATCATAAACACACGTAAAATGTTGGTATTCCCTTAGATCTGGATAATGCTGCAGAAATTTTACTAAGGCTTATACTCATTCTGATATGCAACCTTATTTTGATGAGATAGGGAAGCAAACGAACAGAGGGATCACCTGGTGATAATTAATGCTGCCCATAGATACTCACAACACCAGAGAAGGCCAGAGCAATTCAGGAGCGTTACCAACCATTTAGAAGGGGATCTGGCCTCCGGTAACCTCAGTTACACAGCGAAACACAACACAAGTATTGTTTTACTCCGCCGTAGCATGGCTTTTTAAGTCTCTACTCTTTTTATTTTGTGTCCCATTCATGCTGAAGGATGGTTCTTCACACATCATCTGGTGAATGACGTGTGCAATCTCAATCTAATAGCCTCTTTTTATTTTTTTATTCCTAGATGAAAATGGTCTGCGAAGCGAAAGGTTTAGCACATGCTTTAGAATTAAAAAGGACTATAGAACGAGTTTACCCATGTACCTCCGTCTTCGAAAATGAACCGTTCAATGATAAGAGGACTTGTCCTTGTTACATAAAAAAAGCCTCGTAAATTGAATTGAAAGTTTAGAAGGATGTTCAAAAGATGTTAAATATTGTAAACCAGTTAATAATACAACAAGTAAAAATTATTGTACAAATTGAACTGTTGTTTCTTTTATTTCATGTCGTTAGAATATCACGGAATATGTTTATTTCCCCTATGAACCATTGCTTCGCAGAATCTAAGCGGCCGTGGTATTTGCTCAAGTGATTCATTTAACAAAAATTAGCGTCATCATTATCCTTCCGAGCTTTTAGTATCTTAGCTAATTACAACCGTAATATTTTTATCGAAATCCTTGAGAGTGAGAACCAACCCTTTTTTTAATTCACTATTTGTACTTTGAACGACACGGGAATCGAAGACGGGACCTCTCCTGTTTTCAAAATAATATTTATTATTTTTATATTTTAATTTTAAAAATTTGACTGCACGGTTGGCGCGGTGGTTGGGCTACTGACTGCCGCGCAAAGTGTCGCGGGTTCGATTCCCGTACGGAACAATTCTTTGTGTGATCCACAGATTGTTGTTCCGCGTCTGGGTGTCATGAGTATGTGAACTTGATGTTTGTAAACGCACCCACGACAGAGAAAATTCTAGGGTGGGGCAACTTTTTTTTTTAAAACAAAAATCATGTATGTAATAAGTCATGCGATAATATGTACCTATTTGAATTTAAAAGCAAGTGATCTCGATTTTATTGTTACTTAATGGATTGCGTAACTGTTTGCGTAAGTCGTTACACTTACAAGAAAGCAGTTTCACTTGACACTATTTTTTACATTTTATCTAGTTCTTTTAGTCGACAATTCTATATTATTATATACCCATGCATATCTAATTATTATTAGATATGCATGGTTTGCAATTAGGGTGGTTAAGCGCGCGCGGAAAAAACGTGTGAAGCCTAAGCCTAATACATACCTAATTAAAACAATATGTCACAAACAACCTCTTTGTGAATTAAAGGTGCAATGTTAGGATAGTAAAATAGTTTCTTACTTACAGAACGAATATCTGTGTAAAAAAATGTGATTGTTGTAACAATAAAACAAAATGATTATGCTGTTAAAAATATATTACACAGTTTATTGTCTTCCAACTCACACATCACATAAATACAATGAGCAACATAACATTATAAAAACTAGGCTTTTATATAATATCTTTAGATAAAGAGTACATTATATGTAAATATTTACCATCTGCATAAACATGTTCATTAACTTAGTTGCTGTAGTTTTTGTCCATAAATGTTGCCATTCTTATGTCTCTCTTGCTAAGCCCATTAACATCATGAGAAGACAAGGTAACCTGGAATAATGTATTATTAGTATTGTGTTGTTAAATATGAAGACAAATAATATTAGGTATTTATTTATAATAATGACTCATTTTTATGCTACCTATTTGATTTTATCATAACCTTGAATCTAAAATCCATAACTAAATGTTATTTCATAAGTAAATCACCAAATCTAATGAACATTATTTACTCTAACATATAATCAAAAGTTGCCACAACTTAAAATATTTAATTACCTATCAATCATTACAACAAATCAAGTACCTACTTGATATATATAAGTACCTATTTATAAGCCCATATGTGCCTACCTACATAATACATAGCAATTACTTACTTGAAGTTTATTATACACATTAAACCACTCTGGGTGATGATCCATTTTCTCAGCCAGCAGTGCTACTCTAGTCATGAAGCCAAAAGCCTGGTTGAAATCCTTGAACTGGAATTCTTTCTCAATTGCATCCCGGTTATTTTGCACTTTCCAACCAGACTGCAGCAATGGCTGGAGCTGCGTATCGCGCTCTTCTTGGGTCAGTTTATCTGCCTACAAAAACACAATAATTTTTAACACACAAATCACCCAATAAATTCTAAAGCCACAGGTGATGTACCTATAATAATAATAACGCACCATTTTCCTCCTATTGGGCGAGGCTGACGAAACACTAGCGTATCGCGCGGTGGTCCGGCTGGCATTGAGCGCAGGCTTCGACCCTGCGGGGTGAAAGTGTATCGCTATATAGCGAATGCTACCTAACAAAAAGTGATTCGTCAACATTGGTTAAGGTTAGATACTGGCCGGTTCAGAGTGTATGTTACATTAATAGATATCGTAAGTTTTGGTAAGATATAATTTAGAAATTCATTATTTGATTCTGCATTTATACATTCAGTTTTATGTAAACTTGAATTGTTTTTCAAGTTTGAGAATAAATAAGACAGAGCTTATTAGATTTGTCAAGATCTGTCAATGTCTGATGTCATTTCAAATTGTCAGCTGATTAATTTTGACATAAGTCTACTAAGTATCTAGTGGCGTACTTTAGTAACATTACTAAATTACGTTTTGGTAACTACTATGGGTAACTAGCTGTCGCGGAGAACCTAACGGGTAACCGGGGCTCCGGCTCGACGTGCAGGAGAAGGAACGGGGTGGTTTTTAGTCAGTAAGAGTCTGACACTCCCTCCCGCCTCACCCAGGCGGGAGCAGTCATTCGAAAATTTTCCCCCCTTAAAAAAAATAAAAAAAAATGGGTAACTAGCTAATCTGTAGTGTCCCACATTAATTGAGATTAAACTAACGATACTCATGACTCAATTATACTTTTATTTTTACTATTTGCCCAATACATAATATTATGTTATACATGGGGTAGATGGGCGGAGGAATTTTGCCTGCCTACTTTGATTAGTATTTCTTTATTATAATAAATATCCAAGGACCGTCTCATATTGATAATGAAAATAGTTTTTACCCAAGTGAGGCAGACAAAGGTCTAAGAAGCCATTAATGTTTTTTGAATTGATACAATAAAAGAAGGTAGATTTATAGGGAATGTTTTTATTTAGGAATGTCCTGTATGCCACATGCTGTAACAATGAATTGTGTCATCATATTGGATAAATGAGGAGCGAACATTACATGCAGTTCTCTAATACAAGTTTCATGATGATAAGCAATCTGTTGATTGCTAATGTTTGCCAGGCTTTTACCATCTAATACATTTAAAGTCTTCTTCAACATGAGTCTAGTGGTAACCATATTAGACCATGCCAAGCCTAATGCTGGCAAAACACTGTTGGAGTCTTCAAAAGATGCTGTGACTTGGTTTATACACAGAATTGCTAAGTCAAACTTTTGGGCCATTGATGTTAAAAGAATAGCAACTTCTCTTAAATCTTCAGCTCTCTTCACATAGTTATTACTTTCACATCTAAATGGTGCTGCAATAGAATCAATCACTATAAGAGCTAATTTATGATGTTCTAGTAATTTGGGCAATCTAACCCTTAAACAAGACGATAGATCTATTGCTTCTGTTATATGTTCCACAAATATATTTTTCCCATAGTCAATTCTTGGGTCAAACTCGGGAAGAGATATTTTCATTTCCTCAAATCTTTTGGTTGGAAACAAATCTTCTGTACAAATATAAACACATCCCTGCGCCCAATTATTAAGTGTTAGTTGTAGACCTAACTGGGTCTTTCCACTGGCACTTTCACCAAACACTTCTGTTATTGTGCCTCTGCGAAAGCCACCTGCCAACAAGTTATCTATTCCAGTACAACCTGTTATCACTCCTGCTTTATTACAATTAAACTTCTTTAGTTCCTCTTTACCCGTAGTAATCGTAGGGCATACGTGTTCAGTCACGATATTTTTGAGCAACAAGATATCGTCTAAATTCAAATTAGTGTATTTCTTGATATCCCAAATTGACAAAAGAATTATTTGTCTCTCCGTTGATATTCCGGCTCTGTCAATTACGTCATATATATTAGGAGGCAATATGTTTCTAAGGTGCATCTTGTTTGTTATTAAAGTTCGTTTAAAAAAGTTGTTTGTAAACAATAATACAATACAATGCACGATTTATCCAATACGAACAAAACTTTGGAATGAGAATGACATTTGTGACATATTGAGAATGAATATGACAATGACAACATCCAATTACCACAGATTATACTAGTGTCACAGTATGAATTAGTGATAAGAATTATTCAGATTGTGACTAATATGCTCATGACAATCATGACAATCGTCATCATCATCAAACAGCCGGAAAACGTCCACTACTCCACGTCTACTGCTTCCACTGAGTCCCCGTCCGATGTCATCGTCGTCGTTCGTTGGCCTTATTTCATTTAACAGCGACCTCGCGAATCACGATGGCATCATGATGGCATTAATGCAGGAATGACAATGACAGATGATTCATTTGACAAAAAATAACAAACCTCCCAAAGGTATTAAACTTGTTTACTTGATTCTGTCACATAAAAAAAAATTGTAAGACCTTAACTTAAAAGCAGCACCAGAAACTTGAAGTTAAAAGCTCCTCAATAGGGAGCTATTTCTCTTGAAAGATGTCTTGTAATTCCTGCACAAAACCGTTTAATTTACTTCGTAAAGAGGTATTTATTTGTCTAGACGAACTTTGATGAACAATAATTAGTTTTGTATATTTGTCTATTAAATAAATTTTATGTACTCTAATATTTTGCAGAAAGGATGTCCCAGTTGCGGCTTCAGTTACTGCTCAAAATGTTTGGATAACAAAATGTTCTTACCAAAATTAAATGCGGAATCCAAGGTCAGACAAGTATCTGCAAATTGTAATTCTTAACTGCATAACTCATGCGATTTGAAATTTCTCTAAAATAACTAAAACCACTGTTTAATAGTATATTCTGTTTTAGGTATGTGCAAAATGTAAAAACATTAATGCTAAACCTAGTGAACCTAAAACAGTAGAAGCACCCGATGCATACTATAGGTAAATATATATTCTATATAACAATTAAGAAAGTTTTAACAAAAAAATCTGTTAATATCAACAATTGTTGTTATTCAGGAGATTAGGTGCCATGGGCGAAAAGCAAGCAAACCAGGAAATATTAGAAAGATTACAAAAGCTAAAAGAAGGTAAAAGTACACCTTTAACTAAAGATGAAGAAATCAAAAACCGTCTCCAGAATATCAAAGGTGAAACACCCACTACTTCAGACGCAGAGATATATTCCAGACTGGCAAAATTGAGAGGAGTCCCTGTTGAAGTAGTTAATGCTAAGGTAATTTGAAGAAAATCACATAAAATAGCAATTTATATTGTTTACATACAATTTACATGCTCATCAATTAGGGGTGTTTTGTTTCAGCCAGTATTACCTCCACCTGACACAAGAACAGAGCAACAGCAAGCAGATGACTTAGTAAAACAATACATTGAACAAACTGGCATTGATACTAAATACCAAGATGAATTTGATGGAATTATCAGCAGTATTGAGTCTCGGGTGCAGAAACTTAAAGGTTCAAAACCTGCTCCGGTAGCAGTGGCACAAAGCAAACCAGAGGAGAAAAGTGATGAATCCGAGGATGAGGAAACCAGTGTCAAAAAAATTATTGAAAAGGTAAATAGTAGCAACTTCAAAACTTTTAATCTTACCACTTAACTTGCTTTGCAACTAGCAATCTTACTTTTCATTAGATTACATCTTGTGTAAAGTTTTCAATCCAATAAATACTAAAATTATTTTGTAGATTAAGAAAGAGGCAACTTTCGAAGATGAGACCCCTCCATGTGATGAACTACCATTTTGTGAGATTTGCAATGAAGATGCAAGGATGAGGTGCCTTGGATGCCGATATCTGTTCTGCAAGAGATGCTTTTTAGATCACAAGGATGATGATGATGGCTGTGATAGATATGAACCTTACGAAGCCCCAAAGAATAAAAATTATTAAAATTGTTAATTAGAAGTCCTTGCAAGTAAATTATTATTATATCATAGATATTGTACATATTCCATATAATCCATAAATTATATTCTAATATAGAAATGATAAATAAAACATCTTAGTCCTTTATGGTTTTAATTTATTTTTATCAAATTCCTCTATAATGCCGGGGATGTGTTTAATTAATTCTGCTTCTGATAGTTTGTAATTACTCTCAATCCAAATATCTTTGATTTTGCTAATGATAGGTCCATACATTTTTCCAGGTGGGACTCCAGCTTCTTTTAAAACCTTACCACTAATTGGGAACCTGGGTACAGTCCATTCACTGAACTGATCAAAGAGTTTATCTCCTCTGTATTTTAATACTTCCTTTACATATTCAATTGCATCCTTTTGTTTTATTTTGGAATTCAAAACTAGTTTTTCATATGGTCTGAAAATAAAAAAAAATAGTAGGCACAGACACAATCTAAAACTGATCATCTTGTAAGTAATGATAAGTGAACTCACAATAATGGTCTGCTGCCTTCCTTGTCTCCTCTATGTTCCACCAGGAAGTATGCAAGATCTCTATCATAACCAGAAAATTTCAACCTGTTGTATAGAACTGTCACCTCATCCAGATCTGTTAGGAGGGCTGCCAAGTAAGAAATTGGATGCAAGTTCAGGTGTTCAGCTCTTTTTAGCAACCTCTCCAGTTCCCCTACATTTGGAGATGCTGGTAAACCTGCAGGGTACAGTGTTATTATTTTCTACACATTAATAATTTTACTAAGAGAGTTGGAAGTTGGTTAATAAAGAAATATTTACCTATGTATTCGCCAACACCCACATCAATCATAGTCTTCAATAGATTACCAGCAAAATTACCCTGCAGCATCTTTTTTAATTCCACCCAAATTCTTTCCCCTGATATGTTTTGAAGGCCTTTTACATTATCTCTCAAAACTTTAAGGGTATTTTCCTCATGGTTGTCAGGTTTGTCTGCTATCTTTCCATAGAAACGAAAATATCTCATTATTCTTAAGTAATCCTCTTTGACTCTTCTATCAGGGTCACCAACAAAGACAATCTTTCTTTTTTTTAAATCTTCATAACCAAAGAAATAGTCATACACAGAGCCATCAAAACCTAAAACAATAATTAATTAATATCCAAGACTAAAAGCAATAACATTTATGAAGGTACACACTTAAACATACAAAAATAAGTGCCATTGCTTACCAAGAAACATAGAATTGATTGTAAGATCTCTCCTGTTGGCATCAAGTTTCCAATCTGTAGTAAACTCTACTTCTGCATGGCGTCCATCGGTGAGTACATCTATCCTCAGTGTTGTCACCTCAAAACTCTCCTTGTCATTAATCCTGGCTGTTATAGTGCCATGCCTCTCTCCGTTAGCATTTATCATTCTAATATTTTCAGTAGTAAACATTTCTTTCATTTGTTGTGGTGTTGCTGTTGTTGCGAAATCGAGATCTTTTGGATTTAGACCCATCAAGAGATCCCTGTGAACATTTCATATTATTGCGACTATGTAGTTCTATTTAACTTTAATATAATTGTAATTTTATTGTACAAAGAACACAATAAACCATTTTAGGAAATACTGATGCAATGCTATGTAAACATGACAACATAATGACTATTGCTACCTTACTGCACCACCGGCTATTCTTATTTCATATTTATATTTATCAAAGATATTCTTTAATGCCAAAACTTCCGGGGTAAAGATACTCTGGAATTCTGTCGAGTCTAAACGTAACACGACTGGATTTTCACGACATTTTAATTCTTCATCCATTTTCGATCGAGTAATGCGGCGTAAAATCGTTGTCTTATTTAGTGTTGAGTATGCCTGAAAGGTAATAAATATATATATATATATAACGACAGTCTTAAAACATAAAAGAAATTTTAATTAGTTCTCAAAGATAGTTGCTATGTAAAATTGATATTCCAAGGAACTGAGCACCGCCACCTTCCTAACCTACGTAAAGTGAATTGTTTTATTATAACCTAAAATAATTACCCTTTTTGGAAAGATTCTACTAAGCTTGAATATTTCTAGACATATAGTGTACATAACTCTTTTTAACGTTTTTAAATAGGTAATTTATTCTTAATCCCAGGCACTAACAAAATCAATACAGTTTTGATTGTAACTAACATAAATATGTCAAAATCAGATGACAATGACTTTAATTTGCGTCAATCTGTCATTCGATAAATAGAATGGCACAGACCATATCGTCGTAGAGGTGAGGTGAGGCAGCCATCATTATCACTGACTAGATTAATTTTTGACTTAACTATTATGTATATTTTCTAGTAGAATCTCGTCTGTTAGAAAAACTTGAATGTAAGAATCTTATAAGAAAGACTCTTTATTTCTTAAAAATTCAAACTCATCGCATATTCCTTGGCGTATTCAGAATTTCGTAACAAAGATTTTCGTATTCAGAATTACATTACGCAATTTATAAGAGATAGGCAGAAGTGCACATAATGATTAGTTTATTTTTTAAAATGTAGTACCTATACTTAAATGTAAACTCAACAGGAACTTCTTGATACTTTAGTACTCGCAAGTGTGATTATTAATGATTACTGAACTCTTCGCCTCAAGTTTTACTCCCAAACTGTGGGTTATGCCAGTCCCCTGCAAAATCAGTATTTTTGTATAAAATAAAACACCGATACCATAATCACAACCGAATCGGTATATTTTGTATTCTTGTAAAATAAAATAGAGTTCAATATTGTACACACTATTCTATGTTGTATGAAACTAAAAGTCAATGATATTACAATAGTTCTTAATTTTTACAGAAAAAAATTAAAATAAAAAAAAAACAATTATCCACCTTTATTGGTTAAAATACATTTTAATAATTACAAATATTTTTGATTGGCTTATGGCAGAATCTAAAGCTAGTGTCATTTGCCACCCATTAAACTATTCATCCCACTGGAGCCCTGTTGCAACTGCCTCATCATGTTGTGGAGCCCAGTCATGCCACCCATCTGCTGTAAGATGCGTGGGTCCATCATCTTTGCCATTTGTTGGTTCAGTTTAACCATTTGAGTTTGGTTAACATTCTTTGCCATGTCACCTCCTTTGAATAATCCTTTAATACCTCCCATCTTCTTCACAACTGCTGCAAACTTAGTGTACTGTGCAATCAAATCTTTAACATCTCTTTCCGTGACACCCGCGCCTTGTGCAACTCGCGTGATTCTGGTGGGTTGTTTCGAGAAAAGTTTGGCGCCATCACGATGGTCCAGCTCTCCTTCGTTCATAGAGTCCATAATGGTCATAAGTCGTTTCAGTTTAGCCATTGATTCTTGTTCACTGCCTTTTGACATTAGATCCTGAGAGAATCCTGGGATCATGCCCTGTTGAAAGTGTAAATATTTTTATATAATTACCATTATAAATAAAACCAACGAGTTACAAATACAACTCAAACCAGATTAGAACATACCATAATTTGTGAAAAAGGGCCCATTTTCATAATGTTTTGGAATTGTTCATACATAGCACGCAATGTGAACTGTCCATGTTTGAGTTTTTCTAATAATTCATCATTATCATCCAGTTTGAGCTCATTCACTTTATCCAGAAGGCCTTCAATGTCTCCCATGCCGAGTAGTTTATTGATGAAAGGTTTTGTTTTGAATGGTTCCAGGTCATCAATGTGTTCTCCAGTACCTATGAAAATGATAGGACTCTGTGTGGCTGCAACACTAGAAAAAAAATTCTTTTTGAAATATTAATACAATAAATATCTAAATAATGATAAATGTTATAGCAAATTAATAAACCTGTTATACAACAGTCAGTGTTATGTCAATACTGACATGAATTTTTATCACAAATTCACAGTTGATTTCCATCTGGCATTGATCCACTTCTGTATGTTTTTACACAAAGTGGTAAATAAATATTGGATTCTATACATGCTACTAGAAACTTACGCTGACAGTGCACCACCTCCCTTGGCGTGTCCATCTAACTTTGTGATAATAACTGACCCAATGTCTACTCTATCTTTGAAAGCTCTGGCTTGGGCCTCACAAGCCTGTCCAATTGCAGCATCCATCACGAATATTATGTTATCTGGTTTCTGAAAAATTGAGCATATTTTATTACTTAGATTTACAATCAATTTTAAAACATTTACAATCAATAAACAACATTTTCATTAAGATTTTACGAATAGATAGGCTAAGAGCTATATAACTATCTACACATCGACATTCTATCATAATCTGCTCAGTGGTTTGGGCTTGTAAGTACATACAAAGCAAGAAACTTACAATAGCATTAGCAACAGCCAACATCTCCTCAAACAATGACTCTTCCTGTTTGTGACGTCCACTAGTATCCACAATGATCATCTCAAATCCTTCCTTCTTGAACATTTCCACACCAGTAGTTGCTATCACTACTGGATCAACTTCTGTATAACTGAAAAAGATAAAACTATTGATTAATCTTTTTTTTTATTAAAAAAATGTTGCCCCACAGTTGGATTATCTCCTGTGTCGTGGGTGCATTTACAAACATACAAGTTCACATACACAAAGACACCCAGACCCGAAACAACAATTTGTGGATCACACAAAGTGTTGTTCCGTGTGGGAATCGAACCCGCGACATGTTGCACGGCAGCCGGTCACCCAGCCACCGCACCAACCGTGCAGTCAATATATCTGTGCAGTGCAGCAGTGCAGAAAATAATCTGACTGTAAACTTTAGGAATCTTACAAGTTACAAATCAAAAATTGTATTATAAATGATGGGATTATAGAAAAAGGAGTTTCTCAAAAAGGAAGTTGTCAATAGTCATGATTCAGACTTCTATGAAAAAGAAAACTTACCTTCCGTAGAAAGGTATTCTGGCCTTAGTACAATTCTGTTTGACCTGATCATAGGCACCCGCTCTGAATGTATCAGCACAGACTAGACATGATTTCCAATTCTTTCTCAAGTAATGGTATGCAAGTTTTGTACAAGTAGTGGTCTTCCCTGAACCTTGCAGACCTACAAACATGATGACATTGGGTTTGCCTTTGATTGGTTGATAAGGTTTCACGCCTGGGTCCACCAGCTGAAATTATCACAATATTTTTCAACTCATCTGTTTATAGTTATTAACACTTTCTCTAAACTGTGCACAACTTAGAGACAAATAAAAGCACTGATATTTTGTTTTTACATTTAGTATTTTATCAAATGTCTTATTAGAATATTGCAATGTGTTTGTACTCATACCTTGACCAGTTCTTTGAAGACAGCAGACTGTATCATCCGTCTCTTGTTGAGACCACCAGCCATCTCGTCAAAGTCAATGACCGCGCGAACATTTTCACGGAGATTCTTCACTAAACGAATATTCACATCAGCTTCCAGAAGAGCGGCGCAAATTTGTTTTAGCATAGAATTTAAAACCTGAAAGTGATTTACAATTCAATGAATAAATGTTCAAGTAGAAAGATTGCAATAACATTTTCGTAAATAAAACTTACATCTTCATTTATGATGGTAGCTCTGCTTAGAGACTGCAGAGCAGTGGTAATTTTGCGACCTAAATCCGCTAAAACCATCTTGAAAACTAGTAAATCGTGGTTACAATATTATGATTATTGCCAAATGTTTGACATCAGCTGTTGGGACAAAATCTTGATTTTAACGAAAATAGAGCCTGAAATATAAACACTTCAGATACATTTTAAGATGGCATTGATATAAAAGTAACAAATAACTGCACGTTTCAGATAATTTATTTAAAATACACAACACCACTTCGTAAGTATTTCTCCATACGACAAAAACCATAAAATGACATGAGGCGTACACGACGATCAGACACGTCAAGTTACGTTTTGTTATATTATTATGGAAATAATTTGTAACTAATTTATTGGGAGACGATATTATTAGATGCATGTACAATAATGTCAAGTTTTTAATATAGTTGGACCATTTGTAACAATAAATATTTATACTAAAATAAAAATGTTGCATTTAACAAAACGCTTTTAGGTCCTTTATAGAGTAGTAATTCGATTATTAAAAAAAAAAACGATAATTACCGCAAATGCAAAGTGGACTTCACTTAAATAGCTTATAGGCAGCTCTAATAAAAGTCAAAGAGAATAAGAGACAATATTCTTACAGCATCTGTGGTTCCACAAATTCCGCTTTGTAATCATCGGTGTCTGAAGTCATAGTCATTGATTTTGATCGAAATAAGTTAGAATTTTATATTAAATTGGAGTTTTAGGAAAAACACGTAATGGTAAGTAATAACTGTCCTTAAGATTCAATCAATTACATTCAAATATTTTGAGTTCGGTCATAGTAGAATCCACTAAATCTGTTTCGCTATTAGGGTCAGAATCAATCTGGCGGAGGCAGCGGTGGAGACAAAAAAGATGACAAAGATAAGAAGAAGAAATATGAACCTCCAATCCCTACTAGGGTTGGCAAGAAGAAGCGCAAGGCTAAAGGACCTGATGCTGCGTTAAAACTACCTCAAGTGACACCACACACTCGGTGTAGACTGAAGCTGTTGAAATTAGAAAGAATTAAGGATTACCTGCTTATGGAGGAGGAATTCATCCGTAATCAAGAAAGACTGAAGCCCCAGGAGGAAAAGATTGAAGAGGAAAGGTCTAAGGTGAGATATTGTTTTCTTTGTCTTGAACAACTGTTTGATAATGTAGAGAAATAAAGCAATTCATTACACCGTAGAGTTACATATGGTAAAACTGGAGTCTTAAATCTTATTTGAATTTTCACCTTTATGTAAATAATAATTTTTGTATGTGTAATGTTGTCAGGTGGACGACCTTAGAGGAACTCCAATGTCTGTGGGCAACTTGGAGGAAATCATTGATGACAACCATGCTATTGTTTCTACCTCTGTGGGTAGTGAGCACTATGTCAGCATCTTGTCCTTTGTAGACAAGGATCAGCTGGAGCCTGGCTGCTCAGTGCTCTTGAACCATAAGGTAAACTGTAACTTCTAATAAGGTTATAACTATTTTTAATTTATGGTTACCCTTGTTTTGTACATTTTCAAATGTTTATTTGTTGTCAGGTACTTTCCGTAAACTAACAAAATTGTCTGTAATGTTTCACAATAATAGGTTTATTTTATTTTAATGTTCCTCACAATTCAGTTTTAGGTGCAAACAAGTTAGTTTGGGCTTAGTTAGTTGCTATATTTGTTCCATTTTGCTTTCTTGACTTCAGAAATATTGTTTTGATTTTAATTTCTATTTATAGGTACTTGTGATGGTAATGATAACTATATAGATATAAGTTACCAATTATAACCAGTCAATGTGTGTTGCTAGGTTCATGCTGTAGTAGGAGTTTTGGGTGATGATACAGATCCTATGGTCTCAGTTATGAAGCTGGAGAAGGCTCCACAGGAGACCTATGCTGATATTGGAGGTCTGGACACCCAGATACAGGAAATTAAGGTAAAGGGTGCTATTATACAATAAAACATCTTGTTGTACATTGTAGTACATTGATTTGTTACTGACATTATAATATATTTTAGGAATCTGTGGAGCTGCCACTTACTCACCCAGAATACTATGAAGAGATGGGTATCAAGCCTCCTAAGGGTGTGATTCTCTATGGTCCGCCTGGAACTGGCAAGACCTTGTTAGCCAAAGCTGTTGCCAACCAGACCTCTGCCACTTTTCTGCGAGTTGTTGGCTCAGAGCTCATTCAGAAATACTTGGTAAAATGAAATTCTTAATTTGTGATTATTTTGTAAATTAATCAAAACAAAATTATGTAATTAATGGTAATATTTATTTGTGCAGGGAGATGGACCTAAACTTGTTCGTGAACTATTCAGGGTAGCTGAAGAGCATGCTCCCTCAATTGTGTTTATAGATGAAATAGATGCTGTGGGCACAAAACGGTACAAAAATTATTACACTTCATTCTTAAATAAATCATATTAATTAGTTACTGTGGTTCTAACCATGTTAATATTTCAGTTATGATTCAAATTCTGGTGGAGAGAGGGAAATTCAGAGGACTATGTTGGAGTTACTGAACCAGCTTGATGGATTCGATTCACGAGGTGATGTCAAAGTAAGTAGGACATTGTCTTGCAAGGTCAATCAATCCGATATAGTTTTGTTTAGACATGTTCATTACATTATATGTAACATATTATATTACATTGGAGTCATAGCATATCTTGTGGAAAATGGGTGGTTTGCCTAACCCTTTAAGAAAAGCTTGATATTTAAGTATGTAAGTAAATTTTTATTTGTAATGTTATGCATACTAACAAATACCTTATAATCCACAGGTAATCATGGCCACAAATCGCATAGAGACATTAGACCCTGCATTGATTCGACCCGGACGTATAGACAGGAAAATCAAATTTCCTCTGCCTGACGAGAAGACTAAGAGAAGGATCTTCACCATTCATACATCAAGGATGACTCTAGCTGACGATGTCAATTTATCCGAACTTATTATGTCTAAAGATGATCTGTCTGGTGCAGACATTAAGGTACTATCTTGTTTGTCTTATTTCAACTGAATTATAATTTATAACTTTCTCATTTTCTAATGCTACGTTCATATTTCAGGCAATTTGTACTGAAGCTGGATTGATGGCGTTACGAGAACGCCGCATGAAGGTAACTAATGAAGATTTCAAGAAATCAAAGGAGAGTGTCTTATACCGCAAAAAGGAAGGCACTCCTGAGGGACTTTACCTATAAAGAGTTTCCATTTAATAATATACATAGTTGTTTAATTATTAATTTTGCATCTGTCTTCTATATTTTTCGCGCAATAAAATGTGCTATATAATGATATTATTGCATTTTTAATATTATTAACTTTACATATCAATATTATTTTTTACAATTGTTTTTATGAACGAAAATCTATTTCTTATATGGCAGTATAATTATATAATATAATGTGCACCTCTGCCTACCCCTTCGGGGATAAAAGGCGTGATGTTATGTTATGTAATTATAATAACACCATTCGAAGTTTTTACAATGCGATTCTTAAGATATCTATAATCTAATCCTATACTTCTTATACTCTTTGTATCTAATAAAAATAAGTAATAATGTACTTCCCTGTTTTCCCTTCTATCTTACTTATCCACCTATAAAAAAATTCTACGCAAAATAACTATAACTTTATATTATAATGGTCTTTATAACCATTATAATATAAAGTTATAGGTTTTTTGTTAAATGAATCTCCAGACCTATATTTTGAGTATACACAATAGTAGGAACCGAGCAGCGGGGACGGAGTCTACTCCGTACGTAATATTAATATCTATTGTATTATAATGAAATTAATATCAAAGGCTATGTTCATGATCATTAAAGAAATGAGTGACCCGCTCGATAAGTGGTAAAGTGCTAAATTAAACGGATGTAAATTCAATTTCAATTTTATCGATTCGCTTGGTACGTTAAGAATTATTAAATGAATGTTTACAAAGTTTTATTTGTACACTTTGTAACTTTGCACATTTTTTTTCTTATTTTCATTAGTCGATTTTCCTAAAAATCATAACTGTCATCATCGGCCGCTTAATTTACGGTTTTTATTATCTGTGGATGATAGCGCAGCATTAATCTAAACATAGGTTTTCGAGACGTGTAGGACGTTTGCTTAGCTTAGCTTTGTTTTATTGAATACACAAGTAGGACACCCTGCCATTGAATACTACTAAAACAGTTTTAAACATAATGCGTGAGCCCCAAAGAATTTTTGAATGAGTGACACCGGCAGTGAAACAGAGGAGGCGACAGAGCACACGGCACTCATGGACGGCCACATCGCAGAAGCTCGTCCCGATCGGGTGATCGCTGAAAGAATAGCGAAGAAACGAAAGACTAAACCAGATAATCAGCGATCATACGGTGTAAGTATTATTCATTCCACAACTACATTTCAATTACGTATATGGAATTGCATTTCAGACACAATCTATGACTAAACCATTAGTCAACACCCACTATCGAAGTTGATGAAAAAGTGTAGTATTTCCTTAAAAGTCTAGTTGTATGTACGAGACATTTCTAAACTTCACATTACAACATTAATATTTGCTGTTTACTGCTGCCTAATTTTCTATTTACATAAAATAGTAACAACATTTATTTACATTGATTCTTTAGTAAATAACAGTTTGTTACAGTAGTCTTGTTAAAATGACAGTTAGTATTGTTTAGAATCCGATGCTTATGTTTTGAATTTCTTTTAGTTGATAAATACAGAGGTAATAACTTCATGACAGGCATGTGACTGCAAGCTGCAACATAGTAAATTGAATGTGTGCCAATTTATACAATGCACCACATTTTTGTGATTGGTTCTTTATATTGTGCCGCCATACTTTATGTTGTGGTTTTTAAAAGTTTATCTATAAGCAATACTTTAATTTTTTTGTTTTTTCAGAGTGTGGATGGAGTTTCTGGTGCTGCCTCAGGGTCAGGCGGCAGTACAGCCCCCAATGCTGCCCCGCCACCGCCCCCACCAGAGCCCCAACTTGAGGAGCTAGAACTGAAATATGGAGCCCGCCATGTCATCAAACTGTTTGTGCCTGTCACTCTCTGTATGCTTGTTGTGGTCGCAACAATATCATCAATCAATTTTTATTCAGTTAAAGATGTATATTTGTAAGTATTTTAACAGTACAAAACCATATCTTTATTTTAACTAAATTTTTTAGTTAATGTTTGATGTGTTTCCAGAGCCTACACACCTTTTCATGAGGAAAGTCCATATGCAGTGACAAAAGTATGGAATGCTCTTGCCAACTCTCTGATCCTGCTCAGTGTGATTGCCTTAATGACTGTGTTACTCATAGTACTATACAAGAAGAGATGCTACAAGATCATTCACGGGTGGCTCATACTATCCTCACTCATGTTGCTGTTCTTGTTCTCATATTTATATATTGAGTGAGTACTTATTTAACTAACTTCCTATAACATTTTTTCTAAAGTAAAACTATAAAAGCAAAGGTAATGATTGAGGAGTAGTTTAAATTGTAGTTCCTCCACTTAGAACCTTTCATTCCAATTAATTATTGAGATCTAAAGCCTATCACAGTGTAGTTTGAACAAAAATATGAGAAAGAAGTAGGAATATCTAAAAGTAATATAGTAGTAATGGTTTTAAATAATTTTACATTTATTTAATGTGAATATAAATATGCTTATGTATTCCGAAATTACATAAAATGCAAACATTTATTACCATTGTTCATTGAGCACAACATCTACTAATTGGAAAAAAAAAACAACAATAATTTAAGAAAACCAGGAAATTGTTCTTCTTTCCTTCCTCCTTTACATTTTAATAAAATCATTATTGATATTTATTTATTTTAAACTGTCAAACACCAAGCGGTCACCGGTGACCGTAACCTATTGTTCTATAACTGTGTCTATAATGACGGTACTCAACGAGTTAAGAAGTAATATTTTTCTTTTCTTCATTCTTCAAAACATTTTTTAATTAAGTTCCTAATATGACTTGTGTAATTTTCAGGGAAGCCTTAAGAGCCTACAACATTCCAATGGACTACATAACATTATTATTTGGCATGTGGAACTTTGGTGTAGTGGGTATGATTGTGATCCACTGGAAGGGGCCATTGAGGCTGCAGCAGGCCTATCTTATATTCATTGCGGCACTAATGGCACTTGTCTTTATCAAGTACCTGCCTGAGTGGACCACTTGGGCTGTTCTAGCTGTCATATCTATTTGGGGTAAGCAGTATAACTTATATTAAACTTATCAAGTGTAATATTCTTCCAAAATTGATATATTCTCATGTTCTAATGTCACTTTTTCAGATTTAATAGCAGTGTTAACCCCAAAAGGGCCTTTAAGAATACTAGTAGAAACAGCACAAGAACGAAACGAACCAATATTCCCTGCCTTAATTTATTCATGTGAGTATTGATTAAAGTTCTCCTTAAACAATTATTGATTAGTTGCTGACCTGATACTATTTGAAAAAAGTGTGTCAATGTAGTAAGGCTGTTTGAATTACTAATGATATGCAGTGTTACAATTACATTTGTACCTGTTATAAGCTATGCCTCTATGGAACTTTAATAATGCTAGGTGACAAAATACTCTCTTTTGTATGACACAAAAGATGGACAAAAATGGTTATTTTTGACAGGTACAACTGAGAATTTCGGAATATAAATCGTAATAAATACTTTTTAGCTTTGGAAATCATTAATTTTGTATTTTCTGTTCAATTGGATATAGAGCTATCAAATCCTGGAATAGAAAGAGAATATTTTTCAGCAACGTAAAGTAAGAAAGTGATATTTGTGATAATTTCAGCGACCGTGATGTACTGCCTGGCGGCGACGACGACGGGCGGCACTGAGGGCGGCGCGGAGACGCGGCCGAGCTCGACGGGCGCAGCCGGGCGGGCGGGCGCGGCCGGCGCGGCAGGTGAGCCGCGCGCTCGTGAGCTGCGTCCTCTCAACCCGCACGGTCCGTCTCCCCATTTCCCACTTGCGCATCCCATATTAGGCTGTTACTGTCACTCACATACATTCTAACTACATCTTTAACATTCTATTTGACTAAAGCTTTACCTCTTACTTCTTCCGAGCCGCTGTTTATTTAAAAATATGACTCTGCAGCAGATGACTGGTATAACAACAATAAAAAATTGGTATATGTAGTAAATTTACAAATGAGGTAAAGCATGGCATTGATCAAGATATTCTAAAAGGATGTTTTGTTTAGGTTCCCGGGAAAACGAGACGAACGAGGCGGCGGGGGCGGGTGGCGACGCGGCCGGGTTCGACTCTGCGTGGCGAGCGCGCGCGCAGCAACAGCGGCGCCTGCGCGTGGACACGGTGGAGCGCGCCGAGCCGCCGCGGTACACCACGCGCATCGACCGCCCCAACACCGCGCACGCCGCGCCACAACCTGGCGCTGACGACGAAGAAAGTAAGTATTTGTTTACCACTATTATTTTTCGATTGTTCATTAATTACATTAGATTACAACCCTGAGCTCTAAACATGCATTTACAGTTAATATTGTTGTTCTTTATTCAGTTAGTAGGTAAATATAGTTTTTTCTTACACACTTTGGTGTAATATTACTCAGATTGACTGTGTGTACCTTTAACTATGCTGTTTTTCTTATCAGAGGGTGTGAAGCTCGGGCTGGGTGACTTCATATTCTACAGCGTGTTGGTCGGAAAGGCCAGCTCTTACGGAGACTGGAACACAACGCTCGCCTGTTTTGTAGCTATATTAATTGTGCGTATTATTTTACACTATTCATTCAATTTATTTTCTTTATATTTTTGGTGTGCCGACGTTTGACCACTATCTCAGTATTTGACAGTTTGACGTGAGCATTCTACTTCTTGGCTCACATGTGCTCCAAATTATAATAATATGATTTTGTTTTGTCAACAGGGTTTGTGTCTAACACTACTTCTGCTAGCAATACTCAAGAAAGCGTTGCCGGCGCTTCCAATTTCAATAACGTTCGGTTTAATATTCTACTTCGCTACGCGATGCGTCGTCAAGCCGTTTGCGGATGCGCTAGCAGCAGAACAAGTGTTTATTTAGCAACAGCCTTCTTTTGCTCACACAATAGGATAGACAAGACTTGTTTCATCAATTATGGTGAAAATAAAACATGCTAATACGGTTTGCCTTACATACAAGAAGATTGTTTTATCAGATTACCGTAGGGCTCGCTCATATGCCAATTTTTATTACAAGTACCGAATGTACGGAGGATCGACTATACAGGTATAAAAATTGTGGCGTTCAAGTTGAAATAATAAGTGTAGATATTAGGAGATAGCGCGGAAAAGTGAATTGAATATTAATGCAATAAATTGAATTAGACACCAAATAGTGTTAATATTTCCAATGTACATAGTAATATTTATTGAGAATAAAGAAGTATTATGAATAGGATATGTAACACTTGTATTTCTCCTTTTTGATCTCTTCTATTTGGCAGGACCAGAGATGCCCTAACTTATTAAGAGAAGAACTATCCAAACTTAGAAATGCCTTTTTAACGTTGTGTATGTAAGTAAGCTCTGTTATGAAAATTTTTACATTCCATTTTATATGTTACGCGTGAACAATTTTTATATAATAATTAATTAGCTCTCACATACTCTGCAAATGTTTGTGTTAACTATTTGTAAAGCATTACGTGTGACGCGATGGCCCATGCCTGAGTCGCGCACTCACAGCTCGTATTTTATGTCGATAATACTTATGTTCTCACTTTATATTGTAAACATATTATTCATAATATTTTCCTTGACAAAAGTAAATGAAATTAAACTAATTTGATCGTTTTATTGGATGCCAAAGATTATTTATTCCTCAGGGTGTAAACGTGCTCTCAACAAACGCCGACAGGTGATGGTCAAACACAAGTTTTATTTTCATATTTCTTATTTTCTTATACTAGCTGACTCGGCAAACATTGTTTTGCCATATAAATAACTAGCTTCTGCCCACGACTTCGTACGCGCAATCCCGATATTTCCCGTTCCCGATCTTGATTTTCGGTAAAAAGTAAAAAAAAGAATTGGGTAAAAAGTATCCTATGTCCGTCTCCTGGTTCTAAGCTACCTCTTCACCAATTTTCATCCAAATCGATTTAGCCATTTTTAAGTTATAAATAGTGTAACTAACACGACTTTCTTTTATATATATAGATTTCGTAGAAGGGTAAAAATTGAGGATTGTATGTATTTTTGTATGTTGTAACATAAATGAATAGAAATTAAGAATGTTGTCTAAAAAATAAATTTAGGGTTGGACTACCCCTAACATTTAGGGGATGAAAAATAGATGTTGGCCGACTCTCATATATACCGGATAAGCACAAAAAATTTCATCAAAATCGGTCAAGCCGTTTCGGAGGAGTATGGCAACGAAAACTGCCACGACAATTTTATATATTAGATGTAATAATAGTTGTAACCAACTGCTCAAGCCTAATGTTGCTTATACAACAAGAAAACAATAACGATTTAAATTTTCGTTTAAACCCTGTATAGTACTACAATCATTAAACATTGACTTTCCCCATAGGCTCTATTACAATGTCATAAGCTCGGACATGGCCGACACTTCTAGCATATAGGCCTCCGTTTTTTTTTGTACCTACCATCATTGTCACACGAGTTTTTGACAAGACCACCGGAAGCATTTTCAAATGTTTACCACAAAAGAAAATCCATCTGGCATCTTGTCGCTATATCCAACCAGCTACTCGGATGCTGCTCGGTTCCTTTTGATCGTAGTGTGATGTTTTATAGTCTATCTATAGCCTTCCTCGATCAATGGATGATACATAAAATGAATTATTCAATTCGAATCAGTAATTCTGGTAGTTAGCGAATTCAAAGCTAAGTTTACATACCACGGATAAAATAAACAAAATTTCTTATGGAATACAGTTGCATAGAGGAGTCTAAACCCGGAAATCGGACTAAAAACCTTGTAACCTGCAGTTGTGTACACATTTCTGTAATAACGAGGTTGTGTGAATATAAGCGTCGGTACAATATAAAGATAGGTTTATTTTTTAATGTTTTAATATATAAATGTACATAATGTAATAAAAATATATTTTATTGCTTAAACATCAAATATTGCTCTTTTATATGAATTTCTTTCGGATGAAATTACCAGTGTACTTGTTACTGTGTATAACATTTTACATAATATAGCTATAAACTTATGACAAAATAAAACAGTACGACACTTTCTTAGCAACACGTTCTTTTTAATAAATAATAATTCACTCACTATTTTCATAATTAATATAATCCCATTCACTAACATTTTATCGTGGCTCTAATATAATATTGGAATTTCGCTCTAATAAAGTGTTGACTGATATAACAACAATATAAATATTTGAAGTACATAATTTGAAATAAACATTTATAATTGCACTAATTGGTGACTGGTAACTAACAATATGAGTAACGATAAACTGTACAACATGTAACAAGTGAGGTGATTACAATAGGTACAATAATTTTGCACTAAAAATTATTATTATATCATTAAGATTCCTTAAAATAATATATGTATCTATGTTTGCATATATTTCAAGTTATCTCTTCAATTAGCAGCAAAAGATTTACAGTGATGTTGAATTATTTTTATCATTAAAAAATTGGTCCAATAAATGTTAACAAATCACACATATCACAATTATAAAAAAATATATTCTAACGTATGAAGAACCGCATCCTTTCAAAGTTAAGTAACAAGAGTTGTAAAAGTTTAGCATAATACAAATCCTCAACATTATATAATTAAGAATAAAGATTGGAATGGAAAGGAATGTGAACTAGGTAATAAATTAGTGCAACTATTCGCCTATGGGCCTAGATCTAGTGGCGTAGTGTAGTAATAGTAACATCGTGGTGGGACCATACGAGTATAGCTCAACAACTGCTTTACAAAAATATCGTAATTTTTCATGAAACTTAAAAAGGAGCATACTCTATTGACCCCACCCCTACAGATAATTAAAGTTATTTAACTACATCGTGAAGATTTAATTTCTAAGTAATGTGTGTCATGTTAATAGGGAAAGAGTATAAATTATTGTACACAATCGTACTCTACATGAGTATGTAAATGCAGTTTGCAGATCTTAATAATATTTTAGAACAGTAATTAATTATTATTAACCCACCCAATGCTTTAAGTTCCCACATATGTTTTGTTCCTTTCTGAGAGATCTTTAATCTATTACATTTAAATTAAAATACCACAACCATATTTAACTTACTGGACAGGCACATGGATTTCAGCAGGACCATCCTTCTTTATGACTTTCAAAGTTTCCTTAGTCGGTTTGATGGTGTCTGACGGAATTTCCTCCTTTATTGGTTTGGGTTTAGTTTCTGCAGTTTGCACTTTGGGTTCTTCTTTTTTAGGTTCGGCGGCTTTAGGAGGTGGCGAGGAAGGTTTCTCGGCTGCCTTTGGTGGTGGAGGTGTAGTCTTTTCTGCCGGTTTTGGTGGTGGCGGGGAAGGTTTCTCCGCAGCCTTAGGTGGTGGAGGAGAAGCCTTTGCCGCAGGTTTTGGTGGTGGAGGAGGAGTAGACTTATCAGCAACCTTTGTTGGTGGAGGTGTAGCCTTTTCTGCAGGTTTTGGTGGAGGCGGAGTAGCCTTTTCAGCCGGTTTCGGTGGTGGTGGGGAAACCTTCTCTACAGGTTTTGGTGGTGGTGGAGGAGTCTTTTCAGCAGGTTTGGGTGGACGTGGAGGAGTCTTTTCAGCAGGTTTGGGTGGAGGTGGAGGAGTCTTTTCGGCAGGTTTTGGTGGAGGAGGAGTAGTCTTTTCAACAGGCTTAGGTGGTGGAGGAGCAGTCTTTTCAACAGGCTTAGGTGGTGGAGGAGCAGTCTTTTCAACAGGCTTAGGTGGCGGAGGAGTAGTCTTTTCGACAGGCTTAGGTGGCGGTGGTGGAGTAGTCTTTTCAGTAGGTTTAGGCGGCGGTGGTGTCGTGGGCTTGGCCTCTTGCTGAGGTTTAGGGGCAGCTTTAGGTTTTTCTTCAGTCTTCTTCACGGGTGGTTGTTGAACAGGCTTTGTCTCAACTTTAGGAGTTTCGGTTTGTTTGAAAGATTCGAATGCTTTCTTTAGCTGAGGAGGGGCATCTACTGCTCCGACATAGTCTTGTGTATGAGGACTACCGGTGTACAGCTTGCCATTGAACACAATGGCGTCACTGATGGGGCCTAAAGATTTGTCTGTGTTATAATATGTAGCCACAATATTTCCATCCCAATCCAATTGAACAAGTCCAGCCATTTGTGGAGCTATGCCAGACAAAGTTTTGAAGTGTCCAATCTGGAAAGTTTTAGAGCTTATATTAGTATTTTATCATTTAGAAGTAAGCATATAGTAGGTACATAAAATACAGGTATATATAATAGTTGTTTTTAGTTTTATTTTAATTAATTTTTATCTTAAGTTGTATATATTTAATTTGGTAATAGTCAGTAATAATTTTATTTAAGTTTTTATTAAATTATATACATAAATAAAATGTAGTATGTACATAAAAGTGTGATAGTTTTGACTTTATATACTTACGCTATATATGATTTCTTCAAATATGATGTTTGGGGAAAGGCTGTTAAGATATTCCAACGGTATCTCGACAAGTCTGTGAAGACGCGCTGCCAACTTCCTAACTAATGGCGCGGCCGCCATCAATTTCGTTAGGGGTGGTCGGTCTTCTTCGAATACAGTGTATAGCGCAACCAGGATACCAGAGCCGTCAGGCAGGGGACGCGCGTTGTCGGGGGCGCCTGTTTGTACAGATGGAAAGAACGCATCGAGTCAATATGAGTTGTAAAAATTAAACGGATGAATATAGTATGTCGACCGTAGTAACCACAATAATTATTATAGAGCACCTGTATCAATAATGACGTCATGAACTACCAACACCATGTTCTACATACGCTATTTTCAACAGTAACTTCTAAGTCGCTTCAACTACAATAATGTTTTACATTCATTTATTTTTATTTGCAATAATATTCTCATACCCAAAATGTTATGGACAAAATATATACGTGAGTGACGTTAACTTCAGAATAGAACCTGGAATAGAGATGTGTGTCTACGAAACAGGGAAAGCTGGACAGATGTTGGAAGTGTACTACCAGGTACTGGACGGACAACATGGAGATTTGGATATTAATTTCAAAGTTATTGACCCTAAGAACGCTACTCTACTGACGGATTATAAAAGTTCCGAAAATTCTATTATCATGGACTTGGAAATGGACGGAGATTACGCATTCTGTATGGACAACACATATAGTATGATGAATTCTAAACTTGTGTTCTTGTATGTGCTAGTAGAAGATAAAAATGGAGTGACTCGAAATGACATAGAAGCCAAAACGGCGGGGAGTGACAGCGGAGATGAACAGAATGACACTGAAGGCGACGGAGCCGAACCAAAAGAAGTATTAGAATGGGAGGGAACAGATGAAAACGGTGAGAGTTACTACTTGGAAGTGGGTAAAATCGCAGATTCCTTGTCGGTCACGTTAGCGCACGTGGTCAAGTCCCGACATCTGCTTAGCATATATGCTGCGACCAAGTCGCGCGACAGTTACTTGGCTTTCGAAGACACATTCATTGTCGACGTTTGGTCGGGCATTCAAATAAGTTTGATGTTTGTTGTGGGAATGTTACAAGTTTACATGATCAAGAAACTGTTCAGTCGAGACCATCTTGGATACAAAGACATTTATTGATTGATTTACCTCATTACTAGACGATAATTATCAAGTGGTTTGCTTCCAATGAAATGTTATTAAAATAAATAACATATACTAAGACAAAATACACTTTTTGAATTCCTATACAACACTGACTACTGACATGAAATTGTTTACAGACATTATTTGTGTTCAACTAGTTCCATGCTAATAGAGAATATTATGGTTCCTATATAATCATGACATGACCTCATCACGACACAACAAATGATAATGTCAGTAAATAGTGTAAAATAAACACTAGTAGGTAATACCAACGTGTGGTTATAACTAGGTAATTAATTCATATTATGTTATAAATAACTGAACTTATCCCTAGCTCTTTAAAAAAAACTTTAAAATACTATGATAAATAATATTATATTATTATACTAAAAACAAAAATTATCTAAAGAATAAATTCTAAAATCTTTGGACTGTGGACCTTAGTGTTAATTAATAATACAAAACTAAATAATTATTTTACAAACGATTTACAAGATTAATGGATTGATAATCCATTTTAATGATAAAATATTAAATTACAAGTTTTAGCCCAACCAATATTACTTACCTAATCATGATCAAAAAGTCGTGCAAATATTGCTTTTGAAAAGATATGGACTACGCGAGATTTATTGATAAGTTAGTTAGTCAGTTTATTTATTGATAAGTTAGTTTTTATAAAGCCAGTAATACTTTGCCCTACCCGGGAATCGAACCCGAGGCCCCTTGCCCGGCAGTCGCTCTTGTGACCACTCGGCCAAAGAGGCAGTCTGTCAGTCAGAGAAAAATAATAGGTTTAGAAATGCCAGACAGTTACAAATAGTTGTGAATCATGTACATTAAATCAATAGTATGAAGGACATGATGTGATTGGTGATTTTGAGACTAAATAATGCCAATAACTTACCTGGCAGTCCATCCACAAAAACTTCAGACTGTCCTTTTTTAGGTCCACGGAGATAGTATTTCATTAATCTGCTGCGGAATGTCTCGCAGACCAAAACAAAATCTTCATTGGGAGACACAACCACACCATTTGCAAACCACAAGTCGTCCAAAAGTACTTTACTTTGGTTTCTGACAGCATCATAATGGAACAATCTAAATAATTACAAATTAAATACATTAATATTGCTTAAAAGGTTCAAAATATACAAAATTCATAATAGGAATTAGCATTACCTTCCTGAAGGATCACATATGGAGCTTATTACTCCATCTTTTAGTCCGAAATCACTGGTGGAGTCGGTCCAGTATAAATCTCCATTTTTAGCCAAGGCCACCGAGTTAAAAAGTTTAGGCAGGCGGTCCTGTATGGCAACTCTTGAAGACACTAGAAGTTGTTTTTTATTTGTGTTCAGGTTTACCTTCCAAATACCATAGTATGCATCAGCTACATATAAGTTTCCATCTTTATCATCAATCACAAAGCCAAGTGGTCGGCCACAAATGTGCTCATTAACAAGTCCACCTGAAATAAATTTTATTGAATGTATCCATGAAAACACAAAATGGGTAATTACAGTTCATTCGGCTCTTAATCAGTAATTTTATGATGTATACAATAATGAAACTGAATACAAATAATTCACTATTTGTCATGGTTTGATAATTTAAATTTATAAGTTGAATACAATGGTCAAATGTAAATGGCTTGAATAATTGAAAACAAAATTAGATCAAGTGGTGAAAACAGAACCTCAGGATAGAAAAAACAATATGACATGATCTCATTTTCGATAGTAGGTACTTACTGCATGGTTCCCCAATTTTGGTGACAAATGTAACATGGCCTTGTGGAGACAGTTTCACAATCTCTCCCGTAGCCAAGCTGGTGTATACTTCACCTTTGTATATCTGGAAGGCTTCAGGTCCCAATAGTTTACCAGGATACAGTTTTCCACAATTGTTTAAGGCCCCATTGGTAGCTAGAGGACCAACTCTTGGTTGTGGAGATTGTATTCTAAAATAAAGAAATAATAAACAAAAAAATCTAAATAGGAATAATATGTCTTATTAATATTTTATTGAAAGTGCACTTACTCAATGCTGGTGAACTTTGTGTATGGTGGGAAGTTGGGTATGAGAACAATGATGGCAGATATAAGAACCAAAAAGAAAACAGTCTTTATGGTTATTGTAAATAATCTCTTAATGAAATTAAATATGAACCCCATTATGGATGTTTGGTACCTGTTGAAATAAAAAATAATGTAGTATTATGCTAGTCAAGGCACATTATGTATGTAGGTACATATTTAATAAAATCTAATCTTTAAAGTAACTAAATTAATTTGTTTATCACATATCTGTAATTTCTGAGTAAAAGTGTTTTACAAGATACAATCAATTTTAAGTGAACCACTATAAGATAACAGCCAGTAGGTAAATACTGCAGGTACATGTTGTAATATTTAATAACTTGAACAGTATTTGAAACTTAGTCAATGTTGAGAACTTAGAACAAAGTGAAGATGAATTTGTTGATGTCTCCAGACCTTTAACTGTTTGTTAAAATATTATCTAACAAGTCCTAAGCAGAGTATTTATAATATTCAAGTTCATAGTAAAATCAAAAGCATAATAATAAGAATATATGGACTTGTATCAGCATATTGTTCTGAGAAGTATAATAAAATAAAATATTCTTGAAAATAATGTGAAAGTTTCAGCAGTAAGAAAGTTTTAATGTATATAAAAAATGCCAACATGAGCATGTCAACGTGGCCGACAAGTTCATCTAGCTCAAGATTAAAGCTCTAAGATCGTCTTCTTTATAGCAGAATACCATAAGTATATTCACAAACAGATTATGTTAAAGGGTAACCAATGACAGAAATATGTGCACGGCATTTGAATACATTAGACGATTGATTCACAATTGCGAATATTTAAGAGTTATAATCAAATATTAAAGACAAAATAACAGCACAAATAAGTTGAGTATACCTTTTTTATATCACCTTTAATAAATGATCTACAAAATACCCCATTAATTAAAAAACTGTGATCACAGAGCCGACAACGTACTGGCAAAGTAGGAAGGAACCGTAACTAAGTAAACCGTTCGTTCGTCTGCCGAGTGTCGCTGTCGCTGTCGTATCATGTTCTTAGTCTTTGTCTAACATGACATATCATAGTGAAGTGCAACAGTATTGATAATCGATTGATAAAATAAATCGAATTTTATTTGCTTTATTTCTGAGAATTCGTTAACATCTTTACAGTTTTAATTTTTTATTTGGATAAAGCAGTGTATGCTCTTCTGTTAGTTCCAGAGCACATTTCAAAATATCAAATCCTGCTACAGTAAAATGGAGTGAATAGGGTTTGAGCGGCGAAAGAAGAGGGGTGAAAAGATATAAGGAAATTCTTCATAGTATCGATTTACCAATAATCAATTATTAATGCGACTATGTTTGTCAAGAGAATCTTAGTGAAGAATCAACTTGTAAATTAAAATTTGTAATAATATCGATTATTCTGTATTTCCGTCCGTGCATCACTTAACATTCGAACACGTCAATGTCAAGGACGCACTGATATGATAAGACTATGGATGTGAAGCAACTACGAAAAAAACGTGCCTACCTAAACTTCACTTGGTCATTCGCAATGGCGGATAGAACTAGGGATGTGACTATTGAAACTGTAGAAGTATCGATATTTTGGTATTGGTTTTAGTTGATTTATCGATAAAATATCATTATTTTATGATTCATCTGGATTTGATTTTTATCTAGCTACTAAACATTACTAAAAATATTAGCGAAATATATTTAGTAGTTACTGCGTGCACTATTACTCCGGTCGATCGTGTCCATACATTCACATCATACCTTTCACGATACATATGTATCGTAATTTATGAAAAGGATTTACCATCAACTGGTTAACATTTACATACTTAAGGTTAAGTAATTTTTGAGGGTCGAAAAATAAGACTGTTTCAAAGTATTCATAAAATCAAGATTTATGCATAATATAGTTACAATATCTTTGTATTTTTCGTACTGTTTCCCAGTAATGTAATCTGCAACTGACGACTGACTGATTTCGAGACGACTCCAGAACTGGTTCCAAGTTTATTTACATGCACAGATCTGGCTAGAGGCTGCAACATAAATAGTATAATTTAACTTACTTGATTCAATCGAACATAGATTATCTCTATAGATTCTATAGGTATTGTACTAAGGTCTGAATGAAAATGTTTGTACATTACAATGATAGTGATAGATAGCGGAGGAGTTATATTTCATTTGTTTGCTTCATTGGAGTCTCTCGAGCGGTATTTGATAAAAATACAATTTAGAAATAAATGCTTTTCCCACAAGTATTTTTCCGTATCTTATATTGTACAAAAATTATTCATGTTTTGTATTATTTATAACATTACGTAGGTATTGATTATGGTGGAATATTGTCGATAAAATAAAATTTTTGACAAGTACATATTTAATGTTTTTGCATTTTGTCATTATGTCAAATTAATGCACTTTATCATTCAGAATTTAGTATAGTTTTTGTTCTACTTTTGAAGCATTTATTAATATGAACGATAAAATTATCGATACGGGAACAAACATGTACATCACTATTTTTCAATGAAAAAATTTTTAGACATATTTCAACTAAAATTAATGAAAATAAGCACTGCATTAGTTAGAAAAGTATTGTATTTAGTCAACTTGCAGCAAGCTCACTTGAATAGTTTAAAAAACAGAGATATTTTAATGAAAAATAACAGTACTTACCGATGTAATGTTACACCTGCCGATTTAGTGATATTTTTAGTGCTACATCCAATAACACTACACCCGGGCATAGTTCTTCTCACTAACCAATAATTTCTTTGCTTACCACGCACAAAAATAACAGGAATTCTAAAAATTTTCGTAACAAAATATTATTGACCAATGCTTTGACAGCTGATGTACCACTGACACATGCACTGATAACAGAGACCAAGATGGCGAATTCGGCAGAACTAGGTATTTTTGATGACGTCAAAAAATTATTGCCAGAATGACAATAATGTGTTGTTTCTTTCTGCATAAGCAAAGAAACATAAGTAAAAAAGAAACAACAGTATGTTTATGAATTTACCGTCGAGATGGATCTTAAATTCTACCCGTAGACAATAGTCACACATCTATGTTATATATCTATGCAAGGACGTCAATGATGTCATAGAGAATTATTTATTTTTAGACTGCAGGTAACGGTCAATGACCCCTTTGTCCTTATGATTAATTTTAGGATTTAAATCCTTATATTTATGACTACTGTGTAGTACTTAATTCATATTTTTACTATTGTAGGGATTGAAATTGGAAACTCTATTTTAAATCACTTGCAGAGTAGGTGTTTGGCGTTGGTAGACCTTGTATATAGTACATTTTGTTTTATTGCGTTTACCCTTAACATTCAGAAAACATATTTAGTCATTTAAAATCACCAGATACCCAAAAACAAGGTATTTCTTAGATTAGAACCTTCCAAAAATAAAAAGTATTATCGATGTATATAGCTAAAAGCCTGGGTATCAAATCAAAAAATTAACGTCATTGCCAAAAAAGATTAGTGTCAAAGTCTATCTCATTCGTTCTTTTTGGTGTAGCCTCCATTTTGGACGTGTTGTATTCTGCGTACAGCGCAAGAATTAAATAATTAGCACAATGGGTCACGCTAACATTTGGTACTCTCACCCTCGCAGATATGGCCAGGGCTCTCGCTCTTGGTAAGTATTTCGAGAAAAATTGTTATTCAATGAAACGTAAATTTTTGGTTAGAGCACGTGTTCTAAGTGTTGGTTTCTATGTTTTAGCCGCGCCTGCTCCAACAGACATGGTCTTATCCGCAAGTACGGTCTCAACATCTGCAGACAGTGCTTCAGGGAATACGCTCACGACATTGGTTTCAAGAAGGTACGTACATAATGGTTATTTACATCACTCTGTGTTAGTGAGGAAATGATAACTTGGGCTGGTTTCTTGTATTCTTGTCCTATCTTGTAATGTCATCGAAACGTGCATGTAAACATTTGTACAGCAAAATGAGGGAAATTATGATAATAAGATGTATTTTGATGTCTACAATAACATAATTTGTGTTGTACCTATGTAATAATGTAACCCTAATCAAGTAAACAATGCTTTGATACTGATCAAGCAACCACTGGGTTTGCTATCTACATTATACAATAATACTTTGCTTGTTTACAATAATCAATATTATAATTTTAAAAAGGGTAAATCATTGTATTTTGTATCAAATTAATACCATTGACTGTTTTCTCTATGGGTCATCACCATCACTATAATTTTTCTGCCTTAAAATAACATGCTATGATGTGATGGTCAAGTGGTAATAACTAGTGGATATTAATTTAATCTGTCAAACACCAAGCGGTCACCGGTGACCGCGACCTATTGTTCTTTAATTGTGTCTATAAAACCGGTACTCGACGAGTTAAATTATGCATTTGAATAATTTTAAAATGGTTATCTGCATGAGCCAGCCCGATAAACTGAATATATTATTTTAAACTCTAATAATGGTAATGTAACTAATAACATGATTTCTTTTGTTTCAGCTGGATTAAAATGACCAATAAACTTTAAATTAAGTTAAAACTTCTTTTATTTTTGCATTAATTGAACCATGAACCTGCACAAAGATAAATACCACATGTAATAGTTTTAGATAAAGTAGCTTTGGGGTGGTTGGGTCACAATGAAACATGACGTTAAGTAAATATTTTATTTTACAAAACTGTACAAAAGTATAAAAACCTAATTACTATCACAATAATAATTTACATTTTAATTATTTGGATTTTGCGCCTGCCTGAAGTTGACTAAAGTAGATCCCACTCTCTGAAAATAAAACAAACATGTAATTACAGACAGGTACAGAACATTTTATTTCTAGAATGGCAGAGTCCTGTTCATTCATTCAGTTTAGTTTTCTAAACATGGCAGTGGGTGTGTATATGGAACAAGGTGTTTTACAGTTACAAATCTATAAAAACAAACTTCCTTGAATCTCGCCGGTCACTAGTATTGCTTTTTATTGGTAAGACATTCGCTGCGGAATAATGGCTGCTTAAGTAAAGGTTTGCCATTATTTCACTAATCATTGTTTAAGTATAATTAGAGTTACCAAAAATTTGAGGATTTCTGAATACCACAGACATAGATGTTGCTAATATGCTGATTACTTACAAAGGCTAGTTGCTGCACATAGTGCACATTTATGTACTTAACTTTGCAATAACGATGTTGGTGCATACCTGTCCAACTCCAGCTAGCAAAGCTATAAGACTACGTTGTGGTGGCCTGCAGTGCTTCTTGCCGCCTTCCGCGCAGCACAGGTTTGGGAAGCAGTCCACACTGGAACTGCACTTTTGTGGGAATAGGTCATACTGTGGAGGTGGTGTGCACTGCAAGTATTGCTCAAGCATCCGCACCGCTGTAATATAATGAAAACACCTTATTACGTAATAAAATAACAAACGTATTTAGGTCTATACATATACATAGACTGCCTCGTTGGCCGAGTGGTCACAATTGCGACTGCCGGGTACGGGGTCTCGGGTTCGATTCCCGGGTCGGGCAAAGTATTACTGCGTTTAAAAAATTCTCAGTAGGTAGTAGCACGGAGTCTGGAACTGTGCCCGGTATATGGCAATAGGCTCACCCCCTATTACATGGGACTCGTAACATAAATAAAAGTGGGTGTTACATTGTACAGTGGTTTAATGTGCACCTCTGCCTAACCCCTTCGAGTATAAAAGGCGTGATGTTATATTATTTAGGTATGTAGGTATTTAAAATAGTGTATTCAAAAAATTACGCGGGTGTAGTCGGTTTATTACGTAGTTAAAGGCAGAGGTGCTCTCCAAGGAGATTATCGTCTAATTATTTTATAATTCCAGTGGCGAGACTATTGTTGCACCCACTTGCCGTTTCACTGACATTATGATAAAGTGCGTCCACTCGAAACCATTGCTCTGCACGCGTGCTTGGGACAACTACAACGAAGCACTTGAAGTAGGTACCTACCTACCTAGACTGGGAAATTCACAGATATGTATATCTGTGGGATAAATATATAAGATCGAAGATTGCACAGTAGGTAGTACTTACGTCCGTCAATTTGGTTGGCAACAGGCACAAGATCAAGTCTAGCTTTGGCTGTGCGGCAGTAGGACCGGGTACCATCTGGACAGCAGATTCGCGGCCAGCAGTCGGCGTCTGTCTTGCACGTTTGCACTTCAAACAGCAACTCTCCGAGCGGAGTGGCTGGGCATTCTCGTGGAATAACACCCAATAATGCTATAATTAAGTACATAAATGCATTGCATAAGTTCTTTTCTTCAAAAAGAAGTCTCGTTAAAAATACCACCCGAAAATACTTTGTACACATTTCGAAATGTACCTAACTAAATAATAGGTACCTACGTAATTTTTATCACCATTACTTTACCACAAATGGACTGGTTATAAACACCCTAGGTAATAGCTAGGTATGTGCAACACGGACCACGGTGCACATTCATTTTTCTCAGGTCAACTTGTAAACCGGTGCGAGAGTTACGTAATTCGTGACTTGATTACTTTAAGTGCTTAAAGGAAAAAAAACATACGTTGGTGCGATTTGGGTTTCGAGGTAGGCCGCGGCGCCGGAACTCCTTTCACGCAGCGTCCCTCGCAGCACACTTGATCGGGTCCACTAGTCGCGCGGCATTGCGAGTTTTTCTCGCACAGGATTGGAAACAGCACCACTGGTGCTTGTCCAGGTTTAGGGCACACCAGTTTCTGCGTCTTGCCTGTACTCGAGTAATCCACGTTATACCCGTAAACCGAACCAGAATTGTGTGAGCGTGAATAAGTTACGTCAGCAGTTATGGCATTGCCTAAGAAGAACAATATACACCTAGTTCATTATCAAGAAGCCTTTGTTATGTTCTAGGTTAGTGGCATGGTAAATATATATACATACATTATACAACGCTATAGGTACCTATATTTTTATGGATAGAACTATACACAAATACATATATAACAACTAAGTAAGTAGGTACCTACGTTAAAGTTGGTAGGTATATAATATATATTGTTTATGATCGAGTTTAAATCGGTGAGTACCCCGCCTTATACCGGTTAATGTGGTTCAATTATTGTTTTGTTCCTAAATATAGCCCTAGATACTACTGCTATGCCATAGAATGAAACGTCATAATAATATAATATTTAATAGGAAGCAGAAACTGTACAGATGTATAGGCATGCATGTAACTAATATTATGTTATGATAATGTAGGTACTTAACTGTAAAACAATATAAATAATAAAATAACTAAGCTACTCAATAATTAAGAATCATTTCTTGCTACTTAAGGTTTTATTATTGTGCAAGCGTTCCGTTTGGCCAAGTCCTATATTTTCAAGAACAGCCTTGGAGATTTGTTGAAGTTTTCACTGTATACATAAACCGAAAGAATCGAAAGGTCTTTTGTTTATACCTATTGTTTGACAAAAAAGGTAGCAATAAATGTTTCAGATAAAACTCAAACCCATAAGTTGTATATGTAACTATTTACATATTAGTATGTACCTCCTACTAGGAACCTAAGTAAATTAATAAGTAGGTCATACATAGCTCACCCTTACCAAATACACCTAATACTTATTATGTAAATGATGTAGGTATCTACTTAATTCAAATATGTAGGCAAAGTAACATAAGTAATACCTACTGGTCTTTACTGGCGCGCTGGCTTGGGTCGTTGCTTGAGGTAGCTGAATGGGTAATAGTTGCAGGAACGGCCGAGGAGCCTCGGTGGTTGTGGTCGTCGGGCGAGGCGTAGTCGTGGTGGTCGTTGTCGTCGAGCTGGTGGTACTTGGGGCAGATGTAGTAGTAGTCATAGTAGTCGTTGTACTCGTGGTGGTCGTAGTGCTACTAGTGCTTGTGCTTGTACTTGTGCTTGTGCTACTCGTTATCTGGGCCTTTCTACAATGGAAACCACCATGTCGATGATATGTATGATGATTGAATGACTGACTAAGCGTGGCCTTAGTGGCGGGTGCGAAGGAGCTTGCAGTGTACTGATCAGGTTGACGTGTCAACCAACAATATCAACATATTTTAATATACTTACCTATGTGAGTACCTACGCGTGGATTGTGATAGGTGGGTACCTGTGATAGGTACGTACGCTACATAGCTAATCTAGTACCTACTCCCTTGATCCAAACATTGCTAATCGTACGCGGTTTTTAGGTAGGTTCAATGATTGGACCGCTCAAACCGTATCATGTTCATAATGAATATTAAATATCATTTAACAAAATTATGAAAGTAGGTAGGTACATAATTATGTCGGTATATGTACCATTTTTTTTTGACGGGAGAAACCTTGATACGGCGGCTAGCTTTTTGAGGAGAAAGACTAGTAGTAGGGGAGCCCATGAAGGGATTTCGGTAGTTACTCGAGCGCGTCAGATTAACATAAGGGGAAAACCTAGTGTCGTGTTGAATATACCCACCATATCCGATCTGATTAGAAGGGGGGGACTAAAAATAAAAAAAAGTATGACTAAATAAAATCAGTTTCGTCTGAATAAGGGGAGGTAGGTCAATACCATGCGAAAGGATGTGCGTTTAAAAAATCTGCCCATTCCAACTTGATTTGCAAGAGTGGGGGGATTTTGAAGGGTTCTCGTTTGTACTCTCCCGAACATTCAACCCCACCATGCAAACTGGCAGATTAAGAGTTTTTTACTATTAAATACACATGGAGCATGTACGCTATCAATATCTGACACGCTCGACCACTAGAACAAAAGTTACGCTTAACAATTTCAAAGATCTGTGGATTCCCCCTTCCCCCACCGGTGGAAGAAATTGTCACTAAGCCATTTCTTCTCTCTATCAGCATATCTTCAAAATCTAGTAGGTCCCAACGACGCTCGAGTAACTGCAAATTTAGCATCCCGGCCTCCCCTACTATAGGGAGTGTGTAATAAAACTACCTCAATGAAACCTCCCCGGTGGCCACCATCCGCACCTGAAGGAGGCACCGGGTCCTCTTAGATATGTATACCTGCTTATATGAATTGCATGATAAGTATTTCTACGAATTCTATAGGCAAAATAAAAAGATTTTTTTATAATTTTTTAGTAATCACAACAGTCGTATAAACGATTTTTTCTCTTTAAAATAAACTGAGGGAGTTGTGTACTGGAAAGTTTACCAATTTTCACACATATTATTATTAAAAAATCTTTTGTGACAAATCTTTTAATTTTTTAAGGGGTCCCCAAAAAATCTTTTCATATGGGGCCTCCCGCCCAGGCACGCAACGCCACTGAGGCACTGAGGAACTGACTTATACAAATCTTTTGAATTCATCTTCTTTCTTGCAATGAGACCTCCATCTTTTATCGTTTTGCTAAAACGCTACGAAAACGTGTTTTACGTTAGCGTATTTGTTTTTATTTCCGGGTAAGAGACTAGTGTCTTTATAATATGTACATAACTTCATGGGAGACATTGTCACCTGAATAATAATAAATTGAGAGACGATAAAAATAATAAATGTCAAACATTAATGCTTCTTAGCTTATTGGGATTGCGTTTGTCTATTGTTTCAAAATGTTAACGAAACTCAATTGTAGAGAATGGAGATAGTAATTGGTACCAACCAACTGACATTTAATTGTGCAAAGATGTTTAAAAGACTTGACAATTTTACTGGCCATCCATTTATCATAATTGCAAAACGAGATAGAAAATTCATCTATTAAAATAGAAAGTTAATGAACAATTTATTCTTCTTTGAAAGATGCATACGTAGTCACATAACTTTCAGGCAAGGTAATATTATATTATTACACTGTTTCAGTTATGTATTTATTTTGACATTTTACTCTGATATGGATTCCAATTTCCACTCATCTTGCTAGTGTTATATAAAATACAGATTTAAGTAGATACCTATTTAAGGTTAGGTAATGAATTTTATTGTGAACAGTTATAGCTATTTATTGCTCGGACTGGTGGATAGAGCACCATAAAACTACAGCTACAGACTACTAGTAATAGATATAGCTACTTACACATACTTTTGGTATACATACTTTGTTAAACAATGCTTGCGATTTGCATAAAATATTTTTAATTTCTTAATGACCTAGAAAGTTAATGGACTATGTACGCGGAGATTAGCCTTCAAGACAAAGTACCGAATGCAAAATAAGTAGCTAAACTAACCAACCGTGAGTGTTTTGCGCGGTATTCAATTTAGCTGAAGTCTATGGGTTAATGTTTAGTGTATTTATTTAGACTTTGTTTCCTGGAGATTATTCATTCGTGATTTGAACGTCGTTGTACCTACATAAACTGACATTCAACCAAATCTTGCCTGAAGAGATACTTGGCATACAGCGTGTTGCAACTTGGAAGTCTTGCAACCTCATTGTAATCAAGAGAATACGAGTCATGTCTATTTATTTCAATGAAATGTTTTAAGCAAGCATGGGTATGCTACAGGTTCTTCGGTTCATAAAATGAGTGAAAATATTGATAAATGATCAATCTAGTTATCTTACCAATGAAGGTGTATGTGAGTAATAAAAAATACTAATAGGTCTTAATACTAACCGTTGTTGTTGGATTGCACCAGAAGCCTTAATGCCTTTGGTACAAAAGCCCTTACAGCAAAGATGCTGGTTCCCCATAACCAGACACTCGGAGTTCTTCCTGCATGGCAACGGGAATAAGTCCAGCCACCCACTACTCGTGCGCACGGCAGGACACGCCAGTGATTGCCCACCCACTGTGGAATAAAACACTATTTTTAACCGACTTCAAAAAAAGGGGGTGGTCAGTTTGACCTGTATAATATATACATATATGTATGTGCGCGATTACCTCGCGATTGACTGACCGATTTTGATGTGGTTTTCAGAGAAGTGTTAGGTACATTTAGGAGGTTTTAACTCGTCGAGTACCGGTTTTATAGACACAATTAAAGAACAATAGGTCGCGGTCACCGGTGACCGCTTGGTGTTTGACAGTTTAATCCTAATCCTAATCCTAACTAATATTATAAATGCGAAAGTAACTCTGTCTGTCTGTCTGTCTGCTACTCTTTCACGCCAAAACTACTGAACGGATTTGAATGAAATTTGGCATACAGATATTCTAGACCCCGAGATAAAACATAGGCTACTTTTTATCGTCAGGGATCAGGGATTTTAAAGACAAAATACGAATTCAATTGACTGAATACAATTTAATCATAGACTAGCCTCTGTCTGCGGCTTCTCTCGCGTTCTTTTAATGGGGTGAGGGAAGGATTTACAATAAAAAAATGAAATGATGCACGATTCTATGCTGGTCACAAATAACCCGCATACCAATTGTTAGCTTTCCACATTATAAATTGCAAAATACCCCATACAAACTTTCACCTCTGTTTCACGGAAGTGGAAGGGGGTTAGAAAAAGACAAAAAGTAGCCTATAATACTCTCCATCTTTTCAACTATCTCAAATCAAAAACCTTCCTGACTCCGTTCTGTCGTGAAATACGGACAAACAAACAAACAAGCACATACAAATTTAAATTATTAGTATACATTTCTTAAGTCATCTGACATTTGTGTGACAAGTGAGTTTACAAAGTCAATGTGTCATAGATTTTTTTTATACTATGGTATTAATATTAAGGTATGCAAAGAGGTTGACAGCAGTCTAAGGAGATAAAACAACGAATAAAATATTTACAGTTTACTTGAATTCGTATTTTTTATATGTATATCAAAAAAACTAGCTAAATGCACATAGCTAAAAAATAATATTAGTCCTTTTCATTTTAGACCGTCAAGGCCAAATTCACTATGATAGTTTGCTGTTTGTTTATGGCATAAGCCAGTAAACGAGCAGACGGATCACCTGATGGTAAGCAATCTGCGCCGCCCTTGGACACCTGTAACACCAGAAGTGCGTTACCGGTCTTTTGAGAATTGGTAATTTGAGGATTGTCAGGGATTGGGGGGGGGGCTGGGGGAGGGGTAATTGGGCCTCCGGTAACCTCACTTACACAGCGAAACACTCCTTTAGGTAACCGAGGGCTGGGCTCGCTGTCATTGCAGCGGAAAGTCCCCTCTTTAAAAGTGGCTTTAGAGAGGCCATCAATGCAAGGTCCGCCCGGAGAACATGGTGGAGCATACCGTGGCGGTGTACCTTGCATGGGCTGAGCACCGCCGTGTTCTCAGGGATGTAGGAAACGGTGACCTCTCGCGTTCGGCTGTGGTTCAGGCCATGGAGCGAGGGGGATTGGGATGCAGTCGCATCCTTCTGCGAAGCAGTTATGCTTGCCAAGGAGAAAGCGGAGCGCGTGAGGGAATGAACTTCCTCACGTCCCAGCCGTCGCGGGAGACACTCTGGGCGTCGGAGATCGGCCGGCCACCGGCCACCGTAAGTGCGGGTCTGTAGACGAAGAGCAAGGGTAGCTCGCCACCCGACCAGAACCAGTCCTGTGCATACGGCGCGCGTCTTAGAGAGCCATGACACCATCATAGATGGAGCCCAGTAGGGCTGATGCTCGATACGGTGCCGCGGGAGGCCTAACGAGTTGACGGGGCTCCAGCTCGACGAGCAGGAGTAGGAACGGAGTGGATTTTAGTCAGTAAGAATCTGTCACTCCCTCTCACCTAACCCAAGGCGGGAGAAGTGATTGGATGATTTTCCGACCTCAAAAAAAATCTCCTTTAGGTAATGACAACCCGATGTGTGAAAAACTACCAAAAAAACTCCTTATATTATTGGTATTGATTACGCTGTGGAAATTATGGACAATAGAGCCAAGGGATGTATTAAGTCTTATAGAGGACATTAATATCAACATTAAAGTACATGTATCCTATGTAACTAACCTAATATCAGAATACCTATTTTTTCATTTAAATGTTTGCGATAGTAACGCACGTCGCACCGGTACATATCAGGTCACATTATAGGAGAGAGGAAATCCCAAAATGACGGAAACTATGCGCTAAAAAACCAGGACCAAGGACGTTGAAATAAAGAGGGGCTCTTACCTTTTAAACCATTGAACCTATTTGGTGAAATTCGGTACAGCGATAGTTTGAGACCCGGGAAAGGACATCTAAAAGTTTTTAACCCGAAAAACCCACGAAACCGGGAACTGTGCTGTTAAAATCACTATATCTATTTGATTGAAATGCGATACAACATTGATTTGCAAACATAGAATAGTGAAACCTCACGAGACGGGCACTGTACGGGTAAAACCTCTATGGGATTGTTTATTTTAGAAACCACGAAAATAAATTCATTTCTCAATAAATATAACCTAGGTACTGAATCGATTGTGATGATATTTGTTCCAGTTGTACAGCCGTAGAATATACCTTGACAAAGACTAATTAAAAAAACCCAATTTATACAGAAGTCGTTATTTCACGCGGACGAAGTCGCGGGTAACAGCTAGTATACCATAATATTAATTAGCGGACTAAAAACTTGATATAGTTTCCCTCACGTGGGCGCCACAATATTTTCGCCCGGGGTGTCAGTGGCCCTTAGCCGGCACTGGAGGGCTGACATCGATTTTTTAAACGTCGTTTATAAAAGAATTATAGATATAAATAATGATTTTATTTCACGCGTCACAGGCCTCAAAATTATCCAAAATACGGTACCGGTAAATTCAAATACAAAATATATTTTTTAGAAAAATAAATATTATAGAGCCTATATCAGAGTACCTACCTTTAATACAAGTTTAAGGGAAACTTTAGAGTAGATAATTCGGTATGTGGAGAAGTATGACTGGCTATTAGTATTACAAACGAACCTTTATAAAATGTCAAATCAGGCATCAATAAAAAACTATTTATTTTGACATCGTCAAAGTGTTACAATCAATAATAAATCTTTTACATTTATTTAAATAAAGTATTAATCTAGATAATGGTATTAACAGAGGATGTGACTCTCCCAGAGTTCAGCGATTTGGAAACAGATGAAGTGAAATTGTCAACCGGAGCTCTTCTAACTGCATCACCTTTCATAGGGAAGCTATGTGAGGGTGTCAACAATGAGTTTATACTTTGTCGCCAAGAGCTAAACGACCCGCGAGCATGTCTGGAAGTCGGCAAACAAGTGACTGCATGTGCTAAGGAAGTGCTTAGTCGAATTCGGAATGAGTGCTGCAAAGAATTCAGTCAGTATGCTAACTGCGTGGATAAAAGCTCCAGAGACTACACGTTCAGGCACTGTCGTAAAACACAAGCCATATTCGATAATTGCATGAGGAGGAGGCTATGTTTGTTAAGGAACGATTTTGGGTACTTCTGCCGTGGTCGTATACACAAGAGTAGTTCGGATCCGCCTGAGCCACCGCCCTGCCCATGTCACCCGAAAGTTGATGATGCGACTCCTTCGTTGCCGGACTGTAAGCCTAGGAAGCCGGCGCGGTTTGGCGGTCGATTGTATTGGAGTAGCGACTGAAGTCCACCTACCAGTCTTTTTAAAATTTTAATGTAGTTTTATTATGATTACATGTCGATTGGCATAGTACCTATTTTGTCGTTGTTGATTACAATTATGTAATAAAAAATCTTGTTTTTTTAACTGACCTAACTAACCGAACGAGTAATTGGCACTCTGGCTACAGATTCAGATAACTGTAAGTAAAAGGTAAGTAAAGAAATGCTCAATCACTTGGTTGAAAAGAAAACAATAATAGCTAGGTACATAGTTACGTCGATATATCCGCACAAATTTTCGCGTTTATAATAATTATTAGTCGGATAAAAGTCATTACGTACAACACGAGTAGGTCAATTTAATTATACAACAATAGTGGCGAAGTACAAGCAGGCGTAACGGAGAGCGGCGGCTAAGGTCCGGTAGACCGGTACCAACACAGCTGCTGCACCGGCGAAGGTCGACGAAAATGCAACACAAAGTAGGTCAAACACCTCTACCTAATTGGTCAGATATATAAATATACCTACTAATAAATACATTGTTAATGGTTGCCATTTACTTTGGACAATAGGTAGGTACTTGTCTTGCATTGCGAAGTGTCGTTTGCACACGTGATTACGCATTTTTATATTTTGCGAACTGCAGATGATGGCGATGGCAGTGCGGTATTCCTTTCGATAATGTTTCTATAAGTTCGGTACCTATCTAAATCTAGACCAATATTTGCTGTGTGTCTGTGGAAGAATACTTGGGTCAGATCATGCAAACGAGCAGACAGATCACTTTATGCTAAGCAATAAGGTGCATATACGTACACGTACGTTACGGCTTTTTGCACTTATGCAACACAATGATTGTATCTAAGGTCTATATAAATTACTTTGTGTGGAATAAGAGGGCAAACGAGCAGGTGGATCATGATGGTCTTCGCTTCGTCCATAGGCTGACGCAATACTGCAGGTCTTGCTGCGTGTTATACACGTTGCCAGCTTTTTAGGGACTAGAATATTTCGGATATTGGGGACAAGGGAATTCGGATTAAGAGGAAGGGAAGATTGGGCTTTTAGTTAATGGTTACCCTCAGTCACATGATGAACCATTACGCATGCGTTATTTTTACGCCAGGTTTCTGTAAGGCCATGGTACCTGTCACACCACACCGGTGTGGAGCCGGGCCGGCCCATTCGCGCCTCGCTTCTAAACATGGCTCAATGGCCTAAGCCACGTGTACGTACAGTAAAACAGCAATGCAATGCCAGTTTGCAGTACGAATAACATCGTTACTTGTGTTACATGGTTAATAATACATAACTTCGACATACTTTCACTCTGTGAGTGTTTATTAAGACAGTCTTTAACTCTTAATTAAATAGGTACCTGAGGTGTCCTTGATTTAAACTCGTTTAAACTCTAGATATTATGATTTATTTATGTCCAAATAGGACACAAATTGATTATAATATTTATGTAACTTAATTTATCAATTTACAATTTATTTTATTGCAAAACAAGTTAACCTATAACCTACAAATTAGTCGGGCTTCTAGGAAAAAAATAACAATAAATTTTCACGAAATAGCCTTGGGTTACAATAATTCGCTAAATAATTTGGCTCATTGTTATTAGCTTTTGTATCTACTTTAATGCAATTGTGAGGATTTTCTATTGTGTTAAGGGTTTTCGCGGTCATTCGAGAGATGTTTAAAAATATAGGCGAGTAGGTACTTAGATATTTACATTATTTTTTATAAGTCGCAGTGATGTGGAGGTAGGCAGAGAAAAATAGTAAGAGAGTCAGTCATATCTCAGTCAGCCAAATTATTTAGTATGCAGGTATTTTTTTTATTATTATTTTTTTTAAGGGGGGAAAATCATCGAATGACTGCTCCCGCCTGGGTGAGGCGGAAGGGAGTGTCAGACTCTAACTGACTAAAAACCACCCCGTTCCTTCTCCTGCACGTCGAGCCGGAGCCCCGGTTACCCGTTAGGTTCTCCGCGACTAGTATGCAGGTATAAATTACATATAAAATATTGAGTCAGTCATAACTATTGTTACACTAAAACACTAACACTAGGCATTGGTTAGCTCAGTAGGCAAACAATCATCACTGTTTCTGTACTGAAACTACATTAATAGTTTGAATACTAGGTACCTATATTCAATACCCTCGCCCCTCGATCCCTCCTGGCTCCATGTAACTACAGGCAGGTAGGTCAGTATAAGCAGATATAGCCACTATTGAGTTTCATAAATTATTATTATAATGTAATGTATGTAGGTAGGTAGATATTACCTATACTTACCTACCTGTTGTTGTCTATAGCAATAACAATGGCTTGACAGGTTATACATTTAATTACTTCTGATTTCTGAATTCCTGCCACCCACATAGGTGCCCATACACACCCCTAGAAAGCATCATTGCCATAATAAATTGATCCAATAGCTGGGTTAGGAACCCTATTCTTATTATACTCTTTGGCTCGGACTAAATAGTCCTAACTGACTGCAAGATTAGGGTAGTGACTAGTGACGCATGACGCAGTGACAGGGAAACCGGGAGCTGGCAACGTGTCGCGGGTTCCCATCCTACATCCACAAATGTCACAAATCGTGGTTTAGGTATGGTTAGCATAACCCGAAACCGTGATTTGTGACACGACACGCGACCTACTCGACATACGTACGCAGGATCAAAAACTCCGAATGTGAGGCAAAAGCCCTTTCTTTTTTATTTTAAATAGTTTCTCATTTTAAAGGCTTACAAACTCAACCACAATAATTAAAATACATATCTGCATTTTGCAATAAAACCATAACGATTAAGCATATTATTTATGTTGAAAGCAATGATGAACTTTGTGTGTGCAACATCTCCAAGAAATGAAAGATATCGTCAGACATCAGCGATGAACGATTGCATTTGAACAACATGATGGCAATTCTGCGATATTGCGTATACAAATAGAAACCTTGATGTTCCTCTTGCCATTTTTCTTTATTCATGAGTATGTAGAGTTTTATTAATCGTAACAGATTTTTTTCAATTACCTATAGCGTACTTTGCTAATCTACAGAATTTTTAATTTGTAAAAAAAAATGCGTCACTCTATATTTCAATAATACACGTTGCACGTTGCTACATAGAAGTTGCAAGCTACACTGCCTTCAGACAAGAGGTCGTTGACATTTTTCTTTTAAGTAATAACTGAAAAATTTGATTGCTTTGGCCATGGATACCAACTGGATCGTTTATTTATCTATCGGGTATGATAATTAAGTTATCCCTTGATCCAATTAGTCGAAATAATCTAAAGTTTCTAGTTCTACCTAGACACTGAAGGTAAAGTTGCTAAGTAGGATCTAATGAAGACTTGTAACCTAACCACATTGCAAATCTCTCGGTATTAACTTAAATATTTATTGTTTGTTCGTTTAGGTGATATACACTATTTTTATAGATAGGTGCCTAACTATTACTGACTTAAAGATAGATCTGCCTATCTCAGTTTAAATAAGACGGCGTGATGATTGAGCAGTTAACGGATATTGAAAGAAGTTATACGTTAACTAGGCGTTATGAAATAAAATAAGTATACCCATTGGCAAGAGAACGGGACTTCCTACTTAATTATAAAACGTTTAGAAGCAACAAGTAGATATTTAGTTATGAAGGAAGTGAAAAAGAAAGAACGAAATTATTTACCTGAGTGTATGTATCCGACTGTGAGCACTGCCACCAAAGTGAGAACATTGAACGAATGCATTTTGGCGCAATATTATAAGATGCACATGTAAGTTAGTTTAATGTTAACCATTTATTAGAATAAATAAATCACAAGTAAGTAATGATAATGGCACTGTACTCGAAAGGGTGTTTGCCGAGGCAGGCACTGTTACTGCCCGTCACAGCTGGCGGTAAGGTGGCCACTGATGCTGGCGAACGGCGCTTGGCTCTCGTCATGTTGCATAAGTACCGGCCATAGTTGATACAGATTATCATTTGGGGGACACCAGTACCTACTTTCGCTACTTACCTACATTATTCAGTTTTAGTTATGATTTGAAATAGTCGTTTTCATTGATCTCCTTGTCAGGTCTAATTAAATAAATAGATACTCACAAAATGCTAAAAACTATGTAATGCAACGTGGTATACAGCGTGTATTATGTAACTATCCAGGCTTGCAGCATACATTAACATTACCAGCCAATTCTAAAGCCTATATACTTAACAGAACCAGTCAGGGTGCTGCGAAGTATGGTGACTGGTATCTAGGTTTCTTGAGACAACTTATATTTGTACTTACCTATACTTTAAAAAAGTTTTACATTATTATGGAATGCACACCACTATTCGTTTTAGAAAATGGATATAATATATTCTTATAGATAGATGCAATACAGTTGCTAGTGTGTCCTAAGTTTGTTGTCGTATAAAAATGCGCGTAACTTACATAATAAATCACAAAGAAGACTAGACTGCATTTTTAATACAGAGATGACCTAGAAACTGCGCAAATATTACTATCATAAATAAAATTTAGCAGTCCTGCGATCACATCGACATCGGTAGTATTGTAATAGGTTTTTTTAATGTGATGTAAGTTAGTCAATATCAATTTGAAAACCAGGTCAGCACCTTTAATGCTGTCCGTATGTGACGCAGGTACCCATGTAGTAATCTACGTATTAGAGACCATGTCCGTTCCATTTTCCTAAAGGAGAGAAAGGATCGTATTGTATTTGGACACGGTAATTCGGTATTTTTCGACGAATTCATTAATATAAGTAAACTTCACCGTGTTGATTGCGATATTGAAGGCTCCTTCATAAACACTAGTTGCATTGTTATAAAAAAATATTTAATTTTTTTTTTATTCTTCTTGTGAGTCTAATTACCTAGTATAACGAGTTAATGGTTTTGTATGCAAGTTGGGGATTGACCTTATGACTTTTTGCATGGTGAGTGAGGAATAAGTATCGAATAACTTAAGGATACTTTAACCCTAATGTAAATACGTAGTAGTTACGTACCTACCGCATAACTTTCAAATGCATATGAATGTGTAATACTTATCTCTTTCTCCATTGTTGTTACTCAAGATACGACATATAAGTAGCTATAGTAGGTACTTGGTCAAATATATCATATTTTTGCAAGTGCAAGTGCAACGTATTGCGGGTTCGATTCTCGCACACAATGATCTACAAACTATTGTAGATGGTCTGGTTCTGTTGGTAGTATTAGAGAATATGCTGCTGTGAATAATTCAACGTTTTTGCAACGTAACCGACGACTTTTGTTTATACCAGTATAAACAAAAGTACCTTCTGGAAGATTTTTTAGTAGGTACAATCACTTTTTTCAGTAGGTAAGGAGAAAACTTTATTGTAGACACTTGGTTTGTCAAAGATATTTTTTTCCAAACTAAAGCAGTTGGTCATGAATTTATGATTCCATAATAGTCAGCCACTATTCAGAATAACGTAAACAAAAATACGGACGAAAAAATAAAGAATTGTAGCAACAAGGGTCAGAAGACTGGCACAGGGTGTGTGGATAACTATTTGGAGTATTTTTCTATATTTTTCTGATATTTGTTTTTTGTAATAAGTATACATAGGTAGGTACTTGTTTACGGTGCAATGCAACAAATAAACTGTTTTTCTTTTTAATTTTTTTTTAATTGGTGCTTATCTACTAACTGTTGACTACGAGACCACTTAAGGATATCTAGATAGGTATCACACATCAACAGCCTATAAGTGGCCTCTGCTGAACTGCTGACCAAAGGCCTTATCTTACAGGGAAAAGGCTTTTTCTTATTCTGTATGTTTTAAAATTTAATCAACCACTTCATTTTTCTGCACTATTGTTGATCATCACGGTTATGCCACAGTTTCGAAATGCAGGTTACCAATTTCAAACTAATAATTAGGAATTATACCTAAGTCCAGGTTTCCTCGCGATGTTTTCCTTAACTGTTTGTCGGTGGTATCTAAATAATCAGAAAAAGAAAACCTAATTTCCCCTATACTTACTATACTTACTTTTTGCACCTAATTTTGAAAAAATCAAATTGATATTTGCTGATAGAAGCGGGCGTCATAAGCCTCTGGGTCATCGAGCAGAGTTGTAAGGTGTAATCCAATGGTGGAAATATTGGGAGTTAAATGAGTTTTGTAGATCTCAGCACTATCCTATGATCCTACTATCCTATTATTATTATACACAACAACCTTGATTTTCTTTGATTTCAAATTGTTTTGTAACCAAGTTTAACTTAAATAAAATAAGAGCTATATAACCTACGAGTCAAAACTTAAAAAAATAAAATATTTTCTTTTTGACAGTGACAATTCCATGCATGGAACTAAATCCATAGATTATCTGTAAAAAAGCTGTCATGTCGCTCTAAACTCTATGGTTCGCTGTCAAGTGTCAGGTGTGTCATGTCAAACTCGTCACATTCCCGTCCTCGGTTCCCGTTTGTTATTATTCGTTTGTATAAGTAAAAAAGCACGTGTATTTGAAATAAAGTATTTGATGTAAAATCATTGAAGCTAAAATGCCGTTAAAAGATGAAAAACCTCGGCTTTTTCTTGAAGAATTTAGTGTGAAGGTAAATACCATGTATAAAAATTATATAAAGGTTAAAAACAAACCAACTTTGAGTAAAACTAGTTTTACGAACATTTCTTTATACTTAGTCAATTAATTATCTCAATTAAATACTCAAACTCGTGACCGAAACGAATCTGCATATTTTGCTACTTGTATATTTATCGTAATCTTTTTAACTTTCAGAAGGCACCCAATGATTACGGTATGTCTGATGGAAAGTGGAACTTCAAAAAGTTTACTAAAAAATTTCGCATTGTTATTGTGCGGATGGATAATTTTGAAATGGAGTTTGATTTGATTGGAATACAGCCTGCATTTGCCAATGCGTTTCGTAGATTGATGTTAAGTGAAGTTCCAAGCATGGCCATTGAAAAAGTTATGATCAGAAATAACACTTCGATTATCCAGGATGAAGTACTAGCACACAGACTGGGATTGATTCCTCTTAAAGCAGACCCCAGATTATTTGAATATCGTCAAGAAGGTAGTAAAAGAAACACAATTTTCATTTTATTTGAGCAATAATTTTATGAACACCTGCATTCTTCTAATATTTCATTGTATATGTTTTCAGATGCAACAGGAGGAACAGAGTTTGATACTATAGAGTTTACAATGAAAGTAAAGTGTACTGTAAATAAATCACAACCAAAGGATTCATACAGAGCTGAAGACTTGTATGAAAATCATAGTGGTAAGTGATACATAATATTTTATTATTATTTTTAGTAATTTTTATATAAATAACATTTTTGTGGTGTTTTCTAAATTGCGTGTACAGTCGACTCTCGTTACCTAATCCAAACCTATGTATAATTCAAACTTATGAGGCAGTCCCTAGATTATAATCTTCTTATAGTTCAAACTAAATCAATATATTTTTATACACTTAGCAAATCAAATGAACTTGCAGAAGCCAGTTTTGATATCAGACCATTTAAACTGTCAAACACCAAGCGGTCACCGGTGACCGCAACCTATTTTTTTTTTTTTTAAATAAAATGTTGCCCCACCCTAGGATTTTCTCCTGTGTCGTGGGTGCGTTTACAAACATACAAGTTCACATACACAAAGACACCCAGACCCGAAACAACAATCTGTGGATCACACAAAGTGTTGTCCCGTGCGGGAATCGAGCCCGCGACACGTTGTACGGCAGCCGGTTGCCCAGCCACCGCACCAACCGTGCAGTCACTTGTTCTTTAATTGTGTCTATAATGACGGTACTTGACGAGTTAATATTATGAATATCAAATAGTCATTCGGTAATTGAAAATATTTTAACAGTTCCTTGAATTTTAAATTAATGAGTCTTGGGAATATGGGAATTATAGGATCACACTTAACTTATGTTAATTAAACTTATGATTAGGTTTTCATTTCATAAAAATAAAAATATGTACTATTTTATCTTATAGTATATTCATCTCAAATGAAATGGCAGCCCATGGGGAATCAAGCCTCTATACATAAGGAAGCTGACATTGGTCCTGTGCACGGAGATATACTTGTATCAAAGATGAGGCCTGGCCATGAACTGGATCTAAGCCTTGTAGCTGTCAAAGGCATTGGAAAAGACCATGCTAAGTTTTCTCCAGTTGGTAAGTTTTATTACATTGATCTGAGAAGACAGTTGAAATTTTGTTCATTAGAAGTAAAATACCTAGATTTTTGTTCAAGTTCCAGTTTGGATTTTCTTTTCTCGGGGCCTTTTTTTCTTTTAGTTTGTACTATTGTTTCTTTACGCGATTGAACTGAATGTCGATATTTTACATAGAGTAACTGCTATCAGTCTAAAATGAATTCATCTTTCTCAGCTACGGCTTCATACCGCCTTCTACCTGAAGTGACCCTCACACGTGAAGTGCGCGGCGGGGACGCTACGCTTCTGCAAAGTTGCTTCGCGCCAGGAGTCATTGGCATTGACTCAGAAGGGCGAGCTTATGTACGAGATGCCAGATACGACACTTGCAGTCGAAATGTCTATAAATATGACGAAATTAGAGATGCTATCATTTTGAGCCGAGTAAGAGACCATTTCATATGTAAGTATAACTATTTTGTAATTTAACGTCACACAGTCACAACCTTTTACATTATTAAAACTTAAATAGGGGTATAGGTTGATGTACTTGCTTTATTTTTAAATACTTTATGAGAGGCGCATTCTGAGTTTTTTGACTAGCTAGAAAGTAATTACTTACTGATCGTTTTTTTTATTTTACAGTTAATGTGGAATCTGTTGGAGCTTTGCAGCCTAATGTTATATTTGTGGAAGCTGTTAAAATATTACGAGATAAGTGTAAATCGTTTCTGGATGAGCTAAATAAATTTAATTAAATCTACATTTAACATTACGCCTTTTAATTATCAAAGAAGTAGCACATGCTTATATTTAAAGTTAACCGCCTATCTTTTGGTCTTAGGCTATTGGAATTTTCAATATTTTGAGAAGCTATTACATGTACGTATAATTATAGAATATTTAGCTAATTTTATTCAGTGTCTGAAAAGTTCCGAAGATAGAACTTTAATAAGTAAAGACACTTCAGATTTTTAAATCGTTTAGGAACTAAAATTCCTTGTATCCCAATCCCATTTCCTTTGAATAAGTTTCCATAGACTGACATAGCCGTAGAGTAAAATAGTACAAAATGTCAAATATACGTAGGTATGTCAATGTCAAAATAATGTCATCTATTGTTGATGAAATCATGAAATGTTTACGAAACGAAATACCTGTGGTGCTAGGACAACAAAAGTAACACTTAGAATCTAAATCAAGGGTTTATTCCCGTTAATACGTTACTGAAATCTCTAAATCGATTTTATACCTTAACATGGGAAGTCTAGATAGAGCAGTTTTGACGGGTTTTATATGTCGTTTGTGTTCTGAAATGCATCGAGTGGTACTACATATTTATGGCGAAGAAGGCTTACGTTTGAAGATATCTGAGAAAATTAGTAGATATCTTTCAATAAATGTAAGTAAGGACTAAAAATTTTTGTTAAATTCCTTTTTTTACGTTATGTAAAAAGATTACAATGATTTATGTAATAATTTTTTAGGGAACTTCATAATATTCTGCGTTAATTAATTTTTGTTCATGTTTCCTTTTTAACTCTAAGTTCTTTATTTCGTGACTGGTTTGTTGGGTTAGTTCTCATAATATCTGCTAATATTAAAATTACAGGTGTCGCGCGCAGATCCATTACCAAAAACAATTTGTAAAACTTGTTTAGAACGATTGGAAAGTCAACATAGACTTGTAACCGTGATGGAACACGCAGCTCAATTACTGAAACGTAATTCAAGCGACCTAGAAATAGGTCGCGGAAAAGAGAATAATGATAATAATAACAAAAATGGTGGTTCTACACTTTAATACACATAGGTTTGTGTACTTTAGGCTAAATGAACTTTTATTTAAATAGTGATGTAAAAATGTATAAATTACTAGCAATCTAGCATACCTAACATCACATAACTCAAATGCAATAGCCGAAGAGGTGCTTCATTTAAACATAGTCATATATTATACAATTAATATTGGTCATACTCCAATATACCTATTAAGTAATTCTGGTGTAAGAACTTTACCTATTTGTGTAAGTAACTAAATGTGAAGATTGACATTAATTGGCTAATTGCATTGAAATCTGACAAACATGGACTTTTCAATGGCACAAGAAAAGAAAAAGTGGTTTGTTTACACATAACTAAATGTAATGTTACAATTTATGACAAATGCTTAGATAGCAGGATTGTTACTGTATTAATAAATTAAGTAAACTAATGTGGCATTGTTAGTAGACTGTAATGTGACCTACAAATAAAATATAATTAACTATAATTATTATGTCTATGTATTAATTTATTGGATTAAGATTTTTTAGATGTAATGGATTTTAATATTGCCCGGTATATGGCAATAGGTTCACCCCCTAATACATGGGACTCATAACATAATTAGAGAAAAGTGGGTGTTACATTGTACAGTGGCATTAAGTGCCATAATGTGCACCTCTGCCTACTCCTGCCTGCTAATAAAAGGTGTGATGTTGTGTTATGTTGTTGTAATGGATTTTATGAAAAGCATTTGGTTAGTTCATAAAAAAATTTCAATCTGTTGTTGTGAAAAAGTAAATTCTTACAATTGTCACTCTATGTATATGTACTTATATGGTATAATTTATCTAAGTGCAGTTATTTTTCATCATACAGTGCAGGGTTTTTCAGTTTTCAGGTAAGTATTTATAATTGAGTCTTTTGTTTGCCTTTTTGTTGCTAGATGTTTTTTGATATTACCTTTATGACTTTCACATGTTTTATGTTGAATTGTTGACTCATACATATTTATGTCCTTCTTCACACAATTCACAACAACATTTTGTAATAACTTGTAATAAATGGACAATTATTCAAAAAAAGAATTAAAATCTTTCTTTTTTTATGTATTACACTTGAAGTAGGTATATTCATCAAAATAGTAATTTCAGGAAGGTCTTGTAAAGCTTGCACTTCTACCTAATTAATTTATGAATTATTTGTGACTTGTGGCCATTTTATGTGTACTCATTCACCTGTCCTCAACTAACAGACTGAGCCAAATGCAATATATTGTACTAAATTGAGTATATAATAATGTAAATGTTGTGTAATGGTTAAATTATATAGTAAATACATAATTATAAATTAAATGAATAGGTTGTTACATAAGTGGAAGGTGTAGTATTTGTAAATTGCTGGATTTTCACAGAATGATTTTCATCAATAAATGGTGCTCCATGATTTTAACTGAATTCAAAAAAAGAGGGAGGTTATCAATAATACTAATTTATTTTGTTTTTAAAATTTTCAGCAACGAAAGTTGGTCAATACCTACTAATAACACAATTGTTGCCTGTAGGTTTAAATTCTTTTTGTCAGAAAGTGAGTCATGATTTTTGCTTAGTTAAGGGCTCAAACAAATAATATTGATGTTGAAAGCAAATAGACGACGTGCTCCATTTAGACCGCATCAGCGCTTACCACCAAGCGAGATAGTGTTCAAACGTCGGCCCATCAAATATAAAAAAAAAATTACTGGAGGTCCTCATACTAGGTCACGTAATATCTAGTCAGCCGTACCTAACTGATTAAACTCGAAAGTCAGAACAGACCTCGACCTAGTTGGGAAAAGGTCAAAATTGAATTTTTCGTGAAATGGAATCTTTTTAAAAATGAGTCAAAACTTTCGTTGCTGCCGAAAAATTAAGATTATGACATTTTCGATTAATTTATAATAATAGTGTGTAACTTTGATAATGATAATTTATGAAGGAAATTGTAAAATTATTTTTTCCATTTCAATACATGTTATTTGTGGTGATTTTATTTGTTAAAATACCTCGTTTGATTAAATGCTCGAAAGAGCTTGATTTCGGGGTAGGGCAAAGTATAATTTGTGCCCACGCGTTAGCTTGTTAGTTCGCAATATGGTTTAATTAATGGGATTGACACTTGATTACTGGCAAAATATGGACGTAACTACTGCGACCTCGCATATAGATATTAAGGAGTTTGGTAGGTACCCTATCTAAATCTGTGGAGAATAGCAAGTGTATAGTCAGAGACGTTGAAAACTTGTGTGTAGTATGGAAATTACGTTTTAGAAACATGCCTTACAATAAAGACCTCAAGTAAATAATCTTGCTGTAGTACCAACCTACCATCTGACAACTAATATGTAGTCTCTTTGCTCGAAGGGTAGGTCGCGTAGACGCGTAGTGATACGGATCGAAGTGGTTTATCGGACAGTCAGGTCGGGTAGAGACCATTAGGCCATGGTCTACTCAGCGACATAGGAGAGGAGTGAAGAGGGGTACAAAATAGACGTAGGTAATTCGTCCGCCGTTGTTTAATTATAAGGCCCCGTTTTCCCCTATGGTTAAGTTTCAGTTAGTCTAACTGGCAGATAACTTGAATACGTCAGATAAACTAACGGAAAAGTAGTCGACAGTCGTGAAGCGAGCGGGCCTATATAATAAACACTTAGGTAGTAGGTTCGCTAGTCGCTACGTCATAGCTTGATAATTTATAATAAAATGTACAAACCCGATACTTACCTAATGAAATATTTCGATTCGATATATATTTCTTAAATGTATCTATTGCCGAAGTTTTTTGATAAAATAAAGTACCTATTAAAAAATATATTTGTATCTTTCTAATAATTCACCTATTTATTTATAAAACATTGAGATAAATGCATTATAATCCCTCTCTTATCCGTCATCCCTTCATATAATACAGCTATCCAAACATACATACCTAGACATAAGTGCATTTTTTTTAAATTTGGTTGCTAAACCGGTATGTGTGTACATTAAGCGCCGTTGCCTAGATAATTAAATTATAATTTAATCTTAAACACTATACACTTTTAGAATAACATATACCTAATATGTTCTAGCCTGTAGCTCTAAGAATTAGCTTCTTTATTCAAACACTCCAAAGGATCCAAAAGATGCTATACCCAGAATCAATGGTGTAAGGTCACCTCTAGCCTAAACGCTTACCGATCTTCATTTTGTAAAAGTGCCTCTAGGGTAATTAGAGCTTTAATCGTACAGTAAACAGGAACGGTAACGATGTAATCAAATACAATAATAACTTGGATTGTATTTATTATTAAAATGTACATTACATTTATTATTGCACACTCCCACTCATTAACAACTTCTCAATTCTTGAAGCATTTTTCTGGATCAATATTTTAAGATCGTTTATTTTGTCATGCTTCTCTTCAATGTCCCGTTCTGTTTGTTTTAATTTAGTGTAAAATGGCGTCAGTGAATCTTCATTAATTCTGAAACAAAATTAATTAAATGGTGACCTTGATAACCTAGACAGAGGTCGCTAGTGGTCCTATCATCCTGTATTGATATGATGATGGCTCACTACTAGATGGCAAAATTTGAGACGGTACTGTACCCCTGTAGTAGATAGGTACTTACCGTCAAACACAAGCATTACACACCAGACATAGGTACCTATATGTACAGATATAAGTAATTTTTTTTAAGGGGAGAAAATCATCGAATAACTCCTTCCGCCTGGGTGAGGCGGGAGACAGACTCTTACTGACTAAAAACCACCCGCCGTTCATTCTCCTGCACGTCGAGCCGGAGCTAGGTTACTCGTTAGGTTCTCCGCGATAGATATTAGTAATAGGTGCGGAATATGGACAAATACTAACGTCTTCTGTTTTTGCATCTCCTTGGTTACATCTTCATAAATGTTTGACCACTGGTGAAGTTCCTGACGCATTACTTCTACGTCTTCTTGGATGTGATCTAGTAACTTCCCGAGGGGATTTGCTACCCGAGACATAGCTTGGATATTAAACCGAAGTTGCTCAACTTCCTGGTTTATCGCCTCTCTTGCCTTTTGAGCTCCAAATTGCCACTCCTATTTAAAAAAATGAATATTAGTAATCAAAGCCCAGAAAAAGATGTAAATAACTACCTATTATATATTATAAAAATTTTACGATTTTATTAAAATTGCTATACCTCATTGCAATTTTAATAAAATCGTAAAATTTAGTAAATAAATAAGTACTCACAATTTCTGTTTTCCCTGTTATGTGAGACAGTTCCTTTTGAGAATCTAAAATTTTTTGAACCAGATGTCCATGTTCGTTAGATGCGTATGGTAGTTGCATGTCTTGCTGATCTTGAGGACTTGAGCCCGTGCTTCCCTGATGTTCCATCAGTATAAGGTTCGTTTCTTCTTCCTACAAATTAAAATTGCGTATTAAGAAAATTTGCTTTAATAACTAAACAAACAAATTATATTCGACGTACCTCTTCATTCTGGGTATTTTCAACAATAATGTTTACTTTACCCAAAAGTAGATTATCAGAGTCTTTTATAACATTGTCAAGCTTTTCTCTCATTCGCGGAGCTCCGGGCCTAGAAGACGAAGGCCTTACACTTGGCGGTCGTGGATTTTTTGGTTCATTTGTGGTTGACATTGGAACTTTCACTACAGACACAGTTTCTTGTTCAGAGATCACAGATTTATTTTCGAATTCATTACTACTATGTTGGTCCTTTTGTCTTTCTTGGGCAATTGTACTTGTATCAAAATTTTTCATCTTCATGTTATCGTTTAAGTCGTTGTGAGTTTGTATTTGGCGATCAGGTTCAATTAATTGTGCTTCATTATTGACATCTGCTTCTTGGGAGTTAATTTGATCTTTGATATCATTATGTGCAATATCATTTAAATCATTTGATGATGTTGATGAATTTAAATCTTTTTCTGCAATTGTATAGGAGGTATTTAGTGTTCCTTCATCATCGTTTTCTACTCTAGGACTTAAAACTTGGGTCTCATTTGTGATTTTTTCTAATTGATCGTCTTTTTCTGTATATGTATCAGATTCCTGTGATTGAGTTTTAATTAGTGAACTTTGTCCTTTGTCTATAGAATTCGATGACGGTATATTTTTATGGCGCGTATATGTGGTATCCTCTTTCGGCACATTATTATCTTTACCGGTTTTGGAGTTCACTGTTTTTGATTGCTGTGTTTTCTTCAGGTTTTGAGATTCAACCTTAACCGACCCATTTTCTTTCCTTTTTGATTTGACATCATTTGCCTTATCCTTATCTTGTTTAGTCGTAGACCGCGCAACCTCATTCCTTTGATTAGTTAATTTTTCGCTGCTACGAGATGTTATTTTTTTTGTATCATTAGTTTTCTTTGTTGACTTTATTGGCTCTTTATTTTTTGCATCAGATGATTGAGTTGACTTCACGCTTTCCTTGTAACTTTTTACAGCTTCATCTGAAGATAATTTTTCATCAAGAGCCTGAGCTAAACATTGAAGTAATTCATTAGTTTTTTCAGGTTCTTGACCTGCAACTATTTTGGATGGTTTTGCAGCGATCGATTTTCCTGTGGTTTTACCTGTTAATATTATCAAATAATAATGGAAAGGGTTACATTTATGCGCTTATGAATAAGTAGGTGCATTTGGTACTACATAGGTACTTATAAATATGTTAAACTTACTCAGAACAAATATTACTTTATTGAGAAATAATATTTTACTGTCTCTGTCTTTAACATTTTCCGATACTAATTCATTGTCTTCAAACAAATTTCCAAAAAAGCCTGTCGTCTTTAATACCTGAAAATGAAAAAGATTGAACGGTGGGTGACGTTTACAAATGAAAAATGTAGGTTGGTGTAGTTATAGTATAGTATCTGAGTAGATACTACCTAAGGTAGCTATTGATCATAATTTCATTCTTACCATAGGTACCTACATAATAATTCGATATGGTAATGATAAAAGTGGCACATAGGTACTTACGCACCTACAATAATTGTAGATTAGATACATAGGTACTAAATAATCAATAAATGGAGTGGCTTAGTTCGGCCATATGTACCTTTCCCTTTTCACCATAAGTATTTAGGTCAAATTATAGGTAGGAATTTATTAATTTAGGTAATTAGATACCTAAACTACAGGTATCATGGCAACTAGGTGCTGATTATAATTTCAAACTTAATGAATATTTCAATTTCATGTCCAAGAGAAGAGGGGTTTTACATAGATACTACTGTCCAGTAGTAGGTACCTACCTATGTAAACTTCTGATTTCAATTAGACAAACCTAAACTAACGCTAGCGAAGTCACGGATGGTAGGTAAGCTAGGTTCAAATAAAGTTATGAAGTAGGATATCAAGGTTTATCACCTAATTTAAACACTTAAATTAATAGCATAAGGTTCAGCTTCGTTTTATTAATATGAGATGAGGGTACCTACAATTTTATAGAAACTTACCGTCGTAACAATATCGTGTAAAAATCTGAACGGTGGCTTTTTCAGCAGTTTGTCACTTAACGGAGGCCGTTTAACGTATTTGCCTAAGGACAACTGGGTAAATTTTATTATATCTGGATCTAAGTCTTTTTCCATGTTTCATAATTTAAAATTTATACTAACATAAATGTATCAATACTTTCAAAAACTTTAGCAAACACAGGCACTAATATTGAAAGTAAGAACAATTTACAATGTCAAACACCACAGTCAAACATGTTGTCATGATGATTTTGATTATTTTGTTTACACCCTTCGTTACTATAGCAACGAACTCTACTTATATTGACAAAAAGGTTGTGGTGGTCTCGAGTTTCAAATCTATGGCAATGCTATTTAGGATCATTTAATGCATGACAAAGTATCGTAGGTATACATAGGTACCAACTACGTAAGTATATCTACTTTGTCTACCAGACTTACTAAGGAAAGAACTGAGCACTTGGTGGGGTGGCTAGTGCTGATTATTTAGGTATGTTTGTTATCCATATTCTATCGCTTGAAAACGGCCGAAGAAATCTGATTGTTATGAATTTTGGAATAGGTGTAAATTAGTCTGTAATATCACGTAGGCTTTTTATCCCACGAGAATGCGAGATAAGCCAGTGGCAGAAGCAGAAGCTAAGTTTTTTCCATCTTATTACATAGTGATGTAGAACTTAATATTAGTTTTATAATATTGACAAGGTTTGTGAGAGACTGGTTCTACATATGATTTTGCGTAATTTAAGTGACAATGCGATGATGGAAGTCAGGAACCCAAACTAGGATGACCTGTGCTATGGGCTCCTGGCCTTTCCCTCTCAGATACAGGTATAGACTTTATATAATTAAAATTACAAAGGAAAAACAAACGTACAAAATTTATAATAGAATTACAAACAAAACTAAAGTAATTAAAGTTAATTATATTTAATGTGTGTATGTATGTGTGTGCGTGTGATGTGTGCGTGTGTGTGTGTGTGTGTGTGTGTGTGTGTGTGTTTAATAAATAATTAATTAATTAATAATAGGATACCTACTGCTTTTCGTTTAGGTAAAAAATCTACGGTACTACCGGGGTACTACACAGTTTAATTACTCTTCAGATCAGAATACTTATTTACTAAATAATAATATTTCTTGATTTACTAATACTTAAGTTTGAAGGGCGTTCGAAAACAACGTCCTTGTTTCTCATTGTGTGCTGCGTGTAGGTAGACACGCTGCGACATCTATTGAATAAATAGTTGAACTTGTCTCCGTATTTCTCACATTAAATTTTTATACCGTATTTAAAAAATCTAAACTATAATTGAAAACAATTTAAAAAAATGTATTGATTTTTTTCTTTCGTAATAAAAGCGATAACGTACGCATTGGACTTGATTGTAATATTGCAGTTGTATTTATTTCTAATGGCAACCCAATCACAAGCAATTTTTATACGTGGCGTTTTACGAAGGAAATTCTGTCAGCGCCTGAGTGAAAAGAATATCAAATTTTATAAAAGTGAACTCATTGCACTTCTTCGAAAACAAATCAGTATTAAACCTGTAAACAATAACACTAAATTCTAATAGAAAAGAACTATGCCGCCTAAACGGAAAGTAGGGCGTCCGCCTGGATCCAAAAATAAGAAAGGAAGGAAAACGTGTAAAAAGATTGTGAAAAAGAAGCCTGTTTCGATAATACGTGTAGAAAAGGAAAAAGATGAACGTTCTTCAAATAGTAATGATTGTACAACAAGCGATGAAAATGTCTGTGGAGTGTGCCAAAATATATTCAACTCTAAAGACGAGCTGGGTACACATCATGAACGGTGTCGTGCTTTGGAAATTGTATCAGATTATTTCCCAAAGGTACACAAAGTGTTTCGTAAAGTTATATCTATCGTTTACATATTGTGGTCACATGAAACTGATTAACAGGCGCAGGCGCAAGCTCCGAGTCCTGTTATCAATCTAGATAGCACTGTATTTGGTTTATTTTGTTGTTTCAGTGTATCAGTTTTGTAGTAAAAAAATCTTGCAAATTATTATTTTGAACAATAATTAGCAATTTGTAAGCATTTTGTAATAATAGCAAAGTTGACTTTTTGACAGCTTAATTGATTGTGTTTACACTGTTGAAATGAAATAATGCTTTGTGTTTAGGCCCAGGATTCTAAATATGTGGAAATAAACTTTAGCAAAGTATTTTCCTCTTTCTTATTATTTGGCTTGTGACATTATTATTATTTCATATTTAAAACAAAATAAGATAATTTTTTTTTTGAAATGTGAATCTAATTACTACTGCTTAATCTTGGAAACATGCAATGGGTAAAAATTGTATACTTTTTAATATAATTTTAATCAATTGAAATACTTTTAGCAGGCAGCATACACTTGCAATGAATGCCCCAAGAAATTTAGATTCAAGAAAAGTTTTATTGAACATTGCAAGAATGAACACTCCAAGTCACCTAAAAGAGTAGCTTGTAGTCAGTGCAATGTGTATTGTCCTGACACAAAGACATTGAAGGAACATATCGCAAAGGTTCATGAAAGAGATATTTATGAATGTCCTACATGCCAGCGGCAATTTGTTCGTCGATCACACGTACTTCGGCATATGGCACAGACAGGGTGTGATGGCCAAGGAGCAGCAGAATACTCATGTGAAGTAGGTATTTTAGAAGTAGTTATTGTACAAAAATATATATAAATTTTTAACTTTAGTTTATAGTTTTTAACTCTATATTATAGAGTTAAAAATCAGTATTATATTGTGTAATGGGGATTTTTAATATGCTGCACTGAGGAGACAACTGAGTCAATGGCTAGTGACTAACCAGTAGCCCACAGGCTGGCTGGTATTAAGTTGAAAGTGATAAAGATAAACATATAAATTAATTCATCGTCATCATTGTCTCAAGCCATTTTCAACCGAATTTAAATTATTTTCTAAATTAATATTATGCTTTGTTTTTACAGATATGCCATGTAACATTCACAAGGAAAGATAATTTAATGGTGCATATAAGACTGCAACATATAGTGAGAAATGGTTACAAATGCAAGAGCTGCAAATTTGACTCGAAAAATTTTTCCAAATTGGTAGCCCACTGGCATGCAAATCATGCAGGTATTTTATTTAACAAACTTTTTGCTTGATGCCTTTTTAAATTTTTTTAGTGAGTGTGTATGTATGTCTCATGATGTAAGTATCACTCACTCACTCAGTGAAACATGTAACTTCATACTCAAGAAATAGTGGATCAATTTCACTTAATAATGAGAAGACATAATCCAAACACAAAATTATTATTTTGAGTAACTCGAAATTAAACTATCTGTAAAATATAAGCATGAAAGTGGAACATACAAATTAATATATTTTACACAAAGCCAATAACAACTCGGAAGATCTATTACACTATCTATAGTATAATAATTATGTAATTGAATTCTTCCTCCAGAGACTCCTGGGCAATACCAATGCAACACTTGCAGCAAATGGACCAGCTCCCGAGCAGCCATGACCAAACACCTTGAAATACATGGTGAAAAGAAATATGCATGTGATGTGGTAATTATCATTTACAACCTATTATATGTTACTATTTTAAAATCAAAGCATAATAATTTATTTATTTTCTCTCTTGCAATGTAATTGACATAGTTCCTTTTTGCCACACCATTCTATTGATGCCTTGAAAATAATGTGTGCATTAATATCTGTACTTATTTGTTTGCTGCTCTCATGGTATTAGAAGTTAAGAGGTAAGTGAGCCAGTGGTTAAGTATGTAGTACAAGGGTATGGCGGGACGTGTAAGTAGATGTGGGCGTGTGGTTGCAGTGCGGGTACAGCACGTACACCATCGAGGTCATGCGGCGCCACGTGCTGACGCATGTGGCGGAGAAGCCGTACAAGTGCGAGATCTGCTCCAAGTCCTACATCCAGCGGGCGCAGCTGCAGCGCCATCTCGAGATCCACACAGGCAACCTATGCACCAAGTGTGATACTCCATTCCCCTCCAGAGCAAAGTGAGCATACATCAGTTATTTTGATATTATATAACATAACAACACGCCTTTTTTCCCCCCCCCCGAAAGCGGAGACAGAGGTGCACATTAGGGCACTTATGCCACTGCCATCTTTATTTATTTATTTATTCATATTGCACAATGTACATATAATATGAAGTATTACATACAACTAATTAAGTACATTACCCTGTTAGGGCGCAGCAATTTAAAACGTTACAAATTTAGTATCAGCCGAAATTTATAACTATTACTTAGAGCTATAACTATACCTATATATTATTAACTAATCTATAGTTTTCTCCTAATCTTTATGTCACCCCGTGACTTACAATGAATATATCTAAAATCTAAATATACTATCACTCTATAATTGGTTACATTAATATTAAAAACTAGTAATAAATAAAATTCTTGGACGAAATCAAATAACAAAACTTAACCGAATAGTGAGTGAAAACATAACAAAATTAGACTGTAAAACATAGGAACATATGTAACCTTATCACATTCACATGAGCTACAATAAAATGCAATAAATATTATATAGATAATTATTACAAGCTTAGAGTAAATACATAACAAGTAAAATCTTAAATTACTACCTAGATACTAATCTTGATATTATTATGTTCGATTTTTATTTTACTTAAGTACCTATTAAATGTGTCCTATCCACGGAAATATTAAAAAAGGAGAAGTGGCAAGGGGGCGTGTCGGTGCCGCTCGCACTTGAGCGTTCGACTCAATGAAGGAAAATATGGCCGTCACCGCGAGTTAGTCTGTTGTCACCCGCGATCGTACAACAAACGATAAAATACCGTCTTGTGCAGTGATTTCGTGAAGACATATAAGCCAAAACATAAACTGTAGAAGTCATGGTATCGGTTATCATGTGTAAAAACAAATATTTACAATATTTATCTTAAAAATCACGAAAAACAACAAGTTATTACTATTTTTATTTTTCTATATTACTCCGACTGTATTATGTATACATTAATACATTGCTCTTTTACAACCACCCTAGTGTGACACAGAGTAACTAAACCAGCAATGTAAAAGTGACTTAACGAAACGCTCATCAAGACTCGATGTCACATGGTGCGTCCGCTGCTCAGGTCCGCCGTCTTTGAGCGAGATAGTGATGTGGTCGTGGAGATTTATCAAAGTCTATCGACAAGAAAGTCGACTACAAATAGTTATTTATTTGTTCACTTGTAATGGTTATAGTATTTTAATTTAATTTTCATCAATTAACCATTATCTTTGTATGCATTATAATGATCAGCATCGCATAGTTAGTTTTGTACTCACAGAGCAGTCCCCAATAAATAACCAAATAATATTATTGATAAAAGCAGTCATGGAAAAATATACAACATTAAAACTTCACTAATTAATCAAGAATGCGATACCTCCTTATCCAAATTATATCATTATAACTACATACAACTTGTCGTTTGATTTGTTACCTATATTTTTTTAAATAAAATATTTTTAATAATTTAATGATATTTTGTTGGTTTCATGTCGTTTTTACTTTATTTCCAAAACCTTTGTAATAAATTTATCGACATATTCATCGGGAGCTATCGATACCGTCAAGTCACTACGGCGACGGTTGATCCCACCCCTAACATTGACAAATTGATTTCGTGTGAGTAAATCATAGGAGAATGTGCGCTGTCGTTTAAAGAATAAGGCTTATATTTGAACTAGCTTTTACCCGCGGCTTCGCTCGCTTCACAAAAGAATAAAAAGTAGCCTATGTGACATATATACCAATACACACAGCGCCATCTATACCAATACTTTGGTTTTTCCTCGGGAATATCAATTTTTCCGGGTTAAAAAGTACCCTATTATTTAATCCGGACTTCTAACTTTACGTCTGCAAAAATTCAAAGCAATCGATTGAGTAGTTACGGCGAGAAGGTGGAACAAACAAACAAACAAACAAACTCACTTTCAGATTTATAATATTATATATTAGTAAAGTAATATTAGTAATATTAGTAATTAGTAATAGTAATTAGTAATATTAGTAATATTAGTAATTAGTAATTAGTAAAGATTACTGAGTTATCGATGCCGCGTGTGTACACTTATTCGTAGTATTGTTTTGTCTGAACTGTGTGTGTAAAATTAGTTTTATGGAGGGGCAGTTGTGGCTTCACCGGTTTTGCGTACATTTTTGACTCCACACCATATCTCCTTTAATATATCTGTGGTCCTATCTCATTGTCATACTCGTACATAATTTTAGTTATAGGTAGAGATTGTGGATTACCATAGCATTGTTGATTTAAATGACATGAAGATGATTTAGTGTCATACTGTTAGTCCATAATCGTTTTGTAAAAGCCAAGAAGAATAAGTACGGAACCCTTCGTGTGCGAATCTTGACTCGCACTTGACCGATTTTATTTATTTTCAATCAATGTATTGAATGATATAAAGTATGATAATATATAATACATCATCATTGTATAAGTTAATATTAGACTCTGTATTAATTTATACATATTATAACTTTAATTTTATAGTCGTAAATCTTATTTATTACAGGTTACTGGTACACATGAGAGAACATATGGGATTAGATAAGTTGCATTGCCCCATAAAGACATGTACTTATTACACAAAAGCTTTCTCCACTGAAAGTGGGCTGAACCATCACTTGAAAACGCATGGGGACGATAAGCGTAAGTATTTGAAAAAGGTAAATTAATTAAATTTATTGACACCAATAGTAATGTAAAAAAAAATGTATAATACATGTTAGAAAAATATTATTTAATAATACATACATTTTAAAAATGTAATAATATAAAAATACCGTGATACAGCGTATAGCTGCGAGGTATGCGATAAGAAGTTCCACTCGGATATGAACCTGCGCCGCCACTTGGAGACGCACACGTTGGACAAGCCGCGGCGCTGCATGTACTGCGTGTCGGCGCGCGCCTACGTGCGCGGCGCGCAGCTCCTGCGCCACGTGCGCAAGAACCACGACTCCATCTTCCGCGGCCATCTGCTGCATGTACGCCAAGTGCTCGTGAGTACCATTAACTAATTATAATGCTTTAAATACTCACCACTCGGATGTTGTTCTCGTCCTACTCGGTTACACTATCAAATCTTAATTCACAAGTTTATTTTATTGTCATTTTACCAGGGCGCCGATAGCACAGCAGAAAGAGTGAAAAAGTCTGAATTAGATGCAATCCTAAACTTGTTAGATGTGGAATCGGATCGAATCTTGCAAGGTTACAGCGGAGCTGATGTGCTCTACGGTGGTATGCAAGATGACGAAAATCGTGCCAGCAAAGAAGTACCTAACAACGAGCCAAAGGTACGTCATTGCACTACAGAACTGAAGTTTATAATCTATAGATTAGGAGCAAAGTTTATGTAAAAAAAGAAATAGATTTTTTTATGTAGCATTAATCAGCTATTAATATAATAATAACATTTTCATTACAGAAAGTAAACTCTCCCCTACTGTCTGAAGATGAGCTTACCGAGAATTTGAGAAAACTGCTTTCCAAACTTATAGATAAGGAAACACTCCATCTATTTGGGTGGCCGGATGAAAGTGTAGATGTGGTATGTGTTGTTTAATAAGAATCACTACTTAGCACTTCATTGTTTATATATAGAAATGAGTTATATGTCTTGTATTTTAATACAGGTATTGGAAAAAGTGATCGAACAGTGTGGCGCTAAACCCGCAGACCGCGAAAAGTGGACACGTGTGCAACGGTTGCGCGAGAACTCCAAGCATTTGTTCTTGTACGTTATTGAAGACAAGAACATAGCCCGCATGCTGGGCACACACACCATTGATCAAATTGTTAAACATATACTGAAACAAGTCAGCGACGATGATGCCAACGAGATCTAGTAAGCTCATTGTAGGTTACTACATACTTTTATTTTATACATACATACTTACATAATTCCATCAAGATCAACGCTAATGGTATTATGGTTAAAAAATAAAATCATTGAACTTACATGATTACATTGTACATACATGATGACATGATAAAATATGTACATATTCTTTATCAGTAAAATTGTATTACATACGTAACTACTTAATAATGTTTAAAAAAATATTGCTTAGGTTACACTAAAGACATTTTACGAATTATAGTTGCTACTGTATGTGTACAAGCATTATGTTTATATCCAACAATTGCGAACAAGACCAATATATTTTAAGTAGCATTTAATTTTTCTGTTTTGCAATATAATTATTAGCATGTCGCTAATATTTTAGAGAAGTTATAATATAAGAAATGTGCATGTGAGGTCCAAAAATATTTTACAATATATTGTGCAATGGTCAGTAAATGTACCTGATATATTGTTTTAATCTAGTAAGATTAATAAGTGGTTTATTTCCTATGATCAAATCTGTTTCATGTTAATGATCAGTGTTATTTTTTTAACTCAAATCTGTTTATTTTGTTTGCACTTTTAAATGATATGGGAATATGGCAAACTGTTATAAATTTTATAGTTAACTTAAGTTTTAACTATTGTTCCTAGATATAAATTATGGAAATTATATTTTCATTTTAGTGGCCTTAAATTAGTAACGAATTATTGTAATTTTATCAGATAGAATTACTATTTGGTTGGCAGGGCATTTTAGATTATGTGTGTATAAGGAACAAATGTATGAATTCTTTTTTATGTTATCACCCTTCTGCCAGCCTGCAGCGCGCGTATGGTTCGGGATATGTCGCCGTTTCGGTGTGTGTGTTGCAACTGTAACAACATTTCAGAACATATTGTAACAGTTATTTAAGAAATATTATATTTTTATACTGTTAACTTTTATATTCAGCAACATAAAATAAAAAAATATTTTTAAGAATAAGTGTTTTGGCGTTTTGCGCTGTTAAATATTATAAGTACGGGTGGACTTTTCCAACTGTGGGCACTGTAATCAATCACAAATGAATAAAAAATATTAATGTTGAAAATGTAATAGCTAAACATTCTTTGCCATTTATAATTAGAACCTAAAAAAAAAATGACAAGATAAACTCAAATTAGAACTAATTAGAAGATGCATTGGATGCATATCTACAATAGATATTTCTTCAATAACTTTTTTTATTATATTGTTACTGTTGCTCAAAAGACCGCCTTTCGATTTCTTTGCTGTATTACGACTTCGCGTAATATTTTAAAATAGGTGATTGGGTTTTGGCAGTTTTTATTTTATACAAAAATGATATTTTACTAATTTTATGCGTATGGTTAAAATGTTAATCATTAATAAAAAAAATAACATATTTCTTTGTATTTTATTACTTCCTGTAAATATACATATAATATTCCAAACCATAATCTACCCCTGTTCCTTTCGTCCTGATCCCAATATTTATCTCTAATGGGGATGATGACAGGGTATGAAAATTAAAAATATAATTAGTCCGTAAGTTAGGTAATGAAAAAATATTAGACACGTATTTTTTTATTTTGTCGTATAATAAAACTAAAACGAATCAAAGTTTAGGAGTGGGGGCTAAAACGTCATTCCTTAGTATAAAATGTACTGAGAAGTGACGTCACGCGACATTTCAAATCAATATATCTTCGAAACTATTCATTTCTGTGAGAAAATAAAAAATACGTGTCTAATGTTTTTAAATAATCTATCAGACGGACATTAAAATAAAAATTAGTCGTCTACCCCAATCCTCCGAATACTTATTATACTGTTTGCTCCGAAGAGTCTGACACTCTCTTCTGCTTCACCCAGGCGGGAGCAGTCATTCTATGATTTTCCCCCCTTTAAAAAAAGGGGGAAATCAATCACACAATCGTTCTTCTTTAGCTCACGTTTACGTTCAGTCAATGTCAAAATGACAAGACGTGATAAAATTATTATTTTTGTTTGACATTGAAAGAAGTGAAGTTAGTGAAGTGAGCGTATTGGATTGAGGGGCAAAAGAGATAAATTATTGTTTAATTTGGAAGTTAAAGCAATTAATAATATCCGTTGTACACATTTATTTTACTTCTCATTTAAATTTTGTGTGAACATGACGTCTAACATTCCTCTTATTGTGAGATTATTGGCTTCTTCTGTGTCAGTAGCCAACAGAGCTGGAAAAATTGTTCGTGATGTTATGAGCAAAGGAGAATTGGGAATTGTTGAAAAGGTGTGTAACTATGGCATAAGTTAAATCGTACTAAGAAACCTTTTTTTTGTACGAATATAGCTTTCTAAGAAATATGTAATTGGGGCCAAAGTTCACTATTTATGTAAAACTGGTTAACATCAAGAAGCGTTTGTAACTGTGTAATTGTTGGTTCAGGGTAAAGATGACTATCAAACAGAGGCTGATCGGTCAGCACAGCGTTGTATTGTTGCATCACTTGCAGCACAATACCCAAAAGTGAATATTATTGGTGAAGAGGATGGGCCTGATAATGAGGTAAGGCATTTACTAATCCACCCGTATTTATTGTTCATATTCATGGAAGTGAATGTTTAATTTATGTATTACAAAATTAATTGCTTTACTTTTGATTATGCAACATAGCACAGTCACAATAATTGATTACAAGTTCTTGTATATATAAACTTTGTAAGAAAAGTTACTTTGATTTGTTTTCAATTGGTCAACTTAGTCTATGATGGTTGGATGCATTGAATTGATTTAATGAACAAGTAACTTGAACTGGTTTTCTTTACGTTTTATTGAAATAATTTACACATAACATATTTAATTTAACTTTACGATGTCAATGGGCAATAAATAAACTACTTTCACTTTTACAACAGTTCTACAACATTGAAGTGAGAGCTGTTGATTTTGATTGGCATAAGGACTTTGTATATTGTTAAATTATTTTGTAGTAGGTACCTAGTAGACTATAAACTGGAAACTATGAATATAAAATAACAAAAAGTATCAGCCAGGAAAATGAATCAATTAAGATGTGTTATCAGCCTTAAACTGTCAAACAACAAGCGGTCACCGGTGACCGCAACCTATTGTTCTTTAATTGTGTCTATAAATACGGTAGGTACTCGACGAGTTAATAGTAGTTAATATATAGATTATATTATATTATATTAATATGTATTAGTAATAGGTCTTGAGTTAAAACACATCTAAAGGTATTGTTATATGCAGTCACTACAGCATGATTTCCAGTAACAGTAATTTTTAACCGACTTCAAAAAAAGGAGGAGGTTCTCAATTCGTCCGTATATATGTTTTTTTGTTGTTAAATATTAATTACCCGACTGTAAGAAGGGTATTGTGTAAATGCATCTAAGCAATGCTTTATCTTATGCAAATAAATGCAAATTATAATTTACCATTTATTGTAACTAACAAATTAATAAAAATGTTGGCAAAACAGGGAGACATTGCTAGTGACTGGTTAATTTCTGAAGCTGATAAAGAAGTGCTGTCTTTGGAATGCCCTGCTGGCCTTAGAAGTGTCAAAGAGGAAGAGATTGTTGTCTGGGTTGATCCTCTAGATGGAACTTCTGAGTATACACAAGGTAATCATATTTTTATATTTAATACTATGTTACAGTTAGTGTCCGACCGAAGCTTCGGCTTCGGCTTCGGCTTCGGCCACCTTCGGCCAAAAAGTCCACCTTCGGCAAAACATTCGGCTTCGGCCCAAAGCCCGGCCGAAGCCGAAGGTTTCGCCGAAGCTCCGAGCGACTGCCGAGATTAAACGAACGATTGAACTAATTGTAATTTGTGAAATTATTCATAATAAAGAAATGATTACTTTTACCAGTAGGTAAATCACAAACTTTTATTAATCTCTAAACCAACCATCTCTTTGATATATCATAAACTTCTTTATAAGACAGTCAATATAAACCTTCAATATTGAGGTTTTGAAATAATTTTAATATTAATTGTAGCTAGTAGACAATATTGAACAAAATAATTGACTGAGTGCTGAGAAAATATAAACCTTCGGCTTCGGCCAAAAATACACCTTCGGTCGGACACTAGTTACAGTACACAACCAGACGGGGTAATTCAGCTACTACCCTAAAAATACTATTGATATATCAAATTCAATAGCTGATGTTCTGACATCAAATCATAAAATTTGTGTTAAAAATATTTATTACAAATGTAAAATAATTCTAGGTGCACTAATGTTGAAGAGAGATCCATGGGAAAGATGGAAAATGTACTTAACTCATCCTTTTATAAGTATCAAGTGGTATTTAAGTTTGCTCCAATCTAATTATGGTAAATTGAAGATTTGCATAGGTTTTTGAGCTTTGTTATTTAGTATGCACTGTAGTAGTATGGACACAGTGGATCATTCGAGATATTCATTTCTAATGTATGTATTGTACATATTTCATGACATTATCTAACTAATACAATCTGTGAAATAACTTTTTATTTATGTTCTTCTGGTTGTAAAATATCTCACATCATGTTCTAATTACTTCCTATAGTTTTTTTAGATAATAATCTTAAACTTGCATGTTGCATGAGTATACAAATAGTTTTACTGCAATAAATAATTTGTAAATTGTTTCAGGCTTCCTTGAACATGTTACTGTTTTGATTGGTATATCTGTGAATGAGAAGCCAGTGGCTGGTGTGATTCACCAACCTTATTATAAAACTATACTGGGTGGGGAGAAGATAATAGGTAGAACAATATGGGGCCTCCAGGAAGCAGGTGTTGGAGGGTTTACCCCGGCCCCTCCTCCTGACTCCCTCATCATTACCACCACAAGGAGTCATTCCAACCCATTAGTTGAGAAGGCATTGCAAGTCATGAATGCTGCACAAGTGCTTAGGGTTGGTGGTGCAGGTTATAAGGTGAGAATTAAATGTTTCTTAGGAACATGTTTGTTATAGAAGTTATTTTGTGATAAACTAATATAATGAGAAATTATAGGTTCTACAACTACTGGAAGGCAAGGCGTCTATTTACGTTTTCGCTAGCAGCGGCTGCAAAAAGTGGGACACTTGTGCTCCAGAAGCAGTATTGTCTGCGGCTGGGGGGAAACTGACCGATATTCTCGGCGAATTCTACAAATATGGCGGAACAGAGTCACGACCTAACAAAACTGGAGTATTGGCAGCTGTCTCTAAAGACTTGCACAGTTATGCATTGAATAGAATTCCACAGGAATTGAAAGAGGCACTCTCTAAAAAATAGTGTTTCTTTTTGAAAGTATTAAATGAAGCTGATGTGATCAAATGTAAATAAAACCACTTTGATTTACTTTTTCACTGTTATTATATATTAAAAAAAAACAAAACAAAAATCAACAATAATTATATTTACTGAAATAATTATGATACTGTTATAACATAAATTGTTTATTTTGTTTTAAATATTTTATTATCATGAGAGGTATTGTGAATATGTTGGATCATTAAAGCTTGCTTTTATACTTTTGTAACATTTTTCTTAATTCTCTTCGGAGGATTTTACCTGATGCGTTCTTAGGTATGTCTTTGAGAAATATCACACCACCTCGTAGATGCTTCGCTGGTGACACCTGATAAAGAAGTTGTTATCAGTTTTACGCACGTTATTAATATTATCGGTAGGTACATGTTTTATCTAAGTCCTAATAAACTCGTACGATTCAAAATCGACAATTCATCGCGCATGATGCATTTAAAAATTTACCAATTTTATACCTATTTTCAACCTATAAATAAAAGAAACCTCATACAAAGTGGATTACCTTAGACGCAACAAAGTCCACAAGCTCTTTCTCTGTGACTTTAGAGTTGGGTTGTGCGACTACGAATGCTAGCGGCAGTTCACCGGCGGCCTCGTCGGGCAAGCCGACTACTCCTGCATCGGCTACCCCACTATGTTGCAATAGTAAAGCTTCTAGCTCCGCAGGCGCCACCTGAAGTTAAATCCATAGTATTTAAATAGACTTTTTATAAACCATAGCCCTACTACGATTTTCGAACACTTCACATCCAGAATAGAAACTACAATCTGTGGATCACACAAAAAGTTGTGCCGAGCGCGAATTGAACCCGTGGAACAATGGCAGCAGTCGAGCTATTATTACGCTAATCGTGCAGTCAAAATTATTTGGTTAAAATTGGTTGAATAAACCGTAAACGGCTATTTGGGTGCTTATTATTATCAAAATATAAATAGGTAAGTAATTGATATTACATACATATAGGAATGGTACATAGCTTTGCAATTGATTTATTGGACCTATTCATTCTCGGTTTCTTTTTATTTTATTTATGGTAGTTCAATTAATAATAAATTATATTTTTTTTATAGCCGCCTCTCACATTGGGCAAGGTTATTTGAGTGGCGTGGTACAAGGCCACAACACTACATAACAATAAAGTTATTAATGTGAATTACCTGGAAGCCTTTATATTTAATGAGTTCCTTTAACCTGTCGACGATGTAAAAATAGCCTTCGTTGTCATAATAGCTGATATCTCCAGTTCTGACGTAGCCTTCGTTGTCAAACAATTCGTCGCTGGCGGCGCGGTCTCCCATGTAACCTTTCATACGCAAAGGGGACTTAATCCAAAGTTCTCCTTCTTTACCAGGACCCAATCTTTGTCCATTTTCAATATCAATCACCTAAAACCATAAAAGTTTAATTAAATACCTTTCTATTAATCTTAATAGTAGCATTAATAATATTATTATTACGGTGTGTGGTGGTAGCCCCACTTCAAAATTTATTTTATTCTGTCTTTTAGTATTTGTATTTTCTTTTACCGCTAAAGCAATAGCCGCCAAAAGAAATACATTATCAGAGAACATTCAACAACTATCACAGTGAAGTTACACCTACCTTGACTTTCATTCCTGGCGCGGGAGTTCCACAAGAGCCCACCTTTTCTCCACTTGTTAAGTCCACAAGACACGCCATTGTTACTTCTGTCAGGCCGTACCCTTGTTTAATGAAGTCAATACCTGTCCTGCAAAGTTTTTAAAAATATTAAACGGATTTTGTTCATTATATTTTGAAACTAGCTAAGCTCTCGCGGTTTCACCTACTGCACGGCTCTTTATGTTCGTGGCGTCATGTTTGATGATAGCCTATAGCCTTCCTCGAAGGTCTATACCACACAAAAAAATTTATTCATTTCGAACCAGTAGTAGGCGTTCAACTCTAGCTTTACAATTTTGAGATAGAAGAATAGAATATAAGATTACAAACTTTAAATCTCTTATTCCCTTAGATGTTAAGATGAATTGTAGATTCTGAGAAGAGACGACTAAGAACTGAAGATCGCAACAATATTTTGCCCATCCCAGAAATCGATCATGAGTAGGCTTACTTGCTAAGCAATTGCAATTACTCGCTCGACCAATGAGGCAGTATAACAGTGTTTTATATCAAAATAACTTGTGTATTTAATTATGAAACAGGATACCTTTCTGAAACTGCTTTTTGGATGTCCTTCGATAACGGTGCTGCGCCGCACCAAACTTCAACTAGTGACGACAAGTCATACTTGAGAACCAGGGGGTGTTTCGCAAGGAACACGGCCAGCGGTGGCACTATAGTGGTCATATTTATCTGTAAACAATAAATACTTGATATAAGTATAATATACATAACATAATATCATGAATTTATTACTCCAAAAGCAGAGCCAGAGGTGTGCAATGCCAGTTGTCTATTTATTTATCTCTCAATTATTTGTTTATTATATTGCACAATATGCACTAGTAAAAACTCAATTACCAAAATCCCAAACCCCCTTTAATATGGGTTAAAAAACGTATGTATAGTTATAAGTACTACCGGTGTTATAATAATGTTGATAATCTGTTCAAAGGTTAGAGCTGCATGCTTAAATGTCACTAAATTATGTTTTGCCCAGCTAGGACAGTTACACTGACCTGGTGGGTGAACTCAAAGAGTGTGCTTGCAGTTTGTAATCAATTAAAAAACTGGACAAGTGATTGTGATAAAGATGAAGTGGGTGAGGGTCGAGGGTTTGAACTTTAAGTGGCTTCTTGACGTGCCTGCTAGCTTCCTGGCGGAATGATGAGATGGTATTAATCTAAACTACAATTTTATAAGAAATAAGAAAATTAATGATGTGTAAACATAAAATATTAAATACGATTGTGGATTACAAAACTTACTTTGTAATTTTGAATAGTTTCCAAGTACTGTTGTTCATCAAAACGGATTAGAAATACGATTTTCGTGTTCATTGCCATTACTGCGAATGTTGTGATAAATCCATAAGCATGGAACCATGGTATTAGTGACAGACCAGTCACAATGCCATTGTTTTTCTGAGACTGGACATAGTCAAAGTAATACCTGAAACCATATTACAAATATGTAAATAACAAGTATGCCATATACTAGATATGTAGATTTATATTTGTCTAGTAGAAGTCAAGGATCATGCAGTATTGATCTACATTGATGGGAAAATGTTATTAAATTCTGTTCATTTAACAGAATTTAATAACATTTTAATTTAAAAATTTTAATGACATTTATATTCTTTTAAATAGTACTAAATAACATTATTGGAGAAAATTGGTACTGAATGACACAATATTATATTGTAGATTGTCTAGTCTAGTCAGTACTCATAATATTAGTTATAATTGTTTTATATTGTGACTGCTTTGACTCTGCTACTCACTTCATGTGTGCAGATAATGTGAGGAAATTGACATGAGTTAGTTCTACCCCCTTGGGTAAGCCTGTAGTTCCCGAGGAGCACATTACAGCCACTGTGTCTTCCAGTCCATTCACATCAGTTAGGGTGAAGTCATCCACATGTACTTGGTCCTTTATCAAGTTATCATACATAATGCAATCAGGAACAGCTTCAAAATCTCCAAACATAATGAGTTTACATGAAGAAGATAATTCTTGACAACAATCATAGATGTTCTGTGATGTGATCGGAGAAGTAAAGATGTATTTAGGCTTCGTTATTTTAAGCAAATGAGTTATTTCACCTGTAAGGAAGATTAAGCAAATTATGCTATTGGAATTTGATAAAAATTATAAGGAAATATTGGTTATCTTGTACCTAAAGATAAAAATGCTAATTAAGTAATTATAGATTAGCACAGAATCTTATTGAGTTTGAAATTATAATATTGAGATATTCATTTAGTAGGTGTATTGAGGATGTTGGTATTTGGGATGATGACATCATCTCGCTGGTGATGTAATATCACACTCCAACAACAAATTTATGACATCCTTTATTGACTTAGAAGTTATAACCTTACAACTACTAGGTCCACTCACCAGGAGTATATGTAATGTTGAGTGTGGACAATATTCCCCCGCAGTACATGACCGCCAGGGCAGCTACAATGAACTCAAATCTGTTTTCACTGCTCAGTCCTACTAGGTCACCCTTTTTTAAACCTAGCTTTCGCAAACTTACTGCAAGATTTACACTGTTTTGAAGAATATATCTATATGTGACAGACTCTCCTGTTTCAGCACTTATCTGAAACATAATACATTAAGTTAGCACTTATCTGAAATAAAATACACCAATTTCTCTTTAATTAACTTTGAAATTAATTTTATTATAGTTGTGGTAATCATATATAAATCTGGGTAGGGTTTCCACTTACAATATTAATAGATAACAGTAATGAAACGTTTGTTACATATACATATAAGAATGTTATGGAATTTATCAACTTACTAAAGCTATGTTATCTCCTCCATTTTTCAGCTGATCGTACAAGAATTGTCCAAAAGATAAATGCGCTGGAATGCCTCGTTCTTCAGGTCCAGATACCACATTGTTGTGAATTGTTACCGGCATTTTAGATGCTGATACACTTAAGTTCTCTGTACCTAACTAAATCTATCTGAATTCTTGACTTAAAATAAACTAGCCGTCAGTTATCAGAATTAATTTTAATCTTATCTGACAAGTATATCTATAATTCTAATATCTTTCTGACAATTTGATTAGCAATGGATTAAACTTTGGATGGAGAGTAAATTAATTAATTCAATATTATTTTAAGGTTACTTCGGAATGTCAGTGTCATGACGGTCATGTCACTTTTATCAAATTAATAAGTGATGTATTGTGCAATAGTATTGGATCGACTAATCAATGTAAATATCGATTAGATATTTGAAGTTAAAAATGTTACAAATGACACACAAAAAGATCTTCATTGTGCTTAGAGAATTGCTTAGTTAATTAATCAAGTTTATAAAAAACACGATTCCTTTTCTATTGTCTGGGAATGAACGGGACGATTTCTTGACATTCCAATTAGATTCAACGAAGCTGGAAGAAAATACTATTAGCAATTAATATATTTTATCGGCCTATGGATTAATTCCTAACAGCCTCTACAACCACCTTAGGAGGCTGGCATTAGGTGGATGGGTCAAGGGCATGCCCTTGCCCATCCACCTAATAGTTATATATATAGTAAAAGTTGAAACGGACATGAATAGGTTTCTGTCTCTCGAACCCTGACCACCGGTAGGTTAAGCTAATTTGAATGTTTTTTTTTATGGAATAGGAGGCAAACGAGCAAACGGATCACCGGATGGTAAGCGATCAGCGCCGCCCATGGACACCCGCAACACCAGAGGAGTCACAGGTGTGTTGCCGGTCTATTTAAAAAGGAGTAAGCTCTTTTCTTGAATGTTTGAAGGTCGTATCGGTTCGGAAATACCGCCAACGACAGATTATTCCACAGTTTTGCTGTGCAAGGCAGAAACCTACTTGAGAAGCGCACAGTTGTGGCCTGCCAACCATCTATATGATGGAGATGCATATGCCGTTGTGAGGGTCGATGGCGAAAAGATGCGGCAGGTATCAGGTCAAACAATTCTTCAGAGCACTCCCCGTGGTATAAGTGATAGAAGATGCACAACGAAGCTACATCTCTACGCATTGCCAATGTAGACACATTGAAACATCCCGACATCCAACAGTCCGAACGGCACGCCGCTGATCGCGGTTCAGAGGAAGAAGCTGGTACTGGGGTACCCCCACCCAAAGATGAGAACAGTATTCCATATATTGTGTTGCCGAACCTGCGCCTTATATAGAAGCAGGTGGTGGGCCTGGGTGAAATACTGCCTCGATCTATTGAGCACACAAGTTTCCTCAATGATAATTTGGCCTTATCCTCTAGATGACCGCGAAACTGGACGCCGCTCAAAATGCTGACACCAAGTAGTCTAATACCGGCTGAGATAGTTAAGGGGGTGCTTTGAAACTGAAGAGAGACGACCAACGGTAGTTTCTTAGCGGTAAACACGATTTAATAATAGAAAAATATTTTGTAATCCATAATTAAAGAAATTGAAGAAATTTGAGAGGCCTTTGTCCAGCAGTGGACGTCTTCCGGCTGTTGATGATGATGATGATGAATTAAAGAAATTAGGTATCAATTGATTGGAATTTTCACAAATAAATATTTGATAATGGAATTGATTATTAATTCGCTAGAGATAATTAAATTGTGTGAATCGACTAAAAGTTAATTTGCCCATCACTAGTAAGAACCTTTGACACTTTTGACACTACCTCTATATCAAATCATTGTCAAAAGCGTGAAGTTGCCAACCTACATAGATAATTTAAAAAGTAATCCTCAGTTTAGAAAAAATAAAATTGGTCGTTTTTTTTTCAAGGTTACATGATATCGGCCTTGCCTAAAGGCCTCACTGTAGTCATCAAATTGTTGCTAATTTTATTATTTGTGATGATAACTTTTATTACATACGAATACAATACATAAAAAACATTTATACCTACTTAGCCAGCAAGACTGCGATGAAATACTTTTTGTAAGCGATCAAACGTGCAATTTATATGCGTATATATATAATTATGCATTTTTAATTAAACAAGCAATTCTTGTACCTCATATAATTTATCAACAATCTCGAAAACAGTTCAAACTATTTTCGTGAAATAATGTATCTAAGAGGTTTCGGTGGCGATTAGATACTCTAAGGGGGCGATAAATCGATCTAACTATATTATAAGGTTTTATTTTCAGAAAAGGTTGTTTACTATTAAAAAACATCGAGCTCGGTCATTTCGGTGCTTATATTTAATACCAAACATGCGTATGTCTACTATAGGTTCAAAAACATTTTTAAGATTGTTTTTTTATCATCATACTTTTTAGCTACGAATGTTTGCCCCGTGTAAATCCCGTAATAAACCGCACTATAATATTCTTTTCACAACTCTACTAGAAACCGTCGTTACCATTGTTGAGCATTTTGTTACTATAGGTACTTACTAGGTAGGTGTAGTCGCTCCCACAACTTGCTTCTTGAGATTGCTGTTTATATCGCAATTATCAATTATTTTATAGGCTAGTTAGGCTACCTAAGTATGTTTTATTTACTAACAGAACATGGAAGTTTCAGGAGGTACCTGTGTCTGATGGGGCGGGAGAAAATGCCCGTGTGTCATCACTACGAGGACCGCCCTAAGAACACGGTGGAACACACTGTAGGGGCATGCCCTGCTTTGGCTGAACACAGCCGTGACCTCAGGGATGTGGCACGGGCCGGCGGACGGCGAAGCATGCGTGGCTCGCCGCCAGACCAAACCCAGACCCGAGGGTACGGCGCATCGCGTTCCGCGCCCGCCTCAAAGTGCCATCAGACCACCACGGATGGGCCCCAATAGGGCTGATACCATTATGGAGCCGCGGAGGACTTAACGGGTTGCCGGGGCTTCGGCTCGAAAGGCAGGAGTAGGAACGGGGTGGTTTTTAGTCAGGAAGAGTCTGACAGACCCTTCCGCCTCACCCAGGCGGGAGAAGACAATCGATGATTTCCCCGCTTAAAAAAAGTATGTTTTATTTTCATTTATTGCCTGGTGGGCGCAGTGACTGAGTCGATGGCTGCTGTGCAACATGTCGCGAGTTTAATACTCGCATTGGGTAAAAATGACGCAAGTGTTGCCTACAAACAAACCGTGTCCAGAAGTAGCGAAAGTCGTTTGTATTGTTACTGTATTATTATACCTATTATTTATGACAAATTATTTTAATTTTATATGATGAGGTTTAATGTAGGTACTAATACTACTTTATAAGTTGTGTATGTCTTTACTAACCATATGGAATGTATTATCTGAATAAATAAATTGAAATTGAAAAATTGATAAATGAATTTTTTTTATAATTAAAATATTAACACTATCAGCTCGGTGTCAGAAAATTTGTCGGTGTTTCACGTTTACCCCTAGCTCGTAGCTCGGAAAGCACATACCATACGCATACCTACAGCTGTTGGTTATACGCCTAACTCTCTCCGGTTCGTAAAAGGTGTCGCGCGCGCCGTCCCATCGAAATGAGGGCCTGAATAAGAGCATGCCTGTGTTTGCGCACATGCTGGTGTACTCAAGTGTAGTGGGTTAGTCCATTTAGACTACTCCATGACCGAAATAGACCGGGAATCTTTTTTTTGTATCGTTTTACCAAAGTATTACTTACGTGTGATCAATGATATAGGTACTTACGTGTGATCCCTATAATATTTACTGGTAGGAAACATTCTAACGCTTGGACTTTGATTTTATTTATTCATGAAATTCAGATCGGAAGTATCCTTCAATCAAGTTATTAATCTACATATATTTGCAGTAGTTGCAGCTACGAGTACAGTTTGTACCTCTTTCTTGTCTGCGCGTATATAAAAATCACATTATTTCGTGTAGATCTGCGCTCCAATACCACGGCTTAAGTAAGTTAGGTCAAGTAGTTAAAATGAATTATTGTGTTATTTACGATAGGAGAGATAGAACTATTTTATCATTTTGTCTCACAGAAAACAAACTAATAATTAATTATTACATGATGCGTAATGTGGATATAAGAAACAATAGGACTGAGCTCTTTATAAATATTAAGTAGGTATTTAACGTTGATAAATACCTACAGACCTGCTACCTATCTACTCATCTATTCTTGTTTAAACAGCGTATTCAACATATTAGGTACAATAACTGATACTACTGACTGACTGACTGACAAATAACTGTACGGTATCACGAGTTTTAAAATGAAATAACAGAAAATTATTAGTTTGACATAAGTAACCGTCTTATTTACATAAGCATAAAAATAATCTTAATACTCGCCAGTCACCAACATTGTAGGTAGGCGGTCCTATTGATAATGGATAATTTATAAGTATATAGGTACAGGTATCTCATAGTTAATAAATCAATAGATTACTAACTAAACTAAGTAATTTTCAATAGGGTTGTCAGGAGCACTGATTATTTTATCTCTATGTACGAAAAGATGTAACATCTGGCCGGTTTGGTGGTTATTCTGTTTAACTGTCTAAACCACGATTATTTCGTGACATTCTGTGACTCAATACAAAAATTAAAAAAAAAATTTAATGTTTGAAAAAACAAAATCAGAAAAAAAAAATGCAAAGGGCATGCAGCACATCAGTTATTGTGAACGTGTCTTGAAGCCACTGCGAATAAGGGATGCGAGATGCGAGTGAATGTAGGGAGTTATGCGATATGAGTGCATGTATGGAATAGAATTGTGAGTTCTGTTGTGGTTCTGTGTGTGTGTTATGTATATAGCTGATAATCCCAAATGATCCATGGCCTTATTGTCTGCATATGTGCTGGTATACGAGTATTCTGTACCTACTAGTAACGCGTATATGTTTCTTAAGTGCTCAAAATAAATTCTTTATTATTCGTTTATTTAAGGTGTTAGATACACCTTAAACACATAAAGTAATATTTATATTATCAATAATCGTACGTACTTCATTAAATGCATACATAAATAATAATGTATTGTAGGCAATTAATTTCTTTATAACTTTTATAAGATATTGAAGTTTGATGTAATGACTAGCTGCAGTTAGATTTGTTGGTAACTATTCGCACAAGCTGGTGTGTACTGCTAATGAGGCTAAAAGTTTATTAAATAAACTATTATGGTAGACTTTGCAAGCTATTTGAATATATCGGTAAATTGATTTATATAAAGTTTAAAAAATATAAGCGTAAACATTCGATTGAAGACATGACAGAAAACCAGTCAAGCAGGTACCACTTAACCGGTAAGGGAGGTCTTTGAAGTTAGTAACTGACTTATTTGTAGTTGATCTTTGTACCGTTCTAATTAGTGGATAAGTTGAGTTGTTACTGCACTATAGTGGGTTTATAAAAACTTGAGAATATATTAAGAAATTATTTTGTAGCGCATAGCAACCCTAGTGTGGCCTCTTACTGACTTGATAATTGTAAAACATGACTGGTTGACTTGCCATGTTGATAAACAGTATTAGCTTAGTGGTCTAGTGAGTCGGTGTACGAGTCTCATTGTGTATTTTATTCCATTCGGTGTTTACTGTACTTTTGCTGAGCAAGTGGTGCAAGTGAATGATATAAATATCACAAAATGATTATTAATAACGTTGTCACAACCGGTCCCCCGCTAAGCGTGCCAAGTCACTTGTCTTTTGCTCAATATGCGATAGATAAATTGAAAGAAAATAGTGAAAATGGGGATGCTGTGGCCGTGGTGAGTTCAACGTAATATTTATTGTAGTTTTTAAGTAAATATTTATTGCGTGTAACAAGTACTTATTAGCTTATAGTCTGTGCGTATGCCGTTTGTTTTATTTATAGGAGGATCCTTGACCCTATATCAGATACGTGATGTGTGCGTACAAGATGACAGAAACCTGTTTATTTATTTGTGTAAACAATGTTTTTTCAAACCGCTAAACGTACCTTAATAACATATAGATTGAATATGAATGAAGTATGATAATAAAGTAACTTTAATGGAGTAATAGGATTTCTGTTAATTTACATCTAATTAAATATAACTACATAAATATTTACAACTTAAAATTAACTACAACTAAACTAATAAAGTTAAACATAAGTATTTTTGGTAGATGGGTTAGTAGTTATTTTATTATACACAGTATATATGGTTTATTAATTATATACAACGTTGCATTAGGTACAAACTATAAACTTCTATGCAGATAACCGGTAATTTTTATTTTTCGTAAAGTATAATTTTCTTCAGTAAGTATAACTACTTTTACATCAAGAGAGTTAGTACCTGTATTTAAGCTAGCTTGATAACTATTCTGCCGTTATCTTTGCACATATTATTCTGTACGATATCCCTCTTAGCTTACACTATAAAGATATGTTACTATCTTAATACTACTCAATATTTTTTAGATCATATCGCGATAATTGCTCAAATAGTTCTTACACTTCGTAACAATAGGTACATATATACTTATACAAGTTATACATGAATTGAGATAAACGCAAATTAGGTAGGTACAGATCAAAGGTTAAATTTCGGATTCATATGTAAATCGTTTGACGTAACTAAATAAATAAAACTAGTTACTTACTAAATGATGTTTAACCGGTAGCGAACTTGTATGAAATGAGGGATATGTTTATTGATTATATTCGGTATATCATCCTAAAAATAATACTTACTCAATTATAAAAATATCCAAGTCAAGTACTGTGTATAAAACACGGTATCAGAGACATGATCTCAAAATGCGCAGAGAAAGGATAAAGAATGTCACAGAAGACTACATCGTTGACAATATGACTGTTTGTACATTTATAGATCAATGGCGACACCAACCAGCAGATAACGTTCAAGCAAATATTACAAGAGACAGTAAATGTAGCGACAGGATTGACACGACTGGGAGTGAAGCGAGGTGACGTGGTTGCGCTCTGCAGTGAGAACAGAGATGAGTTCATGCCCACGGCCCTCGCCGTGGTATGCTGCGGCGCCACCATCACCACATACAACCTGCTTTACAGTAAAGGTAATGAACCAAACACAGGTAATAGGTAATCACATACACAACAGAGCTAGATTAGATACTGAGACTAGATACTTTTTTATGAAATAAGCCTGTAAACGATCAAACGGATCACCTGATGGTAAGCAATCGGCACCGGTGCCGGCTGTGGACACCCGGTACCCGAAACACCAAAGGCGTTACAAATGCGTTACTGGCCTTTTGGGGATTAGGAATTTGAGGATTGTTGGGAATTCTGGGATTGGGTGGATTGAGGAGAGGGGGGGGGACTGGGTCTCCGGTAACCTCACTCACACGACGTGAAATAACGCAAGCATTGTTTCACCGTTTCACGTCGGTTTTTTGTATCACTCCGGTCGAACTGGGATAGTAGATACGTGTCTATTCACTGTAGTTGCTTGGATTGGTTTTACAAACTACGAGGTGTGTAAGTGCCAAGTGATTTGGTACATTAGTACTAGCCTAGTTAACAATTTCAAAAGACTTTCTAAAACAAAAGATTTTCTACTGTTTACAGTTCATCATAAGTATAACACAAGTGGAGTGTGACTCGTATAACTTGTGTATCCAGTCGGTATGTAGACTGGCATGGCAAGCTGGCACCTATCTAAATACCTCACGCTACGTTGTATGGTATATAAATTTTTACATTCCACTGGTTGAAAGGTCTTAATTGTATGTTTTTGTTTGTTTTAGATGAAATGACACACGTGCTAAACATCTCGCAGCCAAAACTTTTATTCGCATCTGAATTAGCGCTGCAGCGACACCTGGCGACCTTTAAGTCACAGTCAAGTATCCAAAAAATAATACAATTAAATGGTAAACTGTCGGCGAGTGGCATTTTGGAGTATAAAAGTGTGGGAGTACCGACGAACCCAAATGAATACGAGCCTGTGGAGGTCGAGGGATGGAAGGACATCGCTTACATATTGTACTCCTCAGGAACTACAGGATTGCCTAAAGGAGTGATGCTCTCACATCTAAACGTGCTGTACTCCGCGGCCAGCTTCGAGTGAGTTTGGTTTGGTTGAAACTGGATTGAGTTTTATTTATAGCTTGTAATGACACAAACGCCTACTTACTTAGTGACTAATTAGTAATGTTCAAAGGTCATGAAAATATATCACCTATCTAAGTACTAGAGATGTAGATTACCTATATTGAGATTATCGCATTTTATTTTTATCGGTAGTAAGTTGCAATTGTGTTATGACAAGTAAAATCTACAATTCTTACGAAATATTGAGGAAAAATTGTTACATGCACACAGTGGGTATACTGCGGTATGTACTACAGTAGATAACCGTAGTCTTCGTATTTTTGAAAGAATCGTTTTTAAACATTTTATCTAAAAATTGGAAAATTCAAACATCTACCTTATTACGTCCGTTAATAAAATTAAAACATCCTTGATATGAAGAAAACTATACTTAATAATATTAATTTAACTAAACGATATTGAAAAAAACTGTAACTTACTCTTTAGCCTAGGCCAGAAGTCTGAACACATTCCTCGACTTACAACTACAAACGTATCGTATCTATCTACATAGTCATGTATTTCATTATTCGTTCATCGGTAGTTCTTAGACTCTAAGACTCGTATGTATGCCTCATCTACCACATCACATGCATGGGTACAAATTGTACAGTGACTCATTAATCATGCGATTTTTAACGATATTTTATGCAAAACTATAATAATTATTGCATAGATATGTATGCTATAGGTATACTGGAAATGAAAGAAGGACATGAAAAGCACATACGAATTCATCAAGGAAATAGTTAGGACTAGGTAATAAAGAAACATCGGTCAGTGGATGCATTAAATACGGAGTCAAGGTATCTTGCCCACTAACAATTATATGTTTAACATTCAAAATGGGCTAAACACAACTAATGTAAGTAACTTCTCTGTTAACAATGCGATAAAATCGAGTTCTTCTATTTTCAGAATTGAAAACCCATTGGAGAATGTCGTACTACTGACAATAGTACCGTGGTACCATGCTTACGGCTTAATGTCTACCATAAACTACATCCTAATTAAGAGGAAACTGGTTTACTTGAACGGATTCAACCCTGTCAAGTATTTAACATCTATTCAAGAGTATAAAGTAAGATATATCAATACCAAGACTATAATTTCATCAATGTTATTCTAAATTGTAGGTTTACGAGTAAACTATTATTTTATAAGTCCTTAATGCATTTGATTCATGGCAATCGGACAAAAACCTCTAGTCTGTGCTGAAAAACTGAATACCTTAATAAGGTACTATTATGTACCTATGTGTATGTAAAACTAACTTGACTTTTACAGGTAACCAATCTGGCAGCCGTTCCACCAATAGTAGTGTTCCTAGCGAAGGCACCCATAGTCGAGAAGTTCGACCTATCTTCCATCAACACTATCTGGTGCGGGGCCGCGCCACTCTCCGCTGAAACTATTGCCGGAGCTTTGAAACGGTAAAAGTAGCCCTAAGTACATAATGATTGTCATAGTGAGCCTATTGCTGGCTATTACTAGAGGTATTATTTCTCAAAAGGTTTTGTCTAACTCGAGACTTGAACTCTACCCTGCTCTGCTCGACTGCGCTACTGTCTGCCATATATTAACACATTTTGTACTTAAAAACGAAAAGCACTAATTTAGATAGAGGGTTACTCTAATTAATTAGGTATACCATAAAGTACCCTTTGTAGAGGTCCTTTCGTAGACGTGTATTATTTCATACATATACATAATCAGGCTTGTCCTGTAAGACGTGCAGAAAACAAAAGAGTCGAGGGTCGTCTGGCTATGATTCCATATTTCTTTTGAAACCGTTTCCTTATATATACAACCTTAAAATGTTCCTTCTATACATATTTGGTTGATCTATTAAATATTAAGTAATGAGAAGACCTAAGTATTTACAAAATACTTCAAAGATAATTTTGTAGTTATTGTCTTTCCACGCAGTATGAAAAATTGCAAGGGAATATTCCAAGCGTACGGAATGACGGAAACTTCACTGACAGCAACTAAGGACATTGATGATGACAAGACAATAAGAAAACCTGGCAGCGCCGGCTACCCACTGAATGGCGTGAAGGCTAAAGTAAGTTTGGCATTCTGTGGCATGGTCAATGTTCACCGATGTCAGTGGAGGATTTTCCTTCAGTTTTTTATCGGTGGTCAAAGATCAAGAAAAAGACATGACACTGGGTTGTGTCATGTCAAAGACATGACTCGAAACTGCAGTCTCCGAGGCCACTACGTTATCGACTGTATCAGGTTCAATTTTCGCAAATGTTATGTTATTGTAGAGTACGAAAACAAAATTGGTATGATAACTTTAGTAACTTTGACAATTACGAATTACGATAACTTTTTTATATCATTATTCTCGTTTTTATAATACTTAATCCAATTCACGAGATGAACCTCTTAAAATTGAATATGGAAAATCTCATTTAACCTAATCTGTGGTAATGGGGATGATGACAGGGTATGAAAATTAAAAATATAATTAGTCCGTAAGTTAGGTAATGAAAAAATATTAGACACGTATTTTTTTATTTTGTCGTATAATAAAACAATACTTAGATAAAACGAATCAAAGTTTAGGAGTGGGGGCTAAAACGTCATTCCTTAGTATAAAATGTACTGAGAAGTGACGTCACGCGACATTTCAAATCAATATATCTGCGAAACTATTCGTTTCTGTGAGAAAATAAAAAATACGTGTCTAATGTTTTTAAATAATCTATCAGACCCATTGTATATAGGTATGTCGACTTTGACCCTTTCAATGACATATGGCTATTTACAGGTTGTAGATATAGACACTCGTAAAAGGTTGGGTCCTAATGAAAATGGAGAGATCTGTCTAAAAGGACCCTTGATTATGAAGGGTTACTATGGCAACGCGGAGGCCACACGAGATGTGTTTGATGAAGAGGGCTACTTGAAGACCGGAGACGTCGGTTATTATGATAAAGATGGATGCTTCTTTATCGTAGACAGACTTAAAGAACTAATTAAATATAAAGGCCATCAGGTAAGCAAACACTTGTAAACTGTGTCGTATAATCGTATAGTTAGTTCCAAACTATTTCAGCATCGATTGAAAAAGATAGATAGTCTACTGAGTAGACTCTACTCAATGTTTAGTTAGGATAAAGCTTTCTATCCTTTTCAGCTACAACCTGCATGTAAGCTTTTATTATTTTTTTTGTTTATTTTACTTGCGGAATAAATTGTGCCTAAACAATATTATTTACAGCAGTAAAATGTTTATTATTCCTAGTTTAACTGTTTACGAACGCATCAAATATGAATAATATGTACTGACTGATCTTGATATGATATTATAGTAATTATGTAGTAAAAGTTAACGGATAAGAAGGTCTTTATCGATCACTCAACGATAAAAGAAATCCTTCCAATATTCGTGTCTCTGGGTAGGTATCTTTGTAATAGGTAATTAATGGTATTAATTAATTACTCAACGATTGATGGTGCAGGCGTATATCTGCTGATATCATACACAAGAAATTGAAAAGACATGTGCATTTAAAGATTATTAGGCAAAAGTATTTATAATTCGCTTTTTACTAAATCGACACAAAAAGTAACGTAATAGCCTTTACTTCCTGTTACTTTAAATATGTTTCAAGTCGTGATATTTCACGATTTTGATTAGTAACCTACTATAACAAGTGAGATACATAGATATACAAATAAATGTTTAAAATATTTTCTCTTCGCAAGTAAAGGTGCTCACAGGGAGCATTCGCGTGTAACGTAACGTTACAGATCTGAGCATGACATCAGTGAAGGAGGAGAACCGAGCTTTACAATGCGCACCTTGTAATGATACAATGTGTAAAATCTTGATACAACTTGTAACATCAATGCGCTCCACTTCCCCCAGACCCCCGCCCGCCCGCTTCGTCTAACATCTTGTTATGAAATGCTCAAAGTCGAATCAATATGTTACATTACATGCAAATGCTCGTTGTTACATTACACGCAATTGCTCGTTGTTACATTACACAAAAATGCTCGTTAGTCAGAGAGGTATTATTATAATATAATGCGCAAAGTCGAATCTATAATGTTACGTTACACGTGAATACTCCCGGTGAGGGAGCACCTTTAAGAAAACAAAGGTAACGGTATGTTTCCAAAAAATTGTCTAAATACATGAAGATCTCCCGCGGGAACCGTATCTACATTATTCCGGGCTAATTCATCGTTTAGCAATGCTACGGTGATAAATCAACAAACACGCGTCCATTAAACATTGTATTATTTATAGATTTAGATTTTATATTTATTTTCTCGTTTGGATAGGTTGCACCCGCGGCGGTGGAGAGTGTGGTGTTGGAAAACCCGGGTGTGGCGGAGTGCGGTGTTGTAGGAGCTCCGGACGAGGCAGTCGGCGAGCTCGCAACAGCTTTTGTCGTTAAGAAGCCTGGCGCCACAGTCACTGAGAAGGAACTGCTCGAATTCACCAAGTCTCGTGTAAATACTCCTTATCTATTTTTGAAGCATTTTACTATATTTTTAATACCAGTTATAACTAGTAGATACTTGAAAAAGTGGTTCAAATTAATTTTAATATTGTAGTTTTAGTACATTACACATTCAGACACAGAACAGGTTGTAACTTTTCTTAGTTTCGGATAAGGAAGTATCACCTCACCAGGCCAGCAGAAGTTGCAGGTTGAAAATCATTGGGCATGATATTATTATGTTTAGTAGGAAAGTAACCTAGTATTATTGTTTCTCAGCTATCGTCCGTGTCTCGGCTTCATGGTGGAATAATATTCATTGAAGATATACCAAAGAACCCATCAGGAAAGATCCTGCGCAGAACATTGAAACAAAAACTTCTCGACCGACAGAAAAGTAAATTGTAAATATCATTATAAGATTATAATATAATGGACATAATATTTTCATTTCGTAATATATTATGGTTAAATTTCTTTTTATAATTTGTTCCTAAATACTAATAAAATCAATAAAAATATATTTTTAAATACATTGTGTGTGCGTTTTTTTTTCATCAAATCGAACTAATCTTTGTTCAGACGATGAAACGATGAAGGAAACCTAACTACTATAAAGCGGAATGAAATGTTCATTACTAGTTATACTACAAAAGTACGAAGTGGTTAGTAAGTGATTCAAGGATATTTCTACAAACATGAAAATTCGTAGCAAAGAAGTCCGCTACGACGTAGCTCTTGCAACAAAAATGGCTACGACAATACTACACAAAAAATTACATTTTACTAAAATGGGTTGTCAAGTAATAATTTCTAGTTTCCATGCAAATGTATGATACAATCGTTTTCTTTTTTCGCTTCGGCCTAGCGTAGACCTTATCGGCACGGTAACAAATTGGTCAAAATTATCAAATTATTATCAGCAAGTCTTGACAACTAACATAACGATTATGTCTCATTATAAAGATTAGGTACACTCATTATTTAATCTGGTATCTATTATTACTATAATCCAGTCTAATCAATTACACCAAGTAGGTAATGACAGTGTCCCTTGACGATGAAAACTTGTCCATTAAAGCAATGATTGATTGCTCGGCATGGACAATAGAGGCGAGCTCACAATATCATACAGTTCCCAAGGTACAGGCCAGCGATCCAATCATGTCTAATGGATGAACTCGCTGTACTCTTGTGGGTGTTTATTCGTTACTTGGGCCAATTATGTTCGGATTGACCATACGTATCAGAATATGCATTACCAACATGGTTACACTCGCATGCTCGGTTTCTTTGTGTCTAAGCATGGTATAAGATTGTCTCAAGAAATTAATACAAATAAACTTATATATACATAGATATAATTATACACCAAAACCTATGTGTCATAAACACAAACATTTGAAACATTTCAAACCAAACAAACTGATGATATAACTAATCCTGTAGTAGGTAGTGTATCTTGCAAAATGATGCACATGCTATTTCTCTTCCATAGGTATCTTGTATTGGGAATGACAAACGTAAAGGATCAGTCAATTAAACGAGGACTAATCGAGTGAGCGATGTGCTCCACCACATTACATTCGGCAATTGATTTTTATTTATAGTTATATGTATGTAGGTATAAATTAGTACCAGAACCAACTGTTTCAAAGAAGTTTCTAGAACATGAACATGCATTTATATAAACGAGTTATATTTTTAATTCATCTGTTAGTCGTGTATCAAAAGATCTAGGAATTCACCTGATTCGCCGAATTGATATAAGACTATTGATGTTTTCTTGACTCACTGACATTTTAAAATGTATCATCTGCCAACCGCGATGAATGTTACAAACATCTGGTTGATGATTATAACATAACATCGGACTTAATTCCTCAGAATGGTAGGTAGAGTGGCACTTGTAATGAAGACCTACTTCTCGCTATAATTGCCAAAAATACTATAACCGGGAACCGATAAGATGGGTAACCTAGGCAATCGTGATTTCGATCAAATGTCCAGTAACACAATAATAAGTTAATTATTCATAATGAACATTTTATTGAAAATATTTGTTATCACAATAGCGGCGGGCCGCGGTGGCCTAGTGGCGCGGACTTCCGAGTCTTAGCTCATTCGAGCAGGTAGGTGCGCACTTTGTGTGATTCGTTTTATCGCTGCTACAAACAATTAAATAATATATAGAACCAAGTCCGTAATCTACGTCATAAGATGTTAATTAAATATTACAAGCTTTTACTTTGCTCTGTGCACTAAATAATTATTAGGAGTTTAGGAGTACTCGTGCTGTAAGACAGATCTACAGTATCTAAAACAATCAGTTCGCCTAGGATATATGCTCTACTCTTTAGTGACCACATGTATTCAATGTATTTAGTCTGTTTAGATCAGTTTGTAATTGTCCGATGGCTGGACAGAGGCCGTTTGTCAAATGAAAACAGAATTGAAAATGAAAGAGACGCGGGGATAATCTTAAATAGGTAAATCCAAGCTTTGGCGCTATAATTACAATATCTATTCAGTTATTCAGAAAAAGTTTTTACAGTTCACGATGTTCCTGAAAATCTCGTCATTCAAGGAAATGGTAACTTCCGCATAACATTTTATGGGAACATGTTTAATCTCTGTAGCTACGTATAAATAATATTAGTAGGTACCTAGGTAGAGTTCGCCTGTGGTTGGTGGCATTCGTAAATCTGTGACGCGAGTAGTTGATCGGGTCGACGAATAGCGCGGGAGTCAGCGCGGCACACCGCGGACGTCGCAGGACAGCGCTCGGCCGCACTCTGTCCACCCGACGCGGATGCTACACGCGCCACTCGCGGACTCCAACAATTATTTTTTATTGGAATACGTGTCTTCAACAATAACATGAGTTAGCAACGGCAACATGTCTGTCTGTGGTCAGAGTGGTCAACCAGAGGAAGATAGTGCTTCAGAGGAGGTAGCCGCAACCGCGACTCGGGACAGTTACAAGCAGAAGCCAGCCAGCAAGCTAGTGCGCGTGCTGACGGTGCTGGCGTACCTGCTGTCGGTGTCTCTGGCTGCTATCCTGCTGTCTGTGTACTACGTGGTGGTGTGGCGGGCGCCGGAGTCTGCCGGCGAGGTGGGCGAGGTGAGCGCGCGCCGCACCGGCCCCAACACCACCTTCCACCACCACCACCATCACTATCAGCCAGTGCATCACGCAGTACCAACTGCATACACTGCTGGTGAGTCCACTACTTCTCAAATTCTTTCAGTTCAGAAAACACTAAAAACAATATTAAAATATTCATCCTTGTTATATGACAAGGAATAAGCACTTTCTAAAACAGAAGTTACCTTAAAAACTTTTGAATTACTTACTGATTAACTAACATTTTACGAAAACTTCGTCTAAGTTATAATACTACATATCTAACACTAAATAGGTAATACCTAATTCAACATTTTACCAAATGTTTGTTCAGAGAGCTCTTTTTAATTTAACTTAAAACGAAATGTTTTTTCATTAATACGGCGTGCCTAGATGGAATTCTCCAAGGATGAAGTGAAAAGGCGAAATAGCGCGTGGTTTCAATTAATTACTTAGTTACCTAATTGGATGAATTCACTATAATTACTTAAGTGAAGGGATCAAGTGTTGCACTGGGGTATGTCGACACGCTGGGAATGAATATATATTCCGAGACGATAGTAAATGTTTTGTAGGTTTATACAAGTGGAACATTATCATGAAACAGACCTTGTACAGAATGTGGTATGTTCGTTTAAGCCATGTGTTCCCAACTAAAAATAAGCCCTACCCCGACTCGTGGTTGCCAATGAGTAAATAAAATAATATATCTGGTTTTATCCGTTACTCATTCAATAGTAATCTGTGAGAGTCATTTTACTTTGAACGAGAACGCATATAATTTAAAAGCAATTCAATTCTTTGCTAATAATAATTTCATACCACTCTCATGTGACACTGTGTACACACATGTGTACTTTCTACAGTATTCTTGTGAAAATTCCCTTTACTTAAACCCTGGAGAACATATGCTCATAATTTAGTACCCTGCAACATAAACACCAGTTTCGTAATAAGTACAAAAAGTGAGTTTAACGATAAATCTTATTGTAAACAAACAATTTCATGTTTATTATTACTAAATCAAGGAAGAGCTACGTAAATCATTTCCAGATTTAACGATTGCTGTCCAATTTCACTTTGATTTAAATCTTTTTTAATTGATGGTAGGTCCACATACGTATATCGATACAAGTTGTGTTGCTTATTTAAAACATGAAGTCGAACCATCGCAAAACATCCGTATACTATTAGGTTTTACATGAAGGGTTTCCTGTAATCCAATTAGCCTAACCCAATTGTGTCCAAAACTGAACATCAATTACCTCATTCCGTTGACTTTTATATTGGCTTTACGAATATTTACGTGTTCATTTTGTGGCGGACATAAAGAACTATTGTTTGAAATTAAAAATTATTGTCGACAATATATGGGTAACTATAGTAGGTTCCATCTACGTCTATTCTTTCCAAAGATCTTCTCAATGAGACATTTGAGACTAAATGGCAAGACAAATATCTCTTGAAATTTATTATTTGAAAAATATTTAGCTTCACATTTGAAGAACACGTAACAATGTGGAATAAGCTAAACTCAGTATCATATCACAAACACCTATTAATTAGCATTAATAACTTGATTGCCCTCCACCGGAACATGTAAATACGTTTTCTGAAACAATTAATTGAATTTACATAAAAGCTTAAATAGCCTCGAATAGAACATTGGTCGCACGTAGTTAAGCGATATCTCCCTTCCCCGAATCCTCACAAATACTCTGATCCTTTTATCCTCTCGGTCGATTCGATTACAAGATCACGATCACTTCGGAGAAATACGGGTTACCAGAATTGGGTTACAGCATTAGTAATTTAGTGGGGATACTTAAACTAAACAATAGAAGTAACTTTATTTCAGAAAGTAATTATGGCAATATATAGCTACTATATGTTACTTTCCCATTTTATTAGCCTCGAAGAAATTTCAGGAGCGACACTTTAAAACTAATTATACGTTACGAGGCAATTTCTCTTGGGTTTGAAACGAGTGGGAAGTTAAGGGAAAATCGAAGTTAATTTACTTCACTTTCCGTTCTCTTAAATCGATTCCATAAAACAACGTTTAGATCTCAGGAAATTGTTTTACATATACTTAGACGTATACTTTCCTTGAAGACTTATTGAAAAACGTCAAAAATTTTATATATATTCGTAATATAAAATAAGTAACTAGATTCTGTCCGCGACTTTATCCTCGTGGAATAGTAACTCAGCTTTTTAAAAATTGAAAATTGCCTAATGTTACCAATTAAAAATATTACAAATATATATTTATACATACATGGTTACTCTTTATAATATTAGTTAAGAAGTTTATATAATTTGCTTCATTGAACTGGATTTCCTAGAAAAGCAGTCAATTGCCAAAGAACGGTATCGTGGTGGTTGTAGACTGCCCAGGGAGCGCCAAATGAAATTACGTACCATCGAGCTCCCGAGAGACTTTGCTACACAAACATGTATACAGAATATTACGTATACTAACTAGCTTTCCATCTGCGGCTTCGCCCACGTTGAGTTTAGAATATTTCCTTTGAGTAGATCTTGATCTTGTAGGTATATCGCGATAAAAATTTGTATATTGATAGATGAAATATGATATGATAAGTCCAAAGGTACAATATTTTCTTCAAATCAGTTCTGCAGTTTCAAAGTCCTTTCGATACATGTCTATAAACAATGAAAATATTATCAACAAGGATATCTAAAGGTGCGCGTTTCTTCAAATAAAAAAAAACATGTAGGTATTACAAACAAGAAACGTTTCAATCAAACGTCTTAAGAAATGCGATGGTAATAGATCAGAGTGCCATCTCTCAATGTTACACGTGAACACATCTGTTTCTGTTTCTGATCAACCAAATAAATCGAACACATCCGCAAGTGTTAATAGATATTTACATTAAAAATAACATTCAAAGTAAAATAACGTAGCCATTTGTTAAGAGTTACGCCGTAGCAAGGCAGCTCCAGCTACATGCTGCATGGCTCGGAAAGATCTACACACGCTGTTCAAACATGAACATGCCATGTCAGCGAGATAACCCAACGTGATAAAGTACTGAAAAAACATATTAATTCCGGAATATGCAACTAAGAAAAACATCAAGTACTCACTCGTAAGGATATAGCGCTGTGATGGTACATTACACGCATAGCACACAATCATAGTGTGGTATGTGTGTACATAGGATAAGTTTAGTATATAAGATCATATAATATAAGAAATAAATCAGTCACTAGTTGATTCCGACTTTGACTCACTACCCTTCCTCCACCACTCGGTAGAGGAAGCTCCTCCTCTCACTGTGGCCAAGACACCTTTAGCCATCGACCGATCTGTCGTGTGAGTCTGCTCGACAGACAGTGAGAAAACCATCACCACCATACCCCATTCCTACCCACATTCCGTCTGCCATCATAGGTCTCAGGTGGCAGATATCCAGCACCTATCTATATAAGTATATATAAATACGTATGGTAGGGCTAGGGTCTAAGGACTGTAGGGCTAGGGCATTAGGCGCGTACGAAGCGTAGGTCTGTATCACAGCATACCACAGTGTACCATGATAGTACATGCCTTAGGTTAGGGCCTAGTAGTAGGTGCGTAGAAGTGCTGGTCTGTATCTCAGTATACCACAGAGCACCAAGCCTATACGCATTGTACGCTAGGCATAGGATAAGATATAGACTACATAGGTAATTAGGCTTAGGGGGTTAATTAGGGTTATAGGATAGGTTATTATAAGTGTTAGATTAGCTAGGATAGTGTAGGATAACGTTAGCTTGTAGTCATTAGGAGTAGGTAGTCCTGTACAGTAGGATTTTAGCGTTAAGCTACTATCCCGCTGTACACACGCAAATAAGTTTTTGAAGTTATAAGTTACAGAAGTAATTTACATAAAATTATACAACATACATATATTGTATAATATTTTAAAGTATCGTTGCCACACATTATGATTACTAAGAATAGTTCGTAGCATTTTTTGAATAAAAGACACTATACCGACGTCTTTGCGATAAGACAAAGAATGTAGGCGTAAGATGTAACATAGATACCGAGGTGTAAAAACTCCGAAACATTCCTTGAAAGTTCAAACATATCTATTTGTTACCATAGTCGTTCCAAATTTCAATTGTACGCCTGCTACGGCGTAGCGCACGCCGTAGCCCTAGGGTCTCCCGTACTCCTGTAGCTCGCAGGACTTTTGACACGAATTCTTGAACAGTTACTTGATGAACAATCAGAACAACCCTTTACACTCTAGAAGTATCACATATAGTGTCATAAATTATACAGAGTTCTGTAAGTACTACGGAGTTGTAAGATTTGCTACGACCGCTACGCCGTAGCTGGGTCCATTGACGGTTTTATGCGAAATGTTTTTGGAACTAGTCTGTGTGTGGTGTTTTTGTCGGGTCAAAACAAAATCTGCCTTGTTGATCCGTTTTTTTGGTAAATGCGACTACCGAGTAAGGAGTTCGATTATTGGTCGGGTTTTATTGGAGTATTTCATGTTTCCAAGATTTTCTTAGAAATAATATTGAATCTGGAGTAAGGACTCATTACATACTGGTGGCAATCGGTTGATACATTGTAGAAGTGCCGACATATAAGGCGAGACGTTACGTCAGGTTTTTGTTACAAACCACTTCTAGTGCCAGTGACTAGTTGTCGGCTTGTCGGTGTATTAATACAAGACACACCCCATAACATTATTGTGCAGAACGTTTGCTAAAGAGCCGAAACAAATTAAAATGGATATTTGATGGAATTGATGTTTGTAGTGTTCCATCTATTCCATTAATTAATTAATGGTATAAAGTACCTACTATGTATTATGATAACTAGCATGAGCGCTCATTAAATTAATTCCTTAATTACTGTATTCGGGTACGTGGTGGACAAGGGTAGTACATAACAAACACCTGCACGTCGGTGTTTATATAGCCACTTCTACTGACCCCTCCACACTAGACTTAACTAAAAAAAGGTTTAACCTACAACCTGACACTGTGTGCACAAACGGTTATATCAAACCGTAAAGCAGCCTCGTTACTATTCACCGTATTTTAAGCCTGTTTCGTTTCAAAGGGCTGATTTGTAAAAAGTACCCCGTTGAGACACGTAGGAACGGGTAAATATCCCGATTTGTGCTCTGCTACGTGCTCCGAATAACAAAAACGTAATAAACACTCACAAATTGGAGCTGCTGCTGTACGTCTGTGAGAGTCGCAACGAGAATTATTAAATAAAGAGAACACGAGGCAATGAATCTTACTAAGTATAACCACTAAAATGTAGTGGGATCTGTTACTGTAGAAAACAACACTATAAACAATTTTAATACTTTGGCCTCTCACAAATTTTACGGTACACCTTCTATATATATTTTACAGCATTCCACATCCCTCACCTACACCAGATTAGTGTGCTTAAACCATACAATGCCATAAACACATTCTATCATCTTACAAGAAAATTGTGTCCGCATGACGCATGATTCAACGAAGAGAAATTGATGATTGCAGAAAATAAGAAAAATATTGCATATTATTGATCTCGGCAGCTGGCGGCGCGGCGGCGGAGCGGCGCGCGCCCGCCGCGCTCGGCACACGCGGAGCCGCCGCCGCCGGGCCGCCCGCCCCGCGCCGCGACACTTCACGCGCTGTCACAATATAACGTGCCACCATTCTCGTAAATTAACTTCGTTACCTCGCCATTATTCTCGCTCTCGTGCGAAACAAATAACGAGGTGTGTGCTGTCTTCGGCGTCGGCATTCGTGACATCGTGTGACTCGCCTCTACGAATGTATTGGGACTAACAACGTGACAGCTAGTTTTCAACAAGTTGTGCCTATTATCGTATTCAGGTAGTAAAATAAACTTAACAATGTGAACAATGTTTATAAAATGCGAAAACAATGAAAGTTCAGGGACGTTTCTATGACAGACGATTTGCGATCGTATGACTACGTCAGAGGAACTGGAATAGATTTACGTTTACCGAGCGTGAAATTAAAGGATAAACAAATGAATTCCGAAGCGGGCGCCATAATAATGAAACAGCAGTCGGCATCAGGAGGTGTCAAGCGGCAGACACGGTCGGCGTGACCCGGCACGGTAACTCGGCCGCGGCGCATCAGGAGAACTGGGCCATATCAATAAGCGTGTCCCAGTTACCTGGATTCGTGCGACGGCGAGCGCTGCGGCAGTGGGTAGTGGCGACGCCAGCGATGTCGGGCAAGTCTTGCACCTCGGGCAGCGTGCGCTCGTGCGGCGGCTCTGTGCGGCTGGGCACGGCGGGCGGGCACGAGGTCGTGCTGGACGCGCTGTACGAGCGCAAGCGCGACAAGAAGAGCGTGCGCGTGCTCACCGTCATCGTGTACGTGTTCTGCGTGTCGCTGGCTGCCATCATGCTCTCGCTCTACTACGTGTTCTTCTGGGAGCCCAAGGACGCGCAGTATGCGCAACGCAAGGTGTTTCACACTGTAGAGAAGCAAACCAGCACCACACCAATGCCCACATGCTTTATGCCCCTCACCGGTACGTCACACCACCGACACGCTTCCCCTTACTCCTCCACACTCGTGTTTGTGTACGCATCGACTCGTACAGATACCATACGAGGTGTTCCAGACACGAGTCCGTTGTATCTATACTACATATGACGATGAACCATGAACCCCGTGTGTTAGTGCATTCCTCAGCTTTTTAATACTCTTATAACAGAACAACACTTTACAAGATTTACAATTACATAATTATGTCAATATACCATCAACAATTACTGCAGTTTATTTATCTCAGCGGGCCAGTCACCAGTCTTGATTATTTCTGTATTATGCTGTAGATGAATACTTTCATTAAGTATATGTAGGTACTGTATAGTTTGAAATCGCCAACCCACCTTGAGCAAGTGTGGTGATGAATGCTTATTTCTTCTCCCAGTGAGAACAAGCTTTTTCTCAGCAGTGGGATATATGATATGATTATAGTAGAGGGTACAGACTGATGATTATGATGACTTCCCTGGTTGTCGGGAGATTCATCAAAATATCTATTATTCTTTAACCACAACTTAGTTACCTCTGACATAGACAAAATCTTCTTAGAATACTGATATCCACTTACTTCCTTGTGAAGTAGCTTTTAAAGATCATTTGTGTGTTGCTCATTACCGTAGCAGCAATCAAATTGTAATTGGACGTAGGTACTAGGTAACGTACTTATCTCTTTAAACTTTCATGTTTGTACAAAGGTATATCCAGTTGATAACGCTGATAAACGTTAACGACCCACACCTTTCACCTGTGCATTCAGATAAAATAACTCTTTTGTAAATGTGTCACTCAAATACAAATCGCCTGAAATATTTCATTACTTAGAGAGAATTCTAGAATTCAACCAATAAATAACTAGAAACTGACTTAATTAGAAAGTTATTAAGCTAGAACTGAGACTAACAGCCATACATAATCTACACAAACTTAAGATAAGTAAAGTGCTTACTAAGTTACTACAGGTTTCAACCTACTTTCTGTTGCGGGTATATCCAATACCACTGCAGTGTAGCTCTGACCCCAATTCAGAACTTTTCCTTACAACAACTCAACTTTGAATGTAAATGGCTGACAATTCTTACATTAACTAACACTAAAATATCTACATCTGTTTAATTCACTTCAAATGTAGTTACGGCTCATTTACCTTGCGCCTTTGTTCACATTGTCGATTATTCAAGTCAAGACTCGTCTCAGAGACTTAGCTATGTTAATATTAAAACACAAATTAAATCCGGGACCTTATTAAATTAAATTATCGAATGAACTTGTTTTATGTAGGCTGCAACATAATGTTAGTTGTAGCATAAACATAATTAATTTGTCCATGGTTGTATGCAGTTGGCCAAAATTCAAGTAGGTTGTTTCATAATTCTAATGAAATTATAAATTTATGTTTATAAAGACTTGTCTTGATAAATTAGTTTCCAGTTACCTATTTGACAAATTTGTCTTTGAACAATAAGCTAGTAACAATCGGTCCTAATTTACATTTGATAGTCCAACCAAGTACATCATTTACCAGTACATAGTTATGTATGTAGTATACTACCTTCTGATCATTCGCTTTCCTAAAAAGTTTTCGCCTAGTGACTGATGGGTCCAAAGTATGCAGTCGTTACATTTCTACATTTCGTCAAATGGACACTAAAGTTACACATTACGTACCTACATCTCACTAAGTAATAAAATTTTGAAGGCGCCGAGAGTCCACTTTATATTATATTTGCCTTAAAAGACCACTGGTTACTGATATATTCTAACAAAGCCAGTTTATTTCAATTTCGTGTCGTCGGCAAACAGTTTCTGTCTAAGCCATATTTTTCGGCAGTACCTAGCAACTAGTAAAATTAACGATGTTTTAATTACGTCGTTAATAAACACATTAATAGACTTTAAACTATCGGCCTGCCAACTCATTTGTAACAAAGTATTACACCTATAAAACTTATGTACCACAGATAATTAATTACAAGATTGTTGCGTGCACACACGCACTCTACTTATTGCTAAGTGCGTATCACAAATGGTCACTAATTAACTGGACAAATTACGATGTTTGTTATCTATTATTATATTGTATAACCTACTTATTCAGAATTTCAGCAATCTCTTTACATGTTAATGCACAGTAAAAATAACTAGTAATCTCGATTTCCTATTACCATCTGTCTGATAATGACAGTAGTTCAAGACATCATCTAAACAATTACTGTACTAATTTCTTTTTACGTAAAACACATTTGTAGAATGTTTTGCACTTATTTAGTTTTCATAGAAATACAAATTTACGTTTAGCGAATATTTTGATTTCGACATTACATTTATTTCTATGCCTACTCTACTTTTGATCTCTTTATGTGATGTTTTATAATGGCATCATAATTTGATAAAGTAAACAAAGATGATCTCATTGCAAGTAGGAAGAAACTTACGTTGTTATCATCATCAACAGACTTCAAATGTTATTTCAAGACGTTCGACCATCATTCGACGTATGTACATCGGCAATGTTTGAGTGTTCATGCAAGCGCCTCCAGCAGTTACTCTAAATATAGCTGTTGGCTGTTGGTAGTCACAATAACTCGCTCTCGGTTATTCACTGATCATGTTTATAACATATAAATCACAAACGGTTTCTGTCGAATTGCCCAGAATAGCGTACTAGTACTACAGCATGCATTGGCTGAGACCGTAAGATGTAGGAACCAAATATTTCCTCAGTCTCTCTCTTCTACCGTATCATCTATTTAGGTACTTATTGTGGTACCGTACGTAGGTGTTTAGGCATAACACTATAAACATTTCAATATTGTCGGAAAGTGTGGATAGCTCGTTCCAATCGATTCAGAGCTCCAGATAAGAACAAGTATTCTTATATTGGGGTCACTGAGGTATTTTAGGGCAACCTAGGTATTTAGGTACCTACTCGTTACAGCCGATTCGTTTGAGGTCGAAGACCTCGTACAAATACCACTTGGTACCGTCGCGTCGCCCTTATTCCATTCTAATTTACTAACAAAACTGGTGAGGCACCTAAAGCCAAATATATGTTCGTCTATTTACAAGCTCAATTTTGCACCACTGTACACTGCAGTACCTAGATTAAAATGAATTCTGATAAAATAAACATAAGTCTAAATATAGAATTACTTATTGTACCGTGTACGAAATGCATCTACTGAGCGTCTGAAGAGAACGTTTTCGAAATATTAGTTGTAGGAGTTTGTAAGAACTAAAATAACTGGGTAGGTTTACCTAACCTACCGTGTTTGCCTGGAGGTATCTGGTTATAAAATGTATCGAGATATCTAAGTTATGTATGTACATCTATGTATAACTGCTGTAGTCTCATAAATTAAATCATGCGACCGTAACTTGGACATTAGCTTGATGTTCAAAATGAGCATGTGTTTAATGGTCTAGTTCTCGTTCAAGATTTAACTTCTAAATTTAACTCTGGATTTCTATTCAACATTTAATTTTAGGTCCCCCCTTCAATTGCCAGCCCACCCTTTCGGGAATTTACCGGCGTAATATTATATTTACAGGAGGAGGCAATACCACAGTGAATGGTGAGATCATTCAATCGACACCGGAGAACATCACCGGTGGCTTTCCCGAGGACATTGACACCGACAGCAGCGTGGGGCCTACTGTCGACTCGTCTTTACCTGATACCACATCTTCGGGACTGCACAATGGAACCTCAGAGATGAGCACATTAAACGTCACTGACAGCATCACATGACGATCACTAAGTCGGAAACTTACGAACTCAGAACGCGAGGAGATTAGATAGACTTGTACAAGCGTCAACAACTTACTAGTCAGTACTTATAGTCACTCTAGTCAAGTAAATTTTTGGGTAAAACTCGTGCTATGTATTATAACTGACATCGACTTGTGACCCCTCAGGATTTGGTGCAGTGACAGTGAACGCCATTATGTAAGACGTAGGATAGGTATTTATTAGATAATCGTGATTGATGGCCAATAAACGAAGTAACACCACTAGATTGTAATGTGTTTAATAGTTACCGTACATTGTTACTGGCAGGCAGTTATTTTGTGTCTGATTCCTGATACTAAAGTGTATAAAATATGGAATGAAACGGTAATAGTTCTATAGCTGGGTTAATGACCTTTATTCCTCCACATGCAAAGGCATGTGGAGGAAGGAAGATGCTTTTAAGAACTAAAGCCTGTAGATGGGTACCAGGTTATATAGATAATGTAGGTGTTAAACTATTTTAGACCAGTGTGATATTAAAGAAAAAGTGTGCAGAAGCATTCATTTATTTATTCGTTTGCTGCCAATAATTTTCACGTGTAAAATTAAATCATTCCAAATTAAAGGTCACAATAGTTTAAGATGGAAGTACCTATAAAGGCACCTACCATTTAATTTTGTTTGGGAATCGGACATGCCCGTTCACAGTAGTGTAATAGGGCCAATTTACTTATGTATATTTACTATATTAACTCATTAGTTCATTATTGCAGGTATATGTACTTATCTATTGAGGTGGGCGAGCCTTTTATAGCACTATATTGTTTAAATGTAGGTACCCACCTACATTAGAACAATGGCATCATGACATAATCATATTCATTGATCCCCAGCCCTTGGACCGCCCTGCGAAGAGAGGAATTACATATTCTAGCGTATTTCAGTCTTATTGGGCTGAGTGCTACCTATAGCCTCTGTAGGAAGACGAGCCTTGCTAGCCACCGTAGCGCTTCTAACCCCAATTTACTGAAGCTACACTTGCCTCAAGTATCTACCTGGCTACCTACATAATACAATATATCGGTCTTAGTATTTATAGGAATAAATGCAAGAAATCTAATGTTTGTCATAAATAAATTGGTACTAAATATTTTGGCGCCAATAACATCGGAAGGCTGAAACGAAATACCAATTTTTAACTACCTAACATAAAGGTATTAGTAAATTACACCTAGGTATTGTATTCTTAGATCTCATATTTGAAAATGTCCATTGATTACGGCCATAACAATGTCAACACTAGATCTGTTAAGGAAACTCAGGCTTAGGATTTAAGGTGCCTCTTGTATTAATAGTTTAGTCGCCTGTTTAGATATTTGAAATAATATTTATGCCTGTCACAAAATGCTTTCAGTAGGTATGAATCTCTTCAAAGCTATGAACTAATACTTAGTACCTAACGTAAGTGATACAACTCAATGTAACTAGATACTAATCGCTAATTACACTTCCACCCTGCAATGTTATCACAGAATCATTGCTCTTCTCATTATATACAAGCTATATAATTGTTATAGCTAGGTAAACTAGCTGATGTTATTCTAAATTTACATTTATATATTTATACATTATGAAGCTGAAGAGATTGTTTGGTTTTGTGATTGAACGCGCTGATCTCTGGTGGTAGTCCAATTTGAGAAATATTTTTATATTTTATAGCCTAGTTTAGATGTAAGGATATATTGTAGGCCAACATTGTGCTCCACTTCTCTACTTAATAATTCCGAAATATAATTACGTTCCATTTCATTACACCTAACTTATGTTACAAAGTACAATGGCCAGCAGATCATCCTACTACAATCTGTCAAAATTAATTAGATTTTAGACTTTATGTCAATACAATAATGTTGAAGATGTAATAGAGTAAGACAGAAAAGGATAGTCCAATCATTCTCTACTTCACGTCGTAAAAATAATGTTGAAAATCACATAAAAAGATTAATAAAGAGGAATGGGTTGGCTTGCTGGTCACTGTACTACAGTACAATAGCAGTTACAGCGCACCCTTACAGCGTATATTAGTTTTATACTTCTGAGTTATAGTGTGTCTAAGCTCAATGCGTATGTAATACCAATGGACTCTGGCACACTGATACATTTTCCAAATATTATTCTTAGTGGCTTAGTGAGACTTGTATTACTTATAATAATTATAAACAATAGGTATTATGTAGCTTAGCCGAGTATTAGATCAATATTGTATTAGAAAATGCCTTAGCCTTATTTTTCGTAATATAGATGTATTATGAAGATGTTTATTTAAATCTATAAATGTACCTTATTTATTTATAAGTATAATTTATTTGATTTGTCATGTAACTGTTTAATTTAAAAAATATATCTTTGATAATATTGTGAGTTTTTCTGCTACCTTAATATAATCTGATACTATCCGGCATTGCCTGCCAATCAATCAGAGGGCGGCAGAGTATGCTGTAAGGCATTTGGTAAAAGACAATTTTGTGTGAATTACAATGGAAAACTGCTGCTACCGGGTTTTTAAAAAAAAGTTCTCACGGTGTCTGGAATTGTGCCCGGTCGGCATATGGCAATAAGCTCACCCCCTATTAAATGGCATTCATACCATAAATAATGGAAAAGTGGGTGTTACATTGTATAGTAGTATTAAGTACCGTAATGTGCACCTCGGGTCCTCGGCCTACCCCTTCGGGGATAAAAGGCGTGATGTTATGTCACAATGGACCATTTTGTGTGATAGTTTAATTATAGAAAACTTTTACTTTTCCAATATTTTTATGATTCGAGGAGAAGAATGCTCGATTCGATTCGTTTTAGTAATGCAATGAAAAACGTAAATACAATAATATGTACAATTTATTATTTACATAATGCTGGCTACTTTTCTCCTGTGACGAACATGTGCACGGAGTTGTCAGATCGCATGACGCGCGCGAGGCGGGCGGCGCCGAGTACCGCCGCGAGGCGAGGCCAGTCGTACTGGCAGTACAACACCGACACTGTCATGTTACACTCACTGCCGCCAAACTTGTTCTGATTCACCTCCTGGAAACACATATTTAAGTCAAAGTTAATTTGTATGATAAGGGTAAGATTATCACAATTAGGATCTTGAGACCCTTGAGTAAAGCTAATGCTCGTTCGTTTTGGATAATTTTGAAATGTTTAAGGTTAACTTGGTTTAGTTTTAAAATTTAAATGTTTTAATTAATATTTCTGATAATATTAATGTAGTATGCTCTCTTGCTTCTACTTGGAAAATATGAAAGATATCTTCTAATAGTGATATGCAATCTTACCTGCATCAAATTGCACATTTCAGAGAAGAAGTGAGGATACGTCGGCGGTTGGTAAAATATAATATGTCGTATGCCTTTTATTCTGAATCTTCTAAAGAAGTGTACTCTTTCTGAGTACAGCAGAAAGTGAGCTTCTGTATGGAAGAACATGTCCCTCGCACGAGCTATTTTGGCATCCTGGAATATAGATAAAAACAACTTATACATATACAATTTCTTAAGGGTTCCTCAATGGTCGAATGGTCGCAAGTCCGGCTGCTAAGTAAGGTGTCTAGGGTTTGATTCCCGAGTTGGACGAAGTGTTATTGAGTTATTTTCGGTTTTTCAACTTCTTAGTATTAGCACGAAGTTTGATATTGTGCCCGGCGCATGGCAATAGGCTCGCTGTCTAAATTACATGGGACTCATCAACAATGCTGTCGAAAATTGCATCTCTGTCACCGCTCCAGAAAACAAAAGGCGTTATGTTATATTTACCCATTATTAACTGTAATCATCAGATAACACACGCTTACCTTAGAATATTCACAAATCTGTACGAAACCAATATCTTCTTTCTTGAAGTAGTTTCTAATCTGAACATAATCGAAGTAGCTGGGCACATAGATGAGTGTGTGGCTCATTAGTGTGTCTCTCTGTTTGGGTAGAATCTCCTTGATGAAGTAGTGGAACCTAGCCTCCACTGATTCCAGGGGATTTGCCGCTGTAAACCTGTTGAGGAAGTATTACATACAATTATTATTTGACTTGACCATATCAATAAATTACTGTACTCAGTAAATTCAGGTAGCCGTTAGACCCAGCGAACATCGAGGGGGAGGCGCGGTGAAGATACTTAGAATAAATCAATTTAAAATAAACCTTCCTTAACTACTATGGTAATAATGGTATACCAATGGAAACGGCATGTCTTAGTAAGCACGTGGATAGTCGCCAAGCTCCTTTGGCCGTTTACCCTCTTGTGGGATATGAGAGTGAAACAGAGGCTGTACCAGTGTTTGAATAACAAGTGGTCAACGACTAGTCTACTGACGCAACCCGTCGCGATCGCTGAATTGTCGTAAGTACCATTGATATCATGCACCTAGCTTATGAAAATTGTGTACTTTTAAAAATAAAAATGTAAACCACATTAATTACCTGTGAAACACTTGTGGCACTTGCACCAGAACCTGCTGTATGCTGCCAATGTCTGTGGGATTTTCAACTAATATGCGCCCAGCGTAGTTGTGGCATTTCTTATTGATCACAGACTTTAATTCTGGCAGCGCTACTGACGAGAATATCAGAGTTTGTCTGCAAAAGAAACATTAAAAAATATTATTTCTATTAATAATTGAGTCTGGGATTCTTGTTATTACTTGACTAATAGTTTCTTTGTATTTAGGAGTAAACCTAGCAAACATGCACTCACATTTGAACAAATAATTCTAAAAACGAACCTGTAGTACTTGGCCCATCCATTAACAGCCCAAGATCTAACTCTAGAGAAGTCAGTACCATGAGTTTTCTTGGGTTGCAAGTGGAAATGATCCAGGACGTGAAGCAAGTGATCCCAGTTCTGCATGAGGAAGACATCAGCTTGATCCATGATCAGCACTTCTATGGAAGCCAGAAAGTCGAAGTCACGGTCATCCTCGCCTTCTGCGCCCACTATCATTCGCAGACCCAATGGTGACGTAACAATAATGTCTGATGAGTAGAAATCTGTGTAGAGCTGTAATAAATTAAAATTAGATATAAGAAAATGAAACTCTGATTTAATGACAATAGATGGAATGTTGTTACTTCTTGTTAATATAACCCTTAATTTTTAAACATATACATTCCTACAGTTATCAGAAAAATATTAAAATAATCCAAGTCAAATAGTTTTTAAATAACAATGACTTATGTGTTATCCACGAAAAAGTACCCTCTGTGCCAGTCTTTTGACTCGTGTTGCTAGAGTGTTTTTCTGATACTAAGTGTTCACCTGGTGACATTTGATTGTCGACTTCAGGGACACCTGTATAAGATAAAAAATCTATGTTATACTATGCAACCAGGAAGCTCATTGTATGTCCTCATGATGTCAACAACAACAACCTTATAAATCCATAGTACATTTATTCTCACAAGTTGTTTTCAGCTCTGGCTGTCTTGTAGTTTAGATAAATAAATAATAGTAAATTTAAATAAATAAATACTAACCTTTAGAGTTTTCTTAGTGACTGACATACCCAGCCTAAATGTGTCTTCAGTGTTGCCACTAAACATGAGCTCATAATCTTCTGGCTTTGGGTTCTTTCTGGGCATGATCAGTTCACCACCTGTAAAGTCTTCTTCAAACCTCTTCTTGTTCACCACCTCCCCAGCTTCTTTAGGTACAAGGATTTCTATTAATGTCTTAACAATCCTGTAAGCAGCATCTTTGAATGGCACCATTATTAAAACCTGGAAAATGACAGACAATATTAATAAATTATTATTAACTAGCTTCTGCCCGCGACTTCGTACGCGCAATCCCGTTCGTGATTTTCGGTAAAAAGTAAAAAAAGTATTCTATAAAAAGTGTCCTTATCCTATGTCCGTCTCCTGGTTCTAAGCTACCTCCCTGCCAATTTTCATCTAAATCAATTGAGGCGTTCTTGAGTTATAAATAGTGTAACTAACACGACTTTCTTTTATATATATAGATATAGACTTAGTGATCACAAATCACCTAACTACTGTAACTAATGATTGACAAACAAAGTTAAAGCTTTAACTAAAAATCGTGGGTCACTCACGTGAAAATTCTGAGAAAAGCTATACCTTGTCTCACAATAATTATTATAAAGTTAAAACTTTGTTTCTTAACTTTTATAATGTTACATACCTTGGGTCTCACTAGTCCCTGATCCCGATATTCATCAGACAAGTCACTCTTCTTTGACAATTTAGCATTATGGTGCAAGATTTTAGTTCTAGTTTTCAACATATGGTTCACCACATGAAGACAATAAGTATATCTAATTTCATCAGCATTTGTAAATGTTCTCTCAGGATAATACAAATCTTGATAGTTATTTAAAATACAAAACAATTCCTTTTGTAATGGTGTAAACACTTCTGTAAATTCCAAGTCCCTTTTTATTAAATTACTTTTATTTGCCGACACAATATTGCCGTGTATTTGAGATTTTATATGCAACTGTTGGAAATCAATTTTGTTCACCAATGTCGGTACTGTTCCCATAGATGCATATGTGCTTTCTTCTAATATTGAAACTTTTGGTTTAACCTTTTTTGAGAGTGTTTCTATGGGTTTTGGTATAACTATAGATAGGTTTCGTAATACTGGCCAGGCTTTGGTTGTGGCTTCCACAGTTGGAGGTGTGTTGGTCAAGGACACTATCAACTCATCTCCCAGGTCATACTGAAGATGTTTAGTGAAAGGGTCATCTAACATATCAGGTTCATCAGCTTCAATTTCATTTTCTACATGTATCTGCAAATATAATTAAATTTTTATTATAATTTGGTTACAATGGATAATTGTTGGATGGATAAATGTAATGTAGAATCAGTTTTTGTATTAAATACAAATTCATCAGTGGAAAGGAAAAAGACTAAAGCGCCAAATCACTACTTATGGCAAAAGCAGATCAAAGTTGAAATTTTGCGGTCCAAATATTAATATATTTTTAAGTACTAAACTGTCAAACACCAAGCGGTCACCGGTGACCGCGACCTATTGTTCTTTAATTGTGTCTATAAAACCGGTATTCGACGAGTTAATATATTAATGTGAAACTGTTCTTTTAAAAACTCATCATGTTCCTATTTTTTGCATTATATTTGATTAAAATACCAGGTTTAAAGCTTATTTAGATAGCAAAATAGTTGTTGCTTTAGAAAAACTACTGCGAAAATTAATCAAATGTAAAGGGGTAAAACTTCTAACCTCCATTACAGACAAATATCCTGTAACCAAAAATTCCTGTTCCAACAACCTTTTTGAAAAAACAACTAAATTGCTTAGTGTATATCAGCTTTAAAGTGCTTTAAATAACAGTTATGAATAAATACTTTAGTACCAATATAAACTATAATAATCCACAAACTCGAATTGCTAAAATACCAGCAACAATCGAGATCCAAAATAGCAAAAAATACTATGTTGTGAATTTCAATGCCACTGAAAATTACTTATGCGACATGTTGCTAATACACTGAAAATACGTCGCTTTAGTAGCTACGCAGGTAAAAAATTGTAATTGTTAAAACGCCAAAAAAATAGACAGATTGATATGAGACCTACACAGATTAGCCCAGAAAAAAAGACCTATTCAGCAATGTATAAAACTCATTTGGACCTATGTTGCTCTTTAGCATTTTCCTTTCCACTGACGATATGAATATAAAAAATATGTATATTGATAAAATTATTCATCAAATTAATTACCTCATCTTCACTGTCATCATCACTTGTGCTACCATCTTCTCCGTCACTTATATCGTTACTATCAATGTGTTTATCTCCTGCAGTTCCCATAGCCTCGTCATCATCATCCATGTCACTGGCACTACTACTGTCTTCCTCACTTTCCACTGCCGGTGTCTTCTTCTTATTACTAAAACAGGATAACAACTGGTCGTAAGCGTCTTCTTCTTCTTCGCTTTCAGAATATTGTACCTTCTGCTGCTGCTGTAATTTCTCCTCCATTCTCCTTTTCTTCTCTAATTCCTCCTCAATTTTTTGAGCATTTTTATATCTGTTAAATATAGCTTTCTTGTTTACTATTCTATCTTCTGTAGCCTTTTTCTTTTTTGTGGCTGACTTAAATGAATGTTTCTTCTTTCCAAAGAATTTCTTGCCTTTCTTCATTTTGCTAATGTTACTAAAGTTTATATAAGTAATTCACGAAAAGAAAATAATTTACTTTTCTCACAAGTCACAACACAACATAGGTAAACACCACGAGAACATAACCTCTGAATGTTATTTTGACAGTGCCAGTGGCACTTGACACTGACAGTTCAGTTTACACAGATTTGATATTTCATTTTCAGTTGCCAACCTATCCAACCTAATGTTAATTTTAGTTAAATACTTAGTTTTTGTATATAAATAATTATATACAATAAAATTAGATGAATAATATCATAGAATCTATCCGAATACACAGTTATCAACCTTAAAAAAATTAAACAAAAGCAACCAACAGATGGGCCAAATTAAGTTTCTGTCACCGAGACGGACGGTGCAAATGGAAACTATAATCATTTTACTGTTTCTTATAATTCAAATAACATGATAACTCCTAAAATCTAACTAACCTAAGTGCGAAGACGTTCGAAGTTGGAACAACACTCCTTTCATCTTTTAAAATTATTTCGTAAGGTTTTATTTAGCTAGTGGGGTTATCTATGATGTAGCGACTCGTAGCTGGCCACGAGGCGGCGACATGAGGAGACGAAACTGTTTAAATATTGCAATACGCCGTAAATAAAACCTTCGTCGAATCAAAGTAGGTGTATTTAATGTCTGATCGGCACCGATTAGGCATCGATAGTCCGTCACATCGACATTATAATATAAATGTCGATGGTCGTCAATAGTAACAGGGCTATCACTGTGAAAGTGTCAACTGTCAAACAAATGTCAAAAGTTCAAAATAAAGTTTGTATTTGTTCCTTGTAAAATATTCTAAATTATTAATTATAGATTTAAGAAATTAAGTTTGTCGATAGTGACACAGTGTTAACTTAGAATAAATGTGGCTAGTGGGCAAGTTGGTTTGGTGATAAAAATTCGGATTTTCAATATTTAAAGTTCAAATTAAACTATGTCGGAATATAATGAAAATTTATCAAGACAAACAAGGTCCCGGAACTTAGAACCAGTGGCTAAGGTTAACAATGTTTTTGATATTGCTGTATGTAGGTAGAGGTTATGAGTGCACTGATATTGTTAATGAGGAATAATACATTACAGATTGGTTACATGGATGGTGCATCAGATGGTCAAACTGCTGAGTTTCAAAATAGTTTCAATATCGGTTATGAACAAGGATTTACATTTGGTTTACAATTAGGGTCAAAGGAAGCTTCTTCTAGGTAAGAAATCATAACACCGCTGGGTGCAATTACTACAGTAAAGAAGCTTTCTTACATATGTATGCAATCTGTTTCAGTTTCAACCCAGACAAGAAACCACTAGATTTAGCAGATCAGCGCAGAATTAATTGCCAGATTTGTATGAACACAGCAAGTGCTCAAGACAATGTAGTAAATTTATTTAATATTCAACAAGAGAAAAATACCCAATATTTATTACGAAATAATGAATAACTATTTGGAGATTGGGAGTAATGTGCAGTACTGTACAGTGTAAATATGGAGGCATGATGAAGGAACTTTATAGGTAGTGATGAACGACATTGTTTTTGTCAGTGCTATGAATGTTTTTTATTTAACTGATGTTACTTATTGAGAACTAGTTGAAACAATTGTTACTATAATGTTATGTTTGTTATATTACTTTTTACATATTTATGTAAGGCAAGGAGAATTAATTAATTTCTTCTAATGGAGGAATTGAGGATCACACAAATGGAAGTCCTCCCATTGAATAGGTGACTCTACAATAATAATGAATGTTTACTTTGTTTGACAAGTGTATTGCGTACAACTATGGTATAAATATTAATTTATATTTGAACATACAAGTTTTAAAATAATAATTAAAAATATAATTATTAATATTCAGAACTTTTATTTATAATCTTAGTTTCTTTTCTGGCGGTGGCTTCATATTTTCCTGTTTGATTTCAGTTTTGATTTCAGCATGTCCTTGTAGACTTCCATTTGTCATGTCTGAGCTGCTTGGATCTGCAGGTTCCTGTTTAATAGTGATGTTGTTAACGTTGCCGTCTGGGGCTTTATCACCATTTTTTTCAGTCGAGTTTTCTGTCTTAACAGTGACCCCATTTGTCTGCAAAATCAAAATACCCACTGTTACCACCACAAGGAAACTACTCAAAATTTACAGACTTATACCTACACATACAGACTATATTAATTATAAATTTTTGTAGTTAGTAAACTTACATATATAATCTGTAGTACATATATATTCAAGAGCAACTCACCTGGCTAGGTGCTTGTGTAACGGGCAATGGAAACTGCCTCACAAGTTCTGCTAACAACATGTCAACCCTTTGACGTTGGAACAGTGTGGATGGTTCCTCTTTAGGAGTGCTGCTCACATCCTTCGAAGACGACTGACCACTGTTGTACGGACTGAGACCTAGGATTAAAAAAATAGTTATTATTACAACTTAAACCAATTCAACCAGCATTTTTAAGCACAGATATGAAATCTATGATTAATTATACCTGGTTTAGTTGCTTTGAAATCCCACCAGTATCCTTTGCTAGGGTGATACCTTGAGTAAGACATGGTTTCTTCAAATGAGCATTGCAGGTGATGGACCGCAGACAGCTAAAACCAAGGATGCAGTACATTAATTAATGGTAAACTGTATAGAAAATAGATTTCATATTTTACTATTAACATAAAGCTGGATTTGTTTGTTTGAATGCACTAATCTTTGGAACTATTTGTTTGTCCGATTAAAACTTTTTTTGTGTTGGATAGTGCATTTCTTGAGAAAGGTTTACCCTTTTCATCAAAGTGTAAACTCTATGTATGTATAGAAACATCATGCTGCGATCAATAGAAACCGAACAGTGCAGGTGAAAACATGTTTGTATAGCTTACCAGTCTAGAGTTGAGAACACTCGCTAGATCAGGCGCCTGATACACAATCCCAGCTATAATGTAGTAATCAGCTAAAGGTATAGCCTGACTAGGACTGTGTCTGTGTTGTTTACGAATTACGTACAAAATTGGATCTTGCACATGAAGCAATATGTATTCAAGTCCCGTCATATTCCTGTAACAAAATAATTCAACATTACGTTACGAAAATGTAAGTACTGCAAAAACTGATGTCGGAAAGGAATAAAAACAATTGTTGGCATAGATAAATACTTACTGTAGTTGATCCATGCTGAGACGTTGCATCTTAACAATTTCATTATTACAGGTACGGTCAAAAAATGGATTAGATCTCTCAGAAAAATAGTCCATAATATTAGATGGACTCAGCAAAGGTATCCAAGCACTGTCGTGCCACGAAAGACCCAAAGGATTTTCGTTTGCTATTGGTAAATTTCCAATTCTATTTTGCATCATCTTAAGTGTTTTTATCAATCAGATACTTTAAATTCACAAAACAATCACAATAATACACTACTGCTATCAGCGTATGTAGGTACTAAAGTAGAAAAACAATGACATGGATATGTCATTCACATAAATTTCAAACTGACATTTACTTTACCATAGACCATAGAGTAAATGGAATTAGTGGATGTTTTTTGTCAGTGCAGTACCAAGTTTATTGCCGTGTGTTGTGCTCGCTCAGTAAATGTATAATGTATTACTATACTCTATGTGCTGAGTACTGAATAGGCCACGATAATGAGACTCAATTTGCTTTTGGGTCAAAAATGCAGACCTACGTTCCCATCAAAGAGTATAATAAGTATAGGGGTTGTTCCCATGTCAAATGCGATATTATCATATTCATCAGACCTTCTTTTTTGGACCCGATACTGGACTTTGTTATCGGTTTTTTACTTACTCTAATATACCTCTAAATAAATTTGCTATTACCTGTATCTGTATTCGCCAGCAGGCGCAGAATATTCAGAAAGATTCAGTAAATTGAGGTTAAATATAATCACAATGAAATATTTAAAGTAACCATGACATTCATCAGAATTCAGACTAATTCGGTCGTCTTACTGGGCTAATAGATAATTGGCTACATATCATGTCATAGTTCTTGGCTCACCTTGTTATTGTGTTACAAGTGCTATCTATAACTAATCAACTCGGGGCTTGGAACGAATTTAGCAGCAATTTTGCATTCCTCCCGAGATTATAGTTAACGCAGATAATTAAAAATGGAGAATAGAATTAGATGTTATGAAGAAATATCATCTGAGACTTTTGATACAGAAAATGCGGCCACAGACTCTTCGTCTGATCAGGTAAACACCACTTGTTTGTATTTATGAATAGAACAGGTTGGCCCTTTTCATTAAGATCAATAGTAATCCATGTATTCATGGGAAGCATTATCAGGAACCACGGTCAATTTGTAGTTCATGCAAATAATTCACACTTTATAACTCTTTTATAACTTGTACTATTTATTTTTTAGGTTGATGTTGAGTCAGTGATATTAAAAATCTACAAACAATTTGAGAAAAGTGCTGAAATAGAGCCAGAGTTCCCTGTAGTAAGAAAAAGAGTTCATTGTCAATTGTTGAAGGACTACCTCAGAACTTTACCACAGAAATATGAATGCTTAGATGCAAGCAGAACATGGATTGTATACTGGGTCCTGCACTCATTGTGGTTACTTAATGATATGCCTGATGCAGAGACATTATCTGATATAGTTAAGTTTTTGACTTTGTGTCAGCATGAAGAGGGTGGGTATGGAGGTGGTCCAGGACAGTACCCGCATCTAGGTACCACATATGCCGCTGTTAATGCCCTTAGCATAATAGGCACAGAGGAAGCATATAACTCTTTAGACAGAAGTAGTTTACAAAAGTTTTTATGGACTGTGAGAGACGTTGATGGATCATTTGCACTTCATAAAGGTGGGGAGCAAGATATAAGAGGAGCATACTGTGCTGTTAGTATTGCTAAAATTACAAACACATACACTGATGCCTTATTTGATAAGACAGCTGAATGGATAGTCAGCTGCCAGACATATGAAGGTGGATTTGCTGGATGTCCAGGCATGGAGGCACATGGAGGATATGCATTCTGTGGCATTGCATCTTTGGCTTTGTTGAATAAAACACATCTATGTGACATAGATGCACTATTAAGGTGGTGTGTAAATCGTCAGATGCGTTTAGAAGGTGGATTCCAAGGGAGAACGAATAAATTGGTGGATGGATGTTACTCATTTTGGCAAGGAGCTGCATTTCCAATAATCAGTGCTATCTTATCTCAAGGTAATCTATTTGATAACATTATAAAGTACTTTTCATTTATTTTTATGTAAAGTCATGCCAACGATAGTGTAATAAAATAACTAGGAATAAATAAACAAACATATCATCAATACATAAATTTACTTTTAAAAACATGGCCTCCACAGTAGATGCTGTAGTCTCTTGTATATTGTGTAGGCTGTGTAATTTTTTTTAATAATTAACTTCAATCACACAACATACTTTTTCCTATTTTCAGAAAATAAAGAATTGTTAGAAACAGTACTCTTCAATCAAGGTGCCTTACAAGAGTACATAATTATCTGCTGTCAAGCTTTGCCTGGGGGCGGCTTTATTGATAAACCTGGCAAGTAAGTATGACAATTTAATTATTTGTGTAACTGTAACATGACATGACATCTTTTTGGCACAGAGTGTAATACATCTGTTGTAATTGTGAATATGAATTTATCATAAATTATATTGTAAACACAATTTCATTAGATCAAAAACAAATTATGAAATACAATTGCAATAGACATAGTATTTAGTTTGACCAATCCAAATAAAAGTTCTATTATTCAATATTTGATGTCATATAAAAGTATTATATACATACCCTAGTTGTAGTTATATTTTATTTATTAATTTTAACTTGTTGTTTCAGGCACCGAGATATTTATCACACTTGTTATGCTCTGAGTGGGCTGTCAGTGGCACAGCATGGCACAGGGGCTGGTGACCCCTTCATAGTCGGCCGACCCAGCAATGAACTCAACAGAATACACCCACTCTACAATGTTGCACCACATCTTGCCTACAATGCTGTCCACTACTTCATCAGACATCCACCACCAGTCAAAGATAAAAATTAAGTACCCAAAGTTATCCTAAATTTTTTTTGGCTTTCTTAAACAACTATTCCAATGTTTCACACTAACCTTCATGTTTATAATCTCTGTCAAAATTATTGTCTTTGATTCTTCACTGTTGTAATTTTAAATGCAGGATATAATTATCTATTTCATTCCAATGTGTAATAAATTAATTAATCCGTCAAACACCAAGCGGTCACCGGTGACCGCGACCTATTGTTCTTTAATTGTGTCTATAAAACCGGTACTCGACGAGTTAATATGGCTTATGTTTAATGTGTTGCCTGACATTAACACAGGCAAAAATAGTAAAAGGTCACCAGGATTCAAACCCCATTTTATTTTAAAACTATAAGCAAAGTTTGTACATCTTGCTCCCCTATAAAAGCAAATGATTTCCAAATAAAGTTGACCCAATAATAGTTAATACCACTAAAATGAAAACTCCAGTTTAATATTAAAATAGACCAGGGTGAGAGAGCAGTTTCGGGTGCTACTATTTCTGACCCCAAGATTTGAAGTAAAGTATATATTTTTGGAAACAAAACTTGTGGTATCAAAGTATTATCTGGTGGTCATTTAAACTGTCAAACACCGAGCGGTCACGGGTGACCGCAACCTATTGTTCTTTAATTGTGTCTATAAATATGGTACTCGACGAGTTAATATTGCACGAAAACAACTTTCTTAAATTGATGTTTTAATTAGTTTTCCAATTAGTACCAGAGTAAGTATTACTAATAACATTATTTTTAAATATTATGAAATGTTTTAAGCAATTTTATTAATGAAATTATGTACTTGGGCTCCACATGTTACATGTAAAAATATTTTTAAAAATCTGATTATGGTATTTGTGATGGTACAATTATTTTGGGTGTACATAGTATTTCTATTTTATTATTAGTTTATTCCACATTTCCTTTGTGATTTTCTTGGTTAACTAAGTTCCTTGTATTGTCATATCCCTGCGGTATGTATAAAATATACTTAAGGTTAGTAATAATTTTTGTGCAGTATAGAGTAATAAATAAAAAACTGTGTAAAATAATGAATTTTTATTATTCCCTTTTATTGAAATGCAATAAATTTTTGCATCAGGTTTGCAAATTATACTAACTAAACTAGCTGTACATAGCATTATGGGCAGGTTTTTTACACATTTATACATACATTGCCCAGGCCATAATTTCCTATGAACATGTTTTTCATAATGATTTATGATGAAACACTATTAACATTAAATTTTTGCTGCATTTCGTGTCTTTTAATATAAATGTTACATATCAATGGATGACTATTTCACCTTAATCATAAGAACCCTAATAGTGATTTATTATACAACATTAACAATTGTTGTTGGCAACATTAACAATTTGTGTGGTGATAAACTTTAAGTAGCTACATATTAGAAGTACATCAATTTTTGGTAATGCAATACAACCTCGATTTTGCTTTTCTTCAGTTCACACTAACACAAATTCCTCAGATTCAATGTCTGTATCACTGTCTTGGATATTTGGTGTTACCCAGTTTTGCTCTGTTTCATAAATAGAGTTCCTAATATTAGGAAAGTTCATAACATTACTACATGAGCCACTGTTTAGAGTGAAAATAGGATATTCAAAGTTAGCAGAGACTCCCTGGGGGACTAGGAATGATTGTATAACATTGATAAATGTTTCCAAATCATTTTGTGTTGCCAGGTAGAAGCCTATGCAGCAAGAAGGGTCCATTTTGCTTAGAGGCATTTTTCTTGGTGATCTACAATGAAATGATTGTAAAGAAAAGTTAGGTTGCCAAACATCCACCATTTCTTGACAGTAATGAGGGTCCAAGTGGATCAATCTATCATCTTGGTATCCCACAAAATACAGTGAATGTTTAGGTCGTCCCCCAATAATGCCTATGCAAAAGTCTAATGTAAGTAATGATGTAAGGCAGGGGCCGTAAATAGGATTAAATTTATCAGACCCCAATTTTACAGGAACTAACAAAATAAGGGATTTCCAGGAACCATTAGGTAGACGACAAAGTGAATAAACATCTTGAATATATATAGTTGAATCTTGAGCAACATAAACTTCCAAATTATCAAATTCATAATTTTCTTTTGAAGCCGCTGTCATAACTGCTTTCAGGCAGTGAGCAACAGACGCAGGTCCATACCAGTCTCCTGGCTTCTTCCCTAGAGCCTCCCCAAGACTCACCATCTGATGTATAGATAGAGGACTGTTGACTGACGACTTGTCACCAAACCATTTGATGATCATGCGGTGTAAACAATCCTCTTGAAATTCCCTGGCATTTTGTATAGCTCTCTCAGGAAACCACCTCCAAGAACGTCCAAGAAAGTGAGTCACTAGAGCTTGTGCTAACAACATCTGTCCACTTCGTAGCATGCAACCCCAGCCACAGTCTGTGGTAAATGAGGAGCCTGACATGGTGGGGAATTCCCTTCTATATGTCATCCATATTTTGCTAATAAAATCAGATTTGAAGCCTTCTATGCCCTCTCCATATATCTGTTCAATTGGCTGATTAGCTGTTGCTTCAGTACCAACTTCAGTAGACGATTCTAATGATCCCGTAGGGCTAAGTTTTCGATGATAGCACCTGCCAAGTAACCATACAGGCGATTCTTTTGAAAAGCTGGTTTTTAGCTTCACAGTCCATCCAAATTTCACGTTATTCCACATGGATAAGAGGCGGGACTCGACCTTACCTTTAAGGTCGAGTAGTTCCTCAGCGCCTCCATTTGAACTTGTAGCTCCACTTTTATTTTTATCGACATTTATCGCTGATGCATTTTGCGTAATTCCGTTATCAGATGGCTTCAGTTCCGAGTTGTGTGTAACAATGCTACTGGACCCGTTCATTATATTACAGCATCGTATTTACTTTTCACTGTTGGAATTTTAATCCATATTTGTTGACTGGTCAGCAGTTTGATAAGTCGATGTTATTATAAGGTTGTGTCCCCATAATATTCCCACACGTCTTAGTGCACTTTCAAATTACAATTTTGGGAACTGAATTGTTCATCACTACTAGTAAATTGGTGTTAATTTATTGATTAAACAAATGCAATTTCTATATTATTGAACAAAAACATTAGGGATAAAGAAAAATACACACGACAAACCACACAGACGACACACAATGACATTGACAGTTTAATGTGAATGTCACATTGTATGTGTCACAGAGATGGGGACTTAGCAATGGTTTCACAGCATAGCAGCCATAGACAAGCCATTTATTTAATGCTGGAAACATTAACGATGACAGAAAACAGCGGTCTGGGGTCCGATCCGGGGCCCGGGAATGGTGAATGGTATGGTGGTGTGGTGGTGATTGGTAATATATCCACAAACATAAATTTAGTCATAAATAGGTTATTCAACCTCTTTCCACGGAAATATGTATCAGATTTTTGTGCTTTTTATAAAAGCTTTCTTTGTATAGTTTGTCTACTTAGGTACTATAATAATGAAAATCATTATGGGAGCCACAGGTCATCAGTACCAACCAAATAAAAAGTAACCTACAAATAAATGTACATACAAATTAAACATTCTTTAGACATGAAATCATTTATTTTATAAGGTTATTCACTTTTTCTTCTTACTTTGATAAAATTTGTATACTTGTATAGCTTCTTGTTGTATAAAAAATTACTTTATACTAGAAATACAATCAGTCGATCTCCATTCCGAATTATTCGTTTGCATGTTTAATAAACTTCTTTTACTGAGTTTTGCTGTACTTTTAGTGTTGTTAGTTCATCTAACATCCGTCGTCATTCTTAAATAGACAAACTATAATCCGTGTATTCCGACTTCTATTATAGTCTCTGGTAACTGGTATGGTATTTTCAATTTTGATAATACCTTGTATATGTTATGAACTTTTGTCAGTTTGACGCTTTCATTCTAGTCTAATGTCAAGTCAACGTGATTTTACGTGTGCAGTGTATACGCTGAAATTAAACAATAACAATTTAAATTTAATTTTGTGATCGTGATAGGTGAAATCCGTGAAACTATATAATTTACTATAATAAGATAGTATAATATAACAGCAGTTCGCCTGATAGTTCTCAAACCTTTAAGCTCAATGATGTCGGAAAGTAAATTAAATAATGTAATGAAAATAGATGAATATAACGCAATTGTTAATGACTTCAATAAACTGACATCATACAGCCGAAAATCTGAAAATGAACTGAAGAAGAAATATAAACAGTTAGTACTTTAGACCTTGGATTTATTTTACCAATCAACTTTGTTCCATGTGGCTAACCATTTATTGATTTTCAGTTTACCGCAATCTACTTTGGGTAGCATAATATCGTCCTTAGTTCAGAGATCAATGAAACACAGTTACAGAAAATCTCCACAAATATCCAGTAAATACCATGAATTCTATGAAGGGCTAATGCGGGACAAAAGTAAAGAAAATGTTATTTTACAGTAAGTGTTTACGCTTTATTTGTCGACCAACTTAATATTGATATGATTAATTTTGTAAACGTATTTTGCATTCTTTCTGTCTACCCCAATGAGAAACAGTATGACAACATGATTAGGTTTTATTAAAATTAAATAATGATTTGTCTTAACAGGCTCTCAGACTGTCAAGGAATAAGTCCTGCATTGTTTGCAAGATCTCTTTTACAAGGTGTATATTCTGACTCGTCGTTAGCCAAAAAATGCATCAAAGATACAACTTTAATAGAAGAGAAGGACTTGGCTTACCAAGTCTTTATGGTATGTTTCCTTCACCACAATGATAGTAATATTACATGAAAACCAGTTACTTATTAAATTTTTTGACTTCATAATTTTTATGATATTGAAATTAAGTTTCTGTGTAATATGAGTTATATTTAAATTATTTTTTACAGGGAATTATGAATGACAACCAATATGGACCCTATGCAGACATAATAAAACAGTAAGATTACTCATTTTGACTTGTAACCCATTAGTTAATTACTTAAATACTTCTAGTGTTAGTAATAATAACAATTGTTGTTACAGGTCAATTGGATTAGAATATGAACTGAGATTGGAGAGGGAATTAAGACTAATGAACATCACATTTTCTGATGAAAGTGTTTTGAGGTCTCGTGGATATGATAAAACTCCGGATTTTAAGCTGGATGTACCCATTGCTGTTGATGGTTTCATTGTGAACTGGGTGGAGAGTAAAGCACTGTTTGGAGATGAAGAAAATCACTCTGGGTATTTAAAGGAACAGCTTACTTGCTACTGGAATAGATTTGGGCCAGGCCTAGTTATATACTGGTTTGGATACTTAGAAACATTGGATTCAACACCAGAAGTTAATAACATGTTCATATTACGTACCAGTTTTCCCGAAAAATCTAGTATTACGCAATATAAAATGGATATTTAATATTTTAAAAAATAATAAAGGTATTAGAAAAGATTATAGTACATTATTTATTCCTTCATTACTTTGAGGTGTGCCTACAAAGAGTTAACTATTGTAAATGAATCGCGTTTGTTTCCATGACTGACTGACAGAACAGTAAACAGTATGATAATAATTCTTGAAATGAAAATGTGCTCTTACATGGTTTGTACAGAATGTATGCTATTTGCCATGTGTAGGGGCGTTCTCTGGTTCAACAGATTAGCCGCCTATAATACCTAACACAACTTGTTTTTTTAATTGGGCAAATTGCAAGTATATAAGTAAGTGGTGCTGGTGGGATTCATATTTCTAAATACGAAATCTAGTTGACCTCGAAATAACCGCCGTGTGCTTTTTTAATAAGCTAGAGTTGACCAGGCTTAAAAATAGCATCTTATTTTTTGGTTAGGTCTGACACGGCAACCCTGTGAGAGATATGTCAAAAATAGTAATTAGTCAATACAGTATTGATAACCTTGTATAATACTATAAAAATAAAATTTGCATCATTACGCGACTTAAATAAATACAGCTGATTGTTTTAGTATAACAATGGTTGTAGGCGCATTTCCGATTGCAAAGTTAGGGGCCTTGCTGATAAAACAGATAAGTAAACCCATCGCAAATGCTTGCAAAGAACGAGCTAAACATAACCCGTTTTTTCGGACTTATGTTTGTATGCCTCCTGCCCAATGTGAGTTTCAATAATGTATTAATCCCTTATCATTTTTGTCTGATGTTATGAGTAATAATCAGAGGGATAATAGGTTGAAATCTCTTAAGTTTCACATTGATGTCGTAACAACTGAAAATTGAGAGGAAAATTAATAAATAACCAGTAGTTGCCGTCACTGCCTTCTTGTATCCATCATACCTCAGCTATAACTATTCATTCGAACACCTGCTTTCTTATTTATATCTTGTATTGAAGCATTATCTGTGAATGCAATTAATTCTAAAGATTTTGTCTTTTGCACTTCACTTTCTAAACCTATATAACTTGTATAATCTTACATTCGCAGATGTAAGCTTTTAGACCATTCTGGCCTAATAATTACAGTTTTAGTTGAATATTGATAAGAGCCAAGATGATATAGTGTTGAATTTATCTATAACATTTTTTTTCAGTCTATAATTGGTGTGAAGTTAAGGCTAAAATGTGGATTCTAAACTTGGGTAGGCCAGTTAATATACCAGTGCTTAGTCAAGAAATGGCAATAGAGCTAGGAGCTAATCTACTTGGTGAAACTTTGATTTTCACCATAGGAGCAGCTATTTTGTTACTCGAATATAACAGGTAATTAAATTAATCACTTTCTTAAATACCTTACCTACTGTAAATTTAACGTTACATGAAAAGAATTGTATTGTTAAAAAATAAATAACAGTAACAATTTCAATCTTTTACCAGGCAAAGCAATAAGGAAGCTGCAAAAGAAGCCAAGAAGGAGCAGGAAATGAAACACATTTCTGACACTATCATTGATCTCTACTTCACTGTCCAGAGACAACAAACACAGCTTAGAGAAATGGAGAGGATTATTTATTCAATAAGTATGCATTGTTGATTTCAGTATGTAATTGATTCAACATCATGTAATTTTTATTTAAAAACATTGATGCATCATTTATTGTTTTCAGGTGGACAGAAGCCAACAACTCCTCCTCCAGAATTAAAGGGCCCTCCATCTATTGTACCTCCACCACCTACCTCAGAACCACCAAATCCTACACCACCAAACCCTGCACCACCAAAGAATGTCAATAATGATCAGGATTACAACAAACAATCCATTATTACTGCTACTCCATATCCTAACAAGGGATTGATTCTACAATCTCTAAACTATATCCAGATGGATGCCTTCAGTTCTCTATTTCCCAATAACAATAATAAAGTTGTAGTTGAGGAAGAACAAACAGCTATTGAAGAAAAAGCATTTATCCCTAAGAGGGAACCTGCAATACTTTCATCAGCTTTATATAATATTGAAAATAATTTTAGAAGTTTGTTTTAAAACCTGTGATAAGTGTACATTATGTTGCTGCCTTGCAGCCTCTAAAGTGGAGTTAGTTAAGTAGTAGCCATTGTTACCTGTTTTTTTAATGTTTTATTTTTTATTTACTGAATCATACAGTAGAGTAAAGAATGAATTGACTTATTGTGTATTTGGATATCTTAGAGCACTAGTGATCCCAGTAACATTTTTGTCAAAATAAAGAAGGCATATGGATATGCACTTATGTGTTTATGTCTAAGGTTTTTGTAGATTTTTCTACCATCTTATTTGTAATTTAATGTGGTCTAGAAGAACTACAAGAACCTCGACCAAAAAATCTAAGTAAAATGATACATAGATCACTTGCTTATTAAAGTTTATGTTTCTTATTGTTTTAAACAATTTGTCTTGTACCTAAATACATAATGATTTGTTCATACAAAGTCAGATGTGTTAATGCTTTTATTTACATTTTTTGTATATAATACATTTGTAGTTAGATTGCTTTGTATTGATGGTGCAGTTTAGGTATAAGAACATGAATATGTTAATGTTAATAACTTATAAAGTAGTGGATATTTGAAAATAAATAAGCACAGAATATCCGTATATATTTTATTACTCTAGCCACTCTTTCATATAAACACAAGTTTGTGGTGTGACCAATCCGGTGGAATCACATGAATGAATTAGCGGGCACACTCCACATGGCACTTGGACTAACCCTGGTGCAGGTATAAGAGGGTCTATGGCTCGATATACTTTGCTCCCGTCAGGATAAACACTGCTCTCTGCCTTACCATCATAGACCAATGTATTCAGAATTGTAATTACATCTTCTACATCAAGTTCAACCTGAAACCAAAAATACACTCAATTATATCTATAATCATATCTAAGAAAAAATAAAGTGCCCATTAAGATCCTCATTACTATATTTTCAACACCATAAGGAAAGATTATATACAAAGTATGTTGAGACTTGATAGAATAATTACAAACAATATAACTATTACATTGAAATTTTTTTTTTTTGACTGAGCTGTTGTTCACACTGCATTTTGTAATACATTTTTTAATTACAGTGCTTCTAAAATAACTCCAGGGAAGGCAAATCTGTTACATATAGTATAGGATTTATTAGTCATCTGTTGTAGAAAGAAATGTTTATGCATTTTGTTGAATCGATAATAAAAAATGCTTTGAATGTGTCACAGTATTGCATAATTTGTAAAGTTTAATACTGACAATGTCTACTCATGTAAATATAGTTTTTACTTTAGATATTTAATAAACAAAATTAAAATTTAAATGACTTACTTTGCTTATTCCTAAATCTGTTATATATTTTTGTACTTCATTTGCTGTGGCGTAAGACTGTGTGCGGCCTACAATTGGTCCTCGTGGATTATTCTTTATTTTGTCAGCTCTCTGGCTTAGAAATCTGTGACATTGTACATTGAGGATGTCTACAAACTCAGATTCAAAGTCTTGATCCTGATACCATGCTCCTCCAGATATGGATCTATCAGGTTCCAAATTGTAAAGCATGTAAACTTTTTTCTTAGAGGCCTGAAACAAAGAAATTGTAAACATTTTTTGGAATTTATTTTATATTATAAAGTTATCAATTGAAATCAACTTACATTAACACATTTTACAGCTTTGATGACCTTTTTACTTTCAAGATTCTTCAAAACTTTCGTCAGTTGCGTGTTGGCTAGGTTAGATCTAACTCGAATGTCCCGTATCCATATGCCTTTGTTACCAGCTTCTTCAATTAAGTTATACACAACCTTTTCTTCATTGTCGGCCCCTTTAACTGCTTGCTTACTTGTTTGAGCCTTTAACCTAGGACAAATACCATGCTTTACAATTTTTTATTTGTGATCACAATATAAGTGTCGGTCGTTCACAATGCCGGTGCGACGTATGTCTCTAAATGTAGAGATAACTTACTTATAGACAAGCACACCGTTTTGATTAAACAAATCAAAATATTCTTGCTGTAATAGTTCATTGATGGCCGGTACTAGTTCAGCAGAAGATACTTCAGGGATTGCCGCTGTTATATCTTTATGCGAAATCCCTTTTGGGTTTTTCTTAGCGACATTTAATATTTTTTCCTTTAATTGGTCTTCAATTTTCACACTCATTATGAATTTTTTTACGAATTTATATGTTTAAATGTTGTTGCTAAATAAACACGCTTTCAACAACAACCGGCCTAGATATGTCACCACACACAATCACAAAATTGATAATGTCAGTGTCATACGATTGACAGTACACAGCTGATCAATGAATCAATCATCAAATAAATGAACCATAGACATTCACATTTCGTATATGAACATGTAACATAGAGCAACACAGGCCACCGGCGGACCCGTGTTACTCTATGACATGCAATGTTGAGTCAAACCAAAGAGCATATAAGCAAACCATAACAGAAAACACTATAGCACATCGCTTTCCGGATACCGCGCCACCCGACTGCTTTACAAAATATTTCTTTTGAATATTTGACTGAAGAACGTATTTCCGTGATCCTTATAAGCTGATTTCCTAGAACCTGTCCGAGCATCAACCAAAGAGAAAAATTATCCATGATTCATGATCAACGGACGTTGTTACCTCAACCCACCTCAACCATAAAACTTTGACAGATAAACACTGCTACCAACATTGACAGAAAAACAATTTATTATTGTTGTTGTCAACAGTTGTCACTGAAGTAAATTAAAAGTATGTTCTGAATTTCTATATATATTTTTTATAAATAAAAAATATGAAAAGGTTCTCACTTAAGTTTATGATTTTTATGTTATTGAGTACGTTCACTGTTTTATATTTATATTCTAAAGTTAACAGTAGCAATAAATATGCTGTTAACGAGCGGCCTGTGCCTTCTAAGTAAGTTTATGATGTTTAAATAGTTAATAGGAATAAGACAATAAGGCTAAAAAATCTCTAAAACTAAACAATTTTAATTTTCAGGGCTTCTATTAGCAAGGAACCTACACAGATAGAGAAGGTTGTACTATCTTTCGTAGTATGTGACTCGAGATTCAACGAATCCCTGAACGTAGTTAAGTCCGTGTTGCTGTTTACAAGAGTTCACGTACACTTCGTAATATTCGCTGATGACAATTTAAGACCAAAGTTCGATGAAACTTTAACAAAATGGAAGCAAGTTACAAATAACCAGCTGGACTTTGAGCTTCATAGAGTAAGCTTTCCACAAGAACATGAGCAAGATTGGATGAACCTATTTAGCAAATGTGCAGCTCAACGACTATTTATTCCTGTAAGAAAAATATAAATTTGTAATTTAAATTACTCACAAAATATTGAATACTGTTTTTGTAATTTTTGAAACATATTTTTATAGAGTTTTTCTTATGAATGTTTCAGGAACTGATACCTGACACAGATGCTATGATATATGTGGACACAGACACCCTGTTCCTGGGACCTGTGGAGGAGCTGTGGCAGTACTTCACACAGTTCAATTCCTCACAGATGTCTGCAATGTCCCTTGAAGACGACAACCCTAATGTGTCTTGGTATCCGAGATTTGCTAAACATCCATTTTATGGCAAATTTGGTAAGAAACATTGTTTTCTTCTTAATTTTACACTGTATATAATCAGTGAAAACCCCAATAAGAATGCATGATTATAAAGAGTATGATTTTCAAATTGTAAGGAAAAGTTGTAATTTGTATATACAGAAATATTTATATCAAATTTTTGAAAATAGGTTTTGTACAATTTAGATACTCCTGTCCCTTCAGTGCTCAACAGATCAGACCACTTATAAAATTAAATAATATATAAATGTTAATTTATTCAAAAACAAAAGAATGAATTGATTTAAATAAAAAAGTAATTCACACTTATTCCATGACATTGATAAATTAATAAATGTTGTTGTAGGCCTCAACTCTGGTGTGATGTTAATGAACTTGACAAGAATGCGAACATTTGGCTGGGTAGAATATGTCACTCCTATAATGTTGAAATGGAAGCTCTATATACCTTGGGGTGATCAGGTGAATACATTCTTTCCTCATTTTGTTTTTATTTTTACTTTCAAATTCTGGTGTTTTAGACTTATAAGTAAACTTGCCGTCAAAATGTAATCAACTTACAGTAACACTGCATTATCATAATAACAAAGATAAATTTTGAATTTTAAGTGACATATTTATTTGTTTGTTTGCAGGACATAATAAATATAATATTTCATTACCACGAGCGCGCAGTGCACGTGTTGTCATGCAGGTACAACTACCGCTCGGACCAGTGTATGTACGGTGACGCCTGTGCCGACGCCACTGACCGCGGCATTTTCCTGCTGCACGGCAGTCGGAGAGCATTTCATAATAATAAACAACCAGCCTTTCAGGTAACCCCCCTTTTATAGTGGAGTAGCCTTACTATCTGACGAGTGAGAGGTCGTCAGCGCGCCTGCTGAGCAGCGTCACACGACTTTAATTCCCTAGCTCGTATTAGTTTAGAGTCCGGAATTACATCTGGTAAAAAAACCGTAACTGATGAAAAGAGCGTGTTATATGTTCCTTTCCCGTAAGGAAAAAAGAAAATAAATTTTATGTCTTGTTGTTATGCTAAACAAATAATGCTTTAAATCAATAATGTATCTATCATCTTCTACTATTACATAAAGCTGAAGAGTTTGTTTCGTGTGTTGGGTAGAGCATTTATCAAGGAAGGATATTTATAGGCTAAAATACCTCATGCTACGCTCTTTAGGAGCCGAGCAGAGAGGCGCGGGAGTAGCTAATCTTAATAAACAAAACAACCCAAAATACAAAAGCGAAAAACTTAAATTCAATTAAAACAGGGGTCAACCTTGATCAGAGCATAATAAACTAGAAATGTCTACACAGCACGGCATAAAGTCTTGTATCGCTTTTTAATATTTACAAGGCCGAAATATACGAAAATGTATTTTTCAATTCAATATCTAAAAATATGAGATTTTTGCCCTTGAATTTTAAGACGTTATTGTAATGAAACTGTTGTATGTATTGATTTATCTATTTTGGTAGCAACTTGATTTAAAATGTACAATTATAGTTATGACACATTTTTATGGAGCTCAAGAAATTTCACAAATCATTTTGTTACTATGTAAGAGACATACTTTATATTTGATAAGTGTGCAATCTACTAATAGATGGGGATAACGAGCGGCGTTGCAGAGACGTTATTAAAACTGACGTTTCCATTGTTTCAGGCGATATATCGTGCGATAGATGAGTACGAAATCGGGACGGATCCTTCAAAGTATGTACTTACAAACATGGACAGGTATTTCACCGAGGCGTCCCCCTCCAACTGCGGCAACTTGAAGGAAGCTTTCCTTAAAGTTCCAACAAAGACATTCAGCAATTTATATCCACCACCCGACAGATAGCGCCATATCGTTGCATAAGGATACGAAGAAACATATCAGGGTTTTATTTCATATTACTTATATACCATTTATTATGTAACTAGCCTTGCATTAATAAGACAACAAAGTATATTTTTTCTGTTATAAACAATTATTTATGAAAAGCGCCCAATTTGTAAGAGTATAACTTTATAGTTTTAGCTGTTTTTGTTTGTAGTTTTGACAAATGTTAAATGTATGTAATACCGATAGTATTATTAAATAAGAGTAAACCTGAGCTGGACATGAGCACATAATTATATATGATCATGAGTTTTCTTACAAAATCAGTATAAAGTAAGTACATTTTATGTGTTCACTTCTGCCTAGGTATATTGTTTACTAAAGATAGAATTTAGCTACATGGAGAAACATATTATTAGTAGATACATGTACCGGCCATTACAATGTTCATATCTAGCATTACAGTAATGAGTTAAATATTAGTAATACTCAAATCCAGTTCTTGCGTGACAGATACTTTGAAATCCAGATAAATGTAATATGATAGAATTAGAGATAAAATATCTGGTATGGGGTTCTGGATTCATGAGTATGAGCATGTGTGGCAGGCGTGATAAGGCTTGGAACAACAAATCATTGACCGCACAAAGTAGCTGATAAGATTAGGAGATGTGTTATTAATATTTACCTAATGTCACAATCACAATACAAGTGATAAATAATATATGTCTATATAATTTTTGTTTATTAAGTTTTAAGATAGCTCTCTATGTAAGCTGTCCACTGTAACCCTCATAGTTGTATAGTTTGGATAAGTAATCGCTTTCTTGTATGTAAAATGCAGAATTCCAAGACATACTTTCAAATAAAATGTTTTACTGGAACGGAGTAAATAATAGTTAAGTAAAATATTAATTATCTTTCAAAATCTCAGTTGAAAAATGCAAGAATTAAGAAAAGACTAAAGTATTTTTATCCTCATTTCGGATCAAGTAAAGATTGTAGAAATATATTACTATTTAAGATTCAAGAAGTTATTATAGTCGACCAGACTAGGAAAATAATACAATTATATTGTTAGTGTTAATTATATAGTTACTTACGAATACAACCACTAAGTGTCAACTTTGCGAATCTATATTATGAAGCAGTCACACAATACTTACTCGCGCTCGACATATGAACCGGTTTCGAATCATATATCCGAGACATTGTCAAGATTTCCACTGACCTGCTAATAAAGTACTTGGTACTCACCCAGGTACACACTAATCTAAAACCTTTTAACATAATGGTCAATATTATAAAGAAGAATTATTCTATTGCTTGCATGCATTGAATATCCGCCGAAATTGTTGTATGGATTGGAAAGTTCTTTCACCATTGGGAAGCTTATTAGCTTACTTTACAGGGGCTAACCGTTTATCCCGATCACGGTTTTCCTAGGATCGAGCTCGAGAGAAAAGTGATTGTTAAAATAGTTTCAACTTCTATTGTAATAAGGTTTTAATTTGTGTGTAGTTAATGGAACAAAGGAATATTATTAATAGAAACAATGATTATATTGTTTATAATAGATATAACTATGATAGATATCTCGCGTCAAGTTAGATTAACTTGTTATCAAGGTCACGACTAAGGTCGACTCCGATCTGCTTTGTATTTGATAAAATTAGTGTCGATATTTTCAATGGTCGTTTTCTTGTCTGATCTTGGACCAAGACAATAATTTATTATTATGTAGAGTTGATATGCTTTTATGTTATAAGCTATTTGTTTTTAATAGCAGAGGTTGAGCACATCAATGAAACAGTATAAAACTCTAGTTCCAAAAGGCTGATGATTCGACTCCTGTGTTGTGGATGATAATTTATACATTATACCTACATAACACACTCGGGAATTGAACCCGCGACATGGGATGGACAAGGCGCTGCACTCTTGGGTGAGCCGTGCAGTCTCCTAATGCGGTATTTTGAATAACATTCGAGAATAACAAAAACAATGTTCAGTAACAGTATAACAGGTTCCTGGGCCTAACTGACCTGAGTATGTTCAAGGTAAACTTGTCATTGAATGGGTCATGTACAGCACAGGTGTCGGCGAAGATTTAGCCAATATCTATGTATACATATCGCTATTTCATCAAACCTCAAAATAAATATTAGTAATTCATTAGTACCTGTGTAAAGGTATTCTTGTATTGAAGTAATGATCAATATTATTCAATATGGTAGTGATGTCATTGAAGCTGGTATACTTATTTTAATTAAAATTAAGTTACTAATATTGTATATATAATAATAATAATTTAGTTTTAAAATGACAAAAGTATTCAATCTGCCTCATAACATTTAAGTTTAACATTTTAATTTCAAATAATTTTATTGCAATTATACAATATATTGTATTTTTTTAAATTAAACTTTTGTTTTTCTGGTTCCTTGGAATCTTTGTTATTATGGGTTAATTCTTGTTAGTTATTAAAACTTTATATGTGTTAAATTGCGGAAGTAAACATGTTGAGTGAACTAATTAAAACTTAGGTAATAAACTCCGTCTTAAAATCAGTTTGCACACACTATGACACATCAGGTACTTAAACATTTGTAATTAGGCAGTTGAGTGTATGCTCCAAAACTTTAAGCTTGCTATTGCAAATACCTTTTGTTCATTTTTTTACATATTGACGCAAAAGACTGTTTATGTCTTTTTTTTAACGCTTAAATACGTATATTCTGGGGTGGGGATACCCCCACCCACATATCTTTCTCTCATTCTATACGTAGCATATTCTAAAACAAGTTTATTTATGTTTAGAAACACAGATACTTACTAATCAGGTACTGCTTATGCTCATACAGTGTGTCAGTACCTACGCTGGTCACAGAATAATCTGTAATGTGTTGGCGGTCTACCTAACCCTCCATGTGACTACTAAAATTTGACACGGTAATTACCCATTTAGATGTATCAGTACCTATAGGTAGATATAGAATATCAGGTAAACACGCAGCACACCTTTACATCGCACTGCACCTCCGCGGCATCAACATATTGGACGCATCAGCTGAAACAACCTCGGCGAGTGTATCCGTAAAACAAGTTTTAAACCTATAAATATTTATGAATTTTTTGTTAAAGCCTCTGTTTGTGATAACACTGAGGTATAAAAACAGTTCTTCGTTACATTATACTCACAACTGCCTCAAGTCGTCGTTCGGTGTGTGTGATATAAGACACACCTTATTATTTTAAATATTACATTTTCTTTTTACAATTACGTAACTTGCCTTTGTCTTTCCGGTGTAACTTCAAAATGAGTAATATGTACAAAGTGTGCTTCGTTGCTGTGGTGTTTGCGATAGTTTTGTCAGCAGTGTACAGCCATGCTACACCATCGGAACAGTGCCCGGGTATGAGACAAACAATAATCTTGAAACAGATTGTCATTACATAAAGTTATGATTTTGTTGTTGGCTGTTGCGTATTGCCGACCGGTTTCTTTTCTTGTGTAACGATCGAGATATTTTTTTTAATTGTTCATTATTTTTCTTATCAAATAATTTTAGGTGTAAGAATTTTTGATATTATAAAAAGCTGTGCTGACAATTAGCGGTTAGCAGTCGCTACCAAAATCATTGGCTTGTGTTTATGGTGCAGCAGCGTTAAAAGTGAATGCACACTCGGAAGTTTTTAAACATTGTCAGAACAATGAAAAGATATTTTTGACATGTGCTGCAAGATAGAAATAGATTTTTATTTTTTTTTACAATAAAGAATTAGCGAAATCGGTTCGCTGTTCTCGAGATTTGCGCTTAGCAACACATTCAGCGATTCATTTTAATATTATAGAAGATCAGAAAAAGTAAATTAATACTTATGATTTATTAAAAATGTCGAGTGTCTGAAGCAATCATGTCGCCCTCTGTTCCAGGCGAATCGTTCGACAATTTGCAGGAGAGGATCCAGGTGACACCGTGCGGCAAAACTCGCTGCAAGCTCCCGAAGAACAGCAACATCACTGTTGTATTCAAATTCACTCCAAGTGAGTACCACTGCATTTAACATACATCCACATCATATTAAAACCCAGATCAATCAAAAGGTGTTAATAATTTATCAATATAAAACATAACATATTGAGTGTCGTGGTGGCTCGGAGGCTTAAGACGCCTGCTTCTCATGCATGAGGGTGCGGGTTCGAAACCTACCAACGGCAAGTACCAATGTGACTTTTTCCGAGTTATATGTACTTTCTAAGATTATTTAGACACCACTGACAAACGGTGAAGGAAAACATCGTGAGGAAACCTGGGCTTATAATTTCTAATAATAAGTTTGAAATCGCCAACCCGCATTGAGCAAGCGTGGTGATTAATGCTCTAACCTTCTCCGTGTGAGAAGAGGCTTTGCTCAGCAGTGGGCATTTATAGGCTGTTGATTGTGATAAAACATAACATCACGACTATTATCCCCGAAGAGGTGGGCAGAGGTGCACATTATACCACTGTACAATGTAACACCGACTTTTCACTATTTATGTTATGACTATATACTATAATTGCCATATATCGGGCATAATTCCAGACTCCGTGCTACTGCTGAGATCACCTTATGATACGAACTTTCTTATCACTGAGATCGCTATAAGAACCTTACGTGATCATTTATCACGTAAGGTTTTTTTGCGTTTTTTGGACCCCCTCTCCCTTGGCCATATTCGGTGAGCTTTTAAATAATCAAACAACACCTGTATTTATTTAAAATCAAAATATAGTTAATTAACATTTTATAAATACGTTGTATATGTATCTACCTAAAAATATTATTTAATTTAATGAAAGTTTCAAAATACATAGGTGATTATCTCTTGGAGTTAGGAAGTGGCATAAACTAACACTACACCCCGTTTTAAGGTTTATTTAAATATATAGTGTTTAACGGAAGTATAAATACACTTGATATTTTATTGAAACCCCCATCCCCCCTCGTGATGTTTCGTGATTTTTGTCGAACGCGCCCTTACCCTTACTGAGCCTCATGTGATTAATAGATGTCCCTTATGTAAGAATCGTAGCAATTGGCGTTCCATAGTCTGTGCCTACCCCCATGGGATACAAACGTGAGGTTATGTATGTATCAATAAAGACATTGATTGATTAATTAATTTTGCCTATTATATATACATAAAACCGAGCAAGTGTGAGTTGGATTCGGTCGGTCAGAGTCGGACACAAAAGGTTCCTCTATCATAGAATAAAAAATCAGCAAAAAATCACAATCAGACTCGCCCGAGTCTTAATAATCTAAATATGTTATTAAGTATTACCTTATTATATAAGCATTAGATTTTAAAATCCCATACAATACTTTTTATGTAAAATATTGCTTAGACGGAACCCGTATAGAGCCAAGTTTTATCACAACCCTAAATATAAATTCTAATTTTACACTTACGTTGTGGCGAAACAACACCGTAAGATCGTACAACCGTAAGATCGTAGCGTGTAGTTAGTAGCGCGTAGCGCGTACATCGTGACTCGTAGCGCGTAGGTAGAAGCGCATTATCCATAGATCGTAGCCCGTAGTTCGTAGCGCGTAGTTACTACCGCGTAGCGCTTAACAATATTTCGTAGCCCGTAGTTCGTAGCGGTTTGTTAATATGTAGTAGCGCGTAGCACATCCATTTTAACTCGTGATGCGTAGTTAATATCACGTAGTGCGTAGTTCTTAGCGCGTAGTTAGTATCTCGTAGCGGTAGGCATTCACTCGTAATGCGTAGTTAGTATTTCGTAGCGCGTAGTCATTCACTCGTAGCGCGTACTTAGTAGCTCCTAACACGTAGTTAGTAATACGTAGCGCATCCATCGTAGCATAGTACTTGGCACTTCACGATACAAACTACGTGCTAAGGGCTACGACGTATGCGGTACGCATTACGAGTTGTGGCTGTAGTAATTCACCGCAACGTAAGTACAATTACGGCTTATAGATTGGGTTGTCATCAAGTATCAATTATCATCAGTTAAGTCAATTTTTATATTAACTCGTCGAGTACCGGTTTTATAGACACAATTAAAGAACAATAGGTCGCGGTCCCCGGTGACCGCTTGGTGTTTGACAGTTTAATATTAAGATACTTATACTCCCCACCTACGATACTTATAATACTGAAAGGCGACTCGATTTTAAGTTGTACTTAAATATTATGCTATCTCTATCATTTCACAAATAATGTGTAGTGACGAAATTAAATTTGATAGATCAGTAGCTATTATTACTATATCTGGGCGGGAGGAAACGCCCGGGTGTCATAATTGCGAGGACCGCCCTGAGGACACGGTGGAACACACTGTGGGGGAATGCCCTGCGTGGGCTGAGCATGCACCGCCGTGCCCTCAAGGACGTGATCGGCGATGGCGACCTCTTGCGTCCGGCCCTAGTACGGGTACTATGCAGAGCGAGGGGGACTGGGATGCCGTCTCCTCCTTTTGCGAAGCAGTGATGCTAGCTAAGGAGGAGGCGGGACGCGTGAGGCAGCGAAGCGCTGCCTCCTCGCAACCCAACCATCGAAGGACACTCCGGGCATCGAGGATCACGGGACGATCACCGGCCACCATAAGCGTGGGCCTGCGGACCGCGAGCATGGGTGACTCGCCGCACGACCAGAACCAGACCCGAGCGTACGGCGCGTCGCGATTCGCGCGCGCCTCAAAGAGCCATCAGACCACCACGGATGGGGCCCAATAGGCTTATACCGATTCAGAGCCGCGGAGAACTTAACGGGTTACCGGGGCTCCGGCTCGAAGTGCAGGAGTAGGAACAGGGTGGTTTTTAGTCAGTAAGAGTCTGACACTCCCTCCCGCCTCACCCAGACGGGAGAAACCATTCGATGATTTTTCCCCCTTAACAAAATACTATATCTATTGTTATAACCACAGAATATATTTATATGTTCTGTGGTTATAATAACGAATTTGTTTATAGAAATAACTTATAAAAAACGAATTAATATTCAAGGTCGTGTTTTATATGTTCTGTGGTCGTGTCTAATTATAGAGATGGTAGTCCCGGGGTTGATTCGATTCGGAATATTTAAATAAAAAACTAAAGGATTTTCCGTTTTTATATTAATGTTTGGTATAATATATATGTAATAACGAGGAGTCGGTTTATGACAATAGTTCCACCTCCTATTACACGGGACTCATAAACTCATAAGATATCTAACAGGTCAAAAGTGGATGTTACATTGTACTTTTAGAGATTAAGAAGTGCGACGATATTATAAGCTGTTATTTGTATTCGTGAATTTCGTGATGTACTTTGTTCAGTCGATTTTACAGGGTTATTGGTAAAACACCGACATCCTCTCAGGACTATGTTACTAACATCATAATCAACAACTTTTGTTCTACGATATTTTAAAAATTATCATTTCTTAGTTCTTTAGGCTCATAGATTCATAGGTTAGTAACATAGTCCTGAGAGCATGTCGGTGTTTTACCAATAACCCTGTATAAATGCATCATAGTTGATAATGAATGTATAATATTTGTCAATATATCATAGTCGTAGCCGTGAGATTTAACAAGTAATTTTGATTATACGAGTAACTTTGATCACACGTCAATATCTAATTTCAATGTCTAATTTCAGTAAAAGTGGTTAAGTCAATTACGAACGAAGTGCACGCGAACGTTGCCGGTGTACCTCTACCGTTCATTGGTGTCGACGGGACGGATGCTTGCGGCAATGTGAAGCGCGCCGACACGCAGGAGGCGGTGGCGTGCCCGCTACCGGCCGGCCAAGACTACATCTACACAAACGTGTTTCCAGTACAGCCCTTCTATCCCGCAATCAACCTAAGAGTCCACTGGAATCTCAGAGACGGTAAAAAAAGCTTAATATGCTTCGAAGTACCAGCAATTATTACAGCTGGTAAGAAAAATTAACTTATTTACTGTCAAAACAAATAACTATAAAATATTGTGATATGTATTCGTACAAGTACTCATGCAAAGTCCCTATTTTTTAATTTTTTACGATGATCCAAACAGTAGTTTTGGATTTTAAATAATTATAAAATTTATATTAAATGAAATTAAACACATTTTGTATTTTTTTAAGTTTATTTAATTATTTGTAATGGCATTTGAAACAAAGTAAAAAAATATTCTCCACGACCTTCTTCTCACTTACCTAAAACATATATAAATACTACTTGTCAGTTTAATCCGAAACAACATAGATTTCGTAATAATTTAAAATCTGTGCTAAGGTTCAGAATATTTGAAATGTTTTTGTTCTTTTGAGTTTGACTTATGGATTATGTAGGATTTATAACTGTGTAATTGCAGAAATACTTAATAAGGTTCTCTAGGCAGACGACTTGTGTAGTTCTGGCGGCTTCGTATTATGGACTTTAGTTATGGAATTTACACAATTCGTGCGGGAACTTCGAAACAGGTGATGTCGCCATGATCATCTTTCAGTTCCCAGTGTACCTTGACTTTTATTGGAGGGTAGATGGCGTAGATAGGGAAGCTGTCTTTATATAGATATGTAGTCCCTGATTTCAGAGGGCAGCTGGCTTTGTCACCATTCTCTGTGAACACTTTGTCACAGATGGAGTTTCCATCCACTCCTAAGAACGGCACCACCACACCTCCTCCGATGTCCGCGGACACGCCGTTCTTGACTTCATTGAGGTCTTTGTCTGTAAAAGTATAAAATTTTCATTTAAATATGCATCTAGAACAGGTTAAACTGAGTAAACACTACAATTTTAATATTCTAGTAACTACAAATGAGTACCTAGTTAACAAAACGTAGAAAATAATTTTACATGGCTACCTACATTTATTAAGGCCGTCACAGACCTAGCTATAATATAATATATTTCTGTGATGTCACCAAAATATATATACAAAATATATTTTAGCATATTAATATATTTTAAGGATAAGGGTGACCCGAGTACGTGGAAAACATATGCGGTACCTTGAAAAATTTTAACACCCTATACGGAAAATAAACTTCAACCCGGCATCATAGGGGCTGGGTTAAAAATACCTGCACTTTTGAAAAAAGCCTATAATTCTACATTAATACATACAATGTTGCTGTTCTTATTAGAAGCTGGAGTTACAGAGTTCTTTGATACGTACATACCGCAAAATAAATCGAGCGAGTAAATAAGTAACATTGGGAGTTACGAGCCTTTATACGTCATTAAAATTACGAGTTTTATTTATTGTTTAATCGTAAATTAAACTATACAAAGAACACAAACTGCAATGTAAATTGTAAGTACTAAGTATGTAACAAGTTATACGTAGGTACAAGAAATTGTTCAATGGTCATGTTTATGACACGAGGAAAATGTATTAAATTGTGTTCGTGTATTATATTAGCTATATATATAGTGCTCTAGGAAATAAAGGTAATTGAGGTTGTTGGGATTGTGGTCGTGAATGCAAGTGCTGTAGACTACGATTACTTCCGAGACCAACTAACACACGTAGTACTTTTATTAGCACTTACGAAAATAATAGACGCATCATGATGGGATCATCGCTAGCGTTATTTCACAGTTCAATTTAATATATTACCTACTTAATTGTATCCCTATGTCCATACTACAAATACATAGATGCAAATTTATTTTTCTAGGGACCCATAGTAAAGCTTGCTGTAGGTGCAGACACTGTGAAAGTTACTTACGTATTTACGCATATTGTACTCTCTCTATATTTTTTTATATTTACGCAAAACACCTCACAGTTTTATACTGCAGCCGCTAATTCGACCCACATTCCACTTACATCTAGCTAGTTTAACAATCTTCCATTCCATGCTTACCTGGCGTGAACTTAATGGTGATGGACTGGTTGGTTCCTTTTTTGAGCCGGCAGGGAGGTTTGGTGCAGGGTGACAACTGAACGTTTTCACTCAAGTTTGGAATGTCCATGCCTGAGAATAAAAAAAAACACAATTACATTATGGGGCCAGGAAATATGTTTTTGAAATTTTTAAATCGTTAGTAACACTATTTGTAACTTTGGAACAGCTAAATTGGTTTGGATGAAAATTAGTGGAGAAGTAGCTTAGAACCAGGAGACGTCACGGCCATATGATACTTTTTATCCAAGGACTTCCCAAAAATCCTACGGTAAATACAGGATTGCGCGTACTCGTCGCGGACAGAAACTACTGTATTTATGTTTCTCGAATCATTAAGCGGCTATTATTTTAAATGAGATATTAATGTTTTGATTCTGTTTAACTTAGGTGGTTGTATCGCAAAACATTCAAGATTGCCTTCATTGTATGCATGCACAAAAATCAGTGTCGACAAGAAACTAGACTAAAAAATGACCCTCAGTTATTAAAATAGTAATCAGGCATTTAAAAACTCTAGAAATTACTTAATTATGACTTACTGTAACAGGTTACACTAAGCTAGCAGATAAAAACGTGGGCTGTGACGACTGACTTAGCTTTTTTAAATATACAATAATTATACACTTTAAGTTTTTCTAGAACCACCAAACGTGTCCAGTCGACTGCTTTTTTGTTAGTTAACGGCGGCTTTAACGCACGTTGGCCACGTTGCTAGGTTTGCAACCATCTCGTATTTTTGTAGCCAACTAATACCAAATATCACATTACCTAAATATGCGCGGCTTGTTCTAAATCTAAACAAGTAAGCATAAAAATACGAACAATAGAACAGGCAGATAAGTACAATATAAGTAAGTACTTATTAAGTCAGAGCACGTCGCACAAATAAAATGAATGCTTCAGATTTTACTATCAAGGAAGTTCATAACACAGATCTATTTTTTGGTAACGACGTAAACGTAATATGTTCTTTTGTCGACATGTAATCACATTATTTTTTTATAATTCACCTTTTATTTTAGGTTTAGGTGCCAGTAAATACTCTCTTTTTTGAAGTCAGTTAAGTAGCTGTTGTACTTTGAAGTTGATCGTAGGTACCTATAGAAATCTTGAAAAGGGTACAGGATATGTTTATATAGTTACTCTTTAGACTTTGAGTTAGTGAACAAAGATCATGAATAAAAATATCAATAAACAAGAACAAAATAAAGTATTAGATAATAACTAATTAAATTCTCAGAAATAATCAAATACATACGTAATCCAAATCAAATTATAATATACATGCAAGGTGAAATCTATATTGATGAGCGTTGACTCAAAATCACGTTAGTAGCAGTGTTTTGTTTATTAAAAAGTTCAAGGTAAGTCTCGAGCTACAGGGTGACTGACTATCGAGTGCACACTTGTCTATATAGATTTTAGAAACTTCTCTTTCATAATAGATCTAGGTTCTCATAGAGCCAACCCATTTTCTTATGTATAGTTTATCTAAAGCCTTGTCACATTTTTTTAAGTAGTTGTTAGCTAAGTAACTATAAACACATTTTTTGTTATATCCTGTTTAATCAAAAAATTAGTAAGTATGTACTTACGTAAATATCGCATAAAAATTATAATGGCCTTTGAATTTGTTAATAATAAGTAATAAATAATTTAACTTTCTACATTCAGCTGCACGCCATACCTACAAATCTGGCTTTTAAGACAAGGTTTGTTTGAACTTGACACGTCGAACTTGAAAAAATATCGAAAATTAATATTTTATGAATTAGGTAGTATAATGATGTTAAATATTGAATAATGCAAATATTGCAATGCAAAAATGTTTATTTATCGATAAATTAAGTAATATATGGATTAGGATAATTATAGAGAAGGATGATGAAACATAGATTATGTCACTAAACTATGACATTATATGACATACATATATTATATATATACAAATAAAGCATATAGTAATATGTATATAAACACCTATTTTAATTTTACCTACTACAGACAGAATACAATAAAACAAAATAATAAGATCCAGCAGTCAAACAATTTCTGTATAGTTTTGTTGGACATCACGTTAGATTATAAGTCACCCCTAAATCTCAGTCAGTATCAGTATACCCTGTACCTTTTTATTGAGTAAATAAATAATATGATGCATAGTTCTTCGGAGTGGTCGCGGATAATTAAAACAAGGTTGCGGGACCACGGTCATGGCTAACAAGTCAATTGCAGACACTGCAGTATGCAATCAACTGCGTCTTAACGAGTGTGAACCAGTGAAGGGTCTAATGCTCTAATCTCAAGATAACATCTACCAATACAAAAACCAAGTTACCTTTGAAATTTTATTATATATCACTTTTATTATATCTCACTTTCCGATTTATAATAATGTTATAAATCGGAAAGTGAGTTTATTTGTTTGTTCCGCTTTCACGCCGTAACAACTAAACCGATTGCTTTGAATTTTTGCAGACGTAAAGTTATAAGTCCGGATTAAATAATAGGGTATTTTTTATCATGGAAAAATTTTATATTCCCGAGGGAAAGGGAAACAAAAGTATTGGTATAGATGGCGCTGTGTGTATTGGTATATGCCACATAAGCTACTTTTTATCCTTTTGTGACGCGAGCGAAGCCGCGGGTAAAAGCTAGAAATATATTACCAAAATAACTATCAGGGGGTTATTAAGGATCGATACTGATACCAAAAATACAACTAGTGAATTTTTTGTCAAAAAATAGGAAAATTTGTGAGTTTCCGTTTTTGATTGTTACCTACTTTAGAACAGAGTTAGATTATGGTCCGGAGTAACACGTAGGCTACCTTATACACCTTTTTTGAGGGGGGGGGGGGGGATATCATCGAATAACTTCTCCCGCCTTGGGTTAGGCGAGGGGGAGCGTCAGACTGACTTAAAACCACCCCGTTCCTACTTCTGTTCTTCGAGCCGGAGCTCCGGGAAGCCTTGGGCCTTCCGCGGCTTCGTATCGGCCATCAACCCTATTGGGTCCCATCTGACCTTTTACACCTGGGGCTTTCCCAGGGGGTGAAGCCACTGGCAGAAGCTAGTGAGTTAATAAGATGTACCCACTTGACCTACAACTGTCACATCGTTTATACATGTTATACTAAAATAGTTCAAACTTTGTGATCTGACCTTTGTTGAAGTAGGTAAAACCCCAACAAACAACAGCTTAAGTTTTTAATACGGAAATGGCGGAAACTGTTAAAGTTGCGGAAACAGTTCAAAATATCTAGTTAACTAATTACCTACACACTTATTGTGGCGGGAGATTTTAGCAGGTACGTATCACCTCGATAACTGATTTAATGAATCCCTACATCGGATGTGTCCTTGCAATGATGACAGGACAGAATTAATAATACAACAATAACTTTGTGCCCCTCAATAGGTATGTACACATGTAGGTACATTTTGCGGAAATGTTGGTTCTATTCTATTGTAGATACGTAATGTATTGATAATGAGCTGCGACGCTGTGAATGGCTACAAATAACGCATAAAAATCGCCTATTCATTCATGGCATCATTGTAGTATAAAATAGATAGATCATAAAACTTTTTCTTTTTGTTATTTTTATGCCAATTTAACTAACTAGCTTGTTTTATCCGTGGGCGCTCAATATAAACGAAACTTGGGCTTATAATTTCTAATTATGTATTTATAAGTTTTAAATTGTTAACTTGAGTTTTAAATTGTTACATTGAGCATGCATATCTAATTATAAAGATAGAGTCAATACCTATATTCTAACTTAATTGATTTCCATTGCAAATCGGAAATGAAAATATCGAACCTGAGAACTTGTGCCCGTGGTGCTCCAGAAATCATAAGAGAGAGACATATCTACTTATTTCCTTATTAAAAAGTTTTAAAGTTTGTTTGACCGCAATGAATAAGACGTAGTAGAGAATAAAAACAAGTTTTTTCACAACAATGACAATGTCAATTATTATATTTCAAAGGATGTTTGAGTACTTACGTGTTTAACATTTACCTTACGTAAGAAGATAATCACTTACCTACATGCAGCCCATGGACAATTAGCAACATGAACCTGACAAACATAGACTTTGACATCACGCACTGAGTCTTGTATCGTCGAGGAACTTGATCCGATCCCCAGAGTAAAATATAACAATTGTTCGCTAATCGAATTAAATAAGATCTTAGCATTCGCACCATCTGTGACTATATTTAAATGAGTAAATATTAAGCTTCCTTATACGACGACTAGCAGTCATATTGACTTAGATAACAAAGGCGGTTCAGATATCTATATTCCGATATGCGTGTTAAACACTCAGTTTTATTTAAATTGTAATCATTTAAATTCATGTCGTAATATAAACCGACCAATATTCTGGTCACGGTGTGCCCGTATATGTGACTAACGCATACAGAAATCATTTGCGACGGTGCATGCACATGCCGTCGATTTTCAAAGTTGGATATTGAATTTTGAGAAGTAACCTAAAATATTGTGTCATTTAATAGGTTCTTAGAAATACTGCTTTCGAAATCAAACAAGGTCACAAATACACAACATTTGCTTTATGTTTCTCACAATTGTTTGTTTTTTATCAAAGCTAGCAAGTATTGGGCCACATGTGATGTGAAGTAACGTGACAAACGTGAAAAGGTAACCTAAAAAATGAAGCTTAGGTATAATTTAATAAAATTGAATATTAATATACATTAACGCCCGCTTCTCATGCATGAGGATACGGGTTTGAAACCTACCAACGGCAAGTACCAATGTGACTTTTTCCAAGTTATATGCACTTTCTAAGATTATCTAGACACCACTGACAAACGGTGAAGTTATACATCATGAGGAAACCTGGGCTCATCATTTCTAATTATAAGTTTGTAATCGCCAATCCGCATTGAGCAAGCGTGGTGATTAATGCTCAAACCTTCTCCGTGCGAGAAGAGGCTTTACTCAGCAGTGGGCATTTATAGGCTGTTGATGATGATGATACATTAACGATCATTATCATATCAACCACAAGTCTTCCACAGCTAAACGGGTCTCT